GCAATTATGCCTCCTGGTTTCTGCAAACATGAAGAAGGTGCCATTGATAATCTTCTGTGGTTGTACATGTTGTGGAGCCAATGTCATCCAGATTTATGATGTTAGTTGCATATTTTGTACCTTCTCAATAAGATCTAAGACATCCTGGTTATCAACAAATTCAACATAGCTCCAGTTTATTTCCTCCCTCGTGTATTCCTCTTGCTCCATCTTGAATACATGCTGCAGAGAAAAATTGTTTCATGTAAAAGTTGCTTGCAATGTGAATAGGTTACAGTGATATTATTTCCTACCTGATTGAAATGCTGTTGTAACTTCTCATTTGTGAGATTGATGCATAGCTGCTCAAAACTTTGAAACGAATAGTGATATTAGATCGTAAGTTCTATGTGTACTCATCATTCAGGTTTATAATTTCTGTCAGGTCTACCTGTTGATCTTGAAGCTTTCAAAACCATAAATGTCGAGGACTCCGATCAAGCTTTTAGCATTTGGGTCTTGACCTATTGAACTGTTGATCTTATCCACAATCCTGTCATTATTGAGTGGTGCACATGTCACGGTTGGAGATGGCTCAAACTGAGAACTATTTATCTAGAAAAAGTCCTGAAGGAAAACCATGTTAAAGGTGTGTTCGGTCTCTCCTATGATGTGTATGCGGTTTCTATCTTACCTCTGCGCCATTAGAATTCTTGTGGAAGGCAGAGCAGCTTTTGCCTAGTGATTATTAAAATATTCATTTTTGTTTCAGGGGTTGGATTTACATACCAGTCAAACAGCCTGGAGTATACTGTCTTGGCTAAAGCATCACGATTTGAGGCTGCGGATTCTGGGTCTAGCGGCTTTGTAATGTTACCATCCGGAGTGACAATAACACGCTTACAGAGTGAATCTTCCATCATCTTCTCATTGCACCTACGTCAAGTGAAAGATTGAAATTTAGTCAGCATTTCCATTGGACATGTGCAGAATTTCGAGGTCTAATGGTAATTGGTAAGGTACATGAGTAATTCTGCTGCTGTTTGAAGATGATATCTTGATTTATCATCCCTGAGTTTTGAAGAATCTGCTTCTTCTCCTTTGATAAAATTGACATTTCCAAGGTGGAGGATCGCAGCTACGACTCGGAATATGGCATCCTAAAGTTGAAGTTCCTGGTTAGTATTTGAAACTTCTACAATCATATGTATCCTTAGAATGAGAGTCATGAGACAAACCTGTGCCTCTTGTCCAATGCCCACAATGTCCATGGCATTTCTAGTCTCAATATACTCTCTTGCATCATCTACATTGGAAACCTCATAGCAGTTCGTCTGGTTTAGATAGTGGAACGTCCTTGGATCACCTACCTTGAATTTCTTAGCTTCCTGAAAATCAAACATATTGTTACAGTTGTCTTATCAATAATTGTTCTAGCTCTTTTGCTTTCAGCATTGTTACTGAAGACTTACCTCAGGCGGTGCTGCACAGAGCATGTAGAAGCAGTGATAGTTCCTCTCAGGGTCTGAAACTTGGCAAACACGAGACCGTTCAAGAAGATAAGTGCGGATGGCAGCTCCAGATATTTTCCCACGCTTGTCAAATTGGATCTCAACAAATTTTCCAAACCGACTGTCGGAAAACCCAGAGAATTGCAAACGAGTCAAAACAAAAGATACCAGCAGAAAAAGAATAATATGTCCACTGTAAGTGTTTCATTGACACCACCTTGAATTGTTGTTTTTCACAGTTTTGGCGTTTCCAAAAGCTTCCAACACTGGATTAGACTAAACATAGAAAAATTTTAAAATGGTGGAAGCTTGTTCGACGCAGATAAAAATCAGAGCAAGTAACTCACCTCTAAAACTTGTTGTTCAACGCTTCTCCCTTCGGTATCTGATCTGCCTCCCATGAATGCAAGATATCTCATGAGCATTTTGGTTGTCTCTGTTTTTCCAGCTCCGCTCTCTCCACTAACCAAAATGGACTGGCTTCTTGCTTCATTAATCATCGCCCTAGTATAATGGAAGCTTTTGGTAAGCTAACTTCTTTACAGTAACTGCTTAAAAGTCTACTCAGGGATTAACAACTTTTACCTGTAACTGGTATCTGCAACAGCAAACAGATGCGGGCTTAGCTCTCCAAACGCAGCTCCTTTATATTGCTCCATCATATGGACACTATACAAATGTGGAAGTCTTTGGAATGGATTCACCGCAATCAAGATGTTTCCGGTGTAAGTCTGCTCTATTCAAGAGTTTGCAATTAGATAATCACAACTTCGACTATCAAAAGTTTGACAAATGGATGTTTTAAATAACCGTCTTAAATTACTGACATATATCTCGTTTAATGCAAAACGGCAATCTAGATTGTGGAGGACCCCTGGCTCATGGAGGTAAGCCAGTTTAGTCATGTCGTCAACACCTGCAGGCGGCGCCTCTGTATCCTTTGGATAGATACTAGAAATACTAGCAACAACCTGTAACAATAGAATATATACTTAATTTTTCTAGAAAATCTGTGAATCTTACTGCAAAGGTTTATGGTAACAATATCAAAATCTTTTCCATTTTGAGTGGTTTTATATGTAATGAAAAGTAGTTTCTTACTGTTTTCCCATTTGCAGTGAATATTTTGGCATTGGTGCCTTTGATTTCAATCACTTCTCCACTAATCCATGCGAGTTCTAGATCCTCGACCCAGACATGTGACCCGAGTGTGATATTTACAGGAGTCCCCTAACATTATTTATCAAAGCAAGCTTTTCAATAGTCACATTAAGAAGAAAAGATAGGAAATATGCAACAGATGGTTAATGGGAAGGCTTACCATTACTCGAGCTCTTCCAAGCTCTTACACTCAGAATCAGCAGCAGTTGAAGAACAGAAAGATCAAAAGAAAAGGTAAGATAGAAAGAGAAGATTGAGCTCTTTAAGGGAAAGAGAGAGGGAGAGGAGGAATCATAAAAAGAAAAAGAAAAGGTGACTCTGAATCAGAAGATACAGCAGATTCTTAATTTAGAAAATGACTTTTCCCTCACCTCTTGTCTCCACTACGTCTCTTAACTTTTTTTTGCAGGTTTTAGAGCTTAAGATGCAGTAATGGCGGCAAATCAAATTCTTTCAGATATTCTCTCTTGGGTCATTTGCTTTGAAAAACCATGCTTGAGCATTCCATCGAAAACTGTTTGGTGTAAGGTCACACTTCTCATATTTTTCTCCTTTTCAAAGCTTTATGCTGGTTCCTTTTGAGTAGGAATGGGGTCCTCGTAAGTTAAACAAAATGTGAAATTGCTGCTTTTAGAACATTAAAGTTGTCTGCTTTACATTTTGATATTGAAACTGCACCAACTTTTCTCTTGATCGGCCATGGCCAGGTACTGTTTCGCTGTGAAAGTGAACTTCTTTCCTCTTTTTCGTTAAAAGCCAATTATGCCCTTTACGTTTGGTTTCATGTCTTGCTGCAGAGCCAAAGGCCTTTTGTGTGGTGCTTAAACTTGAAGTCATCACCTTAAAAGTGTAAACTTTGTCAAATCTTATAGAAAGTTACATACTTTTCAAAGTTTCATGTTTTTATTTATTTCATTTTGGGGTGTGTGAAGGTAATGGCCGGTGGAGAATCTCCGGTGGCGGTTGAGGCCGGTTTCCGAGACTGGACCATTTGGATCAACTTTTCCAGCTAGGTTTGGCTTTTCTTTTCTTTCTCTTTTTAATTTATGGTCGAAAGTTTTTATTACACTTGTTATAAGTATTCTTTGAATATTCAGAGCTGCATCATTATATGTCTAATTTTACTAATTTCTCGATCCAAGAACATCATGATTACATGTGCAAACCCTGTGTTTTTAGCCTTTTTCTTAAATGAAATAAAGTATCAACTAAGGGACATATTAACTCATCTACCAAAAAAACTGATATCATGTAGTTCTCTGTTATCTATTATTTTGATAACAAGCAAAACCGCATGTAATTAGATTTTATAAACCCGTTATAACAGACTAAACAAGAAACCAACCAAAATTGACTAATTTCATTTTCAAAAGAGAAACAAAGACAGCTAAATTACTAGTACTTTCCTATTTGACATCAAAACATAAAAATCTATAATTAGCAATGACAAAGAAGAATAGTAGAGAAAGAAAGAACAAAAAAAAACAGATTGTGTAGCTCTCACCTATTAATGCAATAAAACAAAACACATGATGAACACAAACAATTTGTCAAAGGGAAAAGGCCAAAACCTTGGGGGGATTTTTGAGAATCCCGTTTAACTCTATTAAGGAAAATTCCCCAATAAAATGGACGATCCCGTAGTTGGTGCAAGTCAGTCGCGGTTTGGGAGAGTCGTATGTTATAATCAAACAGAAATGAACATGTTCGGAAAACAGAAAGGATGGGAGCGCGGAAGCCCCCCTATAGCCTCACTTCCTTTCTTTGTGACACAACTGTTTGTCGCTAATCTTAGTTACCGCGTACTCTACTATTTTACTCGGCCTCTATATCTTCCTCCTTTCGTCGCTCAAATACTTGTGAGTAGTCAATCTTGAAAACAAATTTTACCAACCATTATCAATCTTGATTTGTTTTTTTTTTCATACTTATGTGTCACAACTATTGCAAACCTATGTTTCCTTTTTTTACTTTGTTAGCTATGTCCTAAGAGTCTTCATCTTCAAAGTCTTGATAAAATATGTTTAGGCAATCAACTTCATTGTTCTAATGAAAGATCAGTTTTTTTGTTTGTTTTTTTTTTCTTTTCGAAAACGGTGATTTTAAGATAAACCAAAATGATAAAATTCTAAGATTTGTTCACTTGGTTGCAACATACAAAAGTCAATTGTGGGATCTTTTTTTCAAATTAATCTCGTACGTAATTTATAATATGATTCTATAATAATTGTAATGATCATTCTGTTTACAGTGCGGATTACTGTTCAGCCCGAGTGTGCTCGGCCAAAACGACTGGGTCCTCAAAAACATTTTCCCTTATAGATACACAATGGTTCTCGAGACGTTCGCAAACTTAGCTCTCGTTTACAACATTTTCCTCCTCGGTCTCGGCATGGACTTGAGGATGATAAAGATCAAAGACACCAAACCAGTGATCATAGCCATTGTTGGCCTCCTTGTGGCTTTACTTTCCGGTACTGGCTTTTACTACCTTCCGGGTAACGGAGACTCCGACAAAATTCTAGCAGGTTGTGTTTACTGGTCGATCGCATTTGGCTGTACAAATTTCCCCGATCTTGCTAGGATTCTTGCGGATCTCAAGCTCTTGCGTTCGGATATGGGACATACCGCAATGTGTGCAGCCATTATTACTGATTTGTGCACTTGGATCCTCTTCATTTTGGGAATGGCGAGTTTTTCCAAAGCTGGTAACTAATATAGTTGTTCCCTTGTGTTATTTATTTTTCCTCTAGGACTCACACACGCATAGTTACGGAATTGTAGTACTAACAAAAACATTATTTAATTTAAGGTCTACGGAACGAAATGCTGCCATACTCATTAGTATCAACCACAGCTTTTATCATTCTCTGCTACTTTGTGATCCATCCTGGAGTGGCTTGGGCCTTCAACAACACCGTCAAAGGAGGTCAAGTAGGAGAAACTCACGTATGGTTCACTCTCGCCGGAGTCCTTATTTGTAGCTTAATCACCGAAGTATGTGGTGTTCACTCAATTACCGGAGCATTCTTGTTCGGTCTCTCGATCCCTCACGACCACATCATTCGAAAAATGATCGAAGAGAAGCTCCATGATTTCCTCTCCGGAATACTAATGCCTCTTTTCTACATCATTTGCGGTTTAAGAGCTGATATTGGTTACATGTCCAAGTTCGTGAGCGTTGGAATGATGGCGTTTGTGATTTCTGCGTCAATTATGGTGAAGATTTTGTCAACGATTTTTTGCTCCATCTTCTTGCGTATGCCTTTGCGTGATGGTTTCGCCATTGGTGCACTTATGAACACCAAGGGAACTATGGCATTAGTCATTCTTAATGCAGGAAGAGACTCCAAGGCATTGGACGTTATTATGTACACTCATATGACGTTGGCGTTTCTAGTGATGTCAATGGTGGTGCAGCCACTACTGACCTTTACTTACAAACCAAAGAAGAAGTTGATTTTCTATAAAAACCGAACCATTCAAAAACACAAAGGAGAGTCAGAGCTTTCTGTATTGACATGCGTCCATGTCCTCCCTAACGTCTCTGGCATAACCAATCTATTACAACTCTCTAACCCGACCAAGAAATATCCTCTTAACGTTTTTGCCATCCACCTGGTCGAGCTAACGGGTCGCACCACGGCTTCGTTGCTCATTATGAACGATGAGGCCAAACCAAAAGCTAACTTTGCTGACCGAGTTAGAGCGGAATCTGACCAGATCGCTGAGATGTTCACAGCTCTGGAAGTGAACAACGATGGGATTCTGGTTCAGACCATCACCGCCGTTTCACCTTACGCGACGATGCACGAAGATATTTGTTCGCTGGCCGAGGATAAACAAGCCAGCTTCATTTTATTGCCTTACCATAAGAATATGACGTCAGACGGTCGGTTAAATGAAGGAAACGCGGTGCATGCTGAAATCAACCAAAACGTTTTGAGCCACGCGCCTTGTTCGGTTGGGATTTTGGTTGACCGTGGCATGACGACTGTCCGGTTTGAATCTTTTTTGTTCCAAGGCGAAACCACAAAGAAAGAAATCGCAATGCTATTTGCTGGAGGTCGAGACGACCGGGAGGCTTTGGCTTACGCTTGGAGGATGGTGGGACAAGAAATGGTTCAACTCACGGTTGTGAGATTCGTCCCAAGCCGGGAAGCTCTAGTCTCGGCCAAAGCCGCGGTGGAGTACGAGAAGGATAAACATGCCGACGAAGAATGCATCTACGAGTTTAATTTCAAGACTATGAATGATTCGTCAGTGACTTATATAGAGAAAGTGGTTAACGATGGCCAAGATACGGTCACAGCGATTTTAGAATTGGAAGAGAACAATTCTTACGATCTTTATATTGTAGGAAGAGGCTATCAAGTAGAAACACCTGTGACCGCAGGATTGACAGATTGGAGTAGTACTCCGGATTTAGGGACTATAGGCGATACATTAATTTCATCAAACTTCACAATGCAAGCTTCGGTTCTTGTGGTCCAACAATACTCATCTGCTAACAGGCAAACCGCAGGTAACAACAATCAAGAACCTGTCCAAGGTGGAGCCAAGACCGCTCATGAGGCTAAGCCTTTTATGGAAGACGAGGATGATGAAGAAGAACATAAGTATGATATCAGAATGCGCAAATGACAAGTGTTTTTCTTATTCCATATTGTATACCTTTAGAGGAAATTTCAATCTTTCTTTTCAAATTGTAACTTCCCTAATGGCAGATTCAATATGCTCAAGTAGAAACCGTTGCAGCTTCTTTCTTATATCTTCGACTTTCTCGTTGGTTTCCATTCGGTTTAAGATGAGATCATCAAGCCAATGGTTTACGGCTTTAAGGTGGACGAGAAGAGACTCTTTTCCATTTGTTTCTTCCTTCTTCACCAAGAAAGACCCTTTGTTCACTGAATTCTCCAAATATTTCAAGAACCATTGGCTGGAAACGTGGACTAACTCGTCCGCTAGACTCACTGACTCATTCAGACTGCTTTTACCTTCGAAGCTACCTCGGTCTAAAACAGAACGATGTTTAGTTGCAGGCGGTTTTGCGCCTTTGTGAGATGGGGTTCTTGAACTTGTTGTCTCCTTGGGGTTCAGTTTCTCGGATGATTTCTGTATAACAATGTAGTGATGATCAGCAGCATCTTCTTTCTTTCCAGGCTCTTTGAATAAGTTGAACTGAGAAAAATTGGTCACTACGGCAGTTTGAACCCAAGATGCTGCATTTTTGTTTACTACTAATCTACGTGAGCCGTTGTTTCGATTTTGAGTAAGCAACCGATGGACAGCTTTGCATGTATTCTGTGTACTGTGGTAGATGTCTAAGAAACGGCTCACTACTTGTCCTGCAGATAATTTCTTAGTAGAATCACAGAGCTCGGCAAATTCCCTGAAGAAACATAATCATATATATGCTATTATTCGCAAACTCGTGTAATGAAACCAGTTAGGGATGAAATAGAAAGACATACTGCAAACTGAGTAGAACAGACTCCATGGCAGATGCTTCCTCCAGTGCGCTTACTGCTGCCGAAACTGCTACTTGCCTATGTGATGAAACTTCCTGAAAGGATAGGTTGATAACACATGAATACTAATTCTCAGAGTCGCTAAATTGATCCAAATACCGTACCTTTCCGAGCAATTGAATGGTTTTTGGGAGTCCACTCCATGAGATTCTTTGATCAGACCAAGTCATGTGACTAGAAGGCACCTTAAAAAGCGCAACAGGAGGAGCCACTGCCTTTGACAATAACTTGATACCATCTTTCGGAGAACTAGCTATAGATATAGGTGATGCAGGCTTCACCACATATCTGCCTCTTAAAGCAGGGGTTTCGCTGTTAAGGTGCTTTGGTATAGGTGACTTGATACCATCTTTTGGAGAATTGGCCATTGATATAGGTGATGCAGGCTTATCCACATTCCTGTTTCTTAAAGCAGGGGTGTTGCAGTTAAAGTTCTTTGATGGCAATTCATTCTTTAGCAGATTCTTATCACTCAAGACCTGCACAAACATCGAAAATCTGTGAAATCAATGACTCCAAGTGTATGAACTGTGAAACCAATATCAAATTGCTACACTATTTATAAGAAACAACTTTTAAGGTCATCCTGAAGCAGACCATTGTAGCAACTTAAAGAACAAGAAGAAACCCTACACCACTCAAAACACAGCTTCCACAATCCAAATGGATCAAACAGAGCGATTCACAGAACAACATTTAAGGTCTCCTAAAACTAGTATAGTAATATGGTTTGGTTTCTCACATGTATCAATCTCAGACCATTGGAGGCAACTTAAAGGACAAGAAACCTTAAAACCACTCAGACAGAGTGATTCACAAAAGAAGATCAAAATGTACCAATTTGGATTTAGGACGTGGTGAAGAAAGAAGCATTGCGGCGTCACGACGACGAGTCACCGGAGGAGTTTGATCCCAACAACTCCTTCTCGCGGAATCCAAACTCAATCTCCTTGTTTTAACAAGATTCTTCTTCTTCTTGGCCGTCGGCGAAACAGAGACCTGAGTAAAAGAATGCAGCAAATCGCTAGAAAAAAGATCGCTAGGGTTTCCAACACACATCCTCCGCTTAGGGACTGGTTTCAATCCACGGATTACAGGAACAGGACATCCTTTCTCAACGTGTAAACCACCGCATATGTAAACAAACTGCCCTAGCTGAATTTCATCGGAACGTATCAGATCAGCGTCATCTCCGGCGGAAACGGCGACGTAAGCGGCGTGGAGAGAGTCAGAGACTTTGACGAAGAATGCTTCGCTACGCCATTGGTCGTCAGAGAGACAAGGAACGATTTCTATGACTTGGAGGAGTGGTGACCGGTGTGAGGACAATAATGGCGGCGAAGAAAGTGAGTTTCCGGCGGCGATATTGAGAAGGTTGGAGAGAACTCCAGGAGTGAGGCAAGCCATGGTGGGAAAAGAAGCTGAAGCTGAAGCATCTTTTGGGGGAAGGAAGAAGAAGAGTGGGAATCTCAAAGAGCGAAAGAGAGAGAGAGATGTGTCTCGGGGAATGTGGAGAGTTCGTCGTTTACTGTGTCGGGAAAAGTAAACAGTTTTGTCTCTCTGTCTTCGAGATTTGGTAAGCAGCGTAAAAGCTTTTGTTGGTTGCAGGTGTAAAGCACGAGCCTTTTTGTTTGCTTCTTTTGTATATTCCTTATAGTCCAATTGTGGATTTGCAAGTGAAGACTTTTTTTTTTTGCGGCTATCAACTCTCTATACAATATTTGCAATGAAACAACTCCTCTTTAGACAGGTATTTATTTTGTAGTTAAAGAGAGAGAGACTTAATGCAAGGTTTTTAAAACTGGGCCGATTAAGAATTGTTCTTTTTATCGAAGTTGGGCTGAGTTCAAAGCCGGATTTTAGTTAAATTGCTTCAATCGATCTAAACCAAATCTTACAACCGTGTAAAACCAGGCTCGGCTCAAACATTAGTTAGACCTGGATTCGGCGAGGAAAAGTTGTTGGGATCAAACTCTTCCGGTGAGATCCAAACCAGGCCCGGCTCAAACATCGTAATTGTTTGCGTTGGTGAAAACCATGATTCTTAAAACTTTTTTTTTGTCATCTGCTACATCATCATTAGCAATATTTGATTTATGTATACTACGTGCAACATATTATAGAATTACGATGAAGACTTTTTATCATCATAAAGTCTATCTAATCCTACATCATAAAGCCAATTACACTCATTTAAGCGTGGAGGATTATACCCAAATTACTCGAAGAGAAAAAAAAAAAAAAAAAAAAAAAAAAAAAAAAAAAAAAAAAGTGTAAGAGTATTTTCATGCAAGGCCTCTTTGATGATAAAATCTTGTCAAATTTGTGGGAAGATGCTTGGAATAGAAAACTTAAGTGAAGTGTCCAATCATTTACTTACTTGTGTTTGTGTTGACACTCCAACTCGTCCATTAGGTCACACTCCAACCAACCTTCCAAAATTTTGGATTCTTGCTTTGTTTGTACCTTTGTTATCGGTATCTCTTTTCAACCACTCTTTTTGCCACTTTTTTTTATACCAAAAAAAGTACACGACAAGAAGTTTCGGGGCTTAACATTTCCCTAGATTGGCGACTGAGATGGGTTTGTATCAAATTTAGGATCCTATTTCTTCTCTGCTCGAGCTAGAAATGTAATAGACACAATCTAAAAAATGTTAGTTTCTACTGAATGAACTATATTGAATTTTCAACACTATTCTCATAATTTCGTTTTTAGTTTACGTATGGATTATCAATCAAAGCCTACAAATTTGGTCCGGTGTGATTTCATTTTGTTATATGTTAGAATTAAACAAACAAAAACTAACCCAAAATATGAAGATAAATTAAGATTAGTTACAAAACAAATATATGAGTCACAATTGTAATCATTTCTTTATTTATATTTAAAGTAACTAATAGTCCAAACACTCACAGTCACCGCCCTCTTACGTTATCAATCAAAAGTGAAAATGGACCTATATCTACTCCTTAGCCGTCTATATAGTTGTCTCCTCTGAAAAAAAAAGAAGAAGAGTAGATTCTCTTTTGTATGATTAACCATGGGAAGTGAAGTAATAAACCCAACCAAGCCACGGTTTGATCTAAGCATGTCAAAAAGAACTCGAAAACCATGGTCTAGTCTCATCAACGATACGCATCACCATGGCATATCCACGCAAAGCTCACAACCGAAACCAGAAAAAGAACAAGAGCAAATCGAAGACAAAGAGATTGATCGTAAGAGTTTGAACAATCTGATGAGATACGAGGAGAAACCAAATGGAGAAGCTAATGTTAACAACAAGAGCTCTCTAGATCAACATTTCGGGGATGACGAGGGGATCAAGCAGACGATGCAATTGGTGGTGAAGAAAGAGAAGCAAGGTGGTGTGAAATTCAAAGGTATGATGGGTCGATATGTTAAGGTTTGGAGCGGTTTGATAAAGGCCAAACGTGACCGCAAAACACCTGTCTTACGGTTTAAAACGTGATTACGATTGTATATATATACAAACGTTTCATGTATATGATCACATATACATGTATTATAAATTTATACGATTAGTTAGTAGATATGTTTTGAGTACGTACGTATTATTGATGTGCAAGTATGTTGTTGGCATATTGTTTATCGAAGATATATTTCTGTTTTTCTTTTCAATACATGTACTATACAATTTCTTTCTAATTTAATCAACATTGCTTAGGATCAATCCAAATTACATAATATATATACATAAGCGTGGCGATCTTAGCCAAATTAGTGATGCTTCATTTCCTAAGAAGATAACATATATATAATAATATCAAAATAAATTTAAAATATCATGTAATAAAATACTCTAAGATAACTTAAGCGTGGCGATCTTATAGCTATATAACCTCTCAAATTAGTGATCTAACATCCTAGTTCATCCATATGATTTTTAACCTCTACTGATAAAACGCATAAATAACTTAAGATGTCACGTGAACACTTACTTATACATGTAATTAAAGGCATTCGTTGGTCCTAACTTGTTAAGTATAATGTCACCCGGAGAAACATAGAATCAAATTCGAGTTCTCTATCGTTAAATTCAGTTAGTTTGTCTGAACTAAAAAGAATATATGGGTGTTGTTTTAATTAAAAAGAATAAAAATTATAGTTAACGAAATGTACCAAACTATTCTGAATTTCAACACTTAATACTTAACATCATGAAACTATATTTCACGTCATTGTTTGTTCATTGTTGTGCTTACAATAACTATATCCTAAAATCTTTATAGCTGAAATTTTTCCTGCTCTTTGTTTCAGCAAAATATTTTCCGGCTTATTCGAGTTTCATTGTGGTACGCATAAAAGTAGCTAGTTTCATTATCATATATCGAGAGCAATATAGTCTTGGTTGAAGAATAAATAAATGAGAAAGTATGAGATCACCTCAGATGCAAGGAAAGGGTCGGTAGTACGTGGCAGATTATCATTGGGTGTCTTTTTACCAATAAAATTGGAGATGCATATGGCCTCACCGACCCTGTTAAGTAAACCTTGTGGCACCGTCGAAAAGCAAGAATCTTTTACTAAAGTGTCAAGTCAGCACTTTTTCATTTACTTTATTTCGGCTACCAAACATTATACTACACAAATAATACGCAAAGTACGTAATATTTATTTTGCTTAAAACCTGATTTCTGCAATTATAACTAGGACTTATTTAACAAATGTTTGATAAATTTTAAGCTTATTCCAGTTCAATTTGAATCCAGTTATGATTAAATACTTAAATATGAAACTATGCTACAAAATACCAAAATTTGTTGCTCATTCATATCGATAAACATATGTTTTAAATTTTAATGTTTAGAAAATAAATTTAGATCTCGTTGTTAGTTTGATTTGGTTATGTCGGATAGTTCATTTGACACTAGGTTAATCCAGATTAATAAAACTCTCTGTAAACTTAGATAATATATTATATAGTCTAATGTATATATAAAATAAATTTGTATTATATATACAAACGTATTTAATTACATTCTTGTAGAATCCAAAGCAAACATTAATTATTTCATTTCCCTATATAAAACCAACCTCATCGTCAACTTCTTCATCAAAACTCAAACATCAAGAAGTCTCTCTACAAAAAAAATTCTCATATCTAAAGAAAACTCTCAATAGAAAACAAATAAACAACAATCAAGAATATAAATGGGAAGAGATCAAGAAGGAAGCCCTCCAGTTCCCTTACATCTCTGCGTCTTCGTCCTGATCCTATTAATGTTCGTAACGATCTCATGGTACGCGAGCTACGAACCAGTCATAGAAGGTTTTACGGATCAGTTCAAGCTTGCTCTCATGGCTTCTCCTCTGCTTTTGCTCTTGGCCGTCCATTTTCTATCGGACGATAGAGGAGTAGGAGGGATGATGACGTCTTTGATCCATCTGAACGAAAGAGAGTCTTTGTATAGAGCTGGAGGAACACCATGGGGAGTCGCCTTCATGCTTGTCTTTCTCTTCTTCATGGTTTCTTATCAATCACAGTTTCAAGAACGTTGGTTTCCTCTTCGATGAGAACGACATCGTTTTTGGTTCTTTTACTATTCTTGACTTTCTCTTTGGGTTTAGTATAATGAATTCATGATGTATGTTGATTGATTTTTTTTTTTTGGTTTCATTCACCAATCATACCATTTGATGTAATCTTTAATCTCTTTTCTCGTGGTATAGAATAGTTTATCATATATTATGACGAGAGCTAAAGATTACTATGTTATGTTTTTTTTGGTATATGCACCAAATAACCAGTGTTAAAAAGAAGTGTAAACAGACGGTAATCCTTTGTATAACACCTAAAACGTCTAATCAAAATTTCAACGACTTTAAACCGTATAAACTGTTTTAAAATAAAATAAGATATATTTATATTTATTTAGAATAATACTTTGTTCACGCCTAAGACTAATTAACCGGTCAATATTATTCTGATGAAAGATTTAATCACCCCACCCCAACTAGTATCGAACCCGAGACCAAGGTACTAGTCCATAACTCAGTTGGTGTTTAAGCATATTGATATTTTTCTCGGTACATACTTAAAATATTGAATTTTCATGTTATGTTCTAGCAACAATATTTTTCTGTAGAAAATATGTATGACACTATGACGTATCCTTTCATTTAGGTCTAACGATATATGTCCGTTACTTCCACGTCTCTGCCTCTGGTCAAAAACGCAAGGCGCTCTCTTTCTCTATAAATTCTATTAACCTTTTGCATGAACCTTAAAATCTTCAATCCCAAATTCATCTTCATATTTTGACACATCCCCAAGAAAGAAAAAGACATTTTCTTTACCACGACCTATTACTTTTTGTCTGATCAAAACTCTCGTAATCGAGTATTTTTTAATCTATTACAACAAATGGAAGGAGGCTTAGGAACGATGTTGATGAAGGTGGCCTTAATTGCTCTGGTACAAGGTTTGGTGTATCTCATCCTCTCGAAATCGTCGAGGGTTTTCTCTAGATCGAATTCGCTGAAAAGGGCTTACAGTTTCCGGCCGATGAGGTCCCTCAGCATCCGCCGGATTCTGGCGACACTTCAGGATATTCCTGCCGGCGACGATACGTCTCCTTCATCTAACGGCTCTTCTTCTTCTTCTTTTACTTCTCCTTCTTCGAAAGATGAGGCGGCAACAACTACATCACCATCATAGGGATAGATATATACACAAACGGCATTATTTGATATTTTTTTTAATATATTTTAGATTGTTACATTAAATTGATGTAAGATTGATTATCTCTATGTAGATATAACTTTATAGTTGGTTTAGATGTTGAATAGTAGTACGGACCGGATGTACTGTTCAAAAAGATTTATTATAAGTTTTGATTAGTAATTTTTTTATTAAACTAAAATAATTATCGATTGATGTTTTATTTGATGTATGTTCTATATATATAAGTTTTACATGGAAAAAAATCTTGTTATACATTGGAATTGAGAAGTTTTAAATAAAAGATGTTACTTGTAAATATGATTAATATTGAAACATACTTTATTTATGTTATAAAATTTTCAATATATTAAAATTTTGAAATTTCTATTTCAGAAGAAATAGAGAATGTTGACAGAAAAAAAAAAAGAATAAGAGTAAATTTGTTAAATGTAATTTGTAAGACAAAAAATAGAAATGTGATGTGGAATAATTTTTCTGTAAGAAAATTATTAAATGGTATCTATCCCTTTTACTAGATCAAGATATATATATATATATATATATAAAGAACATAATCTCATATATATATGAATTGGTGTTAAATATATAATATCAGATTTTATTGGTGTAAAGAAAATTCAGATTTGATTACACATGTTTTTGTTGTTCTCATCTTCACATTCATAAATAATGTATGTTGATATTTTACCAAAGCTTCATACTTCTGTTTACTATAAAATGCAAACCTCTTCACATTATTTCTTACAAGTTAATTCCAATACCAAGAGCTCTATTTGTTCTCTCTTAATTCTTTCGCTTAATTAATCATCAGAAAAAAATATGAAGAGCTCTATGCAGTTAATCTCTACACTCTTCTTCCTAGTCATACTTGTTGTCGCACCAGGTATATTGAGAAGCAAAATCATATAATTTTTATATCATAAAAGTCGTTAATCGTTATTTATGACAAACTTATTGATAAATTTTGATAGTTATAAACTTGAATTCTTGTTGGATAAAAAATCTATGATCTTATAGGTATGAAGATGGTTGTTGAAGGACAACCACAATTGTGCGAAACGAAAAGCTTAAACTATAGGGGGTTGTGCATGAAATGGAGGAATTGCAAGCGAGTATGTATTAGCGAAGGTTTCCCTGATGGTCGATGCAAAGGATTCTTCAACAACAAATGTGTTTGCAGGAAGCCTTGTGCTCTTTCTACCTAAAACTATACAATATTATTATGATAAGACATTAATAAGATATCTACTTTTATGTAAGTTAATAAAAGAGCAGAGTACAAAGTCATGTATCTCAAAACTCTATTATACAATAATATATGGATTATACATTTATACTTAGCTTTGAATAAATATCGTAAGTGAATTTGTTGTTGTTATCAGATTTAAGATATAAAAATTCTTAATACATAAATAAGTGTTTTTAGCTTATATTTGATTTTTTTTTTGCCATAAACAAGAAAAGTAATAGGACTGAAAATGTTCATGTGGATATTCTGAGTTCCTGTACAGTAGTGTCTGTTACGTATACAGTGAAGAAACATTTTGAGAAACTATTCAGTCTTCTTGTTTGCAAAAACTTTGTCACAAAGTTGGGAGCAGCGGATAGATTCTTACAAGCTATAAAACTCAAATGTTCCTTGTAGTGAATTCTCCAGGAACTTCACCAACCTGTAAAGAGAAATATAACGCGATGGGTCACGTAAAACACTAAACGGACCAATGCCGATATCAAGTGTCAAAACCCTTGAATCGAAACAAAGATTAAAAGACTACTGTATACAATTTCTCCGAGAAAGCGAAGTATTCTAATTTTTATGAGTTACATAACAAATCAGATATTTTGTTGGTCTAATGCTTATCTGCTTGCTAGTTATGTTTAAACATTAACTGATTGCAGGTTCTCGTTAATTATAAACAATGGCTTAAAGAACTTACGTTCAGCGGAGCTTAGCCACCGATGTGTATCATTGGTCTATTAGCTGTTTTGGCAATGTCAAGCATTCCAGCGTGTGCGGCTTTCTTCCTCTTCACCTGAAACCCATTGTGAATTTTACTAAGTCTCAAACACAAACGAAAACAGAGGAGATATATCGTTGGTAAAATCAGAAGAAGCAACTAAATACATACAGCAGCGCCTATAATTTCCCTTAGCGCCTCGTCATCAGCACCAGACCGGAGAGGATCTCTGAGACTAACCTGTTCACAAGAAAATTATCGCACGAAACAAAATGATCGTCACTTTTAACATTATTGATAAGCAATCACGAATCCTCAAGTTTACCAATAATCAAGTTATTGCACACTTGTAGATATTCTCAGCCACTTGAATCAAATAATACTGACTTTCAGCCACGAATTTTTTTGAAAATTTCATTTACCTCAGAAGGACCGAACAAGCAAACTTTGAAGTTCCCATCTGCAAGAAGTCTCAATCTATTGCAGCCAGAACAGAAGTGTTCTGTCATGGATGTGATGAAAGAAACAGAACCGCAATGCCCATCGATCGTAAAGTTCTTAGCTGTTTCAGTCGGGTGATCTTGCATACGTTTTATACTCGGAAAGCGCTTGACCTGTTACCATAACAACTGAAACCAATCATGAAAATGCTCAAGGAAAGGTTGACTAATCTCAAAAGGGCCAGACACTGAGAGAATTCTACCTTACCACTTTATCCATCACTTCTGCATAAGGCACAAGTTTCTTCACGTTCCAAACATTTCCATCAAATGGCATAAACTCGATGAACCGAACATTGATTGGCTTCTCGCGTGTCAACTCCACAAAATCACAAATCTCATCATCATTCAATCCCCTCATGACAACACAATTGACCTGTCAAGACCACGGAAAATATGCAAAAACCATCGAGCATCAAATATCATTCTGCTGCAATCAAACAGAAAACATAAGGAGGGATTAATTACAAACATACTTTCACAGGATTGTATCCAAGCTCAATAGCAGTATCAATTGATTTCATAACCCTATCGTGCCCTTTACGCCTAGTCAGAAACTCAAACTTTGCTGGGACCAAAGTATCCAAGCTGATATTTAGCGAATCAAGCCCGCATTCTTTAAGCTTAGGTAGCTTTTTCGCAAGAGTGATACCGTTGGTAGTAATAGCCAAATTCTTCAACCCTTTTAAACTAGACAACTGCAGACAAATCTCTTCGATATCTTTCCTAACGGTAGGTTCACCACCGGTCAACCGAATCTTATTAACCCCAGCAGAAACAAAAAGACCAGCCAACCTAACAATCTCAGACTGTGACAACAACTGAGGCTTAGGAGTAAGTTCCACACCTTCAGAAGGCATACAATACTGACACCGGAGATTACACCGCTCTGTCAAAGATATCCTCAAGTAGGTATGTAACCGACCAAATGAATCAATCAACATGTCAGAGACAGGATTGTCTTTGATTTGATCAACTTGATGAGCTGCATAACTAGTGCTAAATGAACGCTCACTAGTAGTAGCAATAGTTCTTGTCACTGATCCTGACCCAACTTCAGAACCAACCTGTTAACCAATCCCAAAATGGGAAGAGACAACAATTAAGCATTGATTCTCTATCAAACCACATCGCACACAAAATGAATTCATTCAGCTCATAAATCCTTAACCTTTACCCTATATAAGCAAATACTAGTAGCTTCAGAAACAAAGCAATTCCAAAAAAGCAACAAACTTGAGTGGAGAAATCGAAACCCATTGTAGCAGAAGAGAGAAATAGTAAAGTTGGAAACTTTACCAAGAAGAAGTTGAAATTCTTGAGACCCAAGTGGCGGCAATCAGCAATTTTGGAAAAGCACCTCCTCATCGTTAACAACACTGTAGAGAAGATCGAATGAGAATTTCTGAGAAAGGAGGAAGATAAAAATCTAATCAAGTGAGAGAAAGAGATGACCTTTGGTAAACGGAGAGAGTCTTTGTTCAAAATAAACAACTAAAGAAGGCTAAAGTTTGACAAAGTGAAGACGGCACTTATTCAGTAAAGACTAAAGAGAGAGGAGAGTTTGGCTAAAAGCCTAAGCACAAAACATGGAACTCTTTCGTCTTTTCTGAATATATCTGTCAGTCTCGCCGGTTACCGGTTACCAGCAATCAAACCGACCTTAATTGGTAAATTTTACTGGTCCGAGTATGGATGTGAAATTCAGATTGCATCTGGATCGGATATGTTTTTAGTAACTGTGATTACATATACCACCTAGCGTTACTACTACATTATTAAAATAAATTTTTAAAATCTGCTAATGATGTAACAAACATACATGTGAATCCAACATAAAAAATATTTTGATTTTTGGTTTTCTCCACTGACAAGTAACAAATGTCACAGTAAGTTGATTTCTCCTTACATTTGTTCTAAATTTTTGTTTCTCTTCTCTGTATATTGTAATATTGATATCATGTTAAACTTATAGAAGTTGATAATAATAATTAATTAAAGAAATCCTTTAAAGAAAAAAAATTATTAGCATTTATTTCTTTAACTAGTACAGTAGTACTATATAAAGAACACAATATTCTCGTATATGTATATTTGCAGATATTTTTCTTAAAAGATCAGATTCTATTCCACATGTTCTTATTATTCTTTCTTATCGTATTCATACGTTGATATACCAAAAAAGCTCTCTCTATACACGATGACAAAAAAAAAAAGGCTTTGTGCACATGTGACATGTTTACTACTACAAAATGCGATATTCTCACTCTAATTTTCACTAGTTAATTTCAAAAGCAACAATTCTCCCTAAGTATTTATCTCGCTTAACTTTTTACTAACAAAAAAAAAACATGAAGAGCTCTACCTCAATGCAGTTAATCCCACAACACTTACTTCTCTTCTTAATCATACTTCTTGCCGCACCAGGTATGCAGATCTAGTTTATCACAAACTCACAATATTAAGAAGTTAATCGAAATTTTGGTTACAAACTTACAACTATTTTTCAAAAATATATATATGATATATTAGGCAATGGATAATAGATGTCATAAAAAAATTGGCTGTAACGACAAAATATTTTCATCATTATTGATTATATTCGTGATTATAATAATTTTTTTAATTAATAATGATAAATTGATAATATATTAAATTACAGATATAGAGATGGTTGAAGGACAACAAATGTGTGAAGCAAAGAGCATGAACTGGAAGGGTATGTGTACGAAGTGGAGGAACTGTCGCCAAGTATGCATTAGCCAAGGTTTCACTGACGGTCGTTGCAAAGGTTTCACCCGCAAATGCATTTGTAACAAACCTTGTTTTGTCCCTTCTAATTAAAGTTTTTGTTTCTCCTTATTTTGATATTAAATTTTTAAATAATAACACAATTCATTAATTACTTGATTAAAAAGATTATGGTTTTCTGATTATGTAAGTTGATAAAAAAAAACATTTGACATTTTTTCGATTTTATATTATTAAACTAAATTATATATGTTGGTGAAAAAACATTTGATCCTTTGTGAAAAAAAAAAAAAACATTTGATCGTTAAATCAGAAATAGACATTAGGAGAAGGACCTCGCATCTTATAAAGAAAATTAAAGCATAAGAACATTGGAATAAGGGAGGTTGTATTAATGTCGTGGACATTCCTGATTGAGAAGACTCACCAACACATAATTAATTTACTAACAAAGACATTGGCGCCTGTCTTGTTCCCGTTGCTTTTCCCCATCTTTATCTCCAATTCTCTCTCTCTCTCTCTCTTGTTCTACTACTACTTTGGGGAAGATGATAGCTTCTTCTTCTTCCTCCATCGCTTGTTCTTGATTCTACTTGAAGCTGTTTTAGATTTTGGTCCTCCGCTTCTCTTTTCAGGTGATTGGTCATTAATCTCTGGGTTTTTGATTTTGCAAACTTATGGGTTTTGCTTTTCCTTTTTTTATATGCCTCAGTAATCCGAATCTGATTCAAAGTTTATAACTTTAACTTGGGTTTTTCTTATTGAACTCTTATGAGTGAGACATAGATTCGTCTTCTAGGTCTGTATCGAAGTTAATTAAAAATAGTATCAATTACCGAGTTTTTTTATATAATCTGGTTGATTTTCCATCGAAGGTTGTCGATACTTCCAAAGCTGAAGCCTTTGTTACTTCTAGAATAAGGATTGTCTTGTGTCTCGCTATAGATTATCGAAGATAGTTGTGGTTCTGGGTAATTAGGTTTCGTGATAAAGGTTTGTGCTTTACACATCTTCTCTTACTTTTTGAGTATGGCCTAACTAAAAAAAGTAACTTTTAGCATTTCTTTTCGATTTTATAGGAGTGAATCTCATCTTACTTCGGAGTGAAACAAATCATGTGTTTTTTTTCCCTCGGATTGTGATTTGATTGCAATCTAATTCAAGAGCTTATGATTTGCTCTTTTTCAGTTCATATATAGTTTTCAAAGTTTGTTGTTAATGGTGGTGTAAAAGCTCTTTTATTTGCTTCTTTGTTTAGTTTATTTTTAGTAGGATTTAGAAGATCATGGCTCAAAGGAGAGGACCTGATCCGCCTCCGCCCCAGAGGCGGATTCTGCGGACTCAAACTGCTGGTAATCTCGGAGAGGCTATGTTAGACAGTGAAGTGGTGCCATCGTCTCTTGTGGAGATTGCTCCTATCCTTCGTGTAGCTAATGAAGTAGAAGCTAGTAACCCGCGTGTTGCTTACTTATGTGAGTTAAATGAAAAAATTTGCCTGATGATGTGATTTGGTCATCTTAAATGATCTTGACAAAAATCGTCATGGATGCTTCTATCAGGTCGGTTTTATGCGTTTGAGAAGGCACACAGGCTTGATCCCACATCAAGTGGACGTGGTGTTCGCCAGTTTAAGACTGCGCTTCTTCAACGGTTAGAACGGGTGAATATCATTACTTCATTTACTCTGCTTGAGTTTTCATCTTCACGCCGTTGTCTTGCCAAGGTATTATGTATCATTTTGCTTTTTGTCTTTAACTTCTGCAGGAGAATGAAACAACTCTTGCAGGAAGGCAGAAGAGTGATGCACGCGAAATGCAAAGTTTCTATCAACACTACTACAAGAAATACATCCAAGCTTTGCTAAACGCCGCTGACAAAGCTGACCGGTTTGTTGAGATCCGTGTCTTATCTCTATAGCAATCTATCTTTCTGTGTTTCTCATTTATAATACAAATTTATTTTACTTGTAGTGCTCAACTTACAAAGGCATATCAAACTGCTGCTGTTCTCTTTGAAGTCTTGAAAGCTGTTAATCAGACAGAAGATGTGGAAGTCGCTGATGAGGTGAAGCTGATTGTAGATTATATCTTGTAGTATTTAAGTCTCTTACTTCTGATCTTATCCCATGCTTTCGTGAACCTTTTGATATTCTCATGAACCGGGTTACTGAATTATTGGCTCACTAGGTTCTGTTCATCCTTTTTCTTGCTGGTAGATTTTGGAGGCGCACACAAAGGTGGAAGAAAAAAGCCAAATCTACGTTCCTTACAACATTCTTCCCCTTGATCCTGATAGTCAAAATCAGGCTATAATGAGATTTCCTGAGGTTAACCAAACATTCCATTTACTGTTTCAATTCTATGTTTACTTGTCTTTTGAGACGGAAAATAAATATTTGCATACTGTTCCGCAGATACAAGCTACAGTAATCGCCCTTCGTAACACTAGGGGTTTACCATGGCCAGCTGGTCACAAGAAGAAACTCGATGAAGACATGCTAGACTGGCTTCAAACTATGTTTGGTTTTCAGGTGATGCTAGCGAATATCCTGTTTTCATTTACTTGATTGAGAAATTCTCCATGTGCTGATTGTGACCCAATCCTTTTAAATGGCAGAAAGATAATGTTTCAAATCAAAGAGAGCACTTGATTTTGTTACTTGCTAATGTCCACATTCGACAGTTTCCAAGACCTGAACAACAACCAAGGGTATGTATTATTTTTAACTTAGATATAATGTTTTCTTGCTCTTCTAGTCCTCTGTATCTGCACTAACAGCCTAAATTACAATTTCTGCCTTAGCTGGATGATCGCGCATTGACTATAGTGATGAAGAAACTTTTCAAAAACTACAAAAAGTGGTGCAAGTATTTGGGTCGTAAGAGCAGCCTTTGGTGAGGCATCTCCTTGTAACACCTCATTTTGAGACTTTATTTGTTCTTTTTTAGGAATATAGAAAGTACATACGTTGGATATTATACGCCTTGTGCTTAGTTATCTCTCTTTTTTTCCGCTTTTAGGTTGCCGACGATTCAACAAGAGGTTCAGCAGCGGAAACTGCTCTACATGGGACTCTATCTTTTAATATGGGGAGAAGCTGCAAACCTGAGATTTTTGCCAGAATGCCTTTGCTATATATATCACCATGTATGTGAAAAAATCAGTCTTCCCTATCTATCTTAAGTAACTATGTGGTGTGTCCTTCTCTAAAATATCAGTTCAATTTAGAGAAGGGCACTGTGTGATCAAATAGTGATCTTGGCTAATACCTACTAATCGACTAGTAAAATTTGAAGAACTCCAAACATTTTATATAGTGATGAGGCAATAAACTTGTGCAAGGACTTAGTAATGCTTATTTCTATTTAGAGTAGGAGTATTTTGCTACTTGTGTCTAACTCCGAGTTTAATTTGATTTTCTGAATTTGTTCAGATGGCTTTTGAGTTATATGGGATGTTGGCTGGGAGTGTTAGTCCAATGACAGGGGAGCATATAAAACCGGCATATGGTGGTGAAGAAGAAGCTTTCCTGCAAAAAGTAGTAACTCCTATATACAAGACAATAGCAAAGGTTGGTTGCTTCAGTTTTTCAGTCTTGATCATTTTGTCTTCTTTAGCTTTCCTCCCATCCAATTCCTTATTTTTTTTTTATCTTCGTATTGGTGTACAATAGGAAGCAAAGAGAAGTAGAGGAGGAAAATCGAAGCATTCCGAGTGGAGAAACTATGACGATTTGAATGAATACTTTTGGTACAATGTAGTTGATCATCTTGTAACATACTGGAAATACACGTCTTTTACATTTCTTCATGATGGATCTCCATGTCTTTTAACTTGTAGGTCTGTTCGGTGCTTTCGGTTAGGGTGGCCTATGCGAGCTGATGCTGATTTCTTTTGTCAGACAGCTGAAGAACTTCGACTTGACAGAAGTGAGGTATGTGTAGAAGAAACTAATTGATGGTCGTTTGTTTACAAAACTGTTTGCAACATCATGTCTTATGGAACATAAATTTGTTAAGTAAGTGTTTAATATCAAACTAAAGTTCGATCAACCAGCTTAAACTGTTCATAATGTCTGTTAGAGGAACATACAACTTTTTGAACTTCAAATTGTAATTTAACAAGTCATGAGAAACGTTAGATAGAAGTGTTCCATTTACGTTCCTGAAGTTTTGTGTATCTAGAATTTCATGGTTGATGTTCACAATGCTGCAGAATAAACCAAAAACTGGAGATCGATGGATGGGCAAAGTCAATTTTGTTGAGATACGTTCCTTCTGGCATATATTTAGAAGTTTTGATAGAATGTGGAGTTTCTATATCCTATGTTTGCAGGTATGGCTAGTTTTTATTAAATTTAATTTCCAAACTTGTATTTTCTTGACCTGTCATGTAATTTGATGTATTTATTATATCTTTTTAAGGCAATGATTATAATTGCTTGGAATGGATCTGGGGATTTGAGCGGCATCTTTCAAGGTGATGTCTTCCTAAAGGTTTTGAGCATCTTCATTACGGCAGCTATATTAAAGCTTGCACAAGGTGATGATTCGTCAACTTACATGCAGTTATTTTTTTTTTTCATCTCATTCATAGCTATGTACCTTATACATCTATTTCTTGCTTTGCTCTTTGCATTGATTATTTTTAAACCACTTTAATATTTCTGTAAGAAAGTTTCGTGTCCCAATCATAAAAGTCCTAAAACCCGCCCTATGCAGAGATGGGACACACTTTCCACATGTTGTCTTCTCTCCATAACATGTAGGGTTTTTATGAAGAGTTGATGTGAAATGAGTAGGAATAACTGTTGTACACTTCTCTTTAATTTCACAATTTATGATGTTTGCCTGCAGTCTTATTTGTCACGAAGAATTATTTGTTGTGTGGTTTCTTCCAGTTATGTTTTCATGTTGTAAGTGAAGGGAAATATTTCTTACCGTTCTCTGAATGTTTGCAACTTTCAGCTGTCCTTGATATAGCTCTAAGCTGGAAATCAAGACATAGTATGTCATTCCATGTGAAGCTCAGATTTATCTTCAAGGCAGTTGCAGCTGCAACATGGGTGATTCTCATGCCACTAACTTACGCATACAGCTGGAGGACCCCTTCTGGTTTTGCGCAGACCATAAAGAACTGGTTTGGGGGACACCAAAATTCCTCACCTTCCTTTTTCATTATGGTCATTCTTATCTACTTGTCCCCAAATATGCTCTCTACGCTGCTCTTCGCGTTCCCATTCATCCGACGTTATCTTGAAAGGTCTGACTTTAAAATAGTGATGCTGATGATGTGGTGGTCTCAGGTATTTTATACATATATCCTATCTTGATAAATCGCCAGTCCATGAATGCTAATTAAGAAGGTGGCTAATCTTTATTTTTGGTGTTACAGCCGAGGCTCTATATAGGGAGGGGTATGCATGAGAGTGCATTGTCACTTTTCAAGTAAGAGTGTAAAACTTGCATGCTATGGCTGTTGAAATTTTGTTTGTTCTTACCACACTGCTTAACAAGGTTTTGTGGATGATATCTAGGTACACGATGTTCTGGGTTGTACTTCTAGTATCAAAGCTTGCATTCAGTTTTTATGCAGAGGTACCGCAATTTCACATATATTCAATGTGTCGTTTTGTAGTATAATTCGAGAAATATGTAAGGAGCATTTAAAAGCTAAAGGCATTCTTCACTAACAACCACTGAGAAATTCTAGTGACATTGTTAAATATACATGTTTCTCATACTTTCCATCTTCAAAGCAGATTAAGCCTCTTGTTAAACCAACCAAAGACATTATGCGAGTTCATATATCAGTCTACCGCTGGCACGAGTTTTTCCCTCACGGTAATGCTTAATAGCATGTAGGTATTATCTCTTTATATAATGAGTTTTTACTGAATAATCTAGTTGGTTTTGCTTTTTTGCTTTTTGTTTCTTGTTTTCAGCCAAGAGTAATATGGGTGTGGTGATCGCTCTCTGGTCACCTGTTATTCTTGTGAGTCGGCACATGTTTCGTTGCCGTATGCTTCCTTTTTATGCTCTCCCTTATCTATGCTAACTTACATATGCAGGTTTATTTCATGGACACTCAAATATGGTATGCTATAGTTTCAACTCTGGTGGGAGGTTTAAATGGAGCTTTTCGACGTCTTGGAGAGGTTCATACTTGCTTTCCTTACAAACTTAGTTTGTTCATGATCAAGAGGCATACCCTCACTTCTTCACTTTCCCGGCAAGATAATGTCTGAAAAGAAGTTTATTTCATTTGCAGATCCGAACACTAGGAATGTTGAGGTCTAGATTTCAGTCCTTACCAGGGGCCTTTAATGCTTGCTTGGTTCCGAGTGAGAAGACCGAACCTCCAAAGAAAAAGGGGATTATGGCGACCTTCTCTCGCAAGTTCGATCAGGTCCGGATATTTCTCTTATACCAGTAATAAAACATATGACACAGAACAATATTTAGTAAACAAATGTTTGTTCTCTTAATCATTTTTTTTGGATAGAGCTCCATTTAAAGTTGTGTCATATTTTGGTAATTGCAGGTTCCATCTAGTAAAGACAAGGAGGCCGCACGATTTGCTCAGATGTGGAACAAAATAATCAGTAGTTTCCGAGAGGAGGATTTGATTAGCAATAGGTTGAGTGTGCCTTTGAATATTCATCTTTATTTTAATCCTTTTAATCGGAGAAGAGTTCAGTGATAACAGTCATTAGTATGCAGGGAAATGGAACTCCTGCTTGTGCCATATTGGGCTGACCGTGATCTGGATCTTATCCGCTGGCCACCTTTTCTGCTGGCTAGTAAGGTGAGTATTTTTATCTTTGTCTTAACTATGATCTTAGGTTGGCTTTTTGGTGTTATTTTAATTATGTATTGCTAAATGTGGTAGATCCCAATAGCTTTGGATATGGCAAAAGATAGCAATGGAAAAGACCGTGAACTGACCAAGAGACTGAGCGTCGACAGTTACATGACTTGTGCAGTTAGAGAGTGCTACGCCTCTTTTAAAAATCTCATAAACTTTTTGGTTGTTGGAGAACGAGAAGGACAGTAAGTTTGGAATTCCTCACAAATTTTACTTGTGTTTTAACTCAGAAAATACAATTCAGTTTACTAATTTATTTTTCTTGTGCAGGGTCATAAACGAAATATTCTCCAGGATTGATGAACATATAGAGAAAGAAACACTAATAAAGGACTTGAACTTGAGTGCTCTTCCCGATCTGTATGGTCAGTTTGTTCGACTAATCGAATATTTGGTAAGTCTTGTAGCCTTACCATGTTGAACACCTCTGCAACTGTAACATGAATTGAAGAAAATAACTGAGCTGAGTCTACTTGCAACAGATGCAAAACAGAGAGGAGGACAAGGACCAAATTGTTATCGTCTTGCTGAACATGTTAGAAGTGGTGACAAGAGACATAATGGAGGAAGAAGTCCCAAGGTAAGATCACCTGAGAAATGCTTTCTGCTGAATGGTTCGATCAATATTGTTTGAAGCATACTCATTTAGAGTTTTCGTTCCATAGCATGCTAGAGTCAACTCACAATGGAACTTATGTCAAGTACGACGTAATGACTCCTCTTCATCAACAGCGCAAATATTTCAGCCAACTTCGATTCCCAGTGTACTCTCAAACAGAGGCCTGGAAAGAAAAAGCAAGTCTCTCCTCTTTAAAATTCATCTATTTGCTTCATTCATTTTTCTGCAATACTGGTGCATTTGATCTCTTTTGCCTGAGGACCTTCTAAGTTATCTATCTCATTACGTTTTCATTGTGCAGATCAAGAGGCTTCATCTTTTACTTACTGTCAAAGAGTCGGCTATGGATGTGCCATCCAACTTGGAAGCTCGAAGGCGTCTTACTTTCTTTTCAAATTCATTATTCATGGAAATGCCTGATGCCCCCAAAATCCGCAACATGCTTTCCTTTTCGTAAGTTCCATTCCTTTTCAATTTGCAAGAAACTCCATTGCAGTTGTATGATAAATCTTTTTATTTGCCTCTTAATTCCATCTTTCCTACGAGCAGTGAGGGAGTACAAATTCTAATAGCCATACAACATCTTATTATCTTTGCTTTTTTTGCTTTTCCATAGGGTCCTAACACCATACTATTCAGAGGATGTTCTTTTCTCCATTTTTGGTTTGGAGCAGCAAAATGAAGATGGAGTCTCTATACTCTTTTACTTGCAGAAGATCTTTCCAGGTTTCACTTTTTCTTCTGTTTCCAAATAGTCTTGTGCCACTACTATTGTCCTCTGGATTTCTATTCCATAAACTGAGTCGGTGGTTTACCTCAGATGAGTGGACAAACTTTTTGGAACGCGTTAAATGTGGCAGCGAAGAAGAACTCAGAGCAAGAGAAGAGTTGGAAGAGGAACTTCGTCTGTGGGCATCTTACAGAGGCCAAACACTGACCAAAACTGGTATGTAGCTTTTCACTTCCTTTTCAAAGAAACTCTGCTTCACGTTTTAGCTGTAGGTTTTTTCTGATTTTGATCAATCAGTGCGAGGCATGATGTATTACCGAAAGGCTTTGGAGCTCCAGGCCTTCCTTGATATGGCAAAGGATGAAGGTGCTTACCAAGCATTGTTATGATTATCTTTTATTTATAGAAAATGTGAAAACACCTAAAACTGCTTTTGTTTTGTTTTAAGAATTAATGAAAGGGTACAAGGCTCTCGAGTTAACTAGTGAAGACGCATCAAAGAGCGGAACGTCACTCTGGGCTCAGTGTCAAGCACTTGCTGACATGAAATTCACCTTTGTGGTTTCATGCCAACAATACAGTATTCAGAAGAGATCTGGTGACCAACGTGCTAAAGACATATTGAGGCTTATGACTACGTATGTCTTCTCTCATCATAATTCTTCAACAGATCTGTTGTCTTTCTTATATGCATTAGTTAACCGTACTATTTCTCTGTGACAGGTACCCGTCTCTACGTGTTGCTTATATTGATGAGGTTGAGCAAACACATAAAGAAAGCTATAAAGGGGCAGACGAAAAAATTTATTACTCAGCCCTTGTCAAAGCTGCTCCGCAGACCAAATCTATGGATTCTTCTGAATCTGTGCAAACACTAGACCAGGTACAAAATTTAAAATGATGCTCTAGAACACTTTTAACTTAGGTGCTCAATTTTTTCTGTAAGTGAGGCTCTAGAGTATATGCATATAAGGAGTTTTCAATCTATTTTCTTGTGGCTGTTTTTTGTGTGTGTGTGTCTTCTCTTTTTTTCATTTATGGCCATATCGTTGTCCTAGTTTTGAAGATTAAGTTTATATTTCTTCCTGCAGGTCATATACCGGATTAAGCTACCAGGACCTGCAATACTAGGAGAGGGAAAGCCGGAGAATCAAAACCATTCTATCATTTTTACTCGTGGAGAAGGGTTACAGACAATAGACATGAACCAGGTGCGCCTACCAATCTTTCATTTTGTCTGGGCTGAATATCCTGGTTAATCTCATTATGCTTGTAGTTAAAATGTTGATTCAAACATCCGATAAATAGGACAATTACATGGAGGAAGCTTTCAAAATGAGGAACTTGCTTCAAGAATTTCTTGTTAAGCATGGAGGTGTAAGAACCCCTACAATACTTGGACTTAGAGAGCATATTTTCACGGGAAGGTAAAACAGTACGATCTTGTACTGCCATGTAGACAGTCAATTTGTTCTTGGTGCACAAAATGATATCCTACTTGTCTCGTTTCTTGTGGCAGTGTTTCTTCTCTTGCATGGTTTATGTCGAATCAGGAAAACAGCTTTGTTACTATTGGGCAGAGGGTGCTAGCTAGCCCCTTGAAGTAAGTTTTTCTACATATCGTTTTGGAATCCTATGAAGGGAGACCTGGATTTGTAACTTTCATTTCGACTCCTCCAGGGTACGATTCCATTACGGTCATCCAGATGTTTTTGATCGACTGTTTCACCTTACCAGAGGTGGTGTCTGCAAAGCTTCTAAAGTTATCAATCTAAGTGAAGACATATTTGCAGGTACTTGCTTCAATGCCTTTTCTCCGGTGACACATATTATGATCTGTTTCCATACGTTTTTATTTCGTTTTCTCATACCTTCGCTATTTTCAGGTTTCAACTCTACTCTTCGTGAAGGCAATGTGACTCATCATGAATACATACAAGTTGGTAAAGGCAGAGATGTAGGACTCAACCAGATTTCAATGTTTGAGGCAAAGATAGCTAACGGAAATGGGGAGCAAACTCTAAGCCGTGACCTATATAGGCTGGGGCACCGATTTGATTTCTTCCGTATGCTTTCTTGTTATTTCACTACAATTGGGTTCTACTTCAGTACCATGGTAGATCATATTCCTTTTTCTTTATCTTATCTCACAATCAGTATGATACATGGGAAGTTTATCTCAGTCTGAAACATTTTCTGTGTCTTTCTTACAGTTAACCGTGCTTACGGTCTATGTATTTCTATATGGCCGGCTGTATCTCGTTCTTAGTGGTCTTGAAGAAGGATTGAGCAACCAGAAAGCTTTTCGATCCAACATGCCTCTTCAAGCTGCACTTGCTTCTCAATCATTTGTGCAGATTGGTTTCTTGATGGCCTTACCTATGATGATGGAGATAGGCCTTGAGAGGGGATTCCATAACGCCCTAATTGATTTTGTACTGATGCAGTTACAACTGGCTTCCGTGTTTTTCACGTTCCAACTGGGGACAAAAACACATTACTACGGTCGAACATTGTTTCATGGAGGCGCGGAATACAGAGGCACTGGGCGTGGTTTTGTGGTGTTCCACGCCAAATTTGCTGAAAATTACAGGTTCTACTCTCGCAGTCATTTCGTGAAGGGTATTGAGCTGATGATTCTCCTGCTAGTGTATCAGATATTTGGCCACGCCTATAGAGGCGTTGTTACATATATTCTGATTACTGTTTCGATATGGTTCATGGTGGTGACTTGGCTGTTTGCTCCTTTCTTATTCAATCCCTCTGGTTTTGAGTGGCAAAAGATTGTAGATGATTGGACAGATTGGAATAAATGGATATATAACCGAGGGGGAATTGGTGTTCCTCCGGAGAAGAGTTGGGAGTCTTGGTGGGAGAAGGAAATAGGACATCTTCGACATTCGGGAAAACGTGGTATCATCCTCGAGATTGTTTTGGCTTTACGCTTCTTCATCTTTCAGTACGGACTGGTGTATCAACTCAGCACTTTTAAACAGGAAAATCAAAGTTTGTGGGTGAGAGATCTTACCCATATCATGTTGCTTTTCTTATTTACGAAATCTCTTGGTTTTTGATTAATTGATTCTCGATTTTTCGCAGATTTACGGAGCTTCATGGTTCGTGATCTTATTCATTTTACTCATTGTGAAGGTACCATGAACATTCATTCACATTTTGAGTTTTTTAAGTATATGATACCAACAATCTTATGCTCGATCAAGATTGTTTAATGCTGGATCGAGCGGTTACTAAACTGAATGTAACTAATCACAGGGTCTGGGTGTGGGAAGGCAACGGTTCAGCACAAACTTCCAGCTTCTCTTCAGGATCATCAAGGGTTTTGTGTTCCTCACATTTCTTGCAATTCTCATTACTTTCATAGCTCTTCATCTTTTAACACCCAAGGACATCTTCCTTTGTATGCTTGCTTTCATGCCAACCGGTTGGGGAATGTTACTCGTAAGTTCTCATTGCTCCATTAAAATCCTCCAAATTGTTTTTAAGATGTCTTTTGTGTTTGTCTGGTTTGTGAGATAGTTGCTGCAAATTAATTCAGAACATTTTTTTTTTCTTTTCAAGATTGCACAAGCTTGTAAGCCTCTGATTCATCGGCTAGGATTCTGGTCATCGGTTAGGACGCTGGCTCGAGGCTATGAGATTCTCATGGGTTTGCTTTTGTTCACTCCGGTAGCCTTCTTGGCTTGGTTCCCGTTCGTGTCTGAGTTTCAGACAAGAATGCTCTTTAACCAAGCATTTAGCAGAGGATTGCAGATTTCACGTATTCTTGGTGGCCAGAGAAAAGACCGATCTTCCAAGAACAAGGAGTGAAACAAAGATCATATAAGCAGAGAAAAAGCTTGAGTGATAAACACATGTATATAGTGATTAATACAATTAAATTGCCTCTGTTACTACGTTCCTTACCAAGTAATCTATGGTTCTTCTTATTAGGGGTGGTCTAATCCGGATTTTGATTTTGTTTCGGTTCCGCTCACTTAGCAAGGTTTTGATTGGTTCGGTTCTATTTTGTATTAAATAAAATTCGGTTCACTCCGGTTCGAACCGCTAGAATTTTTTTCCGTCTATGGGAAACTAAAAGTCCCTGAAATTGTAGTTATTTTCTAAATCTTCCAAATATTTTAGTGCGCTTCTAATCGAACCTCCAAAACCAAAAGGAAGAAACTGTCTACGACTGGGAGTTCTAAATCGAATACCAAACCGGTTTGATTCGGTTAGGTTACTAAACCGGTATCTTGCGATTCAATTCGGTTACTAAACTGGTCTCTCGCGATTCAACTCGTCTTCTTTTCCAATTTCCAATTTCTCTTCCTCCATTGTCGAAATTTCATGATTTTCCCGCAAAACCCTTGTCGTGTCTCTGGGTTTAACCTTCCTGCGACTCCTTAATTTTCTCCGTAGCTTTTCTTCTCCACATTCTTCGTTTCTGTAATCGCTGAAGGTAAAAGATGAGTACGGTCGATAAAATGCTGATCAAGGGTATCAGAAGCTTCGACCCAGAAAATAAGAACGTTGTTACTTTCTTCAGACCTTTAACCCTAATTGTCGGTGCCAACGGAGCCGGAAAAACTGTAATATTCCTTCAAACCTTCTCTTCTCTTAACTTCACTCTCATTTCTTCGCCTCCATATTTGAACAATCTGTGGCTATTTCGCGATTTTTGCAGACGATTATAGAGTGTTTAAAGGTGTCTTGCACTGGAGAATTACCACCGAACGCGAGGTCTGGTCATAGCTTCATTCATGACCCTAAGGTATTTCTATTTTAGATTCTCATACCTAATTTTATGTTTCTTTTGTTGATTCATGCAAGCTTTTGCAATTCTATCTTTGTTTTATTGTTGATAAATGTGGAATTCAGGATTTTGATTTTGCCTAGAAGTACTATTCAGATTGAAATTTTTATGAAAAGAGATGTTCTTATATTGTTATATAGGTTGCTGGGGAAACGGAGACAAAAGCACAAATTAAGCTGAGATTCAAGACAGCTGCAGGGAAGGATGTGGTATGCATAAGGTCATTTCAGTTGACGCAAAAGGCTTCAAAGATGGAGTACAAAGCTATTGAGAGTGTGCTTCAAACCATTAATCCTCACACTGGAGAGGTTGCTCTTATTTCCTCATATTAATCTTTCTTTTGGTTTGAAAGTCCCGAGCTAAGTGTTAGACTATCTATATTCCCTACATCATTTGTTTTTGTCTGCGTATAGAATGATTTGATACCTGTTTTTGTGAAGAAATTCTAACGCATTGCCTATTTGGAGTTTCTACTACTGCTTTGTTTTTTATTCCTCCATTTTTTGCATGAGTTCCATCTAGATCATTTCTCTTTCTTATTTTGTCCACATACATTGTCAAATTGCAGAAAGTATGTCTCAGCTACAGATGCGCTGACATGGATAGGGAGATACCAGCTTTGATGGGTGTGTCAAAAGCTATTTTAGAAAACGTCATCTTTGTGCATCAGGATGAGTCTAACTGGCCACTGCAAGATCCTTCTACTTTGAAAAAGAAGTTTGATGATATTTTCTCAGCCACCAGGTACTTTCTGGCTCACCACCAACATTTCTGTTGAATTATCACTTCCTTGCTGTATTTGTTGTAGAAGAAACCGATTCCCAGAAACTGTAACGTGTGTGTTTAACATGAAACAGATATACAAAGGCTCTGGAAGTTATTAAGAAACTTCACAAGGATCAAGCTCAGGAAATAAAAACTTTTAAGTTAAAGTTGGAAAACCTGCAGACCTTGAAAGACGCAGCTTATAAGGTATGCTAGACATTAACTTGTTTGACATTGATTTTTCTTTTCATTTTCAGTATCCGACCCTGGTCACTGATGCAGAATGTTTTTATTGTTAAGTCAAAGGAACAAATTAACACTAACGCAGATTGTTTTAATTCTGAAAGTAATTATAGACTAGTATTGTATACATATGGTATGCATGTTCTTAGGCTGTGTGGGCTATTCTTATGCCATGCTACTTCCTATACAGCTTCGTGAGAGCATTGCGCAAGATCAAGAAAGGACAGAATCTTCAAAAGTTCAGATGTTGGAACTGGAAACCAGCATTCAGAAAGTTGATGCTGAAGTTCATAATAAGGAAATGATGTTAAAAGATCTGAGAAAGCTACAAGACCAAGTATCAAGAAAAACTGCGGAAAGGAGCACCTTGTTTAAGGAGCAGCAGAGACAGTATGCAGCATTACCTGAGGAAAATGAAGGTTTTCTCTTTTACTATCACAATGTTAAGGCCGTTTCTTCCTTTTAGATGGTGGGGATGTTCTTTTGGGTGCTCATGGTTACAGTGGTCTGTCCGTTTTACAGATTGAGTCCCTGCATTTGTATGAATTTACATTTGCCTTTTTGTAGAGGTATCTCACATTTTGTTATTTCTTCACGTTTATTAAATTTGTTGATGCTTGTCATATGTTTTGTTCAGATACTATTGAAGAATTGAAAGAATGGAAAAGCAAGTTTGAAGAAAGAATTGCTCTTTTGGAGACCAAAATTCGAAAAATGGAGAGAGAGATGGATGACACAGCAACTACAATTTATTCGCTTCACAATGCAAAAACTAACTATATGCTGGATATCAGCAAGCTACAAACAGAAGCTGAAGTAAATCTAAAAAAGCTACCACATAGTAAAATATTATGAGTTCTCTGCTCCATATGGTTTAACATTTTTCCTTTCTATTTTCATAGGCTCATATGCTGCTGAAGAATGAAAGAGATTCTACCATCCAGAAAATTTTTTCCCATCACAATTTAGGAAATGTTCCTAGTACCCCCTTCGGTACTGAGGTAGTTTTGAATCTCACAAATCGAATAAAATCAAGACTGGGTGAACTTGAGATGGACTTGCTCGATAAGAAGGTACACATTCGTTATCTTCTCCAGAAATTTAATTGTGTATTACATTATTTGCATATGTTGACATCGTTAGAGATTTTGATTGTTTCCTCAGAAATCAAATGAAACTGCTCTAAGTACGGCTTGGGATTGCTATATGGATGCTAATGACCGTTGGAAAAGCATCGAAGCTCAGAAACGAGCTAAAGACGAAATCAAGGTGTGGTTCACTATTTGGAACTCTACCCAAATCCTCCACTAACGAGTCTAAGTTTAAACTATTTTTACTTTTGATGGTGACCTATGCAGATGGGCATATCAAAACGCATAGAAGAGAAAGAAATTGAGCGTGATTCATTTGAATTCGAAATTTCCACTGTGGATGTTAAACAAACTGATGAAAGAGAGAAACAAGTGGTATTGCTTTCTTCCCTTGATTTACTTACATGATTTTGGTCTTGATGAATTTTCCCTTGCTATATGTGCCTTATTTTGCCATCATCTGCGTTTGCACAGCAAATTGAGCTTGAGAGAAAGACAAAACAGAATTCTGAAAGGGGATTTGAATCCAAAATAGAACAGAAACAGCATGAAATATACAGCATGGAGCATAAAATTAAGACACTGAATCGAGAAAGAGATGTTATGGCTGGTGATGCTGAGGATAGAGTGAAATTGTCTTTGAAGAAGACGGAACAGGAGAATCTTAGGAAGAAACACAAAAAGATGTGATCTCACGCACCAATGCTTTTCTCAGCTTTCTTTCTTTTTTTCTATCAATCCATTGTTTTCACTCTCTAAAGCTATTTACCAGAATAAATGAGTGCAAGGATCGTATTAGAGGAGTGCTGAAGGGGAGATTGCCACCCGAGAAGGATATGAAGAAGGAGATAGTTCAAGCTCTGAGGTCGTGTTTTCACTTAAGTTAATATTTATGGTGATTCGGAATGAATCATTTTTTAATATAAGATCTCTTGATCAGGATCTCAAAAAAAAAGAGAATAGCTTGCTACTTCAGGTGTTCGAAGTTATCACATCTCAAAAATTTCTTTGTATTCGTTTTCTCTTTGGTTTAGGTCAATTGAAAGGGAATATGATGACCTGAGTTTGAAATCCCGAGAAGCAGAAAAGGAGGTCAACATGTTGCAGATGAAGATACAAGAAGTAAACAATAGCCTATTCAAGCATAACAAGGATACAGAATGTAAGCACTGGTGTATAATTTAAAGTTATCTATTGGTCAGTTCTCTGACTAGCGCCTTAAGTTGTGAATAAACTGCTCTTGACAATCCTTTCAGTGGTACCAATTATTAGACCATGTTGATATAAACTGTCATCTATCACGGATACCACATTCATATAAAGTACCAATTATTACCCCTGTTATTTGATTTTCGTTTCTAAAATGTACCTGGGTTGACATTTAAACACAGATAAGGAATCCATTTTCAGTGCACAGTGGATGATTAGGAAATATCTATTCACTCAATCTGACTTGAGTACTTTTATGCAGCAAGAAAGAAATACATTGAGTCCAAGCTTCAGGCCTTAAAACAGGAATCAGTTACCATTGATGCTTATCCCAAATTGTTGGAGTCGGCTAAGGACAAAAGAGATGACCGTAAAAGGTTTGTGGTTAAAACTGGTGACTGTTTCCATACCCCCCTATGTTTGCGTGTTCTTGTCTTGCATTGAAAAGCGTAGTTCTGTTTCTGGTCTGTGTTTGCAGCAAGTATAACATGGCAAATGGTATGCGCAAGATGTTTGAACCTTTTGGGGATTTAGCACGTCAACATCATTATTGTCCTTGCTGTGAGCGCTCTTTTACAACTGAAGAAGAAAATAGCTTTGTTAAGAAGGTTACACAATCTTCTCCTGTTTTTGCCTTACGATTCAAATTATTTTATGCTTCTGAAATAATGGAATGTCTCTTTATTTGAGTATGTAAATTTCTTTTCAAATACAGCAAAGGGTAAAGGCTTCAACCACGGGGGAGCATCTTAAAGAATTAGCAGTGGCGTCTTCCAATGCTGACTCTGTATTTCAGCAGCTAGACAAACTACGGGCAGTTTTTGAAGAATACTCGAAACTAACTAGTGAAATTATTCCTCTCGCTGAGAAAACTTTGCAAGAGCATACAGAAGAGCTGGGTCAAAAGTCTCAAGCTCTTGATGATGTGAGTTGGGGATCACTAGTAATTTCCTTAGAACTGATTTGCAGCTGCAATTTCTATCAGTTTCTTTAGAAGTCTTGCTCTTTTTCCCCTTAATCATGTTGTGTTATGAACACAAGCTGGAAAATCATATTTGCAGTTCATAGCATCTCAAATCATATATGTGTATGTCTTCAGTTATTAGGAATCTCTGCCCAGATAAAAGCTGACAAAGACTCAATTGAAGCACTGGTGCATCCCCTTGAAAATGCTGACAGGACCTTTCAGGAAATCGTATCCTACCAAAAGCAAATTGAAGATCTTGAATATAAGCTTGATTTCAGGGGTCTTGGGGTTAAAACTATGGAAGAAATCCAATCAGAATTAAGTAGCCTCCAAAGCAGCAAGTAAGTACTCTGAATTTATGCAGGGTAAAACATATTTCTCTTCCTTGGACTTTTCTTAGTCTAGCAGACACATTTTTTCCAATATTTTTTTCCTTATGTACCCTTGAACAGGGATAAATTGCACGGTGAGCTGGAGAAACTTAGAGATGACCAGATTTACATGGAACGTGATATATCATGCCTCCAGGCCAGATGGCATGCAGTAAGGGAGGAGAAGGCTAAGGCAGCCAATTTGTTACGCAACGTTACAAAGGCAGAAGAAGACCTGGAGCGTTTAGCCGAGGAGAAAAGTCAACTTGACCTCGACGTGAAGGTGCGTTTTATGAGATCTTTTTAGATTCTTTTCCACATGTCTTTCTGTGTGTCACTATCTCAAAATCCATTGTTCATTGGTGACTATAAAGGTCCTAATTTATTAGGTCCATAATCATGAATAAGAGTACTACTATGTGAGGAATGTGCTAAAACAGACTAGTGAATCATTGTCTTTCTGATTAAATTTGCTTACTAGTAATGCAATGCAATGCAACACAGATATGTAGAGAATACATGATAAAATGGGTAGCAATAACATCCTCTCGAGTTGGATGGTATATTGCTTGTAACTGTTTAAGTTTTTGTATTTGAAAAGCTTCAAGTATATTTTTTGTGCATTCAGTGAAATGTGATCAAGTAAGTAGTTCTTCGAAACATACAAAAAGTAAATTCAGTCTTCTGTTTTTTGTTTCAAATTTTTTGTGTTACATTAAATGTAGAATCCTTAAATTTAATTGTTCATTTCATTATTTTCCAGTATTTGACTGAGGCACTGGGCCCGTTATCCAAGGAAAAAGAGCAGTTACTGAGTGACTACAATGATATGAAGATTAGACGTAATCAAGAGTATGAAGAACTGGCTGAGAAAAAGAGAAACTACCAACAGGAAGTTGAGGCATTACTCAAGGCCAGTTCTAAGATAAATGAGTATGTTCTGCTAGCCGAAGGTTAATTCATTACTATCCTGTGCCCCAGATATGCTTACAGCTGCTTCACCAGGTATCATGATCTGAAGAAAGGGGAGCGCTTAAATGATATTCAAGAAAAGCAGCGGTTATCCGAATCTCAGCTTCAGAGCTGTGAAGCTAGAAAGAATGAACTTGCAGGTGAACTGAACAGAAATAAAGACTTGATGCGGAATCAAGATCAACTGAGAAGAAATATAGAGGATAACTTGAACTACCGGACAACAAAAGCAAAAGTTGAGGAGCTTACACGTGAGATTGAATCATTGGAAGAGCAAATATTGAATATTGGTGGGATTCCCGCAGTTGAAGCTGAAATTGTAAAGATATTGCGGGAAAGGGAAAGACTTCTTTCAGAGGTTAGCGGATTCGTATATAATTATAGCAGTCACTCTGATATGATTTGGTGTCTATGGTTAGCTATTCATTTGTTCTCCATGATGCTAAGTGTAAGATCTTGCATTTCTCTGATTTAAGCATTTAATATCCGAGGTGGTTGGCTTTTTAAAATTTTATCCTTGTTTCAAGGTAGCCTAAATATATAAAATTTAGAAATTATCATGTATAGATAACAGATTTTCTTCACTGACTACCATTACTCGTGGCTGTTAGCAACTGATATGTGTAAACGTCGAGTTACCTGTGTTTTCCTGGATTATGTAAAGATAGTTTATCCATTTAAAGGTTTCAGAGCCTATTTTATTGTGCTTGAAGAATAATTATATTTTTTCTTGTAGCTGAACCGGTGTCGTGGAACAGTGTCTGTTTACGAGAGCAGTATTTCAAAGAACAGAGTGGAGCTAAAACAGGCACAATACAAGGACATAGATAAGCGGCACTTTGATCAACTGATCCAGCTAAAGGTAAGACGTAGTATTACTTTGTGGCAGTGCCTGAATGATCAATAAATTCCACTCTATGTTAAATTGAACATTTCATTTTGGCCAGACAACTGAAATGGCAAATAAAGACTTGGATAGATACTACAATGCCCTTGACAAGTAAGCCTTTCTCGAGTCCTAATATAAGCTTCTGGCTAGTTGTTTTTTCATTTTACACTATCTAATTCACAAAATCATTTAATCTGCAGTTCTTAACATATATTTCCATCTTATTGAATACGTACAGAGCACTAATGCGCTTCCACACAATGAAAATGGAGGAAATAAATAAGATTATAAGGGAACTGTGGCAGCAGACATACAGAGGTCAAGATATGGATTACATACGAATACACTCAGATTCCGAAGGTGCAGGCACCCGCTCTTACAGCTACAAGGTATGCTACAGATTTGACAACATGCTTTACCATGTGATCATCATTAACATTGTGGTAAACCCTGTTTTTTCTTAGGTTCTTATGCAGACTGGTGATACAGAACTTGAAATGAGAGGAAGATGCAGCGCAGGTCAAAAGGCAAGTTGTTCTAAAATCGCTCGTGTAGAAGCATTGTTATCTGTTCAATATTATTTTAAGCTTCGTTGTTGAACTCAGGTGTTCACTTTCTTCTTCATCATCTCCTGCAGGTTCTTGCTTCATTGATAATTAGGTTGGCTTTAGCTGAGACATTTTGCTTAAACTGTGGAATATTAGCCCTTGATGAGCCAACTACAAACCTGGATGGGCCCAATTCAGAATCTCTTGCAGGAGCTCTTCTTAGGTAAGAAAAATCAGACCTATACCCCTAATGAGTTATGAATTATGATGATGATACATGTGTACATATAATTCCTCTTACATAGAAATTTAACTATCTACAGACTGGAATCGTCATTATTGTGATTTTTACCTGTCTTTTCCCTATAATGTTGTGACACATCCTAAGACCATGGCTCTCTTATATATATATATTTGCATTCTCCAGGATCATGGAAGACAGAAAGGGCCAAGAGAATTTCCAACTCATAGTCATTACCCACGATGAACGCTTTGCTCAAATGATTGGCCAACGGCAACATGCTGAAAAATATTACCGGGTCGCAAAAGATGATATGTAAGCAAAACATTATCGCTCTCGTCTCTTCTTCTTTCTATTCTTGCTTCTCCATTTTCTCTGAATCCAAGATCTGAAACTTCACAACTCCTGATCTTCTCAGGCAACACAGCATAATCGAGGCCCAAGAGATCTTTGATTGATAAACTGGTTGCTTGTTCTATAAACCAACATAACAGCTTTAGCCAATGTTTAACGGTAATCTCATTGAAAAATCGGTATGTAGAGGCAACTCTTTGAACCCTTTTAAGTTTTTGTAAAGAGAATGCAACGACATTCCAAAGTTTGTTGATGGTTATGATATTTCAACAAGTCTCGTCACATCTCCTTAATAACATCTTGTCTTTATTTATGAACAACATAACATCATTAAAACCATCAACCCATTCTTAATAGCTTCGTATCATACACCTTTTAGTCTTTTCATGATCACATTATGGAAATTTAAGTCTGAATAAGAAATGAAGTTAGTAGATAGGACTGACAACAGGAGTGAAACCGAGCAACTGCTTAGAATGGAGCCATGGTTGAATAACCACAACAGAGTCAAACATCCTGTTCGAGCCATTGGGTTGAGTCACCTCAATCCTTAGATAGTATTTGGTCCCAGCGACGACCTGTTTTTGAGCTGATACAACTCGGCTAAACACCAATGGATTCGACATGGCTGTGTCCGTTTTTGCAATGGATCCTATGTTTCCTTGCTCGGTCTGTTCTTGTTGATTGAATTGCTCCACGCAGTACCTGTGATCACACACAATCGCATCACATTTTTAATTCATATCATACATGTATAGTAGATGTTATCAGTATTATGTATGTATACCTTCCAAGTTCTTGAATCTCCCTGTTGGTCCGAATGTTTGGAACACCTGACTTCCCTCCGAGAACTACGCTCTTCCGGAATGGGTTCGCCGCCGATGGAGTCACGACAGCGATCACCAGAAACCCTAACAATGACAATATAAGAGAGACCTTCAACATTGCAGCCATAATTGCTTCTCACTTTTTGTCTTCTTCTTAGGCTTCACAATTTGATAGTCTGTGTTATTGTTGTTGCCTCTTAATGTCTCTTTTAAGCTTCTTTTTATCCCTTTGAGGACTGATCTGTGTTGTTGTATTTTTGTGTGTGAGAAAGAGAAAGAGAGAAAAGTGTTTAAATAGAGAAAGAGTTTAGGCAATGTTTGGTGTTAGGGTGTACGTGAATGGGGTCCCCATGCCATCGGCACCTTCGGGGTTCCGCATCTTTTAAGTTACTTTCTGATCCAATTAAGTCCCCACGTGAAGTGAGCCCCCACCTTTTTTAACGTATATAAGTGAATTGCTCCGATCGGTAATTTTGTTTTTATTATCAATCGGATTCGAAAACACTAATTATACATCCTAAATTCCTAATCTATGAAAGAAATGGAATATTTTTTTTGTAATTTAAGGTGTTTGTTTATTTATGATGGTCAACTAGTCCATAAATAAATATGAATAGTTTAAACTTTAGATCACCATATATTGGTTGATATTAATATTTTTTTTTGTTTTTTTTTTTTTAATATTAATATGTTAAAAAGACAGAAATTTTGTAGGTTTCTTCTCACAAAAATTTAAGAAATTATGGATGTCATAGTAAAAAAAAAATTATGTTCAAACTCTTTTTATATGGTCTTTTCTAGGTTATATATTATAACTGCACCAATGAAACAATTTATAATTTTATAATTTGACCAAGGAGCGAGGGATCATGGGTCGCTCTAGCCAATTCCTTATCGCCTCGATTTGGTTTTGAATTATTGTTGTCGTTTTGTTAATTATGTTACAATGCAAGAGAGAGTTATATATTGTTTGGGAGAGCGACACGTATCAACTGAATTTGACATCTGCCCTCTCTTCTCTTCGCATGCTGCTCACGTAGCACCTTCTCTTACGTATGCCAAACTATTCATACATAATTAAAATACTCAGTCCGCGACGGACAAGAGGAAATGTATAATATTTTCATGTATTCGTACAATCAAGCTCTTTAACTATAAAATAATACTCTGAAGCTATTAAAATTTAACTTCACCGAGAAAATTTTAAAAATAAACTTATCTTTTCGACACAGGTTAAGTACAGAGTAGTTAGTAAAGGACTTTGGCACGAACCCTTCTAGTTAACGGGGAAAAAAAAAGTTGTGTTTTGGGTTAACCATGGTGGAAGATGGATAGGTATATCCGTATACACAACTTTAAAATAAAACATAATTATTTGGACCATATATGTTCTTCCAAATTATGACATACCCATTAGAAGAACGAGCGGTATTTAAGAATTGAGAGTTTTTAAAATTCGAAGCCTAAAGAATGTCTTTGCAGAGAGATTCACTACACCAATATCCGTCGTTGTTCTTTGTAATCTGGTAACCAAAACTCTTTCTTTCTTTTTTTATAATAAAATTTTTGATGTTTAAAAAAAAAAATTGATGTTAACCAAAACTTGGTAATCACCTTTAGAAAGAACCGTTGAACCACATAGACCAAACCCTTTGCATTGCCATCAAAAGTACCTTTGTTCAACTTCAAGCTAATAAAGTAATAATATACTACTGCTTTTCGTCTTCAAGAAAAACAAACCCATTGAAAGCTTTATGCTACTTTGGGCCGAAAATTATGGGCTATTTTAGTTTCATTGACCCAATAAAAACATATTCTACTGCTTTGACTAATCCTTGAGTGACAACCATTATAAAGCTATAGATTTTCCGTATCGAGATTCTATGACGTTCTCTGCCTTCTCTCTTCATCTGTCTCAAAGAGGTCATTCGTGGACGTTTCCTCATGCTGAGATTAGACGTATGTGATTAACATGGATCCCAGGTTAGTAATAGTGTAATACCCAAGTCATATCTTTCTAATTACATTTCCTTTATTTTCATCGTCTAAAGTGGTTATATGATTGTGAACCACTAGAAAACGTGTTTTCTCTTAGTGTGTGAAGTTTGATCATTTTGCAATTGACAATGGAAAGTTTTTTTAAGCGAAGCTGAATCTTTATCATTAATTAATTTAATTTTGTTTTCTAGTCCTTTCCAATTTTATCTTTCCATCATCTTTACAAATATTTTTTTTTTGTTAATTTCATCTTTACAAATTACAAAACTTATACTGAGTGAGAAATAAATAATGACCTTAATTAATTATAATATAGAAAGAAAATTGCAAAATTTAACCAGAAAATGGATTTTATTTTAGAATTATCATTTCTTAGTGAAATCTCGTTTTTTCACATGGTATTTTATGTATGTAAATTAGTAAGACATTAAACTAATCTAATTTGAAGTAAAAGAATAAAAACAACGTACTACAAGACCTACGAACAATTAAATACAATAACAAATGTAGGACATATTCATTTTTGTTGTCTAATTATAAAATTAGTTACTCAGTCTTGAATTCTTTTCTTCTTATCCCTTCTATTCCTTTAACCACTCCCTTCACAGCAACATCAAAAGCATCTTCAAGAATCTCTCCATCTGGTTTGTTCCGGTTTGGTTTACTATACACAATCTTCGGAATCAATCTTATTACGTTTTCTCTCATACCAACCACTCTCTCATTTGGTATTCCACGCAAAATCTCTTCGATTTTGTTCTTTCCCCCGGTTCTAAGCTCCTTAACCGGTATATAAACCGAATATTCGCTACTATTCTTAGGTATGTGCCATGTATATTGCTTGTATGCGCTACCTTGGTTAAAGAAAACCGGAATACAACCAGCCAAGATTGAATCAAATACCGATCTTCTGGTTAACGAATCACCCGGTGGTTGTAAGCAGAAAACTGAGCTCTCGAAAAGTTTCATCAGACTGATCGGATCATCGCAGCTATTGGCTTTGACGTCACAGTCAAGAAACCTACACGTATTAGATGAACTCTTGCATTGTTTTATAACTTCAGTGCGAACCAAACCGTTCTGGTTTCTGATTGGTCTTTGAGCTCCGGCGAATGTGAAGAGGATCGTCCGGTTAGTGAGCCTGATCTTGTCTTGCCAGCGAAGGATCTCGGAGGTTGACGTAGGGTGAAAGTAAGTGGGATAAGGAATTGCAAACTCGTTGTGGCTCGTTAGACTTCGTTCAATGGTGAGGAAAGTGAGGTTTAGCGACTCCGGTAAGAGCATGAAGTTGGTTCCCCATCCGGACTTATTGTCGAAGTTTCGCCGGAAATCTCGTGAAATCCGACCGGTTACTAGGAAATGGTCTCTACCCGACATATCTGCATTCAATTATAGATTAAAAAAAAAAAATGATTTTGTAGTTTTGTCAAAAATAAAAATTGGCGGTTAGACCAAAAAAACACATGAAAATTGAATGATACATCATATTTGAATTTGGGTGATTTGCAAATTATTTTTTTGACATAACTACAAAAATAATTTTGTCAGTTATTAATATAGTTGAAATCCGACCCCTTAGTTATGAGGGAATGGTCTTCACCTAATATACCTATATTTCAATTAGTAATAATAACTGAAAATAATTTCTGTAGTGATGTCAAAAAAAGTTATTTGACCGACATACTTTAAAACACTTTAAAATTAGGATTTAATAATATATTAAAATTTCACGTCAAATATATTATAGGCTGACAATAATTAAGATATCTACGTTTATAGAATTTTTTGTGTGGTTTCATATATAATTTTATTTTATTTTTGAAAGCTAAAGAGTCTTAAAAAGGTTTACATTTACTCGAACAAAAAAAAGGTCTTCATTTAAAAGTCGTCGGTGGAAAAGGATTGAAGAAAAGTCGTCCCTATCTTTGAATAATTCGATTTAATTATGGATAAAGTCGAAACAACAAGAAGTAATTGCAAATAATCGAAAACATTAGGGGCCAAAACGAAATACAAATAAATTTTAAAGAAAAAACACGCGTACCTTTCCACTGAGGTTGCTTTTTAAGCCATTTAACAAGTTCCTTCCCGGCGGCGTCTCTCGCAGCAACTTTACGCCGCCGTAAATGTCGCCGGAAATCGAGACCAGCATAATAAGGTACGTAAATAGCTGAAGCCAACGACGAGTTTCTCGTCAAGCACTCATATCTCTTCATTTTCTCGTGAAAAATCACTTCGAGCATGAACTGATTAGTCGCGTACCAGCTCGGAGAGTAGTCAGAACCTTCACCGCCGATCAAAGGTCCGAATCCGGAGTTGTCGAGATACTTACACATACTGATTTTGTCCTTTGGTCTTGTAATATACTTGCAGTCTTTAAGGATTTCAAGATTGAATCGAGAAGGTAGCGTGTGGATATATATATAGCGTCCGAGACACGTATCGTCTCCGGAGGTTTTCTGACGGCGTTGATGATCGGTTCCAGTGGTGGTTGTGGTGGTGGTGATGAGTATGATTTTGTCTTGGGAGAGACGAAGGAGAAGCAGAGAGATGGTGAGGAGAGAGAGGAAAAGTAAAAGAGTGGTTGGTTTTTTCTTCCATGGATGATGATTCTCGATCAAAACTGATGAATCGTTGTTCTTGTTCTTCATCGTGTAGTGTTCTTGATTTGATGATCCATGTCAAATTAAGAGAGAGAAATGTTGCAACGCACACGCAAATGATAGATTATTAATAAATAAATAAAATTTGGTGTCTTACAAAGGAATTTTTGATTGGTGAATAAAAGTCAGATGTCAGATTTCATATTCAATTAGTTTCATAATCTCCTAAAATTTTATAATCATATACATATACGTAGGTGGTTAGAAACTTCTTCTTGTGATTTTTTTTTCTTCCAAATTAAAAATCCATATTTGGTCAAAGTAGTATGGCTCTCGAGGCTGATTCCTATTGATCGGAGTTGAAATATTTAATAGTAAACCTTTTTACTGAATTGTTTACTACAGTTCTTTTCATGCTTACTCTTTTTTTTCCTTCTTTTTTTGGTTTTATTGGAATTAGTTAAGCCTTTACTAAATAAGATGTTATTTCTTATTTTATTACTACTTATAAATAAAACCAAACTATTTTAAGTGTCTTGTTGTCTAGTTCCGTACGTTTTGTGTTTACCAAAACACACATTGCTTGCTTTGTGGCCATTATTATACTTAATAAGGTCTTAAGTAATAAACTCAGACAAAGACGCTGCCGACAGACTCAACCGGTTTGATATCGACCTCTCGCAGCTCTAGTTTCATCCCTTTGCCTCCTCCATTCGCCAATGGATGGATCCCCAGCTCGGGCCCTGTCATATAGGCCCTTGAGTCCCTCTCCCCCTCTACCGATACCCCAAACCGCTTCTCTGCCTCTGCATCCATAATTAAATCCAAATCTGATCAACTACATTTTGCCATATCAAAATACCATTGCTAGCTAAACCGGTCTAGGCTGTTTCTCTATCAATACCCTAAACCGCTTCTCTGTCTCTGAATCCATACCCAAATTCAAGCATAACCTACCAATGCTCTTTACTACATTATGCCATAAATAAAAGGAGCCTAAAAGGGTCTAGAAGCCGTTCTACATAAATATAAATTGAAAGTTTCTATATGTAAACTAACAAATAATTGACAACTAAATAATTGGTTAGGAGCTATATATAGTCAGCCTATAATCGTTTAATGAAAAAAACGCATGATTTCAACGCCTAAAAGATACTTGTCATGGTTATGGCCTATGTGGTAGCGCCTACATAACTACCTAGAAAGTTTTTTCAACATAAAACTAAACACTGTCTATTTTTTTCTAAGAAAATTAAACCGTAAAACCACAAGAAATCTCACATTAAAATAAGACATGAAATAACTAATATAATATACGAATTTTCTTACTTACCCTGAATCATCTCGTGGAAAAGCTGGCCATCGCGGGTAACAGCCATCATGACATTAGGTAAACCAATGGGAAGCTCATGGCCCAAATCAACTTGCCAAAAATGGAAAACTTTCCCATAAGTCTTAGCGACTTTATCTAGATCTTGACGCTGAATGGCACCTGGAACACCAGGCATGAACAAGAACCCTCCTTTCACTTCCCACTCGTGCGAGTGCCAAAGCTTCTTCTCTTCGTCAGGCAAAGTCATGAACAGCTTCTCTGACACTATGTACTCCAATCCGATCAGACGAGCGTTTGCATCTGGACCGTCGTAGATCAAACACTGACGCATCTCTTCGTTCACGTGACTGCAGAAATGGTGAGCCTCTACTTGTCGTGCCATGTCGTCAGCATAGAAATGGAACCTGCCCAGCACAAGAAAATAAATAACATGCGTTCTCTATAACATTGTAACTAGGGTTGGACGGTTAAACCAAATCGAAATGGAATTTATAAAAGGAAATCGAATAAAAAAAAAAATTAGACGAAATTAGATATAATTTTTTGTTTTCCCAAAAAATAATTTCCAAAGCAAACAGAAGATTGGTTTTAAATCCCTTTAAGCAATTCTCAAAAGTCAAAACCGAGAAAGCCAAATCAAACAAACGAATACCTACCCCTACATTCGAAACATGTTTTGTTCTTGAAATAAAATAAAGTCTAAATATATACTCAAAACAAGTAGCTATATGTTTTTTACTTTCATAGTGAGAATCACAAATCCAAGAGGGATAAAAGAGGTGGAATTGATAAAGATCGGGTAACGTACGCACAGAGATGTTGGTGGATTTGGTTAACCGGTGCAAAACTTTGAACGGCGGAGGCGGCCGTGTCAATTATGGAGGTTCCGGTCTTTGTTGCCTCCCCTGGAACCGCCGGTCCAGACGTCGTCGATGAGTGAACTGCCTTCTCCATTTTCTTAATCAATTCTTTGCTCTTTCTCTTCAAAAACTTACAAACAGCCAAACAAATAGAGTAATTGTAAAGAGAATAGATCATGCATTCAACTTGTTGGTATGGTCTAAAAAAGGAGGGATTGTATGCATGAAGTGTGACACGTGACAAGCCCAAAATATTACACTTGCGTTTTTTAGCATTTCTTTCGGGCATAACAAGAATTAGTCAAATGTTTAAAAGTTTTGGGAGGCTGCTTTAGATGAGTGGTTGTGGAAAGAATCGTAGTAAATCTAAAAAGTTATAAAATGTTCCTTGTAACGCCAGCAATATGTAAGATTTTTGAATTTCCATCTGTTTACTTATGATGCAAGTAACGTAAAGACAAACACAGAGAGTTTAAGGTTTTCTAGGGTTTCAGAAGTCTCTGAAACTCATTTTAGGATCGACAGCTTTTGAGCCTCTTCTTCCTCCTCTGCCTCGGCCTCTCCCTCGTCCCCTTCCCCTTCCTCCACGCCTCACAAAGGATCTCCCATGTTTTACTTCTACAAGTGAGAGGAGCAACTCATCACATAGAACACAGCCTTGATGCAGAGTGGCTCCGTTCTCCAGAGGGGTAGTTTTCTTGTTGAAATCGATCTCTATGATGGCTGAATCGCACTCGGGACAGCGGTTACTAGTGGTGGCGATGCGATGAGCACCTTCCGGAAGCAAAACGATGCAACTACATAAGTTGCAGTTGAGTTTCCACTTGGGGAAGCTAACAGGGTCCAAGACGAGCGTGCCTTCACACTCTGGACAAGCGCAGACTCCTTGGTTTCTGACAGAGTGTTGGCATGTGGGATGAGGACAGAGAGAACATGGCATGCCTGAACCAGTTTTGGTTTTGGCAGGAGCATTGGGCGTCTTAGAGGCTCCAAAGAGTGTATCTATGCCTTCAAATGGAGGAGAGTTGTAGCAGTATGGGCATAGTGGAAATGACTTCCCCTCAGGTCCTGGAACTGAATAGATCACGAGCTCAAAGTTGTCTAAAGGACATGTGAGTTCCTTGTATAGCTGTAAGAAAATCCGTTAACAAAGGATCAGAAAGCTAGAGATTCACTAAGGTTTCAGCTTAAGAGTTTCAGTGATGAAAGGGTTTTACCTTGATTGTGCCCTTTTGAGGAAGATAATAAACTTCTTCGCATGTGCCGCAGAAGAGACGTGGTGGGACTGCTGTGATGTGTTTCATGTAACGCAAGCATTTTCCACATTTGCTTAAAGCACGACCAGAATCAGCCAAGGGAGAGAACTGTGCTTCGAAGAGGGCATCCATGTGTTCGATCTGAAAGGACAATATAAGAAATATGTTAAGTAGGACCAAATTAAATCGAAGACATCATCAAAGTAATGCCTTCGAAGACAATATCACATAAGCCATGTTTTCCAAACCTGTTGAACAAAATAACTGAATTTACGACGGAACTGCTGAATCACATGTTGCACAACATGTGAATGATCAGCTTGGCCCTTGGCAACAAGAGTGATTTGTTGCTCGATAAAACTCCGGATGTCTGGTAAGCAAAGGTCCGGATCAATACACTGATAGCCTCTTATTAGCGTGATTCCCAATGCCGTTGGAACCAATTTCCTCCCAGCTTGTACCTGCAAGAGTGTAAACAGCAAACAAGAGTAATGAGATTTTTCAGAAAACAAAAATGGATCTTCCTGAAAGAGTAACATTGTACCAATAAAGAAAAGCACATCGCTTTCGGGTGACTTAATTCACCTGGACATAATTACGTTCACCAATGTTGTTTATATGCACAGGTATTGATGCATCTGTGCCTATGCCATGCTTCTCCATTAGAGATATCAGCTCACTCTCAGTAAGATAGTCCGGAGGCGCAGTGTTCCCCTGTAGATTTTACAACATTCAGATACAAATAGAAAGGATAAACTAAAATTGGAACATTTAAAGTAATTTGTGTCCTGGTACAAAGCAAAGAGCAGCAACAAAAACTGGAGAAGAATGTAACCTCGTAAAGCTCCACTCTTATAACTTCAATCCTCTCTCCTTTGAGAAAAGAAGGGAGCTTTTTCTCATCTACTGCAGACCATGGCATTATAGCTGTAAATCCCTTCTCTGTCACACGCTGCCCCGTACAATGGAAAGTTTCTCCACCAATTGACAATTCCACTTTAGTCCTGAGATATCAATCCAAGAGAATACCACATATAAGATGTGCAAAGAATAAGCTGTAACTGGCATGGATTAAGCTACAAACAAGGCTTTATTTACCTTATGTATTTGCAGTTAGGTGAAACAGTGCCAATAAAATGTTGACAGACATACTGATAGAGTCGCCAAGCATCTCCTCCAACCATGACCTCGGTTGCTGCTCGCATTGGAGTGATAGGAGGATGGTCTCCTGCATCAGTTCCTGACTTGGGCTTATGAAAGCCGTCTGATAGCAGTCTCTGTACGTAACCACCCCATATTGGATTACTAACTTGTGCTCTGAGTGTGTCTGTGAAGTCAAATGAAGACGGATAGGCTGTGCTTTCTGTGCGGGGATAGCTGGCATAAAACATAAGAGTTTGAGTAAAAAAAAGTTCCACCACTATGGTGTCGTTTAAATGTTTAAATAAAAGATACAGGGAAAAAATGTGATGTATGTATATCCTCGTCAGCAAATGTTTTTTCCATATCATATCTACCAGTTCTTAATTACACAAACAAAAATACCATTCAATAACGATTTGGGATTTACCAAAATTAGCCAATTATATGCTGGTAAAGAGGAGTTAAAAAATAATCTGGAGACTGGAGCAATCGAACCTTATGAAGCCTTGAGTATACAATCGCTCGGCAAGATGCATAGCCGTCTGAGGCCCAAACCCAAGAGCACTTGAAGCAACCTGTGTAACCGCTAATGTTATGCTAGATCAGGGAGAGTAATTTTCATAATACTAACTTCTATTGAACTTTGTACTCGAGAACAAAAATAAGAAATGGCAAAAGCTCTAATTTTAACATTGAAAACCAAAAACACAATAAACAAAACAAGAAGAGAACGAAGATCCCAATGGTGTTGCCAACTTATTTCCAAAAACAACCATAGCTGATAAAAACAAAATTGCTTTGGATGAATGCAGAATATTTCAGTTTTTCAGTCAGTGTTTTGCGATCATTAGTACAGGATATGGTGTTCGCTTAAAGTATAATGTAAAACCAGGCAAGTTCAGTTCAAAGGAACGGTAATCACGACTCGTGACTTCTCTGACCTTTAGCAAACTCACGGTGTTAAGACCGGCTGGACGACCTTTGACTTCCTGCTTTTCTGATACGTCCATTACTTTTGCAGTTCTACCTTCCACGACCAACTTTTGGAACACAGTAGCAGCCTACAATTTGTGAAAACATAAATATATCAGCAACGTAAGATTAGAAAGCAATAGTCAAGAATGTGAAAGAAATTCTAACACAAGAACGAGGCACTAACTTCCAGGTCAAACAATCTACGTCTCTCCCACTCTAATTGGAGCTCATAACCATCCTTTATTATATAAGGTCGCAGAGCCCAAAACTTTTCTGGCTTGAAAGTATTAATATGCATGTACCGTTGCACACAAAACCCAAGAGTAGGCGTCTGGCATGGCCCATATCTGAAATAAACATTAAAAAGGATCTTTCAGTGGTTAAAAGACTTAAACCAGATGGATACAGTGACTTGTATTATAAAGAAGATGGAAAAATCTAGTTGGCAATATAATTTAAAGAAAAACTACTATTGAATTTGAAGAGTGACAGAACGGACAGAAAATCACGCACACTCTTTCTAACATTCTGAGGAATACTTGAAAGGAGAACACATATGATCAAATCTAAACCCCCAAGAGAACCAGAACCATCGTTGAATAATGACAGCTCATTTCTTGTCCTATTATGAGAAATGAAGAGGTGCTTCGAGAAAGATGGCAACATAAAAGCCTAAGTCTTACAAAGCTATGTCTATACTCAATTTTAGCATTTACATGAGTTCCATTACTAAGACACTCTAAATGACAGGAGATAACCACAATAGAATTCCACAGCCGCATCTTATATGATCAACCGTACCAAATACCCCCAAGGAAAAAGAAAAAAAATGCATCTGGACTAAAGAAAGAAATCGACCATAGAGACTCTTTACACACGGAACAAAAAGAGAGGAAACTGACGAGATAACTCTGCAGTCTAGATTCTGATATTTGCCTTGGAAATAACTTGTTTGAAATCGCGAGAATGCTACACCAACTTTTAGATCGATCTCTTGACGAGCATCTACTGCCAGTGCCTCATCTCTGTTTGGTTCAACAAGGTTGTCCATGGCCTTTGATATATCTTTCTCAGTCACAGAAGAAAACCGCGCCCGATAAACCTTTCTCTTACTATCTTTCATGTCAAAGCCAGTAGACTCAATAACTACAAGAATATAATGGTCAACAAATTATGGCAACGGCCATCAAAACCATGTGCATTTCCCAAATATGATTGGCATAGAAAAGATGCTTATGTAGGAGAAAAATGATTAAAATATTGGTGGTTGCATCACATATGCAGGAGCTAGTTGTATACTTAAACCCGCAATCTACTACGACAACTTAAAGGGTCTACCATTGGATACTGACATAATATACAGATTCAGCAGTATGATATGCTTCATTTAGTAAAACCAGAGAAGATAGTATAGTCATTGAATCAACATTCACCAATAGAGTGGAATGCAATGGTAGACAAAATAAATTCTGTATGTTTCAAGCAAGATCTGGTGAGAACAAAAATGAAAACCGGTAACTAAAGACTTGCCTTCAAAACATATATTTTCCCCTTCACGATCGCAATCCAACCACAACACCATATAACTGCAACCACGAGCTTCATTACTTAAATGCCTACAAATATGAGCCTGAAATTTGAAGACTGTTAGAGAAAAGTGTACTACCGTAGAAAGAAATAAAAGAATACAAGAAGCATATGAGCACTAGAAAGATGCATCTTTACTACTAACCATACGCAGAAATCTAGTTCCAAAAGTCAGGCATATCGTTTATTCATGAAGCAATAAAGCTCATCCCTTAAAGTAAACAAATGTTGCTAAAAAATGTAAACTACAGCAGCCAATGCCCATGGGTAAACGCCAAAAAAACAACTCAAGCAGTCCCCCATGCACAAAGAAAAGAGATAAGATCGTGAGAAAAGATTACCTTTGGGTTTGACTCTTTTTTAAGAATTGGAGCGTCGAAAAGATCTTGAGGGTCAATTGTTGCCCAATTTTGATATTTTTCTGGGAAATCTACACTAGAATGTGAGAGTGGCATTTAGAAAAAGTCATTGTTGTATAGTAATCTACGGAGCAGCAAGCAATGACTCCAATATCTCTTTGATTCGAATATGATTGATAGGCAAGAGAGAGAACCTGAAAACATGGCCGATAACAGATGTAACTCTATAATGTGCTTTGAAACCTCGAAACATCCCATCAAATTCATGCACCTCTGTACTGCCTCTCCTTGTAGACATCTGAAGCAAAAGGAGAGGAGAAATCGAATTAACGCAGAAGAGTTCCGTTACTATATATACTCCTTCGATTCGAGCTAGGGTTTTAGAAATTAGAGAATCGAAAGAGAGAGAAACCTGGCCATGTGAGAGAACTGAAGCTATGGAGAGAGCAATGCTGGGCTTCTCCGCCACCTGATGAAAGAAGATTTGTAAGAGATGAAGAAATGAAGATGGGAGAAGTACTGTTCAAATAGGAACCCAGTTCACTCACCATGAGAACTCTGGGGAGATTAGCCATTGAAGACGACGACGACGTCAGAATCGGGTCAAGCTCAGGCGGCGTCGAATGAGCTTTTAGCCGGAGGAGACGCAAAAATCAGCTTAAACGAGAAACCGACTACACACCGCTTTTTCCCAATATATTAAACGGCATCGTTTTTAACTCACATCTTAAAATTCGGTTCAGTTTTTGGTTTCGGTTTGGTTCTTTTGCATACCGTAAATAGGGAACCGCTGCTGAACCCGGTTTACCTATCACATTTATGAGGAGATAGTGTTTGTATTGTCTCATGTAACATTTATTATTATATCCTATCCAGTTAACATTTCTTCTTTTTCATACTCCATCAATTTTTAGTTTTAAGAAAATTTAATCTTAATAAAGATATTTATATAGGATTCAAGAAGAATAAAAACTTTTAAAATATAGAGTAAGTTGTGTTTGTGTTATTTACTTTTAAGTATTCCTAGAACTGTAGAGTAGATTATTATTTACTGTTGAAATTCTTACATAATTTATAAAAATAGGAATGCTAAGCTTTTTGAATAACATACGATGTAATCAAAAGGTTTCTTTGAATTTAATCTTGTCCGTTCTCTTTTTTTCTTTTTTGCAGCACTTGTCCATTCATGTATAGGAGATACATTTGGCAAAAATCATGCTCGATAAGTAAAGACGATATCACAATCCAAACATTTAATACTGACTACAATTTACATTTCCCATCCCTCCTAGATTTTGGTCTACCAGACAGTAAAAAGCAAACAATAAAGGGTAATGTGTCTTGTTGTAGTGACATATCATCTTTCCCTTTCAATATGTTTTCTTTTTCGGCTTTTTTTTGTTTCTTTTTATATTTTGCTATAATTATTAAGTTATAGATTCTGTGAAATATCCAAAATTTTAAACTGTATCATTATTCTTTTCTTGGAGCACAATTGTTTGAGCATAAGATACACTACTAAAGTCTATGTTATGTGCATACACATGTATGCTCATATATATATATATGATACAAAGAGTAGATCATGTAGAGATTCTCATAACAAGCTTATTCTAGCTACTAAAAGAGATTGAAAATGCAATAGCTCATTGGAGCTTTATTAAACATAAATGTAAAGAGAAGAAGAAGAACTTAGATTGTCACCAAGAACACTTAAAGACTTTAGATTTGATTTCATAAAATGGGAAAGAGGAGAGTTGCTCAATGTGGCAACTCTCTAGGTTAGAGACAATGATGTTCATTACACACTTTATATAATAGACTATCTTGCTAGAGAATCCTAATTACATGGACTAGTCATGGGCTTGTTTGTCTCATAGGTTGGATTTGTTGACACTTAAATGGCTTGTGTTTAGGATCCTCTAATAAATCAGATCATCATATGTGTACAGATGTGAGAGCTTCGAAGACTTTTGTTGACAAAAAGTGTGTCCATTGAAATAAACCCTAATCTTTGATGATATATTTCTATTTGAAACGTTGGATATATATTATATATCATATTATTACGAATACAACAGTTTATTTTGAGATACTGTGTTGACAGTTTTATGAATAGTTTTCTACTTTTTGTAGTATAATTTTCGTTTTGAATACATAAGAAAATCGAAAAGTCAGGTCAACAACTCAAAGTGTGTTAAATACAACTCAGAATAAATGACAACGTGTGTGTGATAGTGGACTGACGAAGAAACGACTCGTGGGAAGATCGTTTATTTATGTGGCGGCAAATTATTTATATATGGATATATCATGTTCATGTAGAAAACCAACCACTGTAGTTTTGTTTTGTTTAATTTGTTTATCTTATGATACCCTATTATATTTCTCTATCAAGAACTACTTGGTGAATGGTGATCCTTATACATATTTACATAGATTCGCATCAAATTGAACCCTAGGGCATAGACCATATATAAAAAGTTTATACTATGATATAAATAATATGGTTTACCAAGAAAATAATTTAAAGTGGAAGAAATTTCAAAGCAGGAAAGACCAACATTGTGAGGCAGAGGCTTGGAATGGGAAAGACGAAATGATGAAGGCATGTTTGGCATCTGGCCATCTAAAAGCCAAAACCATCCTATTTTTGTCTTTTTTAAAGCAAAAGAATCCGTTTCGATATTATAACTACGATGACTATCCATGCATATATCATACATTATGTATACGTATATAAACCAATCATAGACTAACAATATAATTAAGTATACATGTATATAGTCATTGTCATCCAACGAAATTAAACGTGAGCGTCTTTTTCAGATAAAATTACACGTTTGTCAACCTGTTGAATGACACCTATATATGTAATTTACGAGAAATTTTAAGCGGCAAAACGGTAAAAGCATGACTAGTAGAAGAACTTTGCTGTTTTATAAATAGTGTGTTATGCATCATTAGTTTATAATATATAATGATTAACTTTTTGCTACTTCCTTAATCCAAAATGATTTGGGAGACTTCTTTTAATATCCTTAAAATTTCAACATTTTCGAGGCGGTCAAAAGCAACCAAGATTCATCTTGTTTTACACATCCTTCACAAATCACAGTTCACATACACATGCATATAATATTATATAACTAAATTATTTGCTTTATTCTTATGTGGAATCCTCTTTTTTATGTTGTTGTTGTCGAAGGCTATGTAATGCTCATTTGGTTAGCATTTTAGAAACTGAAAACTTTCAAAATGATTGTTAATTTGCGTGTGTATTTGGTTTAATGGTTAACTAATTAAGAAACTTAAAAAAAAAAATAATAATAATAATTAAGAAACTTTCTAAAGTTTACATTAGATTTTTTTTTTTTGTTAAAGTTTTACATTAGACTAGGTGAATACCCACGCTACGCGTGGGGTTATTATTTAAAAATAGTTCAAAAAAATTATGTTAGATTTTCTTTTAGTTATGTACATTTTCTTGTGTGTTTTTATGTAATAAAATTAAATCCATCTTATATTGTTATAAAGTTAGATCCATCTTGACTCAAGATATCAATTAAACATTTTTTGTTAGTGAAATTATAAACTAAACTCTAGTCATGATGAAGAAGATTTTGATGGAGAGATTAGATTGTGTATCGAAATGAAGATGATATTAAAAATTATAATTGATATGTTAGTAATTGTACAATACTACCTTCTCATCAATCATTAAGAGTGAGATTTCAAAGAAAACATCACGGTCATTACAGTATGTATTTCAGTGCAAACTTGCCACATTCTAACTATTAGACCAACAACATGTTGAGCGTGAAATTGAAGTCGTAAATCGTTAAAAAAAATATAGGGACCTTTGATTTAGATTATAACCATTCATGAGAGACATTTTGGTTATAAGTGAATTGGAGGAAGATTGCTTTAGATGTGTTACTTCGTTATTTTGAGAGAAAATAATAATGTATATATAGTGGTTGTTTTGATTTTTGGGAGTTTTAAATATCCACTAAAATTTATTAAATGAGAACTTATTTTATAATTAAATGACAATATTTAATATTACGGTCTGAGGAGAGAATGTGAAAGAGTAAAAACGATTGTATTATCGTAGAAGAATTCCAAGAGCCTAAATTAATTATTAGTTAAGGGAAAACAATGAGAAATTTATCATGGTTATAGTGCGTAATTATAATTGTTATCATTCTAAAACATCTAGAAAACATTATTCTAATGAAATAGTGAAAGTAGAAGTTTAAAAATAGTGAGATTATTTTTAAGAGACAGATCTTCTTGTAAAATATTTATGAAATTATTTTTAAAAAAATATTTGATATGATGGGTTTCTATTGTAATTGGGGTTTTCATCTTTGTCCCTTTTTTTTGTCTTTTTTATTGAGAAAACACAAACAATCAACAAAATAAAGCCAAGAAGCCTAATTATATATAATAATAAATTGTTAAATATATGTAATAAATCATTTTACGATTCTGTTTTTTTTTTTTAATAAATAGTCAATTAATGAAATTTTTTTCAGGTCCACATGGCAGTCTCACATGCGCTGATGTGTCACTCTCATGGAGAGAGTTGGCCTCCTTTTATATATATGATTTTTTTTAATAAATAGTCAATTAATGAAATTTTTTTCAGGTCCACATGGCAGTCTCACATGCGCTGATGTGTCACTCTCATGGAGAGAGTTGGCCTCCTTTTATATATATGATTTTGGTCTATAGTTCGACTGTTCGAGGCTTCAAGCTTAAGCTAGACACACAAACAAAAAATATTGATGCAGTTAATAAAAATAATTCAAACATTTTAAATATCGTTGTGGTCATGTACTCTTTTTGGTACACAATATGCCGTATGTTGTTTGTATTCTTATTTAGCGAGAACGTTGTAGAAGACCAATTGTAGTCATTCAAAAGTGATATTGTTAATTGATTATAACTTGAAACTACATAATCTTTTAACTTGTAACACTGAATATATAGCTTAGAATACCTTTCATAAAAAGTAAAAAATAAAACATTGAATATAGCATTAGCATGCGAATTGAAGTGTTATTGTTAAAAAAATATTGATGACAAGTAGAGAGGAAAAAATAGTACTAATATTTAAGTTTTGGTAGTCCATTACTCCAAAACGTACGTAATATAGATTTAATATCCGTCCTGATCTTGTTACCTTCTAGGTTTTCTTCGACAATGATACAAAGACACAGACACAGACCTCTCGATTCCCTAGCATCACTCATTTTATTAAGTTGATTATCAATGAGTTAATTCAAAATAAATTTATTAGTTATTTAGTATTAGTTATAATGACAATCACATCATATATTACTATTGCTTTTATATATTTTTGAGAATCGTTTAAAATATAACTAGATTTTAACCCGCGGTATACCGCGGGATGATTTAATTTTAAAATTAGTATAAAAATATTTTGTAAATTGTATCTCCTTATAACATATTTATTTATATTATAGTTTATAATTGTTATTAAGTAACGGTATACCACGAGTCCACGAGACAATTATTAATAAACGGAAGATTTAACCCGTATTAAAGCGGTATATAAATATTGATTCAAATTCGTCCGCCATATAAATCCTTTCCGAAATATAACCTGTTCCGTAATTTTTTAACCCATCCCGTGATTTGTTTTTATTTTTAAATTTAATGATTATTTATTATATATAAAAGTTTACAAATCATATCATCCTCTAAGACCACGGGACATTATACCACAGGACAATTTTTGGTTTTATACAATCTTTTCTAAATGAGACTGATTTAATATGTCTAATATTTGTGGTATTAAAAAAGAAGATTTAATCCGTATTGAAGCGGCGGATTAATGATATTTTAATTTTTTTTATTATTGTTGATTCAAAAACCCGTCCCGCCAAACCCGTCCGGCAAAAAAACTCATTTATTTTATTAATGTTCTTATTTATGATACGATTCTGAATTATTGCCTAAATAATTTAATCGATGTAGAACGTTGAACACACATTTTCGTCAATTAGATAATATATGTCCGTTTTTTAAATTTCGAATCACAGTATATGCAGAAAAAAAAATTGATTTTTTTTTACTTTATGTATTATATGATGATTCAAAACAGTTAAAAACAAATCAAACAAAGATGATAGGAGGATCATAATTATAAATTTTAATCAAATCTTCTAAATATCTAAATTATTAAATATGGAATATCCGGTGTATGAGTTGGGTTTAATTTAACCCGATCCAAGTTTATTTTTGTGAAGGATTTTTTAAAACGGGTCGGATATCCGATATACCCGTAAAATTTTTTACCCACCCGTCACAAAAAGTGCTGCAATTATACTAGTATAGATAGTGTATTATTATAAACCTACATTTTTCCACAACTATTAGAATGTAGCATCCAATAATTTTTTAATAATTTATAAAGATAATAAATGGTATTTAGAAGTATGGTAAAATAGTGAAAGAATAGAATAATAAAATAGCGGAAATGCTTGAATTTGATCTGGATAAATTTTGTTGAATAGTATTCACGGAAAAGAATAAATACATCATTTTTTGTTATATTTTTGATATGTATATTATAGATAACATGTTTTATAAGAATATAGAAGTATATGGAAATTTCATGTGGATTTCCAATGAATTCCAAATTTTACAATCTATACAAGAGATATTTGTCCAAAAAGAAAATCTATACAAGAGATGTAGACCTAAAACATTGCTCTAAAAAGTTGCTAAACTTACCAAATAAAGAAAAAATATACAAGGATATATACAATAGACTTTTGTCAAAAAAGAAGAAGGAACTATGCATATTTTCAATAGAATAATTTGTCAAAAACGTAAAAATTTGATCAATGTTGTGAATGATGGAAATAAAGAAATCACTAAAAACAGCTTACCAAAAAAAAAGAAATCACTAAAAACATTAAACATGAACAAGTTGGCAGTGTTTTACTAGTATGTTATTTATGAATTGAAATCTTATTAATCAACATATAATTTAAAATAGGGATATGTTATGACCAAGAGCATAAAATCGTAAGGAAAATATTTAATTATTTAAACTTTCTTATGAAATAATAAATAAAATTATAAACCATTACCAAAAAAAAAAAACAACTAAAAAAATTGAATAAGCCTCCCTTAATTTTCTTCTATATAGTGTAATCAAATCAACAACAAATTTTGAAAAAAGTAAAAAAATTGACTAATTATTATTATTAGACTCAGCCAAAAAAAAAAAAGTGAAAGCCCATAGGAAGTGATTAGTGCAAGACCTTATAATAAGCTCTCTCTCTGCGCTTTATTCTGTTCAAATCCACTGCTTTTACTTTGCCGTTTCACTGAGAACGAGGCTCACTCTCTCTCTCTCTATCTTTCTCATAGAAGAAGAAGAAGAAGATTCAGGACCAAGTAGAAAAGCTTAAACCAAGCACTCTCTCTTCAAAGTTCAAATCACACTTTTTTGCTTTCTCTCTCCAAAATCTTCCTCATTGTCCTGCTTCAAGAATTCTTGTCTCTTCAACACTTTTTCCCTTCTTATTCTAAAAACCAATCTTCACTTCTTCTCTCATTCGTCTCTCTGTTGGGAAAAACTAAAACCCATTTCTTAATTCCTGTCTCTGTAAGCCAAGGAGTGACAAAAACCCTTTTACTCCTAATCCAACTTGTCTTTGCTTTTAGCTTCTGTCTAATTCAAAGGAAAAGAAAGAAGCCAAATCTTGTCAATTTCGAAAAAAAAACTATTTGTTTAAACAGTGATTCAACTAAAAACCCCAAATTTGTTCGATTTGATCTCTGTTGTCTTTTTCTTTACTGGATGGACTGAGTCTTTATTCCAAGGACAGCTCAAGAACAACAATGAGAGACGATAAATCCAAGAAAAGCAAGGTTTGTTTTTATGTTTCTTCAATTCCATCTTTCATGAATTATAGAGATGAACAATTTCATTTACTTTCTTTTTTTTTGCTTCAATGAAGTTGTCATGGTCTAAGAAGATGGTGAGGAAATGGTTCAACATCAAAAGCAAAACTGAAAAGTTTCAAGCAGATGTTTCTGTTCCTCAAGGTACACCAAAAAAAAATACAAAAGTCTTCTTCTTGTCAAAACTTGTTCTTTGTTCTGTTCTGGAGACCTTTAATTTGTCATATTTTGTCTTTTCTGAGAAAACAAAACATCTCAATTTCACCTTTATTTTTGGGTCAATTGACAGTTTCTGTTTCTTTTCCTTTAACCACCCTTCTCTTCTCTGTGGAATTTATAGAATTAGCAATTGGATTGTTGTGTATGACTTCAAATTCTGATTTTTTTTTTATGTCAAATTAATTAAGGAGTTGAAGTTGAGCACAAAAACAGCTTCTCAGAGAGAGAGCCCTGCACAATCAAGAAGAGCAAAACTGGTATAATCATTTCATCAATATGATCAATCCTCTATGATATATAATCATTTCCTTGGTCTCATGATTTCTGAGTTTCACAGAGAAACTGAATAAGAACTGGGAGCAGCAAGCTAGACAAAGGAAAATGAACTATGAAAATCCGAGAATCATTGATGTCCAAAACCACAGGTATATAATATATGAACAACACAATCACACACATACATATGTGACTTATTTTATTATCCATTGAAGTTGAATCTCATGTTGATGATACTTGAGAACAGCATCTTTGTAGCTACATGGAACGTTGCTGGACGCTCTCCTCCCGAAGATCTAAACCTCGACGAATGGCTTCATTCCTCTGCTCCTGCAGATATATACGTCCTCGGGTGTGTTTTCATTATATCTTCTTTTCAAGAATGGCTCTGTTTGTTCAAGAAACGTTCTTACTAATCTCTGTTTTTATTCTGTGTGTTCTTTTAGGTTCCAAGAGATTGTTCCTCTTAATGCTGGTAATGTTCTTGGAGCTGAAGACAATGGTCCTGCTAAGAAATGGCATTCCCTCATCAGGAAAACGCTCAATAACCTCCCCGGGACAAGCAGTGTCTGTCATACTCCGTCCCCTATTCCTGTCCCCATTGCAGAGATTGATGCTGACTTCTCAGGATCTTCGAGGCAAAAGAACGAGACTTTCTTCAACAGAAGGTCTTTCCAGACCCCGAGCGTATGGAGTATGGAAGAGAATGACCCTTCTATCTCACAGCCACGGCTTGACCGTCGTTTCAGTGTCTGTGATCGCGTATTCTTCAGTCATAGACCAAGTGATTTCGACCCGAGCTTCAGGTGCAGTCACAGGCCTAGTGATTACTCAAGAAGGCCTAGTGATTACTCTAGACCAAGCGATTATTACTCTAGGCCGAGCAATTATTCTCGGCCTAGTGATGTTTCCCGGTGGGGCTCCTCGGACGATGATAACGGCCCGGGGGATTCTCCAAGCACACTCTTGAATTCACCGGGGTCTTGTCTTGGTTCTGCATCGAATGAAAACGGTTACAGAATCCCGTGGAACTCATCGCAGTACTGTTTGGTCGCAAGTAAACAGATGGTTGGTATCTTTTTAACAATTTGGGTGAAAAGCGAGTTACGAGAACACGTCAAGAACATGAAAGTATCTTGTATTGGTAGAGGATTAATGGGTTATCTCGGAAATAAGGTAAAAATCTTATGTTTGTTACTGCTTCAGTTAGGTATAGTTAGATATGAGTTGGTTAGTTAGTGCAGTGCTATAATCTGCTTTTGTGGTTCTTGTAGGGATCAATCTCAATTAGTATGTTGCTTCATCAAACAAGCTTCTGCTTCGTCTGCACCCATTTGACCTCGGGACAAAAAGAAGGTGATGAGCTAAGGAGAAACTCCGATGTCATGGAAATACTCAAGAAAACGAGGTTTCCTCGTGTCCAGAGTTCCGCGGACGAGAAGTCCCCTGAGAATATCCTTCAGCATGAGTAAGACTGAGACCGAACATCAAGAATTGAATGATTTGCTTAAGATTCATGATCCATTTCATCATGGCTCTTGCACTCAAATCTAGTTACCTTTCTCATATTTCTTTGTTTCCATTTGATTTAGTCGGGTAATATGGCTCGGGGATCTGAACTACCGGATAGCACTCTCTTACCGATCCGCAAAAGCACTAGTCGAGATGCAAAACTGGAGGGCATTACTAGAGAACGATCAGGTACATGTAGTAGATATAATACATAAATAAAGCAATAGAGACTATAGAGTTTCATCACATTACTTTATAGAATGTTCTAATCCAAAACATTTGAAAACGTTTTTACTGCAGTTACGGATAGAGCAGAAACGAGGGCATGTGTTTAAAGGATGGAACGAAGGAAAGATTTACTTCCCACCAACTTACAAATACTCAAATAACTCGGATAGATATGCAGGAGGTGATTTGCATCCAAAGGAGAAACGTCGTACTCCTGCTTGGTAAGTTTCTTGCAATCAGAAAGAAGTAAACAAGAACCATGTAATGATCTAACAATGGATTTTTTTGGTTATGTTACTTAAGGTGTGATCGGATACTATGGCATGGAGAAGGTCTACATCAGTTATCTTATGTAAGAGGGGAGTCGCGGTTTTCAGATCATAGACCGGTTTATGGCATATTCAGCGCAGAGGTTGAGTCAAATCACAAGAGATTAAAGCGAACCACAAGTCATTCCACTGCACGGGTCGAAGCTGAAGAACTCTTACCTTACGCCCGCGGATACACCGAGCTAACATTTTTCTAAAAGAAAATCGAAAAGGAGATCTTTACGGTAACATCTCTATTCATAAGATTTATAAATCTAACCATAAAAATTAGGAGATAACAGATAGAATATAGTGTCAGTGACATTGATCAAAGCCATCAGTAGTAGTAGACTTGTAGTAATAGTTGTGGTCCTGAAACTCAAAATAGAGACTTAAGTCCAATAAGACTGGTCTGCATTTATTATGTATCAGCCAAGAAAAGTATAATCCACACGTTCCTCTCATATCATTTAAGGCACATCACATTGATTTGGATAAAAATGGACCCCGTAAAGCGATCTTTTTTCGTGTTTTCGATTCGAAAATGTGATAAGATATTGTCTCTGCATCATCAGAGCAATAATTAATGATGGAAAATTTCTTGAAACCAAGATTTGTTGTGTGATATTTTTTTCAGAAATCTCATAAAGAGTTATCATAAAGAGTTATGGTATATAATTCGATTCGGCTTTTGTCAGGTAAATTAAAGTTTTTTTTTTACGAGTGTTGAAGCCTTGAGGAGTGATGATGATGGAGACATTTCATTGCTCCTTTTAACACAAAGGAAACAAGTAACAGGTTGGTCCAATCCCACTTCTCTTCGTATGTCTGTTTCCGGTTCGGTTTCAATTGATTTTAATGGGTGAATTTCCGGTTTATAGGTGTATAAAAGGATTGTAATTTTGCTTTGGTTAACAGAATTTCGCATATCAACCGTTTTTTTTATTTACAGCGTGTAGGTAATAATTAATTTTAATCTCAAAATTTAATTCAGTTTTGATTCTATTAATAAGTTAACAACAGTTTTAATAAAACTTGTTTTTGTGCAGGATTATTAAACTGACAGATGGAAGGTTTTTTAATTCATCAGTCTTTTTAGGGATAGTTTTTGATAATATTATTATTGTAAATTGAAGTGTGTTCCCGAGACAATGATAGTGTAATGCTTGTTGTATAAGTAAGTTTTAGCTGTTTAAGTGTAACAAAAAGATTATACAAGAAAAGCAATTATTTAATTCATTATGATTGTTTTCTTACAAAGGAAAAGTGAAAAGAATAAAAAGATAACGTCTTGTGATGATCGTTGTACTGAAAAAGTTAAGGGTTTCTTGATAACCTCGAAGCTCACTCATTCTTTGATTCTACGTATTGGAGTACAAAAATTCAATGATTAGTTTTATTTTTTCTGAAATCTCATAAAGAGTTATAATTGTAAGCAATTAGTCAAAATATCAACATTCAAATACCTTTGCATTATTTTTGTAGCACTGCATGCAAAAAGTTTAATAATTTTCAATCATTAGTTTCAGTTTGTTAACTGTAATAAAATTAAAGGAAAGTTTCATGTTATACAATTTATTTTGAAATATTAAAAATTAAAGGTAATAGAGAGAATAGTGTAAAGATGTGAATGTAGAATGAAATGATTGAAAAAGAGTATGAAAGTGCAGAGAGTGTATTGTGTAATCTCATGCTTTTCTCTTTTTTCTATTTGCTCATGCTTTCTCTTGTTTCAGCTTTCGTGATTACAACAACACTTGTAAATTCCTTTTTATTTATTTTAACCCCAAATAAAAAAACATTCTTGTATAATGTGAAGTCAGACAATGATCAGCTCTATTTTTTTCATGAAAAATCCTATTTACCTAACATCAACAAATAAATAAAAAAGAATGGAAAATGTGGTCCAAAACAAGAAGTGTATATCAAAATGATTTACTTGAATACCTTTAACTATTACTCTTATCCTATTAAAATTAAAGTTCATCAGCTATGATTTAAAGGAGTGAACATTCTGATATTTTATCTAATTCGATAAATGTTTCGGTTCATTCCGAATTTTCACATACTTAAAAGTATAATATCTATAATTTTATCTAATTTTTGTGATAAGATTATTTTTAATGACTCATAACCTGAAAACATATGTTTAGTGAGCTAGTGAGTAAATGAATCCTTTTTTTTGTTGGTCAACAGAAAATATCTCATACTTACAAAGTGATTTCACATACTAATAAACAATTAATTGTTTCATACTATTAATCAAAATAATCTCACCTGTATAGCTATAGCCTATATGGACTGACTGGTCAGACACATTGAATGGAGTGGAGTCTTTATTCAAAAAAACTTAAAACAAATTTTTGATATATGCATATATAGTTATATACTCAGGCTTAATATATTTTATTTTTACCAAGAAGTAAATATAAATTATAAAAAAAAGTATAGTCAGGACAAGGCTGCATAGACTTTTTTGTAAGTGGGAAACGAAAGTAGCCTCACTCACACAAGCACATTTATTTCTTCTTCTTTTTTACCAAAAAAAAAAATCCATTCTTTCTTGTAATTTTCTTATTTCCAGATTATTTTCTCCATAACAAAATAAGAAATTGCTCACTTCATGGGCCCTAAATTTGGGCTACATGGGCTTTTCTCTTAACCAATTACGCACGAATAAACTTCATTTTGTTTTTTATTCTTTAAATCTTTCCGATAAAAAGAAACTCGGAGGAATCTACGGTTGATTCTAAACGCAGTGTCTCCACCATGAAATCACGGCGGCGGAGGAACGTCTCGGAGAATCATCACGAGGAAGAATCCCCAACCTCAGTGAATGAAAGAGTATGCTCATTGCCGATATCAATCGATCTCATAATCGAGATACTCTCGAGGTTACCGGCGAAATCAATAGCGAAATGTCGTTGCGTATCGAAGCTCTGGGCCACCATACTCCGTCTTCCAGATTTCACAGAGTTGTTCTTAACCAAATCTTCAGCTCGGCCGCAGCTATTGTTCGCATGCCAAAAACGAAGTGAGTTGTTCTTCTTCTCAAAACCCAGATCAGAATTCGTCTCCTGTAGCTGTTAGTTACCATATGAAATTTCCTTTTAACCTCTCCTTTGAAAGATTTAGTCCCATCAATGGCTTGCTCTGTCTTAGACATGAGTGTATCTTAAAAGGAAGGAAAAAACCAGTGTGGGGATCAGTGATATGTAATCCTAGCACAGGACAAATACAATCTTTGCCTTTACCAAGAATGAAGACAAGGAGGAGTTTTGGGGGCAAGAGCTTTTTCGGGTATGATCCGATTCAAAAACTATTCAAGGTATTGTCCATGACTTTGCCATATGGAATCTATAATGGAAACTGTGAGGAGTATCAAGTTCTGACACTAGGAACTGGAAAATTGTCATGGAGATTGATTGAATGTTGCAGGCCTCATTTTCCTGTATATAATGAGGTATGCATCAATGGTGTTTTGTATTATCTAGCTTGCGTCAACGGTTTTTTAGAGGTTGTAGTTCACTACAATGGAAAATTAGGTTTGCTTATGTCGGGAGGGCCTGGCTGTGACAATAGAATAAGTGGAAGTATTGAGTTGTGGGTTCTAGAAGACCCCAAGAAACATGAATGGTCGAAGCATATTTACGTATTGCCTCCTTTGTGGAGAAATGTAGTTGGGGAGGCCGAGTTAGACTTTGTTGGAATGATTGGTACAAATGAAATTGTGTTGTCCCAGCGTTGTCTATATGAACGTTCATACATTTTCTACTACAATATCACGAGAAACACTATCGTTAAAGTTGAAATCCAAGGAATGGAACTGTTTGAGCGTAGTAGACTTCACACCTTTTTAAACCATGTAGAGAACGTGAAGCTTATGCAGGAGTTTTAGGAGTTTATATCTTGAGAATTTGTAACAAAGCTTGTTTGACCTTAAGTTCTTATCATAAAGATCATGAGATTTTAATTATAGTCCTTATGTTTTCCCTCGGTATTGTGTCGCTATCAATTTTTGTGCTTGTTGGATGACAATTCTTTTGTTGTTGTATTCATCTTTTGTATATAGCATATCCACCCTCTTGTTTGTTTAGTGGTTCAAACACTCTGGTGCAATGGTTGTTCTAAGCCTAAAGTTTGTGTTCTTCTAAGTCTTAGCTAATCAACTACACAATGTGTAATTGGGTAACGAACCGCCACTACATGGGCCCTAAATTTGAGCTACATGGCCCTCATAAGGTTCACTTTTTTTTTAACTTAGTCCAAAACAGATGTGATCTTCCGATGCTCAATCAAGGTTTAGTTGTTGAACTTTTCGAGAACGGCCCATAATGAAGAAAAAGTAGTTGAACACACGAAGAGCTATTGTGAAGATACGAAGAGCTAATGAAGATACGGTTATGGTTACGGTTACGGGTACGAGTACGAGTACGGTTCTTGATTTTTATTTTATTTACCCCAAATTTTGCCTCAATTATACTATAAGAAAAGAAAAAAAGGAGTTGAAATAGAACTGCGGTTCGTCTACAAGAGAAACTAGGGTTTAAAGGCAGTGTCTCCGCCATGAAAACACGGCGGCAGGACGTCTCCGAGGATGCTCTAACCATTTCCCGGCAATCATCAACCTCAATTGATAGAAGAGAAAACTCAGAGGCGATCCCAACTGATCTCATTTTCGAAATACTCTTGAAATTGCCGGCGAAATCTATAGCTCGATGTCGCTGCGTATCAAAGCTCTGGTCTTCCATACTTGTCCGTCCCGATTTCACAGAGCTATTCTTGACCAGATCTTCAACTCTCCCGCAACTCTTGTTCTCCTTCGAAAAAAACAGTGAGCTGTTCTTCTTCACGGCACCGCGAATTCAAAATCCAGATGAGAACTCGTCTCTTGTATCCCCGAGTTATCATACGAAGGTCCCCATTGATAGTTCCTCTCAAATTTGTGGTCATGTCCGTGGTTTGCTATGTCTTACACATCTGCGGGTCTTAAAGGGAAGGAAGGAAACAGTACCAATGATATGCAATCCCAGCACTGGACAAGCCTTACCTTTACCCAAAGTGAAGACTAGGAGGGTTAAAGTGAGAAGCTTTTTGGTTTATGATCCGATTGAGAAGCAGTTTAAGGTGTTGTCCATGACCTGGCCATGTTATGGAAACGATGATAAGAATTGTAAGGAGTATCAGATTCTGACATTAGGGACTCAAACTCTTTCATGGAGGATGATTGATTGTTGTTTACCCCATCATCCTGCACATGATGGGATATGCATTGATGGTTGTTTGTATTATCAAGCTATGGTCGGTCCATTGTCAGGGATTTCTACTATAGTTTGCTTTGATGTTAGGTCTGAGAAGTTTAGTTTTGTTAAGAAAGCTAGGGGCATGGCGTTGTATGGTCAATCAGCTCTGGTAAACTATGAGGGTAGGTTAGGTGCAATTCAGTCAGATGGGCTTCACATAGCTGGAATAATTAATAGCCAAACTAGAAGTCTTGAGTTGTGGGTTCTAGTAGACGCTGAGAAACATGAATGGTCGAGGCATGTATATGTATTGCCTCCAATGTGGAAGAATGTTGTTGCAGAGGCTGAGTTAAACATTGTTGGAAGGACTAGTACAAATGAAATTGTCTTATCGCGGCATTATTCATCTGTGGCTTTCTATCTTTTCTACTACAATCCCGAGAGGAACACAGTCAGAAGAGTTGAGATCCAAGGAATGGATGAGTTTAAGCATTCTAGAGTTCACACCTTTCTAGACCATGTGGAGGACGTGAAGCTTATGCATTATAACTTGTAACAGATCATCGACTCTTAGTGTTCATCTTTCTTAGACACTATATTTATTCCTTTTGCTGTAATGGTTCATACATTGAGGAATGGTTGTTCTTAAGTAAGTTTGATAAACTACAATGGTAAATTAAGTTTAATGAGGCACATGTCTGATATATATAATAGTGGAATAAAAACATGTTTTGAGTTGTGGATTCTGGAAGACGCCAGAAAACAGCAATGGTCAAAACATATATACATATTGGATCTTTTGTGAAAGAATCTGGTTAGAGACACCCGTTTACGGTTTGTTGGAATGATTGGTACTGAAGAAATTGTGTTCTCAATGTACTACGAAAAGGTGCCTTTCTACGTTCTCTACTATAGCATCGAGAGGAAGACAACCATAAGAGTTGAAATCCAAGGAATGAAAGTATTCGAGGGTAATCGGGTTCACACCTATTTAGACCATGTAGAGGACGTGAGGAGTATGAAAGTGATTTAGGACTTTATAATGTAACTAGTTTGGTTCTTAAGTTCTCATGAATCATAAGGATGATGGGGTTTTGCTAGAGCTTTTATCTTTCCATTACTTTTGGTAGTTATCAGTTCTTTGGCTTATTGGATGACTATCTTTATCTGTTTTTTGTCATGATGTTAAATCTTTGGGTTTATAACCATTGGTTGACCAAGGGTTAATTAATGCTTCTACACCCAGAGGTCTGGGGTTCGAGTCCCAGAGAATGCGATTTATTAATAAATTTGCAGATTATTGGAGGCAAGTGTGCAGGAGATCTCCAGCGATGTACAATTATAGCCGTTCGCCAGGATTCTACGCAGACAGAGAAGTGTCCATCAAGAGCATGAAGAAGGAGGTGAAGGAGGTGACAGGTGAGCATGAAGAAGGAGGTGAAAGAGGTGTCATCTGTCGTGAATCTAATAAGGGTCGGAAGGAATTGTCCGTTGTAGAATCGTCTATGTAACAGTTCTCATAATTTGCAATAAATAATAAATCCAGACGACAAAAAAAAAAAAAAATGGTTGTTTTAACCAATACCATTTTTCTTTTGTTTCCTATTTTCCACATTAGTTATATTATTTATGTGGAAATAAGAAATTGATCAGTGGACTCACTCCATAGATAGTTAGATTCGCATAAATTTATAATACATGTCTCCTTTAACGACCTTCAACTCCAATGTACCTGCTTTAATTTTGGCCTATATAGGATTTCTCCTAAAAAAATAAACACTTCACCATCTATTATTTTGCCTTTGGAACCATGGGCGAAAGAGGCCATTTAGTCTAGTGGAATCCAAGTATATAGATGTGTCCTATTGTTTGAGGTTACACAATCAAAGGAAATGGTAGATTGTAGAGCCAAGCGAAAGAGTAATGGTGTAGTTGAGTCGCTAAAATTTTCAAGCCATGAAATATGCAATGGTGTGACTTACTAATGAAGATAGTATAAGCGAACGGTTACGGTTACGGTTACGGACACGGATACGCGTATGGTCCTTGATTTTTTTTTATTTACCCCAAATTTTGCCTGAATTATAAGAAAAAAAAAAAAAGTTGAAATAGAACTGCGGTTCGTCGACAAGAGAGACTAGGGTTTAAAGGCTGTGTCTCTCCGCCATGAAAACACGGCGGCATCACAACTCCGAGGATGCTCTAACCATTTCCCGGCAATCATCAACCTCAATTGATCGAAGAGAAAACTCAGAGCCGATCCCAACTGATCTCATTTTCGAAATACTCTTGAGATTGCCGGCGAAATCTATAGCGAGATGTCGCTGCGTATCGAAGCTCTGGTCTTCCATACTTCTCCGTCACGATTTCACAGAGCTATTCTTGACCAGATCTTCAACTCTCCCGCAACTCTTGTTCTCCTTCGAAAAATCCGGTGAGTTGTTCTTCTTCACGTCACCGCAAATCCAAATTCTCTTTTATCACCGAGTTATTATTTTAAGGTCCCCTTTGATCGTATCTCTCAAATTTGTGGTCATGTGCGTGGTTTGCTCTGTCTTACACATCTACGAGTCTTAAAGGGAAGGAAGGAAACGGTACCAATGATATGCAACCCCAGCACTGGACAAGCCTTACCTTTACCCAAAGTGAAGACTAGGAGAGTTAAAGTGAGAAGCTTTTTGGTTTATGACCCGATTGAGAAGCTGTTTAAGCTATTGTCAATGACCTGGCAATGTTATGGAAATGGAGAGAAGAATTGTGAGGAGTATCAGATTCTGACATTAGGGACTCAAACACTTTCATGGAGGATGATTGATTGTTGTTTACCTCATCATCCTGCACATGATGGGATATGCATTGATGGTTGTTTGTATTATCAAGCTATGGTCGGTCGATTGTCAGGGATTTCTACTATAGTTTGCTTTGATGTTAGGTCGGAGAAGTTTAGATTTGTTAGAAAAGCTAGGGGCATGCTGTTGTATGGTCAATCAGCTCTGGTAAACTATGAGGGTAGGTTAGGTGCAATTCAGTCAGATGAGCTTCATGGAATAATTACTGGCCAAACTAGAAGTCTTGAGTTGTGGGTTCTAGTAGACGCTGAGAAACATGAATGGTCGAGGCATGTATATGCATTGCCTCCAATGTGGAATAATGTTGTTGCAGAGGCTGAGTTACACATTTTTGGAAGGACTGGTACAAATGAGATTGTGTTGTCGCGGCGCTATTCATCTGATACTTTCTATGTTTTCTACTACAATCCCGAGAGGAACACAATCATAAGAGTTGAAATCCAAGGAATGGATGAGTTTAAGGGTCGTAGAGTTCACACCTTTCTAGACCATGTGGAGGACGTGAAGCTTCTGCATTATAACTTGTGATTGAAACAGATCATGGGCTTCTAATGTACGTCTTTCATGGACACTATTTATTCCTTTTGTTGTAATGGTTCATACATTGAGGAATGGTTGTTCTAAAGTAAGTTTTAGCTGTTTATACTCATCTTTTCAGTAGTAAGTCACTTTGTGACTTGTGTATTGATGAGTTCTATGTTAGTCATCCATTTGTTAGAACCACATTTAGGGCCTCTCCATCTCTCGCATGTCCCTTTTTCTTTTATGTAATAAGATATCTGTTTTGCTACTTGAGTAAGATCATTGTAGTTACTTTCATTTTCTGTGTTTCTTATTCTAGCATCTCATCTACTTGATATGTGTTTAGAAAAGCCATATACACGTGTTGTAGATTCAGCAAGGGGATGATAAATAGTCTTGTTATTGCAGACTCTTTAGATACTAATCCAAAACAGAGAATTCTAAAATTTGATATTCTGAAGGTAGATAAAGGTAGAAGAGTTTTAGATCCAAGAAATGGTCAGAATGTTGCTATTTAAGTTGTGAAGCCCTTGTTCCGGAGCTAGTTTTGTTCTATTTCTGTTGTATCGAATAGAACCTGAAATGCCTTCTTTGAAAATCTTTATCAAGAGTTGAACTTTTAGAGAGACTATCGAGATCCCTAAATTTTGATTTTTAAAACTCTTCTCTGCCTATCATTGAATAATTTGGGTGATCCCTCTAATCTGATCTCTGACTATAGTAGCCATTGACTTTAATTATTTTCGTAATTTACTATGTAGAATTTATAGAATTTTTTTTGGCAAATGAAAAACAGTGTTTACATCATATATTCCATATAAATCAGAAACTAAATCCAACATATATATAGAATTGCGAATTAATCTTTTTTGTTGATCAATTTAGGAAAAAAGATACCTAGCTACACGAAGTATGCTACAATACATAGCCACACATCCAAAGTTTAAAAATGTATCTCTAACTACACAAACTATATGTATCACATGCCCACATATACGAACTATATGTAGTCATGTCGCCAACATCACAAACATTTTTTTCCGATACATTTTTCGCCGGAATCCGGTATTGACCAGTTTGACCGGCGTTGACCAACATAAATATTCAAAAAAAAAAAAAAATTGTTAGTTTTTTAATATTTATAAAATTATGTTATTGAATCATTTATAATATTATATAATTAAAAAAATATATACAATATTCAATATAAAAATATTTTGTATATATATTCAATGCATTGATTTTTATAATTAGTTAGTTTCGATAATTTCAAAACTAAACTAAAAATAAAATAAAAACCAATTAGTTAAAATAATTGTAAATATGAAATTTTCTATACTCTCTGGTCTAAAGTTTTTTGTATAATATGTTGTTAATTTTTGTATCTAAAATTATTACGAAAAATTCTTTTAATAATACAAAAAAAATTAACAACATATTATAAAAAAACTTTAGACTAGAGAGTATTTAAAATTTTCTATTTATAATTATTTTACCTAATTGGTTTTTGTTTTATTTTTAGTTTAGTTTTGAAATTATCGAAACTAACTAATTATAAAAATCAATGCATTGAATATATATACAAAATATTTTTATATTGAATATTGTATATATTTTTTTAATTATACAATATTATAAATGATTCAATAACATAATTTTCTAAATATTAAAAAACTAAATTTTTTTTTTTTAATATTTATGTTGGTCAACGCCGGTCAAACTGGTCAATGCCGGATTCCGGCGAAAAGTGTACCGGAAAAAAATGTTCGTGATGTTGGCGACATGACTACATATAGTTCGTATATGTGGGCATGCGATACATATAGTTTGTGTAGTTAGGGATACATTTTTAAACTTCGGATGTGTGGCCATGTATTGTAGCATACTTCGTGTAGATAGGTATCTTTTTCCCATCAATTTACTTCAAAGTATCAGTAGGCAAGAAACTAAACATAACAGTGTCTCTTACACTTCCCTTGATACATAAAAACTTCCTCATCACACCTTCTCTAGTAAACCCAACTTTTTCAAGAACCCTTTGAGATCCAACATTGTCCACATCAACAAGTGCCTCAAGCCTTTCAATCTCCGGAAATTCCTTGAATACCTCTGCCGTCACTAGCCTCACCGCTTCCGTTGCAAACCCTTTTCCCCAATACTTTCTCGCTAAGACATAACCAATCTCTTTTCTGATGTTATCAACCGCCATGATCAAGATGTAGCCGATCGGATGGCCGTCTTCTAAGCAGATGGCTCGGAGCCAAGGGTGTGTCAAGACACGATCGGTTATGTATTTGATAGCTTCGTCTCGGCTCGTACAAGGCTCCCAAGTGCAAAAGCGTGCCACTTTAGGGTCTGTGGCCCAAACCATGTAGTCGTCGACGTCGGAAAGAGTCATCGGCCGGAGTGATATTCTTCCGGGAGGCGAAGAGCTTATGATTGGTTGAGTTTCTTGTGAGTCCATCTCCATTTAGTATAGTGATTGTTTGAGATATCACATCACTACGTCTAAGCGATGTCTTTTATATACACATTGCGATCTTGAAAAACTTTGAGATTCTCCCTTATTGCTTTTGACTAAAAATACTAAAATACATTCAATAGTACCATTTGCTATAGATTAGTGTTTTTAGTGTTATTATTCGATTAAATTAATATACGACATTAGCTGATGTGTCATCGTATGAGTGGATAATTGTCTGTATTTGACTTTTGACTTCCAACACTTACTTGGTTGCCAAACAAAGTATTGTTCGGGTTTCGGAACTTACCGCGTTGCTTCCAGCTGGATGCCCATAATGCCATGTGTCAAATGGTGTGTAGTCGCATTACCAAAAAGGTTTTAACAGTTTTCTCAGGTTATTCTAAAGTCTTTAGCACTGTTAATATTTGTGGTGATCGTTGTTATACACTTATACTGTCAAAATCAACGCAAGAATCAAGTCACTCAACGTGTTGTATGATTAAGTAATTTAGTTAAAGATTAATCGAATGATATCAGACTTTCATTCATCGAATCGCTGCTAAAACTGAAAAGCTATTACACTAGGTCACTAGCTATATCTTTTTATTGTAAAAAAAAAATCATCTTTCATATTGTACTTTTTAATTTTCAATATAAACTAATATTTTTATGAGATAGTCAAACTTTGTTATATTTGCATGTACTCTCAAATTGTAAAAATCCCTTTCATATCAAATAGTTAATATTAAGGTTACAACAGCATAAGAAGAAGAAGAAAAAAATAGAGCATCACATCAAATTATACATGTTATTTTTACAAACTAAGCAAAATACAAATTTGGATATCAAACAAACATTATCTATATTGATATTTGTCAATTCAAATCAGATCAGTGCAACGAATCAGAAGGCAAGAAACTAAACATGACCATATCTCTAACATTTCCTTTTAGATACATAAATTTCCTCATAACACCTTCTCTCACAAACCCAACTTTTTCAAGAACCTTTTGAGATCCAACGTTGTCAACGTCCACAAGTGCCTCAAGCCTCTCCATCTCCGGGTTCTCCTTGAATATCTCCGCAGCCACAAGCCTCACCGCCTCCGTCGCTATCCCTTTCCCCCAGTACTTGCTTCCGAGGACATAACCAATCTCTCCTCTGATCTTATCGACTGGCGTTACGGAGATCGAGCCGATCGGACGGTCGTTATCTAAGCATATAGCTCTGAGCCAAGGGTGTGGCAAAACGACGTCGTTTAAGTACGCGATTGCGGCTTCTCGGCTAGTGTAAGGCTCCCACGTGCAAAAGCGTGTAACGTCAGTAGCCCAAACCATGAAATCGTCGACGTCGGAAAGAGTCATTGGCCGGAGATGGATTTTCTCCGATGGTGAGGAACTCACGGTGGATAGGGTCTCCAGTTTGATCATACTAGATGAGTCGATCTCCATTGACTTGTTCTTGGTTTCTTTCCTTTTCGAGTCTTTGAAACTTCTTTGGAAATTCTTTAAAATAGTTATATCTCTCTCAATTCTCACGGATTTGTTTAGGGGCAATATGATAATCTGAATGGCGATTTAAATAATCTGAAATTTTTAACAAAACAAAGAAAAGGAAACAGCACTTTCCTTCTTGTTTCGACCGGTCAAATACGCAACAATTAGGTCTTGTTGAATTGAATGGAAGGTTTGATCAAAAAAAAAAAAAAAAGAATTTAATGGAAGGTGTGAAAAAGACGGTTTTATGATAGTACGGGTTAACCGATATTTATCACCCATTTATAACTTTTAATTTAAGTGAAATGCGTTTTCTTTTTTAATAAAAACTATCAGTGAACTCTGTTTCATTTTCATGAAGAAAACTCGAGATCTATTAGAAAATTTCAAGCCTCAAAACATTTAAACACGGATATTCATTCTTTTTTGTTGATGTAGTTATTTGGATGTTCTATACTAGTCGTTGAAATAATACAAGAAGTGATTCAGAAATCTGAGATGCATAATTGCTGATGAGGAGTTCTATGTTCTTGGATGTAAAAGCGTTAGTTAAGTCAATAAAAAGAAAAATTATCTTTATTTGGAGACAAAATTATTTATATAAGCAAAAGAGAAGTTTGCTTGAAGAGAAAAGGAAATACTAGTGACATTAGAATAATTTGAACTTATGTGACACATAATTATGTATATAATGTTAGATTTTTTTTAGTAATTATTAGTCCTATATACAAAATATTGATATTATATTTTTTGGTCGGATAAAATATTGATATTTTTGAGTAATTATTTTTGTGGTGGTTTAATAAATATTTCCCCCCTTAATTCAAATGTTTGTACTGTGTTAATGAAAAGTTAGGACTAATAAATTACTAAAAAAATTTTTACTGTGTTAATGAAAAAGAAAAAAAATGCATTTATCTACAATCGAAAAAAAGAAAAAGAAAAAACACGAAGGAGACTCACAATCTCACATAACGCAGCAAGAGACGGAGTGTTGTTTATTTAAAAAAGAACAAATAAGAAAATTAAATGGCGAGTCTCAATTTTTTCTCCATCTCAATCTCACCTTCTCAAATTACACTTTTGCCATCCACCTTCCTCTCCATCAACAACGGTAGACGACGCCTTGCAATCGCCGCCCGATCTCACCGAGTACCACGCCGGAAGATTCGTAAGAGACCTCCGGACAGAGATATGTCCTCCATAGTTTCAATCCCGGAGCTTCCTCGCCGGCGCGATTCTGAGGAAAGCCTGCTTCTAGATTCTAGAATCAGTAAGCTCATAGCCATTCCTCCAAAATTAGGAAGCATCTAGATCCTCAGAAATTGGTTATTGTTTGAACTGTGATATTTACTCATTTCTAATGTGAGAAATGTGTGTGTAATTTAAAAGGCGTAGCTGAAGGAGATACAACATCGAATACAAATGTTGAAGAAGACAGAGATACTTCTAGTATTAGAACACAGCCTCCTCGTAAAGGAAGAAATCTTAGTATCACAAGAAGCAAATTCTACGGTGTTGAATTATCACCAGACAATGTTGCTGTAGCAATGGTGTATTTTGTTCAAGGTGTTTTAGGACTCGCGAGACTCGCTGTTAGTTTCTATTTAAAAGATGATTTGCATCTTGATCCTGCTGAGGTATGTCCTTGTAATGCAGGAGATTGATTCAATGCTTTTGTAGTTTCCTTATTGGACTTTCATGGAATATCTCTTTATAGGCTGACAAAATATACCTCTTGACTAGACAGCTGTGATTACGGGTCTTTCTTCGTTGCCGTGGCTTGTTAAGCCTCTCTATGGTTTTATCAGGTATGACTCCTTCACTACTTCTATACCTTTTGACTAGACAACTGTGGTAACTGTGTAGAAAGACTGTTGTGGTCAGTAGCAAAGTCTAAGGATGTTGGTTTGTTTCACAGTGATTCAGTGCCTCTATTTGGCTATCGAAGGAGGTCATATCTAGTTCTCTCAGGACTTCTTGGTGCATTTTCGTGGAGTTTGATGGCTAGTTTTGTTGACAGTAAATATAGTGCTGCTTTTTGTATACTTCTCGGTTCCCTCTCTGTTGCCTTTTCTGATGTTGTAAGTTTTCTAACCTATTCTGGTTAACTTAGTCTGGTTGAGTTGCAAGATAGCGTTGGTTATTCCAGCATATTGAGTTATTGAAGAGGTTAACATTTTAATAGGTAGTAGACTCAATGGTGGTGGAACGGGCTCGTGGTGAGTCACAAAGCGTGTCGGGATCACTGCAGTCTTTGTGCTGGGGATCCTCAGCTTTGGGCGGAATTGTGAGTTCCTACTTTAGCGGCTCCCTGGTGGAGTCATATGGTGTGAGGTACAGTACACAATTTGCGCAAACAGTAGCTTTTCTTTTTCGGTATTCCGTGGCATAGATAACTAACTAAGTGGCATTCTAAAAGCTGTTATACCTCAGGTTTGTATTTGGGGTGACAGCTTTACTACCCTTGATAACTTCAGCTGTTGCTGTCCTCGTGAATGAACAACGTGTGGTCAGACCAGCATCAGGGCAGAAAGAGAACATAACCTTGGTCAGTCCTGGCTTTCTTCAGACCTCAAAGCAAAACATGATTCAGCTATGGGGTGCCATTAAGCAACCAAATGTTTTTCTCCCGACCTTATTTATATTCTTATGGCAAGCCACACCTCACTCGGATTCTGCAATGTTTTACTTCACGTATGTCTTCTTCCACTTGGTTCTTGGTTATCGGCTTATTTCATTATCCACTGATATGTATTAACTACTGTTTCTAACTAATTTATTTGGTACAAATTTCATCTCAGAACGAACAAACTCGGCTTTACTCCGGAGTTTCTGGGACGAGTTAAACTTGTGACCTCAATTGCCTCATTGCTTGGAGTAGGACTGTACAATGGATTCCTGAAGACTGTTCCTTTGAGAAAAATCTTTCTCGTGACGACAATTTTTGGCACGGGTCTTGGGATGACTCAGGTTTGTCCAATCCGCTCTTTACAAGAAAAACTTTGCCATCTATCCTCTGTTACATAACCAGTAACTCTTTTGGGACTGTTCTTATGTTTTGCAGGTTATCCTCGTGTCAGGATTTAACAGAGAGCTGGGAATTAGCGACGAGTGGTTTGCTATCGGAGACTCTCTAATCCTAACAGTCCTTGCTCAGGTTTACGCTTTTGTCAGCATTAAGTTTCTCGAAGGCTTTGAGTTCTCAGATTGTGATTCCATAGTCAATGCAGCATCATTGGATTATGTCAGTATCAATGCACTGACAGCTTAAAATCAAACTGTAACAGGCTTCATTCATGCCGGTTCTTGTGTTAGCAGCGAGATTATGTCCAGAAGGAATGGAAGCAACTCTCTTCGCTACACTCATGTCAATCTCTAATGGAGGCAGTGTTCTAGGTGGACTTATGGGTGCAGGTTTGACTCAAGTATTCGGCATCACAAAAGACAGTTTCGGTAACCTATCAACGCTTATTATCCTCTGCAATCTTAGCTCATTGCTCCCTCTGCCTCTTCTCGGTCTTTTACCGGGAGATTCTCCAGATACTCTTACTCAAGATGATGCAGACATTGAGATGAAGTCCAATTAAGGAACATGATGATAGTTTCAAAAGTTAAATGTTATACCTTTTTGGGGTTTTGTTCTGAAAACTAGTTCAATACCCATATCATGTAACAAAAATGTTGTAATTCTTAAACAATAAACTCTTTGTTAAATTGCAGAGACATACCTTAATATGCAAAAATAGTAATGATAGTAATCTCTACAATAAAGTTTCTAACATGAATCTTGATTTGATTCAACAAACCTAAATCAGTCTTCTTCATCAGCACCATAGTTGTGGCATAGTGATGCGAGTCCCAAACTTGTCTTCTTCTTCGAGGTTATTATGCAAGCAAGTTTCTTAGTCTTAGGTTTCTTCTCATCTATTGCCTCCATTCTTCCTTTCTTCTTCTTCTCCTTCATCTCATCGGTTTCTTCGTCGACAATCCTCCTCTGCATACCAAATCTGATAGACTTTATCAACGCAGCATCTTCCTCGTTTGCAACTTGTTCTTCTTCTTTGTGTCTCCTACTCAAAGCATCAAGCATAGAGTCTACACTCACCGATACGCGTCTAGATTTCATAGATTTCATCTCATCAAGCGCAGCCATAACATCAATCTCTCTTTTAGAAACCAAAGTTCTCTTCTCTAAAGAACTCATCACATCCCCACTCTCCTCGGCTTGCTTCTCCTCCTCGTGATGATCACAAACACGAGTTGCAGTTGCACCTGATTCGACTACATAACTCGAATTCTTTGAATCGGTCTTCAATATCAGCTCGGAGCAACACTTACTGCACTTGAAGTAAAATCTATGGATTTTGATCCCTAAGTAGGTTTCTCCGATTACTTTTTCTTCACGGCAATTAATTTTGGTACCTGCCGACATGTAATTCCCACACGTGTTGCATCGAATACGTAACGGAACCATCGATCGAAACTTCTTTTGCTGATTCTTAGGTTTTCGAATCCGGGGAATCTTCCTCGGATCAAAATTTGGTGGATAGTATTTGTTTAAGCCTTTTCTTTCACCCATCGTGCACACAAAGAAAGAACTACTACGAATCAAATAAGAAACCCTAATCAGAACCCTAAAACAAATCCCACCAGATGAGAGACCCGAATGCGAAAGTCACGAGATTTTTTTAGGGTTGAGACTTGAGAGAGGTTCTTAATTTCTATGGCAACGAAAGAAAAAGATGGAATGATCGATCTGTAGTTCCTCTCTTATATAGAGAACCCTTTTTTTTTTCTTCCCGTGTTTGTTTCCTTTTTTTTTTGTTCTGTTTAATATACCGTATATATTCTAATTATTTATCTCTTTTATATAAGAACATCATGAACTAAAAGTCTAAAACCAATAAGAAACCATACTGCAAACTATAAATGGTTAATAAAAAAAAAATTACATTTAGACTTTTTCCATAGAAAGTTAAAAACTTTAGTTACATGAAAGAAACAAAAGATCCATAAAACATCAAAATCCTGATGGGATAAGTAGAAGTGTAAATATTTACTTTTCTGTGGGAAGCGTTGTGATGGTGATATGTTTTGTGTTCTACAGCAAATATACTTTCTGTAGCCAAACACTACGATGAGCTTAAGACCAAGGCGATAACCGAGGGGGAGAGACATAAGAAAAGTTTTTTCACCGCATTCGAATGGAGAAATACTCTTTTTGTCACCAAAGACTCCGATGATGAGAAAGGTTCATTATTCATCAACCAGAACCGAATGTAGAAATGCTCGCTAGGAAATGATTAAGAATCTGAAATCTTTCAACTTTGGATCATTCTCATTTACATTGTGACACTCTCGATATTTCCGGGGTTCATCACTAAGGATGTTCATTCCGAGACTCTCAAAGATTGGTACCCTTTTATACTCATTGCAGCCTATAATGTGTTTGATTTAGTTGGGAAATGTTTGGTCGCTGTGTTCATGCCCAAGGATGAGAGGATCGCGGTTGGCGGTTCCTTGCAAGGCTGCTGTTTTACCCTCTCTTTTGGGGTTGATTGCACGTCCAATGTTTCCGACTGAGATTCCTGTATTTTTTTAGTGACAGGCTTGTTGGGACTAACTAACGTAAGCGTTTTGATGGTTCTAACTTCAACATCTGTGCAATTACAACACGCAGAGGCTGCCGGTATTGCCATAGTCTGGCTCAAGGGTCTGTCTTAGCTTGGCTCTATTAAACCATGCATCTGTTATGCGTACCAACCAAATTAATATGTTTTCTTCTTCTTCGGAAAATGAAATTTCACTTACGGGAAGATTTTTATTTTTTTCATTTCAAAAAACAAAACATAAAATCTCAATTGTAGAACTATGTGATAATAAAACAAAACATAAAATCTTAATGAGCGAGGTTGGTCATGGAATTGATAGAACCTAACATAACATCAAAACTTTCATGTTCCAAACAAATCTCAAAACATGTCCACTACTGAGTATTTAATATCAAAAACAGAGAGAACGAGAAAGAAAAAAAGAGAGTGGCCACAAGAAAAAAAATGCATTTCCTTTGGGATGAAAGCATCTGAAAACTTGACCTTTTTGCTTGATTTAGTTAGACTCAAGATGCTTCTTGACAATGTTTAGAGCAGTTGTCTCCTCACCGTAATCCTGTAACAACCCAACACAGAAGCACACAAATAAATCACCAGACACAAGTCATTTATAAGTATTTAGAGGTTCCTAAGATTCATGGATTAAGAGAAAGCAAAAAGACTCATTACCTTGATTACAAGACATGAGCATCCAACAACCTTCCTCGCATTTCCCTCTGAATCAATCTTGCAAAGCTGCAACCAAATTCAAGATTATTACCCCCAACAGTCTTCCTTAGAGGAGAGAGCTTTTAACCATATAAGAGGAAAACTACTTACACCAGCCCATTCGCCGAGGGTTTTGGCACTTGGAACCGTAAGCAACTTGATGCTGTGGTCAGCGCAAAGAGCTTTAACCAGCTTGACATAATCAGGTTGGTTGCAATCTTCAGCCAAGACACAGAGCTGAGCAACACGCTTCTCGATAAGCTTAGCGCTTTCATGGAGACCACGAACAACACCACCATAAGCACGAGATTTCCTTACTGTCAACTCCAATGCAGTACTCACATCCATGTCCTCTGGGATCACTGCTGCCTCAGCAACAGGAGGAACAACAGGAGCAACAACAGCCTCATCACTAAAAAAATGTAAAAAGTATAAAACTTTATCAATTCTTGATCAAATAAACAATCATCAAACAATCTACCTTTCATGTAATCTATGCCCAACTAGAAAGTTTAAAGATTTGAGTCACAAATCAAAGCATAACATCAATCGACCTAAAACTAAAAATTTGAACCCTAAATGTATCACTCTCTATCTATCACTGATTCAGTAGATTAAAGAATGTAGTAAACTCCAACATAGCTTCATCGAAAGAGAAACTTACCCTGACATATTGACTCTTTGAATTGGTTTTACGAACGAAGAGAAGCAAAAGTCTTGTTCAAATCTGCCAAGAAAATGAAGCAAATTAGTCTCAAGAAACACATAAATGGAAATTACTAAGCAAAAATCGGAGGAAGAAAAACAAAGTTCAACAATCACATACATAAACACAGATCAATTTCGATTGAGGAACTACGCAAAAGGAGTACGAGACCAAACCTTAAAAGAGAGATAGAGGCTGCAACGAAGAGCAATAACTGAGTAGCGAGTTATATATATTAGGGTTTTACGAACCCTGAATTATACGATTTCACAGATTTGTCGCGAACCTGGGCTCTACTTTAATGGGCCATTCTCTAAATTTGGGTCCTTTTTAAAAACGGCGTCGTTTACTCGTTTTGCTGGTAGGTTTAGTCTTTCCCAATTTTCCTCTTGAACATAATCCACAATTTTCCTCTTAAATTTATGTTTTTCTTTTCCACTTTGATGAATTTGTGATGATTAGCCCAAATATACCTTTGATACTAATTAATACATTTGATGAAAAGGGACAAATAACTATTCTCAAAATATTAAAAAAAAAATTCACATAGATTGACTACAAGTACAAGTACGAGAAACACAATACCAAACCAAAAGAAGAGCTTAGCTCTTGCGAATTGTGATCATATACTTATTTAAACAACCTTATCTGTGATGTAATAATCTAAAACCATCTAAATAAAATAACAAACTGTTTAAAAACTTTAACCTTTGACTTTTTTTTTATTAAGAAATCTTTTATCAATGAACAATCTGACCATTCTCAACACCTAATCCATACAAAACACCAGAATATTTCTCCATTGAACCAATGAAGAAATTCTCCTGCAGCTTCCTGAATGTACACGACGTTAACAAACTATCCGATCCCGCCTGGTGACATATCCCAACTCTCTCAACTTCAAGCAGCTCCGCCAATTTGTTCAGTCCTCCATGAAGACTATTACAGAACTTCATCAAGTGTTTGATATCGTAAACCCTCGGGAAATACACACTGATCATCTCAAAAAACCCTGTTTGCGTCCCCGGCAGATTCTGACAAGTCAATAGCTTCAACAAGTAACCAAAATCATATCCGCTGTGGAATGTAACCCAATGAACGTTTTCGTTCAACACAATCCCCGAAGACATCAAAAGCTCGGCGAACCGCTTCGAATCGATACCAAATTGGTTGTTTTTAGCGAAATCTATGCCTGATTGACGAAGAAGCTCGATGGAATCAGTAGCATAAATGTCGGATTCGAGGTCGAATTCGCGGAAATTGAACTGCCAGATGCAGTATTTGTTGTCTGTTCCACAAGTAGGGAGGTTTCCTTTCTCATCAGAGAAAGTGAGTCCGAGCTGAATCATCTTGAGTATGTTGACGTTTGTTTTGAGAGTTTCGTAGTGGTACTCTGTGTTGGTTTTGAATGTGCCCACTGGTCTACACACGATTCCTGGGAACTCTGTATCCATCGCTACGAATGGGAAATCGTCGACGACTTCTCGAATCAGAGCCATTTCTGATTCGAGATTTTCGTTCCATACTTCACGGATTTGAATCGAATCGTCTTTTAGAAACAGCGACATGATGATGATAATGATGATGATGATGAGGATGATGAGGATGATGAGGATGATGATGAATTCGAGTAAATAAGTTAAGGAGCATCTGGATCTAGAGCAAGATTCGATCTAGTTTCATCAGATCTGCAATAGATTCAACAACAAAAGAAATAAATCACTAAAAACATCCAAAACCTTCTGATTTATACATAAATCTAGAACACGATTCAATGAAAACAGAGGAACCGACAGATATATAGATAGACATATAGTAAGAGGAGTTATGTCGGCTGGGTTCGAACCTTGTAATGAAGCGAAGTGGATAGATGTTTCTTGAGAAGACGGCGATTTTTTTCAGGCTAGGGTTTCAGAGGTCGTGGTGGTTTATTGAAGAGGATATAAATCACCGACAATACTTTTTTTTTTATTTCCATCTCTCTCTCTGACTGTGTCCAAAGCTGTTCCTTTTTTTTGTTTTAATTTTTTAAATTATTTTAAAACGCTGTTTGTTTCTTCTCCCTTGTTTTATACGCAACTTTAGTTTTATTTTATTTTTTTTATTTTTTAAAATTCATTTGCCATAGTTTGTGGTATAATGTAGTGACTAGTGAGGCTGTTTCGTTTCACCTATAAATCGAAATTTTTGTTTGACCAATGCATGCTGAGACTCGCAACTGCTCTTATGGTAATTCATATATAGAACTTACACTTCAATTTTTATTCCCACTGGCATTAGCCCAAACATATAAACCCCAATTATTCTTTTACAATTGAAATGCATCAAGCCGTCAACAGATATACACCCAATGACCCAAACTGAACAAAAGAAAAACAAAAAAATAGTTAAACAGAACAGAGGCAGGAGGAGAAGGAGAGAGAGAAGTATACAAATGGTGGATGATTTTCAGCTTATTCCCAGTTGCAGACTCCAAAGTTTTATCTACTATTAAGATAAATGATGATCCTGCTGGATTATTTTTAGAAGATGTGAAAGGGGCGAGATATTACGTGAAACTATTGCACACCGCGATCAGACAATCTACTTGAAGTTGCCAGATTCAAATGGTTAGAGGATTGAAAATTCCATCCTCTAAAAGAATCAATACTCATCTCTGAGGAGGATCAACTGTCCTGACATTTGCACCTGTCATACCTTCAATCTTATCTTTGGTGATCTCCACAAAGTGACCAATTACTTCGTGAAACTGCTTAAGACCAGATAACGGTAGAATGATGGAAGACCTGTCAGAACCTGCCACCTATATTTTCATGTATAGAGAAATGTTTAATGTTAAATCCATGATATAATCGAGCTAAACCAGCAAAAGATTGTTCTTCCAAGATTACCTCAGATATCCTCAGGAAATGGCCCCTGTTATTGTTCCCAAGATCAAAGAAGAACCGTTTCTGGTCAGCTCTGATTACTTTAGAAACAGTTTCTTCCTGGCCTGGCGAGTCAACTGATCGATCCACATTATGTTCTGAAGAAGATGGCTGCTGGCTACCATGGCCAGGTATAAATCCAGCTCCAACATCATCAACCAAGTGTTCCTGTCCATCAGAAGGTTTCTGTTTCCAAAAGATAGAGAATGAGACCAGAGAAACAGAGAACTTAGTTAACGGCTTTTCAACCAAAACTATCAAAGGAGACGATAATACCACCTGATTTGGCATCACAAAGAGCCCTGATGCTTCATGAATCTCAGCCAAGATATTCCTGAAAGCTGCCCATCCTTCATCAGGAGAGCTTCCAGCTGGAACAATAATGGTACTTCGATTTCTACTAACCGATGCTTCTGACACCTAACACCACCACACCAAAACCCATCAGAACATTCCTAAAATTTCTGATACCTCGAGATAGTCACATAACCAAAATGAAATGAAAACATTCCTAAACATCTAACTTCTAGAACTCCCTAAATCTTCAATTTACAAATACCAAAGAAAAAGAACATAAAAACTTCAGATTCGTATAGGAAAACAAAGAAATATCTACCTTCAAGAAGCGTCCTCTTCTGTTCTCACCAATGTCGAAGTAAAACACCTAAAGAAAGCAACACAACAGAAATTAAATAGAGTCGAAAAGTCAACGACCGTACCCAGAGGAGAGTGATGATAAATAAAGTTAAAACCTTGGAATCAAGCTGCAATTCTTTGCTAAAAAGCTCGTGTTCCTCAGAATTGACATAGTAATTGAAGAGATCAAGGAACCAAGAGATGCCGGAGGAAGGTACAATGATGGTTGACCTCGTCGCCGACGTCTTCTCCGATATCTTTAGATACCTTCCACGAGGATTCTCTTTAAGATCAAAATAGAAAAGCTTATGCTCCACTTGCAACGTCTTGCTCACCAATTCCACATCGCTCCCTCCTCCTCCGGTTGCCGCTCTTCCGCCTTCAGCTCCTCCGCCTCCTCCGCCGGAATTAGCTTCCATTTCTTCAATTGATCGATCGGAGTAGAAATTTCGGTGAAATCTCTTCAGTGGAGAGTTGAAATTGACGTCTGATCTGAAGAGGTAAAGGAAGTGCGATTGGAAAATGAAGAATTGGTGGAGGTGAGAGATTTCGGAGACATAAAGGGTTTAATACCGGACCGGATGTGTTAAACCGGATACATTGTTGGGTTCGAACATTTCTGATTGGTCGGAAACTCGGATTAAGCAACAAATAATTTTTTACTGGTCACAAAAATTAATTAATAAAGTAAATAATCACTTTTTTATTTAATTATTCTGGCCGGTTTCAGAGAAATCATTATACAAACCGATCGGTTCAAACCGTAATGGTTTGATTAAAGATGTGTTATAACGAGATGATGCCACGTATTCATCATAATTACGTAAATGACTGGGATTAAGGATGTGTTACTAATTTTTTTTTGTCGACCACTTTTGTAACTTTTGTTTCTGAGTTCTTCTTTGATTAGCTTTGTCCTCCTCTTAGAACCAAACATGGCGAGTCTTGGCCATATAGCCAGAGAATCCTCCGACATCAAACGCCTCGCCGAGTTTTACAAAGAGGTAACGATACCTAATCGACGTATTCAATTTATTACATTTTCTTTTTTTTATCTCTCTTCTAGGATTCATCAAATTCTCTGTTCTTGGTTTGTGAATTGTTACCAATTCGAAAAAAACGAAACCTTTGATTTAAGTCTTTGTAAAGATTATATACCCATCCATCTGGAATAGAATCTAGGGTTTGCAAATTGGCTTTTGATTTAGAGATTTGTGTTGCTTTTGTGGATGTGTCTCGTTTCTAATTTCTGTTGAGAGTTGTCCACATTTGGAGGAGAAAAAGAATTAATATTTATATCGTATTCTTAATCATTTTGATCAAATTAATGTTATCTTCATCGTCATCTTCTTTATTTTATCTTTCCTTCCTTTTGTTCTGAAACCAATGGCTTATTTTCAGGTGTTTGGGTTCGAGGAGATCGAAAGTCCTGATTTTGGAGACCTAAAGGTGATATGGCTAAACTTACCAGGTGCTTTTGCAATGCACATTATCCAGAGAAACCCTTCAACAAACCTTCCAGAAGGTCCTTACAGTGCTACCTCAGCGGTTCTTGATCCTAGCCATCTCCCAATGGGCCACCATATCTGCTTCTCCGTCCCCAATTTCGACTCTTTCCTTCATTCTCTCAAGGTATTGTTTCTTTGGCATTGCTTTGATTATACAGAATGAGGAGTTATGGATATGGTTAGTATGGAATCTAGACTGGCTAAAGCAATTATACTTCCTCAGTATCTCAAAGTTTACTCTGTTAAGTCTTTTGACCATCATCTAGTCTTCTGCAATCGTTTCAAGAATGTTTATCTGTAGTTATCCCCCAGAGTTATTTCATTGATCTTCTCTCGTCGTTGTATGGTGTAGGAGAAAAGGATCGAAACTTTTCAGAAGTCTCTTCCTGATGGAAAAGTCAAGCAAGTATTCTTCTTTGATCCAGATGGTATAATTTCTTTTTCTCTCTCTCATAACCCTGCTTAATAACTATAACTAAGTCAGATATATGCATGTCTACTCTTCTTATTTAGAACAACTTTGCTCAACCAATGTGGAACATGTGTCTAGGATTGTCCTTCCCGATCCTGTCTGTTAAAACTTACAGATTCTGTCCTCAAATTTTGCAGGAAACGGATTAGAGGTAGCAAGTCGATCTTGAGCCTACCTGAAATAAAGATGTGGTATCAAAACTTATAGAATGCAATAAAGGTATAAATAATCAGTTTGTTGGAACAGGATAACTAAAGGCTGCTTATGTAAAATATGTCTAGGTTTGATGTTAACTTGTGACAATTTACGCTTCAAAGTTCGTGTCATGTGCTTTGAATGTTGGATGTATCGCATTTATGAGCTTTTCCTTGTCTAGTAGTTCCCATGTCCCTATAACAACACCGAAGAGATTGGGATAGTTATAATAGAGAGAGAGAAAGATAGAGACCCAACTAAAAACAACCATACATTCATAACTCAAGATATATTATTTGCGATGAATCTATGAAATTTTGGGTTATGAGTTGTTTTGGTCATATATGGCCTAACTCACCCGGTTCAGGCTGGATTGACCTCATCAAACGTTTCATTTCTAACTGCGGGTTGATTTGTATTGCTATAAAGCTTGAACGAGTCAGACCTAAACCCTAAATATCGAGGCTAAATTAGGTTTGGCTAGATCAAAGTCGGGTCTTAGTCCCGACTCCCGACCGACCTGAACTGAACCGAATTGGTCATTTGCAACATCCATATGAAGAGAACTGATGACCCCAAAAAAAGCAAAATAGAGAAAATATGTCTCAAAATTCCAGTCTAAACCCAATGGGACATCAATTTGTGGGGCTAAGTTGTTGTCCATACCCCAACATGACATGGGGCATAATGGCCTTAAGGCATTACAAACATTCTACAACTTACCATAATCTAAATCTTATGATCCATCAATCGCCGCTTTTGTGGTTCTTATTTGGTGATGGAATATTGGCGGACGAATCATGAGTAGCTTATGTAACAACAAAATATGATGATAGCTATATTTTCTGTTGTGACCCACATAAATTTATCCATATGAAAGATGAGTTCGAATCTTTTTTTTCTGGTGCCGGATAATTACACAAAGTGGTACCACCGGTCCACCCTAGCCTTGGCAAGATGATAGCTAGGCTGTGCATTTCGAGTGTTATCCGATCCGATCTTACCAGTGACGAGAGCTAAAGATGATGAAATATATGGGTTACAAGCAAAAATACTCGAAACACAAAAAGTTTCAAACCTTTGACATTAGTCTAAATTATCCGCACTTGACACCAAATTATCAGTAACCGATCTTTAATCCTTATTACATGATTTTATATATACAAAAATGGCCAGACTAAGTGATAGTCACTGGTAACTAAAATATCTTTAGGATTTAACAAAACAAAAATTGACTACTTAACATGTTACCAAAAAAAAAAAAACAAAAAAAAAAAATTGACCGAATGACCTGCTTGGTCGGACCAGTGAAAACTCGACCTGACCTTGTGAATCGGACCGGTGGACCAAATGTCCAAAATCAGGACCACACTAGGGGAGTATTCGTACTTGAACTAACGTCTTTTGGCTTTACGTCATGATGAGTGGACCAATCTAGGTGGTGGATGAATTTACATCCTCGTGAGCTCTCTATTCTGTAATTGCAAGGACAATCATTCTTCATGTTTTGCAGTTTTTGTAACTCTGACAAACTATAAGGTTAAATGAATAAACCAAAATTAATAAATACCATTCACGTATAAAGAAATACCTCCCCATGTTGAATTCAGCTTTGTACGTCAGTGTTCAGAAAGAAAGTAAATAATTACAAAATTAGAAAGTATCAAACCAAAAGAGAGAAAAAATCTAAAAAAGTAAATATCTGGTATTCACATTCACTCGAAAGTACAATACCCGTTAGGGAATAAGCATATTTTTTGAATCTACTTTGTAAACGTTTCATCAATATAGATGAAAATTAAGGATCCTAACTGCATTTAGTAAATAACAAGTACAGTTACTTTGTCTTGCAAGTCGCAACACAAGTGCATGTGGTGATTGGTGAACACATAGTCAACATTCAGACTCTTGGTAGCTGGATTACGATTCTTGAAAATGAGATAAATCAGGAAAATTGATACTAGTAAACTCACTTATTAATTAATGAATTTTATAAATTACATAAATACCCTTTTAATAAACGTAACTGAGACATTTGTGTATATATATGTTACAAAATATGCCAACATATCCATTTGCTCGAAACATTTATTCTCTCTCTCTCTTAAAAATGCCAAAAATCTTGTGGAAAAGCCTCCATCTTTGCTTCCCGTCGAATCTCACCAAATGCTATTCTTCGCCGTGTATTCCTCCGTCCTCCGCCGATCAAGACTTTACCGACCAACCTAGCCGTCCCTCTATCGTTCTCCTCAATAACTTCAACCTTCTCTACCACCATGACAACAACCACCGCCACCGTGTCATTGACTTACCTTCCTCCTCCACCACCACCACTCCGGCCGCCACCTCCTCGTCCTCCACGTCATCATACGAATCTGATATCTCTCCTGATGTATCCGCCGCTTTCGCTTCTCGTCGCTTCTTCTTCTCTTCCCCTGGCCGGTCCAATGCAATCACCGACTCACCAGAAACCCGGTCAAGAGAATTCTCTGATAATTACGATGATGCCACTATCACGTCGACAAAGAAGAAGAAGAAGAATTATGATACTACCGTGACTACTACTACGAGGCTTATAAGCGGAGGAACCGCCGTGACTCAAAACGTGGACTCACCGGATCCGTTAACGGACTTCCGGCGATCAATGCAGGAGATGATTGACGCCGCCATTGACGCTGGAGAACTTAGCCGTGATCCGAACGACGGTTACGATTTCTTGGATGAGCTCCTACTCACTTATCTCTCCTTGAATCCAACCGACACACACAAGTTCGTCATCAGGGCTTTCTCCGACATATTGGTCTCACTCTTGTCTCAAGAACGCCGAATATGCTGACGTGGCGGCAGCCGCCGGGATAAAAACGCCCGTGTATTGAATGCAACACGTGACTATTAGTTCAGTGAACCTAACTTTCTTTTTTCCATTGTACGTCTTCATGGAAGAATAGCTAATCAACCAAGAAAAAATTAATACTGACAATTTTATATTTTGTATGTTTTTTTTACAAATAATTGAATGATGAAAAGGATATAAATTTTTTGAGATAAATGAAAGATTTGAGATAATTCATAAATTTGGTTGGATAGTATAAACTATAAAGTAGATATTTTGTTGACGAAAAAAAACTTTTTTTAATGATTTTCTAGTTTAAAAATAAAATAAAAATTCGTTCATATAAACCGCACATTAATATAGCGGACCGGGATATCAAAATTGGTCCACTCCCATGTTCGAGTGAAACAGAAAATCAAACACATGTTTTGGCACTGGAACTAGAAGTAATTTTCTAATGATATGGATAAAACTAACTTGTTCGGAGTTATAAGAAATAATTAAAAAATGGTTTAATAGTTAAACTTATGAATTAACAAGTAAAACAAAGCTAAATACGTCCAAAAAACTTTATGATAAGAGTTAAAAACTGAACTCGGTTTGATCAATGAAGCATAAGGTTGAGTAGACAACAATATCACCAAGGTACAAAGCTTGAGGCATCGATAAACTCTCTAGTTGCTTATATTATGTCAAGGCATGCATGGATCGTGTTTTAAATATTACTATGTTTCCATACTTTAATAAAGGGGCATATATAGTTAATCTTTCTACACGATATAAAGTAAAATTTTCCTTTCTGTATGTATAAATCAAAAATGTATTTACGATTACTTAGGGCCTGATTGGTTACGGCTGTAGCTTTAGATTTTTTGCTGTAGATTTTAGACTGTGGATTTTCTTGTTGTAGCTGTAGAATTGTAGCTGTGAGTTTTAAAATAAAAGTATGATTGGTAAATATTAGTTGTATGTTGTAACTTTACGTATTTATTATGTAAACTTAAATTTTTTGGAAATAAATAAATATTAGAAATATATTATAACCAAAAAAAAGCGAGAAAGCAGAAGAAGGAAAGAACAGTAGAGAGAAGAAAGAGAAAATATCTCACAGCTCATTTTTGGGTGCTGTAGAAAATTTGATTTACAAAGCCCATATATTTCCTTTTTTTATTTTGTGTGCTGTAGCTTTTTTTTTGAAGTAAAAGAATAATTGGTTTGCTATTTGGCTTTAGAAAGAAAAGTTGGCTTTCTACAGCATCTAAAGCTCCTTCCAATCAGGCCCTTAGTCTACCTCTTAATGTTTACTACATCATATGATATCAAATTTTCTTCTGTACGTATATAATTTACATTGCCTTCATGGTTGTATATATCCATGTATCAGAGATCAGCATTTGATGTTAAATATATTAGGACATAATGTCCCACATCGGAAGTTGGAAGGGATCCTAAGTAATATATAAAGGGATATGGGCCACTCCACTCATTGCCAATTGGTTTTGAGTTGGAAGCCCATAGAACTTAACATGGTATCAGAGCCCGATCCACACATGTCCAACCCGATCCGACCCAAAGATGGTCCAATCATCGACAAGGCCCAAAATTGATGCCGTCGATCTAAGCCCGAACATTCCGAGATTAATGGCCAAAGAGCCATCATCTCGAGGGGGCGTATTAGGACATAATGTCCCACATCGGAAGTTGGAAGAGATCCTAAGTAATATATAAAGGGATATGGGCCACTCCACTCATTGCCAATTGGTTTTGAGTTGGAAGCCCATAGAACTTAACATGGTATCAGAGCCCGATCCACACATGTCCAACCCGATCCGACCCAAAGATGGTCCAATCATCGACAAGGCCCAAAATTGATGCCGTCGATCTAAGCCCGAATATTCCGAGATTAATGGCCAAAGAGCCATCATCTCGAGGGGGCGTATTAGGACATAATGTCCCACATCGGAAGTTGGAAGGGATCCTAAGTAATATATAAAGGGATATGGGCCACTCCACTCATTGCCAATTGGTTTTGAGTTGGAAGCCCATAGAACTTAACAAAATATTCATATGAGATTTTTTTTTTTTTTTTTTTTTGCTTATGGAACTAACATCGCCTTTCATGGTTGTATATATAATATATACATGTATCAGAAGTCAATTTTTGTCTTTAATGTTTAATTGTTTGAAAATAAAAATGCATGGAGCTATATGTATCGTTAAGAAAACAAAAGGAATGCTACTCTTTTTTTGCTTATTGTTTCTGTACAAAATGTATGAAGTAATATTGTTTGTACATCAATTAAATATGGAAATATATTCTTTTCTTTTGCTTCTTTCCATTAGATTTACACGTAACACAATGTGAGACAAAACAAATAATTGAGAATCCTAAGAGACGGATGTTGGAAGGTCCACTCGACCAAATAAACTAAAAAAATGTAGGTTATACTAATTTATAAGGGTCTAATTTATTAAAAACAAAGTATTAAAAAGTTAGTTGGTTTAGGTGAAAGTAAGACTATGCCATTTGTCTTATTCACTAAAGGATTAAAACTAGCCTCTAGACCCGCTCAATTGCGAGTAAAACACTCAACTTAATCTAATTAGTAAGAGATTATACACTTAAATTATATTATACAGGTCTAAGTAGCTCATATTCGTTAACACTTTGAATAGGTTTTACGTATGTGTAAATTTCGGCAAATTTAAACAGAAAAAAAAACTAAATCTCATTTTTGCAATGAAGCAATGAAATAAGCATGTCTTTTATTGCAAGAAAGGTGCATATGGGTGAATGAATTTGCAACTAAATTTGACTATGCATGATGTTATATACTGTAGTTGTAATCAGAGAAAATGTGGATTAATATTGTTAAATCGCCATATATTTGTAATAACTAACTAAGCTTTTGCAAAACGTCTAGAATAATAATAAGGAATCTTAATTATACTTTTCGAGTTGGTAAATGGTGCCTGGTTTTCTGCCGCTTGTCTCCACCTCTGCCTAACCACTTGGTTGATAATGATAAGTCGATAGAAATTTACTTTTAAATATATATTTGTTGTTTGTTAAATTTATAGTCTATGTCACTATGTGTAATCTTTGTGTGAGGTAGAGAGAGCTAATTTGGGTCAAACGTACAGTAGTTTCATATGTCCATTTCGTTGCGAATTTAAGGTCATTTAGATAGGAAATTATCTGTCAACCACCTCACTGTTTTAAACGAATCACAAAAAGAATCCGAGAAGAGACAATTTGCTACAAGCTAGATTTTAAGAGTAGAGATTTTCGATGCATGCAAGTGTCATTTTTCTTAGTCATGCCTTTATCCGAACAATCCCGAAAATCACAGAATACTTGTGATTAGTTACATCCCATAACGTTAACGAGATACTTCGACCAAAAAATCACAACGATTTTTAATGGTCTAAACTCAAAATGATAATGGTATAAATAATTTGTCACTGAAATTAGCAAGTTGCCGTACTCAATACAAAGCATTTGATATATTACGAGTTTAGACGATTTTTATTTATTTACTTATAAATGGAAACATGCATCATGCATGATATTTTCGGCAAAATTATACAATTACTTTTGACTCCAATAACTTAAAGTTACACATACCTACCTAAATATGGGTCAATCTCAAGATATGAGATCACTATCGAGACGAAATAAAAAGTTTGATACTCATGCATTGCATTTGGATTTCTCTTACCTATCAAATTAAAGTCATTCGCTTTATTGAATTGTCAACTACCTAAATACTTATGTCGTATATATTTTGGCTATTATCATGCCTGGCTCAAACATTAGTTAGATCGGTTATTGCTAGTAGAAAATCTTTAAATTGTGTTAAGAAAAAAAAAAACTAAACATGTAAAAGAAAAATTGGGCCTTTGGACCCTCTACCCTAACGCCTAACACCTCTAGAAGACCATATCTTATGCCGGCATTGGTTATTGCTGTATTATGCATTTAGACTTTTGTTATGTATCCGCCCAGTAAAACCGGATCACCATATCTTGCCTCGGCCCGAGCCGCACATTCAATTTGTTACCATTTCCATAAATTCCTTACAGTCAAATAAAACGGCCCCATGGTATATGGCATTGGTAAGTAAAAATCTGTTCAGAAAATTTTAGGAAAGTAATTAAAATTAATAATTTTGAAAATTAGATAAAAAGTGAAAGAAGATAACAAAGCTGGAATAGCTCAGTAGGTTAGAGCGTGTGGCTGTTAACCACAAGGTCGGAGGTTCGACCCCTCCTTTCAGCGGTATTTTCATTCTTTTAACCTATTAATCACCCAATAGGAAAAAAATTCCTTCAATATAGATCAACAAATGAAATCAACTCGATAAAAATGTTGAGATTCCAAGTTTGTCAAAGTTTTTTGGGAAAATTGGATATAAAGGACAATAGTTAAACTATTGTCCATCCGTGCATTCTATATTCAAATGTCATATATTCCTAATCTACCCTTTGTAATTGATTTAACCAATTTTTCAAATAAAATTCAGAATAGTTTGTAGACAAATGATAAATAAGTCATGGGGATACTTATAAAATAGAAAATATATCGTTTTTGTTACCGTTTTGGATGAATAAAATATGATCTACGAAATTTAGACTACGTCTTCTGAATTTAGAATGTGTATTCTATACATTGTACATGTTCTATAAAATTTAGATAATGTATTCTATGCACTCTACATGTTCTAGAAAATTTAGAACGCATTTCTGTTCTACGGTATTTAGAATGCTAAATTCTACGAAATTTAGAATACATATTCTATACTTTGCTCTTTCTTCTAGAAAAATTAGAATATGTTTTCTAACATTTACCCATGTTCTAAAATTGTTAGAAAACACAATCTTATATTTTTCTATATATTCTACAAAAAATAGAAATCAAATTCTATGTAATTTAGAATTTTTTTAAAAAAGGAAAACAAATTATAAAATATGGAAATCGAATATAAAAAGTTAAGATTACGAAACTACACAACTTTTTCGTGGAAAATACGTAACATGAGTGAAACGTGTTGCTCTACTTATACAAAATACAAAATACGTAATATAACCAAACTCAATTATATTAGAATCTAGCTTGTGGAGGTTCATACTTTGCCATTCGGTCATGAATACATGAGCAGATGTTACTTCCCATAGATCAACTACATGCCTTTGATGTGCATGTATATGTTGACATCGTCCAACATATCGATGGACAGTCCCAAAAGAGAAAATCAAAGAAGAAGTTGTCGTAAAGAAAATAGAAGAAGAAGATACCGTATTAAAAAAACCTAAAGCGGAAGAAGATATAAAATTATCTACAGCAAAAAAAAAAATTAGAAAGTAATTAAATATTATTTTTGTCATATATTTTCTCCAAATCATTTTTAGAAAGAAATCTAATTAATTTTAGATTTTTTTGGTTTAGCAAGATTTAACAAAAAAACTAGGGATATAAATAGGATTTTAATTATATCAAAGCATATATGACCAATTTTAAAGCATATATGACCAATTAGGAATATCGAATGCATAGATAGACAATAATTTAATTATTTATCCTTTATATCCAATTTTCCCAAGTTTTAATCAGAAGCTCAAAAACAGTTAAAATCTTACAACATATCAGAAGCTCGAGTGTCCGAACTCTCTAGTTTATTATTATACAAATCTGCAAAGCATAGCATTATTACTTCATTACACAGATAAACATTGTTTACCACTTCAACAACAAACCCAAAACACACAAACTTTACAAACTCTTCTCTATATGAAACATTCTCATATCTTACATCATAATCTAAAATCCTTTCACTAACACCATTTTATTTTAATCTTACATCTTCCGCTGAAGAGTAATCAAATCAAGAGTAGCTCCATATTTCACATTCAAAGCTTGAGCACACCAACCATGTCCATCATCAACCGTAGGCATCCTCACCTCAATCACAGGAACCACCGGAGTTGAAGATCCCGGCATCAACACAGCTGCGAAAACCCGTAAAGCATTCGAAGCATCAATGTCCATACAAACATTGATCTCTGGAACACCTTTTGGTGCCGGCGGAATCCCAACGATCTTGAAATACCCAAGAAGATGATTCTCTTCAACGGTCTCTCCTTCTCCTTCGTATATAATGATCAGAGCTTCCTTCTGGTTGTCTTGAACCGTTGTGAAGAAGAGGTCTTTCCGCGCTGGAACCATCGTGTTACGCGGAATCACGGGTATGAATTTGTTTCCGTTAGCTCTTACTCCAACTGCAAGAGGTGTGGCTTGTATGGTTAAGAGATCTAAGCTCCCAAACGGATCGTGAATCCCTGAAGTCACCGCACCTTCCAAGGCAGCTCCCCTAACCGCAGCTTCTAACGGATTCACGCCTTTGTAAATCTCGTCTTTCTTGCACACGTTCTTGATAATAGTTCTTACTTTCGGTATGTAAGAACACCCTCCAACCATTATCACATCATCGATATCACCAACCTCAACTCTCGCATCTCGCAAACACTGCACAACAAGTCTCTCACATTCCTCAAATACCTTCCGGTTCACTTCCTCAAACTCCAATCTATCAAGAACCTTGGAAATCTTGTTACCGTTTCCCAAATCCACTTCAATTTGGACATTTTCTTGATCCGATAGCCTGTGAATAGCGTCCTGTGTCGCTACACGGAGCAAACCCCGAAGCTTCTTCATTTGGTGGCGCGATATGGCGCATTGTGTTCTGCAAAATGTCTTCTCCTCCAATGGGGCTTCCAGCTAAAGCTTTTATCTGTGAAACACCACCAGCAGTTGCAGTAACCGCAACATCGCAGTAACCAGCACCCATATTGAATATAACCGCAAGCCTCTCACTTCCACTTCCCATGTTATCGTGCGTAGTCATCTGCTGCTGTTGCGCATAAAGCAACGCGATTGCAGTTGGTTCCGGCATCAAACGAAGAACATGAAGTCCAGCCATAGCACAAGCTCGTTCAATCCGTGTGAGCTGGAACCTAGAGAACGAAACCGGAACCGTAAGCACAACATTTCTCACAGGCCGTTTCAACTGAGCTTCAGCCATTAGACGTAACTCCACAAGGAATATCGCTAAAACTTCCTCTGGAGTTGTAGATCTCCAAGCATTGTTCACCAAAGCCGCGATAAACGGTCTGACTCCAATGTCAAGAGTTTGAACCAAGAAAGGAAGGTTCTTGCTAGCGTGAACCACAGGATCAGTGTCTACACGACCGATGAGCCGCTTCATGTTAAAGATAGCGGCTCCAGTCAGCATTTCCTGCTCGTGCGCGAGCTGGTTGCTAACTCCACCAGCAGGAACTTCGTCTTTGAATGTTACAAATGATTTGATGAGTTTCTGGTTTCTTGTGTTCCTCAAGATGTGAACTTGAGAGCCGTTCCAAACAGCTATACTGCATTGGGAAGTACCAATGTCGATACCAACGGCGATTTCGGGTAATGAAGGAGATGATGATGATTTCTCCTCTGCAGTGTTTTCACTGTCTGATGCTACTGTGTATTCTTGTTCTGCCATTTCCTGCAAAAAAAATCAGATTCAAGATTCAAGGTCTGAACATAGACAATATGATACTTAGACATCAACAACTGGTAAGACCGGCTTAAGATATTCAAGATTCATCAACACAATCAAAGATTTGTCCTTTCAAGATTCATCAACACTACAACACTCAACATTCTCAACATACCAAGAACCAATTCTAACACAAACTGAAGCTAGGATTTTACACTCCTTACGATCCCACCTAGATAAGATTCAAAATTGACAAATAAACTTGAATCAAATTGAGGATTAGAGTAGTAATCAGAAAAGTTAACAATCGCAATTTCAATAAGTACAAGAACTGAGCTAAAACCAAACAAAGTGTTATGCAAAAAAGAGGACTCGGAAACAACAAACCTGACCAAAAGGAGAGATCTTTTACAAAAAAGGGTTTGTTTGTAGCTGTTGCGTAATTAGAAGAAAAGGGTTTGTGAGTCGAGAAGAGCGAAGCGAAGAAATAGAGCAGGTTTTAGAAGGTGCGAGAGAAGATTGTTACTGTGCTTCCTTCGTCTTCTAGAGTTTGCTAGAGAAAGAGGAGGGACTTCTTCTTTTTTTTTCCTTGTTTCTCGCTAAATTAATAATTTGCCGACCCAAAAATAATAATATTACTATTTTTCCAAAAATTGGGCCCATTTGAAGTAACCTTGTATATGGACTAACTATAACAAACATATGGGCCTGTAGCAAAGTATTGGCCCAAATCTAATTATTCTCTAAATTTAAAATAAATTATTCTCTAAATTTTCAATGAAATTTGGACAGAAATAGTACTATAGTAGTGTCATTCTTCTCTGGCTCCAATGGTTATTAAAATAATTATATGATAATTGAAATTAATAAATGAACTAATGAAAACAGGAAATAATAATAGTATAATATTGGAATCTTTAACGATAGAAGACGAAGTTGGAGAAAATGTCCAAACCAATAACGCAACACATAGGTGACATCTCTTGATGGGAAGTGCTGATGTTTGGGAGAGGTCCACAGACAACTCAACCACTATCAATTAATAAGTAGTAGAATTTTTATTAATAAAATCAAAACATTATCACCAGCAATATTTCTTATGTGTGAAAATTCCCTATCCGTAATTTCTGCTTTTTTAGGTAGATTCATGGCATTTTTTCCTTCTTTGTGGCCTTAATGTAATGCTAATCAACAGTACATGATATTTTTGGTAATCTCCATTCTCCAATCATCTGGTGTAGCATGTGCAACACGTACAACTAATCGAGTTATAATCTGTCAACGCGTAGGAATTATAATTTTTTTTGTCTGAAAACACGTGTTTTGTGTGCGCACACTTAATAAGGCTAGTGAGTCCGAGTCGTGACATCATATTTGAATTTCACATAGAGGCCATGTTGTTAAAAAAAACATCTAAACGCTAAAAGCGAAAATATAATGATTGATATTTCATTTGCAACTTCATCGATGTTTAAGGGTACAAAGTATAGCGACGCCGACGCGTTGCCTAATTTTTCTATAACTTTTATTGTGATGGCACTGTAACAATAAATTCTAGTTAATTAAGATATTGAAATGTTATAGTAACATTTACTATCAACCATGGATGAAGAAGTTCCATGCACGCTGAAGACATCTAATAAGTAAAATTTCGAAACAAGTTAACTGAAACATTTTCAGAGACTTAACACGTAAAGCTTTGTAACTCTTACAAATTAATTAAAAAAAGGACTGGTTTTACATTGTTTAATCAAGATATATATAAAGCGATCGTTGCAACACAAATGAGGATAGAGTATGATCCGATTAACATCAAATCATATTATAATGTAATGGATTTTCAAAGAAAATGTATAACCAGATAAAATAGACGAAAGGGATTTGAACCATGAGTCAGCAGTCAGTATCCATTATTAAAAAATAGAGAAAAGCAAATTAAAAAATGACTCGACTTCCTATAAATACCCTCAAACATCTCCCTTTCTTCACGACTCCTATTGTTGTTTGCTATTTCCTCCAATTTCTCAAATATTCTCAAATTAGTTTTCTTACTTGTTCTCTTGTAATGGATTTCTCTCCGATCAACTGCCTCATTTTCGGTATATCATTTATAATACGTGATATTGAAATTTGTAAAATGTATTTACTAAAGTTGTTCTAATTGTTTTTGGTTTGTGCTCTCTGATTGTGATCAGATTTGGATGACACATTATACCCTCTCAAAACTGGCATAGCGCCAGCTGTCAAGAAGAATATCGACGGTAACTAAACAAAACACAATTACAATACTTTCCTCTATTTTTCTTAAAAAAAATTAGGTTAATTATATTAATTATCTGGGCAGATTTTCTAGTGGAGAAATTTGGATTCTCAGAAAGCAAAGCTTCAAGTTTAAGAGTTGAACTCTTCAAGACTTATGGAAGTACTCTCGCTGGTCTCAGGGTAATTTCATTTCTCCATTTCCTAACTAATTATTAGTTCATTATATATATATATATATATATATATATATATATATCATTGATTTCTAATTTATTTTCTTTGTTTTTTATAAATTTTAGGCGTTAGGTCATGATGTTCATCCTGATGAATATCACAGGTAATAATCATCTTCAACAACTATATAAATATTTTTGATCTCAGGAAAACGATTTTTGTTCTTAAGCTTTTCTTTTCTTGCATAATTTGTTTTGTAGTTTCGTGCACGGAAGATTACCGTATGGCTCGATCGAACCAAACAATAAACTACGTAACCTTCTCAACAAAATCAAACAGAGAAAAATTGTAAGTTTAATCATTTATTTATTTATGTGGCATCAATTTTTTTTGGGTCTAGATTGCCAAAATTAATAAATGCTATCATTGTTTTTTTATTGGGTCCAGATATTTACAAATTCGGACAGGAATCATGCGGTTAAGGTCCTCAAGAAATTGGGTTTAGAAGATTGTTTTGAAGAGATGATTGTTTTGAGACAATGAACCCGAATTTATTCGGGTCAACAACCCGACCGGATGAACACCCGGTTGTTCTCAAGCCGTCGTTGACCGCAATGGATATTTGCATTCGTGTAGCCAACGTCGACCCTCGCCGAACGGTAATATTCTTATTTATATAATGTTTTAAATATTTTCTTATTAAACTTTGGTATATCCACACGTATCATCATTACAATATTCATGTTTTTGTATATAGGTATTTTTGGATGATAATATCCACAATATTACCGCGGGTAAATCTGTCGGGCTTCGCACAATACTGGTAATTATTTTATTCCATTCACATCTATTAATTTTTTTTTAACGACATTTGTGTGCGTGAATTACATTCAATTAATTTTAAAATTTGGTTAAAAAGGTGGGAAGAGCAGAAAAAACGAAAGATGCGGATTACGCGGTGGAGACAGTAACTGAGATAGCTACGGCGGTACCGGAGATTTGGAAGACGGCAACGGCTACGGGCGGGTTTGACGTCGGCGGTGAGAGGATCAGACGGAGCAAGAGTGAGCTGGAGGGTATGGCTTCAATCACAGCCGTCGGTGCGTGACGTGATCAAGTGGGCGAATTGTGGCCGTTGGATCTTTTTAACGTCTAGTGGTTGGGATTGTACAGGTGGCGTTAAAATGTTGATAATGCATGTGAATATAATAATAGTGGTGGTGGAGAATATTCATCCCATGTGGACACCAAATGTGAATACGCAATCAAATATTATTATGTATGATGACTATGATTTCAATATATCAGTGTACATTTTCAAGTTTCAACCGAAATTTTAATGTTTGATTGGGATTTCATCAAATGTCCAAAATTAAATTTTATTTTTAAACATAACATGTTCTTTTTCTATTAGGTAAGTAATTAACATTATGAGAAGTATATAGTCCAAATGTAGTTTTTTTTTTTTTTTTGGTTTAGATGTCTGGCATTACAGCTTTGTCATTTTTAAAAATGAATGTTATTTTTTTTGGTCACAAACAACATTTTATTTACTAAGCATATGACAAAAATACTGTTTCCGCATGTATCTAATAATACAGATGATTTTTTTTTTTTTTTTACGAATACAAGAGTTGATTTAATCATAGTAGATATAAAACACATGAAAATGAAAATTATTGTGTGAATCTTTATAGAGAATATGCACAAAATAGCTAAATTTTTGAGGATAATTAACAAATTAACTATATGTTACAGTAATTTGTTGGGAACATATCAGAGATCACATATAATTACGTAAATATCATTTGTAACACGCTTTTTCTCGAATTACATGTGATAACATAATATATCTTTTATCATGTAATTTTTTCGTATTACACGTTATTTGTGAAGAGTACATGGTCTTTTTAGGAAAAATATTTTATTCAGTTTAATATCTCTTTTATCATGTTATTTTATAATAATACATGTTTTTTTAAGATTACATGTGATTTCTTTAAAAAAAAAGATGATTATTTTTTAGTATTACACGACTTTTATTAAGATTACATGTGATTTCTTTTTTAAAAAATTCTATTCCGGTTAAATTTTTACTATAACAATGTTTTTTCTTAAAAAAATAATACGTAACAATGTTTTTTCTTAAAAATTCACTACGTTTTTTGAAATATCATGTCTTTTAGTTAAAATATAACATGTGAAAAATCTCACGAAACTGTCTCGCCTATGTTGATCTCGCAACAAACAAAGATGATTTTGTTATTTCACATCTTTGACAACGTGGATCCATGACTATTTTGCAATAAAAACCTTTCTCTCTACTAGTTTTTTTAGTTTTTGTGTTTTATTTGGCTATTCATTAATATTACCCAACTTTATATGTATGTATATATCTATATGATTGACAAATGCCTACTGTTCACTTTTTGACACATGTTTAATGCGTTCACTTTTTTTTTTTTTTGGTCATACAGTTATAATTTTAAGTGTACTAATTTAATGTAATTAAGGAATTTTAAGTGGAAGAAAAGTTGTGAATAAATTTCAAACATGTGAACACTAAAGAGATATTTATAAACATAATTGAGTGTTGATCCTTAATTGTGTGTATATCACAAATTAACGATATTTTCAAAATTGGGCCATGTTCCTCAGTAGGCCTAACTTAGCCATTTTCGTAGTAGGAGAAATAATAAAACGTACCTTGCAGAAATAATCTTATGTCAAGTCAACTTCCTCGTACAACCGAAGAGCCATAATGATTTAATCGTCAGAGATGATGGCGACGGCACCGGAAATTGTGATCAACACTCAATTAAGGATCAACACTCAATTATGTTTATAAATATCTCTTTAGTGTTCACATGTTTGAAATTTATTCACAACTTTTCTTCCAACGTCGGCACCGGAATTTGTAACAGCCATGGAAACGGAAACTGAACGAGTAGAAAATTCGAGGGAAGTAGATGAGGAAGAGGAGGAGAAAATACGCCGTCAGAAGAAGCCTCAAGAAGAAGTTCTCGAAGCCAAATGTCTTCCCGGAATCATCAGTGCTTATCTCAAGTATGTTCCTTTGTTCTCTTCTTTTTTTTTAACTCATAAATGGCACTATCTTGGCGGATTTAATCATTCAAGGAGACTTGTCTAACTGATGACCAAGTCAAATCTTCGACTTCAGTCTTCTCAAGCTCTTTAACCATGTTACTTGGTTGGATTGTGCATCTTTGTAGGGTGATCCATTAGTTGAGTTTGTTTTGGTCATTTAAGTTTTTGCCCTTCCAACTCAAAACCGATTGGCGATGAGTGAATTGGCCTTGTCCCTTATATACGACTCAAGTCCCTTCTCATATTTGCGATGTGGGATATTTCTTCACATTTAGGTTAAAGAGTTCTACAGACTGAATCGTTGACCTTCCTTGTGCTTGGAAATTTTGACAGTTATCCCAAGGCTGCGGAAGAAAATCTGAAAAAATGCGAAAGGTCTTATCAGAAGCTGTCTCCTGCGCACAAGGTAATTTTGTTATTTGTTGTATTATAGATATTATGTTAATGGTTTATTGCTGTAGCATATTTCAGAATATTCAATAATATAAGAGTCTTGTGCATAGCCGTTAGAAGATCACCCAAATGATTCAAGTCAAGTTGATTTTTTATACAGATAGAACTAACTATCTAAAAAAAAAAAAAGTACTAACTATCTATCCTATTGTCTTTTTTTTCCTTGTCCAGGCAATGGTAACCCATTTCCCTACGAAGTTGCAGAGATTAAGAAGGTGAAATCTTTACTCAGTAGATATTTCACTGATTATATATCATCTTGTAGTCTTACATAAGTGTCACAACTCACAAGGTAATATTCATATTTTATATTTTTCCATTATATATAGTTGCTTTTCATATATGATTATTACTTCTTCATTTGTACTTTGGATAATATATAGAAGATTCCTCATGCTGCTAAACGTTTTCATTAACTTTTGTTGTTAAAAATTATACATATATTATATATATTGCCATAATAATGGTATGCCCTAGAGAAATTGAGGTTAGGGACTGTCTAACGTGTAACAAGCAACTTTCTGGTGTTGACATTAATGCATTTTCATCCTAAGCATGGTCTTGTTTGAAATATTAGTAAGTTATTAGACTTTAAATTGTTGTTGCAGGTGTATATCGATGAATTCACATTTCATATATAATATGATTCAGGTCAGTTCCAGAAATATCTTCTTCTAATTCCATTTGCGTTTCAATTGCTTCATGCTAATTTATAATTATTTTTTGGCAGGCTTTTGAGCCCCCTATAGACTTGAGTAAACACATACGCAAGCCAATAACAAGAGCACTGTCTATCGAGGTCAGATCAAGACTTGGAAATTTATCCTTTTCATTTTGAAATCTTTAATTTATATTTATAAATGCAGGGGTTTCAAAGGGAGGAAACTCATCATCATGATCATTCCCTCAAGGATACAGAGATAAGAATCAATAATAAGACATGTGAATTTGTTGGAGGCCAGATAAATCATGACCATGGCAGTGTAATCATGCCAACTCATATACTTTATATATACCTCAACTCATATACTAACTCATATAATGTTTGTAATTCTAATGTTGCTCTCTTTTCTTTCTTAGGTACCATTTTCATCGTTACAGACGCATGTTCCTCTGGTTGATGTAAATAAGGTATGCTTTTTTCACTTTTACTATGGTTGATGATATTAGTTTTTTCATCCCAGGAACTTATAATTGTATTAGAGCTATTTTAGTGTGAAACAAAGATAGTAAGAATCTGTTCTCAATTCTCAAAATGTAGATGATCTTGTTAGAGGTGACATGCACACCAGTACAATTGTATATATATTTGTTGCGATGTTGTGTGTATTGCTCACGAATCTATTACTTAGAAATGTGCATGCATGGTTTTTGTTGTATTCTAACACAGGTTCGTTGGGTAATAAGGAATATAGTTCGAGACTGGGGATCAGAGGTAATCATATTTTTGTTTGTCACGATGATGACAATGATGAGATTCTTTCTTTAATTTCATGATCACAACTTTAGTGGTATATATAATCTTTTTACTAACAGGGTCAGAGAGAAAGAGATGAATGCTACAAGCCTATCCTTGAAGAGCTTGATTCCTTGTTTCCTGATCGTCACAAGGAGAGGTACACTTCCAGACTTTTCTGAGTATTTTTATCTTTACTATTCAAAGCTAACGCCTTAGAGCATCTCCATCCATCAGACACTGTGTGGGTGTCTCAAAAATACTATTTTAATCAATTTATAATAAATAGGTTATTTATTTAAATTATAAATTATGAAAAAAGAATTTGACCAATTATAAAAAGACAAGTGGAGACACAGTTTCTCAAAGTTTCTCAAACCAGAAACTGTGTCTACACTCTCTCCTACTTTTATATTATTTTCTATTTTTTTAATCTTGAGACATTCCTCCAGACATTACTGTTGGAGATGCTCTTATATGATTTGCAGCACTCGTCCTGCCTGTTTAGTCCCTGGCGCTGGACTTGGGCGGCTGGCCCTTGAAATTTCTTGTCTAGGCATGCAATGGAGAGAAGCAACCCTTTTTTTTTTTTTTATGTAGCTTTGATGATAATGAGGAAACAATATAACAACTCTTGTACATTGGAGCAGGTTTCAGAAGCCAAGGCAATGAATTTTCATACTACATGATGTTATGCTCAAGTTTTATTCTTAATTAGTAAGAGTTTCTTACTTTCTTATTAAATATATATGATCTTTGTATATTCCTTACATTTTGCTTGCTTTTTGGAGAGTCTCTAAATTTGATTGAGTTAATTTCTTGATTCTGTTCCAGTTTTGAGTTTTGCTCTACTTGTTGTTTTTTTCATCAGTACACAATTGCCTGGTGAGTGGACAATATACCCCTGGATACACACTAACTGCAATTCGCTCTCGGATGATGATCAACTACGCCCTATTTCTATTCCTGATATTCATCCTGCAAGGTATGCCTTACAGAGAGTACGGTTTGGAATGTTTTGTTAGTTTTAGGGATAAAGACTTATTCGTTTTTTTGTATAACATGCATAAGGGAACTCAAATCAGTGAAATCACCAATGAGCTACTACAATTATTTACTTCATACTAAAAGTTTATTTTCTGTGAGCAGTGCAGGAGTAACAGAAGGTTTCTCTATGTGTGGTGGTGATTTTGTTGAAGTATTCAATGAATCAAGTCATGCAGGTAAAAACGGTGACTATACTTGCTTCTGTTTAAGCCAATATGTGTATGTTTTATACCAAATACACCACTCATTAGTTTGAATGGCAACACTAAGTTTCAGGAATGTGGGATGCAGTTGTGACTTGTTTTTTCATCGACACGGCTCATAACATCATCGAGTACATCGAAACCATATCCAAGATCTTAAAGGATGGAGGAGTAAGTAATTTCCCTGTTACGTACCCTCCTTTTCCAACGTCTTTGATCTTTCATATCTAAATTAATTTATCCATCAGGTTTGGATAAATCTAGGACCTCTGTTGTATCACTTTGCAGACGAACATGGCCTGGAAAATGTAAGCATTGGACTTGTCACACAATCTCTAGCTAGATAGATAACTTTGATATAACAATATTATATATTTCTCTTTAGGAAATGTCGATTGAGCTAAGTTTGGAGGATGTAAAGAGAGTTGCTTTACATTATGGGTTTGAGATGGAGGTAAAGCTACAACATTATTACAATTACATTTTCTTGTCAAAAATAAAAACATCTCATGATGCATGCATGTTCTTCCTCACTCATAAGTGGTTATCCTTGCAATATTTGCAGAAAGAAAAAACAATTGAAACAACGTACTCTACAAATCCCCGGTCTATGATGAAGGTCAGATTTTTTTACGTCTTTGGATTTGTGGTTGATTTTTGGATCAAAAGGTGGGTTAAATTGTGATGTTGTGTGTGTTGCAGAACCGATACTATCCTGTCTTCTGGACAATGAGGAAGAAATGTGCTACAACAACTTAAACCAAATATTTCTCAAACTATTTCTTTTGTTGTTGCAAAATAATTAAACTGTGTGTTTCGGTTGATGTTAAGACTAAACTTAATTAATTTGTAATGTTGTTACAAAACCTGTAGGCACAAAATTAAAATTTTATTATTTCTCGGCACTAATTAAGGCCCATTAAAGAACATGAAGCCCAACTTGAAAAAAACTTGTTTCCTCGTATAATTATAATAACCTTTCCGATGAAAGCAACTCGAAACCGAAGAGCCACCATGGTTTCACCGTCAGAGACGGTAACGGCAGCGGCGTCGGTAACCATGGCAACGGAAACCGAGAGGATAGAGAGTTCGAGGGAAGTGGATAATAAAGAAGACGAGGAGAATATACGGCGCCAGAAGAAGCTTGAAGAAGCTCTCGAAGCCAAATCTCTTCGCCGCATTATCAGTGCTTACCTCAAGTATCTCACTTTCTCGTCAATTCCAGTTTCTAGATTTTACTTTTGGGATTCTGCATAGTTAGACCTTTCCTTATGCTTGGAAATTTGTTACAGTTATCCTGAGGCTTCGGAAGAGGATTTGAAAAGATGGGAAAGATCATATCGGAAGCTCTCTCCTTCACACAAGGTAAAATCTGTTGTGTTACGAATCGATATTATGTTAATGGTTTATTGCTGTACCTTATTTTAGAATTCGAAATGCTTACGATGCATAGCAGTGTTAAGAGATCACCAAACGATTTCGAGTCAAGTTGATTTTTTGTCGAATCTTCTTTGTTTGCTTATAGTTATAATAGAACTAATTGTTTTAGTGATGCCTTTTTTTTCTCCCTTGTCCAGGCATTGGTACCCCATTACCCTATGAAGTTTCAGAGATTAAGAAGGTGAAATCTTTAATCAGTAAAATTCATCTTCTAGTCTAGATAAATGTCAAAGTCCCTTGGATGATATTCCGAATCTTGTTAGATTTATGATGTGTTCATGTGTCATTTTTATGATATCCATTCTTCTTTCTCATGCTTGCATACTAAACTCGATAGTATGCCAGATTGAACTTGACTTATTTATATCCTGTCTGTGTTTGTCCCAGACATCCTGAGCATAGTCTTTTTTTTTTTTTTGAAATATTAGTAAGTTGTTGGACTTTGTTGTTGCAGGTGTATATCGGCGAATTCATATTTCATATTTAATATGCTTCAGGTCAGTTGCTAAGATTTATTTTTCTAGTTTCCTTGGTGTTTCATTTGCTTCAACTTATTTGATTATGTGATTCTTAATGTAAAAATTAATTCCAATTACTTGGCAGGCTTTTGAGCCCCCTATAGACTTGAGTCAGGAACTTGATGGTTGTGAAGACTCAAATCTTGAGTGTGCTCCACATGAGAGATACACTCTAGATGAAAGGCACGACTCTTCTTGTCAGCCGGCCTTGACCAATAGTTGTACATATAAGGAAGAAAGCAAACACATTCATGAGCCAATAACAGGAGTGTCTATCGAGGTCAGATCAAGACATCGGAACTTTATCCTTGTCATTTAGAATCTTTAATTTATTTGTGTAAATGCAGGAGCTTCAAAGGAAGGAAGCTCATGATCATTCTCCCAAGGATGACTCTGCAGACGCAAGAATTACTAATAAGACATGTGAATGTGATGGAGGCCAGTTAAATCATGACCATGGCAGTGTAATGCTAACTCATATACTCTTATACCTCAGTTCCGTCCAGATAATGTGTTGACTATGTTAGCTTTGCACAGATTCTTTAGTTATTGTATCAGTTATATAAGATCTCTGGTGGGATCATATGAATATTTCCTGGTATTCTAGATCATATGAATTTTACCTGGTAGTCTATATTCAGAAAGCGTTTTACTGTCAAGCATAGGCTTTGTTGTGTATATTTTTGCATCATACTTCATTTACGACTATAAAATTGTCATAATTCCTGTGATTTTTCTTATTAAAATGTTCCTTTTTTCTTTCTTAGGTATCATTTTCATCCCATGATTGGTTGGATTCATCGTTACAGACACATGTTCCTCTGGTTGATGTAGATAAGGTATGCTTTTTCACATTACTATGACTGGTGATATTCATTTTCCTCAGTCATAGGTCATCATATTTGTATAAGAGCTCTTGTAGTGTGAGACAAAGATCATAAGGTGTCCTATTAGAAGCTATCCTCAATCTCTACTAGTTCCATTAGGTAGTTGGTAAGTTATGGGGGTTGGTTTCCTCATGTAGCTTTGCATGGGTAGGTGAATCCTGTTGAGCTGAAGTGCAGCTTCTTACCCGTATGCACATGATAGAGGTGACACGCACACCAGTACAATTGCATATGTTTGTTGTGATGTTGTGTGTATTTCTCACCAATCTATACTTTAAAAAGTTCATGATTTTGTTGTATTCTAACACAGGTTCGTTGTATTATAAGGAATATAGTTCGAGACTGGGCAGCAGAGGTAGCCATATTTTTGTTTGTCATTCTCTTCTGACAATGATGTACGCAGATTGTTTCTTTAACCTTATATCACAACTTAAGTTTTTAGTGGTATATTCTTTTTACTTTCAGGGTCAGAGAGAACGAGATCAATGCTACAAGCCTATCCTTGAAGAGCTTGATTCCTTGTTTCCTGATCGTTCCAAGGAGAGGTACACCGAGTTGCTCCTATTTGTTTTTGATTTTTAGGTCTCTGACCTCTCATCAATGCATTATGAGTCTGTGGAAAAAGTAGTTTTTTCTTAACTATTCAATATCCAAATCTGGTGGCTTGTTTTTTGATCCACAAATTCCCGTTATAGAGACTTGAGTAGAGAGAGACAGAAAATCGGATAATGGTTTTAGCTCCTTCTTAGTACCAGACGACTAGTATGTGATTGAGCATTTTTAGGTACCTGCTGCACTCACTCTGCTTACAAAGTTAACTATATGACTTGCAGCACCCCTCCTGCCTGTTTAGTCCCCGGTGCTGGACTTGGACGTCTGGCCCTTGAAATTTCTTGTCTAGGTATGCAATGCGGAAGTACTTTTTTTTGTATACTTGATGATACTAACAATATAACAATTCTGTATACTGGAGCAGGATTCATAAGCCAAGGAAATGAATTTTCATACTATATGATGATATGCTCAAGTTTTATACTGAATTAGTAAGAGTTCCTTTCTTGAATACATTATCTTTTTATATTCCTTTTATTTTGCTTGTCTGTCTCAAAGAGCCTCTCTGTCCCCCTTTTCTAGGCTGAGATATTTGGTCATCCATGTTGTTTCAGAAAATAGAAATCAATTTGTCCACAGTTCAGTAATTCACATCTATTATTTTCACATCAGTCAATCTCTAAATTTCAAACTTTTTTTCTAAATTGCTTTTGGAGAGTCCGCAATTTAGTTTCTTCTGTGATGTTGTATCTCTAAATTTAGTTGAGGTAGTTTCTTACTTTTGGGCTAGTTTTGAGTTTTGCTCAGCTTGTTTTTTGTTTTCGTCAGTTCACAAGTCCCTGGTGAGTGGACAATATACCCCTGGATACACAGCAACTGCAATTCGCTCTCGGACAATGATCAACTACGCCCTATTGCTATTCCAGATATTCATCCTGCAAGGTATGCCTTATCGAACCACTGGAGAACTGGGCCTATGGTTTTTGGAATGTGTTGGTAGCTTTAGGTATAAAGACTTATCTGTTTTCCTTGTAATCCATAAGGGAACTCAATCGAAAGGGATTAAGCAACTTGTATTGGTGATTTCATGTAGCTACAATCATTTACGTCACTTTACTAAAAAGGTTTATGTAAACATTTTGTGAGCAGTGCAGGAATAACAGAAGGTTTCTCTATGTGTGGTGGTGATTTTGTTGAAGTATACAATGAATCAAGTCATGCAGGTAAGAAATGGTGGCTACTTGCTTGTGTCTTAAGCCAATAACCATTCATTTGTTTAATTGTAACCGTTAACACTGAATTTCAGGAATGTGGGATGCAGTTGTGACTTGCTTTTTCATCGACACGGCTCATAATGTCATCGAGTACATTGAAACCATATCCAAGATCCTAAAAGATGGAGGAGTAACTTCCCTGTCACACTCTTTCCTTCTCCTTTGATCTTTTCTTTGCTCCTGACATATCTTAATTAATTTTCCATCAGGTTTGGATAAATTTAGGACCTCTGTTGTATCATTTTGCGGACACATATGGCCATGAAAATGTAAGCATTGGAGTTGTCCCACAATCGCACCATAACTTTGATATGACAATAATATATTTCTTGTTTCTCCTTAGGAAATGTCGATCGAGCTAAGTTTGGAGGATGTAAAGAGGGTTGCTTCACATTATGGGTTCGTGATTGAGGTAATCTACACAATATAGAAAATGACATTTTCCTGTAGATAATAAAACATTTCATCTTCTTCCACACTCAATACTTGTCCTAACATTTGCAGAAAGAAAGAACAATTGAAACAACTTACACTACAAATCCCCGGGCTATGATGCAGGTCAGATTTCTCATGTCCCTCTGGATATGATTATCTTTAATCTCTATGCTCGATTTCAATATCTGTTTCTATATTTGGGTGGTTGATTTCGGAACGAATGGTGGATTAATTTGTAATGTTGTGTGTGTTTTGCAGAACCGATACTATACTGCCTTCTGGACAATGAGGAAGACGTGTGCAGTAGCAACTTAACCAAATTCATTCTGGACTTCTTTTGTTTCTGGATTTCTTTTGTTTTTCTTCGATGAATCATCGATCCAAAACTCACTATTTGTGTTTTTGTTATACTAAACTAATAAACTATGTTCTCGATTTATGAATAATAAGCCTTTGTACTCGACTTCTCGTTATTCCTTTTACCAGCCTTTAGACTTACTACTTATGATCTCTGTCTCTAACATGATTTGGAGTGACAGATCCTGCAATGGCCCTTACGAGGGATTCATTTCCGAGGCTTAGTATTTACGAATGTATGTTTTGAAAACACTCACCAATGTTACTCTCAAATGTATAGATCATACAAAACAAAAATTGTAAGAATGAGATGTTACATGGTATGAACCTGAATTTTATCTATACTATTAATTAGGAAGCACTCAAACATAAATAACCTTATAAAGTGTAAAGTATTACAAAAATGTCATTGGTTTTAGTTTTTAAATAAATTCATTAAAGATACAATAATAATCACAAAATAATATATTTAAATATAAAATAATAAAATTCTTTAAAGTAATTATTAGTTTCCAAAAAATTATACTCACTTTCTCTGTCTTATTAATTATGGACGAAAATTTAAATTTTTTTTCTAAAAAGTTGTTAACCAATGAGAATTGAAAAACTAAGATTTGATATCAAACTAAAATTTTATCTAAACCAATCCTAATAAACTATTCTATATCAAAAATAAAAAGAAAAATAATACCATTTTAATTCAAAATTAAAAACACTATAGTTTAAAAAAATTAACAATGGAGGATTTTAAGATTGAATTTGAAATTTCGCAGACCCAGTCTTGTTATAATATTTTCACAGATTTTGAAATATAAAACAAAATTTTATTTCACAATTTTTTAAAAAACGATATTGGGCATTCATTTAGAGCAAGTTTCGAAAATATCTAAACAATAGATTGTATATATTAATTTCAAAATATTTTATGTTTTCTTTTTTTTCTTCTCAACCGGATCTTCCTTAAACCAATCCACAATATATTTCATACAGTTTTCGAAATAATGTGAACTAATTATATATTTTGCATTCAAAACAAATTATGCAGCAATAGCATATCCCTTTTATAGATATATCTCAAATTTTAATTTTAGTCCAAAAAATCGAATTAATTATGATTAAACAATGAAAAGAAAAATATGCAAAATTTAGCTAGAAACATTAATAAATTTGTTAAAATATATTTATAACTTTAACAGCATACATATTAATCCGCAAAACTCACCGTATATATTGTAATATTGTATGGTATTTAAAGGTAAGCAAACAAGAATTTGTAACATAATTTTAATGGAATAAAATGGAAATAGAAATTACGAGACGAGATGGAAGGGGAACATATATTAAAAATCAAACTAAATACCCAACTGGTATGAGTTCGGGTTATGAGCGCTATTTAAAATTAATTTGTTTACACACATAACCATGTACATACGTTTTCAGTTACACATACTCTATTTATGACAAATAGGGGACCGTAATATTTTTATTTTATGTGTACGTGACAGATTATGGGACAAAGAATTTATGACAAATACCGGACGGGATATGTTTCATGTTCCAAAATAGTTACGCATTGCTAATATACATGAAATAACCCAAACTAAAACCGAATTCATATTCTATTTAACATATGTAATCAAACTGTTAGAACTGTTTTGATTAGTTAAGAAAATAAAAATGTAACACCATTTAACTTTTGCAACTAAATTAGTCCGGATCTTAAAATATAATTATGCATTAACGCAACTGAATTTTTTGTTCATTACTCTAACTTTATAATATTTATATTATTACGAAGTTCACTAATACAACAAAATATTTTATATTTTTAAAATCTATATAACAATTTCTATAAAAATATTTCTACACGTATGTGGATCTAGATCTAATACACTAAAATATATATCATAAAACAACAAAATAATCTATATTGAATTAAATTTTGTTAAAAAAATTTAAAATATGAAACTCCGCACGTACGTGCGGGTTATGATCTAGATATACAATTATAAATATTACAATTTACACATGCACTCTCTTATTAAAAAAAAACCGGAAAAAACCGGTCTGTTTCTTAAACCGGTCTTAATCACCTGAAAAACCGGTCTTAATTAGGTTTTCTCCGTTTGCTTATACAATCACCTGAAAAGTCGGTCTCTTTCTTAAACGAACAATTCTTGGGTTCACCCCTAGGGGTGAACCCATGTATTCACCCCTTTTGGTTTTAGCCAATCAAATTGCTATGTCATATAACACTTAATTAGATATTAAAAAAATAAACAAACAAAAAAAAATCATTAACAATAGGATCAATTTAATTAACGGAGTTGTTGTTGAAAAAACAAATTAACAGAGTCCTCATCTTCTCCTTTTAGGTTTTTGATTTCGTGGCCATTGTTACGTGAACTTGGTGGATAAGTGAGCATTAACTTGGTATTAGAACCTTCATAATTCTACATAATTCTTGTCAAAAAAATTTCATTCTTCTTTATTTATATGTTTATGGCTTTTTTAATAAAACGAAAATTGTATGGCAATAAAGTGACACAATTTCTCTTCTCTGCAAGTAATCGAATACTTGAGAGAGGGGCAATCGATCTAAAAGCTGGTAATTGTAAAACCCTAACAGTATAATACTTCAATTATTAACAAAGCTGAGTCTTCTTCACGGCGGAGATCTCATACACCATGCATCAATGTCTTGGGCTTTTGCCAAGATCGGAGACATATCAACATATTTTTTTTATTTGATTTGATTTTATTTAATTTTTTTTTTTTTTTTTTCCTTCCAAAGACTTTATTAATTTCCAGAACCAATATCATTGTTTACAGCAGCGAAAAGAAAGAAGGGACAAGAACGATACAAAGCCCAATCGTTATTACAGGTGATGGCTTTCTTAGCAAGAATATCAGCGCATGTATTTTGTTCCCGCGGCTTGAACTTAAAAGAGACCAATGTAAAATGTTGTCGCCATGCCCATATGGTTTCAAGGTAATGGTGTAACCGTGGGGTTGGTCTCATATCATTAATGGCTCGATTTATGTTCTGGTTATCCCCTTCGAATTCAACCATCCTGTATCCCAATCCCCATGCGGCTTGTAATGCCCATATGAGACTAGTGCATTCGGCTTCCTCTGTAGTAATACGTCCTTGAAATTTACCCATTCCACAATCGAGGACAGCTCCTGTTGAGTCTCGTATGATCCAGCCTAGACCCGATGCTCTGTTTCCGTCATGATGGGAGACATCATAATTGCATTTCATGATTCCCGGCGGGGGTTTGCTCCATCCTTCTCGACATGCTTTGGTGACTTGAGCCGTCCTGGTTGTGAGATCAGATTTTTGAGCATTATCAAGCCACTCTTTTGTATCTGTTGCGGCTTGGTTGACTGTTTCCATCGTTGTAATTGCTTTGCGGTTAAATACGAGGTTGTTCCTGCCTTTCCATAGTCGCCACATAATCCAAAATGGTAGAAACCGTGTGCTACGATTTATGTGCCCATCATTGTTTATCTTGAACAGCTGTCGTAGCTTATCCTCTATTGGTGTATCAGGGTCACAGAGTTGGTTTATGGGCAGTCCCGCAGCTCTCCAAACGCTTACCGCATATGGACAGGTAAAAAAGGTGTGGTCACATGTTTCCAGTACATTACAGCAGTGTGAACAATACGGGTTGACATTTATGTTCCGCCGTCTCAGGTTTTCCGCAGTGCCAATCGCTTTGGAAGCAACTCTCCAGAGGAAGTGTTTCAGTTTGGGTGTAATGCTCAAATTCCAAATGCTTGCAGCGATATCGGGAGAGTGTGCCAATGGGGGCTGTGGTGTTTCATCGTTTATGACCATATTCGTGGCTGTCCAATAACCGGATTTAACCGAGTAATTACCGTCTTTGGTGGGGCTCCATAAATGTGAGTCAGGTTCGTCCTTGAGTGGGAGAAAGATCTTCCGGATAAGGTGATGATCCTCTGGTTGGATTAGGCTTTGTAGTTTGTCCTCATTCCATTGGTGCAATATTGGATCAATAAGGGCCTCCACCTTTAACTCTGGATCGGTTGTTGGGAGAAGATTTGGTGCACGTGGGGGTGTTGTTGGTAACCATGGATCATTCCCGATTGAGGTTGCTTTCCCATTTCCAATTAAAATTTGGATCCGTCTCTGTAAGAGATCCCTACCGAAACGAAGTGAATTCCAACCATATGATTTATTAAACTGATCCTATTGTTAATGATTTTTTTTTTTTTTATTTTATTTGTTTGTTTATTTTTAATATCTAATTAAGTGTTATATGACATGGCAATTTGATTGGCTAAAACCAAAAGGGGTGAATACATGGGTTCACTCCTAGGGGTGAACCCAAGATTTGTTCCTCTTAAACCTATCTGTTTCTCAAATCCCGAATAAATAGGACCTGAAATATTATATAAGATCATCGTTACACATACCTTCTTCTTCTCCATTTTTTCCCAATTCTCGCTCTTGAGCTCTGTTCCTTGCGTACAAAGCCAACCTTTTACTCTCTAGCTACATAACTCGAATTCCTTTTAGTTTTTTTTTTTTTGGTTCTATTTCGACAAGAGATACGACCAAAATGGTGAAATCTGCTGATGATATTGTTTCACTGATGATGGTTCTTTATCCGGAGGAGATGATGCATGAAATTATCGGAGAGAGGATAGAGAACATGAATGTTAAACATACACAATTTCGAACGAGTCCTCAAAAACGCCAAACTGTTCGTCGTTTTGAGGTCGGACCATCTTCGGAAGAGGAGTACGTTCCTAATATCTTTGGGGATGCAGTGCCAAGAAAGAAGAGAAGTCCTTGTCACCGATCATCTTCTTCTCGCACCATGACAACAACACGGACGCGTGCCATCGAACAACAAAGATCAATCACTTCCGTGGAACCAGTACTACAAAACCCTAATCCGGGTTTAGAGTCTTCTCCTTCTTCTTACGTTAGTCGTCGTCGTTCCAAGGAAAAACGTCCCATTAACGTGAAAGAGAGAAGTCGAAAGAAACGCAAAGTCGTTAGTCCTTTAGAGGTGGAACCAATTCAAACAACTCCACCGGATTGGCTTTTGAACGTGATGAGGAGAGAAGAGAACGGCTACAATCCGAAGCTGATCTCAACGAGGAAAATCTTTCAGACTGATCTCGGAACACAACAAGCACGTCTCTCAGTCCCTTTTAAGCAGGTTATCAATCCGGACTTTTTGACAGAGAAAGAGACAAGAATCTTAAATGAAAATGCAATGAAGATTCGTGACGATGGTGTGAGTGTGGATTTGGTGGATCCTAATCGGAAGAAGCATGAGCTTGAGTTGAGGAAGTGGAAGATGAGTGGAAACTGGTATTATAACTTTGTTAAAGGTTGGAAAAATGTGCTTGGTGCTAACAGCTTTGAGGAAAAAGACGTCTATCCTCTCTGGTCTTTCCGATCTGGAACAGGTAAACTCTGTTTTGCTCTCACCCCTAAAATTTCCAGCAACAGCAACGGCTCTACTTCATGAGAATCTGGCCGTGGAAACTCTCTTCCTGGGGGCGATGGCGCTTCGACTACTGGTGAATCTGGCCAGGTACCTGTTCCTCCTCCTCCGGCAAGAGAGTCTAGTTACTCCGGGCAAGCTTGTTCAGGAGCGAGCAGCTCTAGTTCTTCCTAATCATAACTCTGCCTATTGCTTAAGCCACAAGTAAAAAGGATTTAGTTTACAGGCAATTCTGGGTTAGTTTTTTGGTTTTCTTTCTTTCTTTCTTTCTTTCTTTTTATAGGTCAGTTGACTGAAATATTGGGGCTTTGTCCAAATTGTGAGACCCATAATGTGTTTTGAATTTAGATTAAATATTAACTTTTTTCTTCAGTAGAGTAACTTTTTTCTTCAAGCTTTATAGAAATTAGGTTGATAGTAATTTTTACATAAATATTATTATATATTTTAGCTCTGAATTGATGTTGTTTAAATATGGCTTAGTTTCCTTGCGCGAGCACCGGTCGAAGGTATTTGTGTCAACATCTTTGCTGACATTTTTAAGCTTATCATTGAAAGAAAACATGCCACTTTCTCAATTTTGTTGACCCGAAAACAAGCTACTCACCAAATTACTCTATAAATAAATCCCACACACATTCTAAACCTAATACAATCTGTCCTAAATGACGTAGAGTTGTATTTTGAAGGCCCGTGTACATCTAACAACGGGCCAACCACATGGCTTTAAGCATCCAAGTGTTTGTCACTTTGAATCAAGTATGGGATTTGAACACTGAATGGTCCATACACTAAAATTTGGTTACCAAATACATATCATGGTTTAGTTATCCGTTGTGATCATTATCATCATCATATACGGTTATGTGACCTTAAAAGATTGCTTTTCTAAATATATAGACGTAACGTTTTCAGATTCGACGTAATCCATTGGTCAAACTTTTGCATTGAGAGTGTCGTGTAGGCTTTAGCTTTTGCATAGCGCGTTATATCAGCTTCCTTTTCTTTTTGAAGGTGTTGTTATTTATACGTGACGAAAATAAATTACGTTTAGTAAATTGAGAACTACATTGGTCGGTTCACCAAACAACCAAACTTCTCTAACGTTGCTCTTCTATATTATTAGAAACTAGATCATGACCCGTGCTATAGCACGGGATTTAATATTTTGTGTAAATCAAATTGTATATTTTGTTTGAAGAATTAAATAATAATATAATATAATAGTATAGTATAAAAGGGAATATATCATAATGTTTTATTTTTATTATTATTTGGATATAATGTTGTATATTTCATTTGACGATGGTTGTATATTTTGTTTGTAGAACTAAATAATAATATAAATAATAAATTTTAAATCTATATTCCATATCATATTGGACTATTTTATTATAGGAATTAAATGTTGTTTTAATCTAACTTGGTTGAAAAACATGACTTGGTAATAAAGAAAGAGAGAATATTGTATTGTATATAAAATATATTTAGCTGCATTAAAATTTTATTTTTGTTTATATGAGATGAACAATTTATTTGGTTCAATTAGGTATTCATAATTGAATTGTGTCATTGAGAACGAAAAAAAATATTTGTATTGTGTTGAAGTTTTTACGTGGGCTCTATTGGGATTTGTTTGCTCAGTTCTAACTGTATTTGGCCCAATATCACCAGATTTTACCTTGCGGTATCCCTCGGGTTGATTTATTTAACTTAAAAATTATTTTTTTATTTGTATTTTTTAATAGCAAAAATACCCCTTTTCTCATGCCCCTTTTCAAAAATGCCCCTTTTAGATGTCCATTTTCAAAAATGCCCCTTTTTAAATCTGAAATTTTTATAAAGTTTTATTAGGTTTATAAGGTACTTATGGATTGTAACTACTACTTGAAGACTCGATCCAAGTATTTATAAGGTTTTATAAGGTGTTTTTAAAGGTTTTACAAGTTATTTTAAAGGATTTTTAAGGTTTTTCAAAGGTTTTACAAGATATTTTAAAGGTTTTTAAAGGTATTTAAAATGCATTTATAAGGTATTTATAAAGTATTTATAAGATTTTAGATACATAGAAATGTAGTTTGTGTATGTTTTAATAATATTACATACATATTTGGGTAAATCTTATATTTTTAAGACCATTTTTTATAAGGTTTTTAAAAAGGGGTATTTTTGAAAAGTGGCATTGAAAAAGTGGCATTATTAACAATTTCCCTTTTTAATATTGTTTATTTTGTTAAGTATTTAAGATTATTTTGATTATTAATTTTAGGATTTCACCCGTCATATATATACCGTCCCGTATTAATATCGACACAAACCCGTCCACCATATAACTCCGTTCCGTGAAATTAAACATCATTTTGTTATTTTTCTTTTTAATAATACTTTTATTTAAAATACATATAATTTGAGTCAATTTAAAAGTTTGCTTTTAAATTGTTTCCATAATATATATATTTTTAAATTTTATAGAGTTCAAATATTATTAATATTATACTTTTTATAGAATTTAAATATCATAAATACTTTAACCGTTTGACCCATTGACCCGTTTTTTAATGAATTGATTAATATTAGTGACATGGAATTAAAATGATTATGATTAGAGATCTATAATGGCAAATATTATAATTTCTTACAAAATCGTAATGGATGTACTTCCCAAATAATATTATAGGATGTAAATAATTAGATTATATAATGAGATTAAATATTGAATAAGAATTTGCTAGTTATAAACTCGATCTCTCAAAAACAAAAATCTCATTATTTGTTTAAAAGTATGATAATAAAAAAAACTCACTGTTCATCTTCTCAGATCATTTGCATGCTCTCCTAGTTCCGTAGTATATGACTTCTAGAATGAATAAGTCTTGAATCGGATGCAACAGCCGGTTTTGAAAATCTTCACATCTATAAGGTAAGTGAAATCAAATTGTCAACAATTTTAATGAGATGTTTTTCTGAATTTTTAAAAAAGTAATATGATTTATTAACATAATTAGAGTATGATTTTCTGAATTTAAAAAAGTAAACTGATGTATTACAAAAAAGTATACTACAAAATATTCACGTTTAAGGATAAAGTATATACAACAAAAATATTCAACTCTTGCTTAAGCAACTGATGCCCACTGCAGATTTTATCCTTTTCATCAAAAAGAAATGATTGAAAAAATCTTCCCAACTAAGTTTTTGATAGCAGATGTCGATGTCTCTTCAATCTGTAATAAAAAAAAACACTTGTAAATCAGAAACATAATTTTTCTTGATTTTCAAATTTGCTTTTATCACAAACCTCTGTTAGTGTTCGACATATTCTTTCTTCACTCCATTCTAAATTTTGAAATCCTACAATCACAAGGTAGACTATTGTCGAAAACAATTTCTAAGATAAAGAACATTAGAAAAAAAAGCGTGAAAGATTTCAAAAATGGCTGCTAGAATAAATTTTGTGATTTGTGAATGATTTAGCCGGATCATATATTATCTATTTATAAGCTAAGAAGAGAGTCGGCTAATCATTATCACAATTTAGGTTTGATATGATCATATCTTTTTAAATTTAAGATTTAATGCAAATTGAATATATATGAGATCCGTTTTGAAGATTGTATTAACTGTTTTGAAAATTATGTTCAAAAATAAATTTTTGTTCCTTAACTACAAAATCTCTACGTGGTTAACAATTTTTGAAAGATTTTAGATTTTATAACTATATTTTAGGAAAATTCGAATATTTTGTTGAATTTTTTATTGGTGTTTGTTGTAGTTGCTTAATACAGGGGATTTGAATTTTCGTTTTGAATCTATTCGAATAAATATACAATTGTTATGGCAAGTACTAAGATTTAGGATGCTATATTTATTTCTGATTTAGTAAATTAAAAATATCATTTCTATATGTATTTATCTTTGCCAATCTGCGAAATACACATAGACAAAATTTTTGAGACAATCCCGATTTAAGGATTTTGGAAATATCTATTAATATATTATCAAATTAAATTAGTTTACATATATACAATTTCGTTTTTTCTTCCATATATATTAATCATAATTAATTAGTATAGTTTAGTTAAGGAAATATTTTAAAATCTAAACTAAATTTCGTTGTATGATTAAAAATTATTTGTATCTAAACAAAATCCATGTTTGTTATATTCGTGATTGACCTCCTATATATTAGGTAATCTCAATAATACTTTTAAATCCGTTTGACCCATTGACCCGTTTTTAATGAATTGATGAATATTAGTGACATAGAATTTAAATGATTATGATTAGAGATCTCTAATGGCATATATTGTAATTTCTTATAAAATCAACGTTACGACTTATATGATGTACTTCCCAAATAATAATATAGGATACACTAATAAAATCACAACTTGCGTTTACATTCTCACCTGATATGAAACCAATACTTAATTTCCTTAATAAGAAAAATTCCATGTGCCCTCTCGAAATTAAAGTGTTCGGATGTAATATTCTATGTAAATTCTTAACGGAAAGGAAAATAGTTAGTTGTAAATCTCAAAAGAAACTATTCTCCGAATAACATATGTATTCTGTTTTACATTGTTATAACTTGTTTACATTTTGTCAACATTGTGAGGTTTAGTTGTAATATTCTCTCTTTTTCTTATTTAACATGTAAATATTCCCATAGAGAAAGCACTAAACTTTTGCTTTGAGAAAGAAAAGAAACTCTTTAAAGCCATGCTGAATTTATCATTCATGGTGCATATTCTAATGTTATTTTAACGCCATGGTATTTTTCTATAGAGATAACAAATAAATAATTATCTGTATGATTTTTTCCGGTTAAAGTAAAATATATGATTGTATATCAATATATAGTTGTTTCAGTTTCTTGATTAGTAAACTTATCCAATAGTATAATCTTAATCTGCATATTGGATTACGGATAGAGGATTTTTGTTTGTTCTAAACTATTTGGTAAGATATTAATTAATTAACAAAAAGAGTTTCTTAATTACAAAGTAGAGGAGCAAAATAAATCACAAGGAAAAGGCCAACTTGTATTGTCTTTTTTTTTTTTTGTTGGGAAAAATTTAGTCATATTTATAATTATTTTGTTAAAAATTTATTCATATTTATAATTATTTTGTTAAAAGTACTTAAGTCGCTAAATTATATATTTTTGACATACGGCAAAAGTTATATAATTTTCAAAACATTACGGCAAAAATCTGAAGCTACCACGAAATCATCCCAATTTTTGACACGTAAACATCGCACTAATATTTTAATGTTTTGTTTTCATCACTTTCAAAAAAACTCGGGAGTAATTTATATTATTAAGAGAATCAAAAATTTAATCGGATATAAAACACAAATTTGTGAGATATCTACTTAACATTTTTGAAGTACGAATTTGCTACTTCCAATCGGGTCGGTTTTTTTTTGTGATTTTGACCCGGAAATCTTCAATCGGATCTTTCCTTATTTTTTGACAAAATTAAAAAACGAAATTAATTAATAAATTCTAAAAATATATATTTTCTCAACTAATTATTACACCTAAACTCTTTATTTATGGCATATTCTTTCTGATTTTTATAGATAAGGAAACCAAATATGATGATTTAATGCTAATATAACAAATTTGAGCTAATTTCCTAAAACTTCTCTACCTAATTTAAACAAAAATATATGATTCTCATTTCACTTTTATTTGATTTATATTTATATTATTTTGAATTATTATAAAATAATAATTCAAAATAAATTCAAAAATAAAATTTTAGATTTTTTTCTTCATATGCTATATTTCAAATTTTTTAAAACCGACATATATTACTCAATAAATGAAGAAAAAAATATGTGTACAATCTAAAGTACATATTTGCTCTTTTTTTGGGTCGGTTTTGTTTTTTTTTTAATTTTGACCCGGAATTTGATCCGGATTTTGACCCTCAATTAAGTCTTTCGGATCCAAATAATGGGACTTTCCAAAAAAAATCCTAGCAATTTAAATGATTGATTTCGTATATATATATATGTAGTTATTACTAAATATATATAGTTATAACAAAATAATTTTTGAATCCAAGTCGTTTCCTAAATCGGTGCAAATGAGTTAAGTGCAAATCATTTTTCTTTCCTAAATAAAATGAACTATATATATATATATATATATGATAATATTCATAGGATTTAATCTTTTCATCCGGAAATCTTCCCTTACAAATCATATCCTTAATTAGTTGGTGTACCGCGGGTCATATCCTTAATTTCTATTCTAAATGAATTGAGTCATTCGGATCTTTTCTTAATTTCTACAATTATCTAAAACGGGAGAGTATACCACGGGTGAAATCCTAAAATTAACAAATCAAAATACAATTGTAAACTGTTTTTACGGGTTGGTCCAAAAACACACAATAATTTAAAACTATATATATTATGAAAACTATTTGAAAGCAAACTTTTAAATTGACTCGAATTATGTCTTTTAAATAAAAGTGTTATTAAGAAAAATAACAAAATGATGTTTAATTTCACAGGACGGGATTATATGGTGGGACGAGTTTGGGTCGATATTAATACGTGACAATATACTACGGGTGAAATCCTAGAATTAACAAATCAAAATACAATTATACAATCTTAAACACTAAATAACAAATACAACTTAATTTTTTTATTTTTTAGATACAACGCATGTGACCCGCGGTGTACAACAAAAAAATATTATACAAAACAAATTCATTAGTTTATAAAAAGATAAAAAAAAAATCAAATAATTAACCCGCGGTATACCGCGGGTCATATCCTAGTTAGAGATAATTTGAGAAGCAAAATGTTTAGCTTACGGATTAAATATTGTGGACCATTAAAGTCTGATTCTGAAATGAAGTCCGTGTAATCAGTGAAACTTAAATGAAAATACTTGAAAAACAATATGTGGATCTCGATAATATTCTAACATAGTTTTATCATTAATGTATTTCTTTTAAGTGTTGGATTTGGATTTGAATACAACACATAAAGAAAATATATTAATAATGGAAGTATGCTAAAATATTCAAATTCTCTAAAATACTAAGGAGGGGTTATTGGTTCATGGATTTATAAGGAATTAAAAATCCAAACAAAAATCATTTGTTATTCAATCATTGATTTTAAAATCCTAATTAAAATCATGTGTTATTGGTTCTATGATTTAGAAATACTAGTTAAAATCAGATGTTATTCGTTTAGTCATTTGTTTTTGGATTTGAGAATCCAAATTATGTTTTAAATGGATTTGTATGGAATTGAAAGAGAAAAATATAAGGATTGAAATCTATGGGTAAACACATGTTATTTCAAAATCCATATATTTTGATTCCATAATTAATAGAGAATTCTAAATCCTATATGGATTTACAAATTAATAAATCAATAACACCCCCTAAAATTAATATTATTCCTTGGATGGGTGAGTATATCATCTAGTTACCTTAACCTGAAAATTCCATCTCGTTATTCTTAAAATTGTAATTACATAAAAAAAGGAAGTTTCCTAGCCATTTTCGTTCGTAGTTGGAATAAATATCTGCCCTCACGCGGTTCTACTAAACCGACCTTCTTTTTTCTTCCATTGCCTATATATAGTATACGTGACAATATCTTCATTTGCATATATCAATTCATATTAATCTACACCTCTACATACGATTTTCCTCTTATCTTTTCAAAGACAAATCATAATCCGTTCGAAGATGAGCCAATTCAGCCAAAACCAATCTTCAGGTTTGTTTTATTTTCTACTTACATATTAATCATATATGTTGTCAATCTCGTCATAATAATCATATTTCTAGAGTTTTATTACCATAAAACTAATTATGGAAAATCATGTGTAATTATTTAGGAGCTTATCCTTCGCCGCCAGTGTCTACCGGCCCTTACGTGGCACCACCACCGCTCGGTTACCCGACGAATGACACCAGTCATGCACCGGTGGCTCCGGTGGAGACAAAATCCAAGGGTGATGGATTCTTGAAAGGCTGGTTAGTCTCTCCCTCCTTTGGAATATTTCAATTAAAATTTTAGGAGAATTAGTTATGGTGGCTCAACCTAACCGGGCTCGTACGTTTGGTTAAATACCGAACCGAATCGGTTATTGTTGAATTTGAAAGTTGATGAACTGATAATTATTATTTTCCTTAAATTTTTGAATGCAGTCTTGCGGCCATGTGTTGCTGTTGTGTCCTCGACGCCTGCTTCTGAGTTCGGAGGAATTTGATATTTCATGCAAATTATATATCCTTGTATTTTGCTTCACCCAAATTATATTTTGGGATTTGATTAGCTTATCACATTTGGAGATCCTATTTGTTAATTCATTTCTTTATTACTCTTTTTTTCTTCTTTAGTACTTCTTTTGTATTGTGTAATTTTTACCATCTTATTAATAAATCGTTTTTTCTCTTACACATTTAAACCATGCTTATTGTAACTTCATTAGAATACAACTTCATTAGAGTTATCATATGAAGTTTGAATAAATCAGAAGGAAAGAGCCAACTTGTATTGTCTTCTCTTTTTTTTTTGGCGCGAATATAATATATAAATACGACCGAGTCAAAAGTTATCACCAGAATTCGTATATTTATACATCTTTAAAGAAACTGAATCAAAAGTTATAGCTAAAATATATATGCCATTTCCAAATCATGTCGGAAATATATATTCAATATTACAAATCTCATATCACTAATTAAGACAGAAAACATTTCATATCTTTGTTATATTACAGTATATTTTTGTTTACAAATAAAAAATAATATTTAATTATCCAAAATATTGAGAGTACAATATTTATTCCTTGCATGGGTTAGTCATCTTCTAGTTATTTCTTAAAATTATATAATTTGATTTACATTTAAAAAGGATTCTTCCTTGCCGTTTGCCCTCACGCGGTTCTACAAAACCGACCTTCTTTTGTTCTTCCCTCACATGACTGACTATATATCATCATTTGCAAATATCAGTCCACGTATCATTCAACTCTCTACATACTATTTTTCTCTCAACTTTTTCAAAGAAAAATCATAATCTGTTCGAAGATGAGCCAATACAGCCAAAACCAATCTGAAGGTTTGTTTTCTTTTCTTCATACTAATTAAGCATCATGTGTTATTTTTATTTTTTTAACTTTTTTTGCATCATATGTTATGTTGTCAATCTCGTCATGATCATCATAATCATATTTCTAGAGTTTTATGGTAATAAAACTAAATATGTATAGCTTATCCAACGCCGCCAGTGTCTACGGGTCCCTACGTGGCACCGCCACCGCTCGGTTACCCAACGAACCACACGACTCATGCCACGGTGGCTCCTGTCGAGGCAAAGTCTAAAGGTGAAGCTGCTGATGGATTCTTGAAAGGCTGGTTAGTCTCTCTCTTTTACTTTTTTTCCAATCCTTTAGAAAATTTTAGGACAATTCGTTTTGCGGCTCAACGTAACCGGGCCCACACGTTTGGTCATCCTTGAACCTGATCGGTCATTGTGTGTTGAAACTTAATTTTTTTTTTTTTGTTTAAACGCAGTCTTGCGACCATGTTGGCCTGTTGCGTCCTTGACGCATGCATCTTCTGAGTTCGGAGGAATTCGATGGTTTATTTGATATTTCATGCAAATAATTTTTCATTGTATTTTGCTTTACCCAAATAATGTTTTGGGATTCGATTAGGGATTAGCTTATGACATTTGGACCTCCAATTTGTTAATTTATATTTAGCTTATATATTTGTATGATTTCGAATTGTTCACTTTCTTTGATATTCATATAATATGCTTTTTACCACTAAACTATTTAAACAATACTGTAAAAAAATGGCCGATTAAATACATAAGGATTCAGAACCGCAAGCGTAAACTTCCCTTTTTGGATTCAGAACTGGCTCTGGACTCTGGTTACAACTTACAAGTCTCGTGTCTGTTTAGGACCATGGGCAGTTGGGCACGTGTGCTAGGGTCTATGTACCTTGTCAAAGTGAACTTGTTCAAGATCCTTAGACCATTTTTAATGGAGGGATCTTAAGAAAATCTTAAGATGATCTTAGCATTTAATTGATTAAATTAATTTCCAAAATTTATAAATTTAATACTAAAAAATTCTTAAGAACCAAAATTAAGAGACCATTGATAATGGTGCTCTTATTTATCTTACGAAGTTTTCTTTCTCTTCAATTTGAGATTCTTAACAACAGAACTAATCATCACCAGAAAGGCTTGCCCGAGACTTCATGTGTTTTATTATGTAGACCATGCATCAACATCATCACGTACGGTTTAGCCGTTTAGGTGATCTTTGAATATTGTTTTCCTAATAAATTAGACGTTAGTTATGTTTTCAGATTTGACGTAATCCATTGGTCAAACTTGTGCATGGAGAATGTGTCTTTTTTTTTTTATATAAAATTTGAGAAACTGTAATATTGACTTAGCTTCCTTACTTTAGATTCGCTCCTCCAATTGGGGTGAAATGCATTATACATGATCATCTTCTTATAATGGGTCTAACCGTCCAATTATAATTATACATATTACTTTTTGGGTAAAATTTATCTGATATCGTAACGCAAATAAACTGACAAACAATGGTTGGTTCACCAAACAACCAAAATCCCCTAACGTTGCTCCTTTAAATCGTCTGGAAATAGATTTAGATACATTAAATTAAATCACAATTTGCGTTTACATTCCCACCTATGACCTAACATAAAACCAGCAATTCTTCTTCTTCAAAAGAAAATATTCTCAGAATAATATAAATATTCTGATTTACTTTTGTTAAATTTTATTAGTCAACATTATAAGGGTTAATAATTATTGTTCTCTCTTTTTCTTAACATGTAAATATTCCTATAGAGAAAGAAGTACACTTTTTGCTTTGAGAAAGAACATAAACTCTTTATTATTAATCAAGAAAGATATAAAACCATGCTGAATGTATCATCATGTTGCATATTTTAAAAGCTTATGTACACTTTTATATAGAGATAACAATTTTTTTAAAAAAAAACCCACAAAAATAAGTGTAGGTATATATATCGATATCATCATACCCAATAAAATAAATCATCATACCTTTTTGTTATTCTTCAAGAGAAAAAAACAATAAGCCCGGGTTCGATTCCCCCTTGCTACATACTAGTGGCCACCAGAGAATTTACATGCGGACTTGCTCTGGCGCCCGAGACCGAAGACCGTTACCTGGCCATGACCCACCCTCGGGTGTGCGTCCGTGCCGTAAGGGTTCGGTCTCTAGTCTGGACCACCTCGGTGGGGCCAGGACACTCGGTTATCAAAAAAAAAAAAAAAAAAAAAAAAAAAGAAAAAAGAGAAAAAAACAAACACGTTATTATTTAATTTTTGGTTTACATTAAAAACAAAAAAAAGAAGGATGCTTCTTAGCATTTAATGGTATCTGCTCACGCGGTTTTACTAAACCGACCTTCTTTTTCTTCCCACCAATATATATATATATATATATATCTCTTCATTTGCATATATCAATTCATATCATAATCATACACCTCTCTACATATAATTCTATTTTCCTCTTTAACTTTTTCAAACAGAAATTGTAATCAGTTCGAAGATGAGCCAATACAGCCAAAACCAAGCTTATCCTACGCCGCCAGTGTCTACCGGCCCTTACGTGTCACCGCCACCACTAGGTTACCCAACGAACGACACAAGTCATGCCACGGTGGCTCCGGTCGAAACAAAGTCTAAGGGTGATGGATTCTTAAAAGGCTGGTTAGTACTCTTCTTCTTTTTTTTCTTGTTATATAGTATAACCAGGCACGCACGCACGCTTGGTTAACTATCAAACCGGATCGGTTGTTGTGTGTTGATTAATGTTTTCTTATTCAATTTTTTGAATGCAGTCTTGCGGCCATGTGTTGTTGTTGTGTCCTCGACGCCTGCTTCTGAGGGAGGACTTGGATGGTTTATTTTATTATCATTTGTATTTTACTTTACCAAAATCATATTTTTGGGATTAATTAGTTCATTTGGTACTTGTATTTGTTAATTCATTTCTATATCACTCTCTCTTTTGTATTTTGTAATTTTATAATCTTATTAATAAATCTTTTTTTTTTCTTCTTCTCTTATTAGACATCTAATTATCTAAAAGAACAATCTAGATTTACACAATTTTGACTTTATTTCCGGTCCGGCAACTGGGACTCAAAACCAATTTAACAAAACTATTAGGCGAAAGTTATAAATAATTAAAACTCTTAGGATTAGATTGCAAATACTGAACAAATCGATGCGTATAAATATCTCCCGATAAACCCTAAATCGCTCACACAAAAAATCGAAGAGAGCGAGCGACAATGGTGAAATGTATGAAGCCAGGGAAAGCTGTGATCCTCCTACAAGGACGATACGCCGGTAAAAAGGCAGTGATCGTGAAATCCTTCGACGACGGTACCGATGAGAAACACTACGGTCACTGCCTCGTCGCCGGATTGAAGAAGTACCCAAGCAAAGTCATCCGCAAGGATTCGGCGAAGAAGACGGCTAAGAAATCACGCGTGAAATGCTTCTTCAAGTTCATCAATTACCAGCACGTGATGCCTACGCGCTACACCTTGGATTTGGATCTGAAGAACGTTGTCTCCGGCGACGCGATCTCGTCCAAGGATAAGAAAGTGACGGCTCTTAAGGAAGCGAAGTCGAAGTTTGAAGAGAGGTTTAAGACTGGGAAGAACAGATGGTTCTTCACCAAGCTTAGGTTTTGAATTCTACAAATTAATTTAGTTTAAAGTTTCAATTTTGTTGACCCTTAAAGTTCAATCTTTCTTGAATTGTTTTCTGAGATTTTTGTGATTCTGGTTTAGGTTTTGATCTAAATTCAGTAATTGATAGTAATATTTATTCAATTTTGAGACTTTTTTTTTTTGCTTATCTTCTGGTTGAAACACAAATCTATATAAAAATGAAGAATCAATGTAAGATGATACAACAAGAGAATGAAAAATCTCAAGGTGTTTTGGATCTTTTTGCGCATAACCATTGCCTTGATGTTTGGAGATCATCTTCTACGCTCATTGGGACATGCCATGTTCCATCTTCAGACTCCTGCATCATTTGTCAATCATCATCATTATTATGTAGAATGTAGATGAAAACATTGAGATGGAATTAGAGATCTGAGTGTTGACCTGTATAACAATGGAGTATGGAGGTGGCATATGAAGTGTGAGTCCATCTTCTCTTGATACAGAGATCCGAACCTGCAACATTGAAACCAATATCAATCAAAAGCTTAAATAAACATTCATGCATACATTACATAGACTCTTATATTATATGTACCTGATGCTTCTCTTTCCACCTTGGGAAGAAACTATTTCCTAGTAATTGGAAGAGGTGGTCTCTCATCTCATCGTTTGTCACCAATAAACACTTGCAAGTTACTGCAGCGTAAAGCCAATACCTGGAACAATTTGATTTTACATAAGAAATGGTTGTCTTTTTGGATCTTCATGGTCAATGCAATCCACAGACTAAGATAAAAAAAGGCAAAGGCAAATGCAAATACCAATCATCGTTTGAGCCAGGAGGAGTAGCATAGAGAGCACCAGCGTTTTTCCATTTCTCTAGCAAGGCTCTGTTTTTAGGATATGTAGCTGGACCTCCATTTACACGACTCTTATGCAGGATCACAAGCGGTAACCTTTTCGACGGGCTTATTTGTTGACATCTTTGGACAGTATTGTTAAGCTAGTGGCGAGGGATAAAGAGTCGCATTAGTTAAAGTAATCAAGCAATGATTCTTGAGATTGGCATTAAAACGAGAGAGTCAAAATCACCTGGAAAAAGCTGAAACTGCGCTGGTTGACTAAACCCATGTTGGCTCCATCAATGACTGCATCAAACGGTCCATGTCTTTCCAGCCATTCCTGTGCGCAAAAAAAAAACATAACTTTTCTCAGTTTTGCTTTTAGATAGTTTTACTACAATCTTTCAGACCATAATTGTTACCTGAAACTGATTAAAATTAGCTTTGACTTCTCTTTCACAGGCCAATCGGGTCAACGATGCAGCAAAGGTTTCTGTCTCAACCGGATTGATATCAATACAAACAAGCTTCTCTTTGCAACATTTACACACACCATTCTCATCCATCTCTGTTCTTTTCACATTCCATTTGCCAGTCCCAAGCCATCCTTGTCCATGCCACCCACCACCACCACTCTCAACCGCATCTCTTATTTTCTTCACATCCCATTTCTTAACTCCAGCTTTTGCAGCTGCTTCAGATTTAAACCACTCCTCAATCGTATCAAAAGTCGATTTAGAAACCTGTCTCACCAAATCTCTCAATCGCTGCAACGTCTCATAGACCTTGTCTGCGTTCTTTGTATCCATACTAACTTTCAAAAGGGCAGCAAGCTCAGGCTCTTCAGGGACTACCTCTGATTCAATCATATGCGCATCGACTTCATAAGCTTTGCCTGCATCACCCTTTCTACAGAAACCAAAAAGGGCTGGTCCATAGGATCTCAACCTTGGATGAATACCAAAGGCTTTCATCTGTTTCACCATATCGAAAGCCATTTCCGGGTCATCCTTTGCAACTGCAAGTCTTGCACCGTTTGTAAATGTAGCTTCATTGGGAACAACTTTTTCAACAATCATCTGCTTAAATATATCAAAACCCCTACTAAGCCCTGGATTTGGAGAAGACTCTGTTGCTGCCTCAGCCAACGAGCATACATAAAGCAATACATTATAATGGTACTGGCTGAGCTGCACACCATTGCGTCTTGCCTCATCATACAAGCTAAGAGCTTCCAAGACATCACCTTTCTTAGAGCACATATCTAACTTTTGTTTCAGCAATGCTTCAGGAGACTGTTGAATAGCTTTCTTCTTCGCTTTCCTCGATAAGTTTTCAGAAGGAGAAGCTGCTGATTGTTTAGCAGCAGCGAGGGGCATTGTACATAGATGTCTGCTACGCTCAACAAGAATAAGTCGTCTATCTCGGGTTCCTTTCACAAGTAAGGAAGTATGGTAGGAACGAAATGGAGAAAATCTAGGATGGTGGAGTTGAACAAATGGGACTTTGAGCATCATTGCAAATAAAGGACAACACGCCCGAGAAAAAGATGGAGTAAAACAAGTTAAACGCAGCATAACTTTGCTCTCAAGCTGTTGAAGGATTAATTCTCAGCCCGATTCATCTGCAAGAGACAGGAAGAAAATATTCAAGAATTGAAAACTGAGCTGTCTTCTCTTAGTCTAACCATCTAAAAGCTCTATACATTATCGAGAAATAAAGAACAACCAGTAACAGAGAAGACAAAATTGAAAACCTTTGATATGCGGGCAATTTACAATATATCCGAAACAAAGTCCAAGAACAAAACTTTAGAAATTGGTTATGTAATAATGTGAGTTATTAGTCTACAAAGAAGTAGAAATGTGGCGAAACATCGAAATTGTTCATTGGGTAATATCGTCGAACAGGTTGAAGGCAACACATAAGAATTTTGAGAAAAGGAACTTACTTCGCGCCAGAGAGAAACTTTCTTTCTGGTGGGAAAATTGGAAAAGATAAATAGACGACTTTGGTCGACACAGCTTCTCCTTCAGGATTCACCATGGATTATCTTTAAGGTTAATAGATTGAGATATAAGAGTCTGCCATGGGATAGAGATTTTGGATGCTACTTTCTAACGACGTCGTTTAGGTACTCTGTTTAGTGTATTTCTATCCTGTGAAGCCCAAAAACGGCCTAATATTTACACACTAGGGGTCTAAATGGTAACCGCTGAATCCGACTGAATTGGGCTGAATTGCTGAATCTAGCTGAATATATTGGTGGTTTTTTGCTGAATCTAGCTGAATAATTTTAAGTTCAAATGGTAACCGCTGAATCTAGCTGAATTTTTGAAAGTAATAATATAATTAAATTTATAAAAATATTAATTAAAGAAATATTTGTTGTGGACAATATTAGTTAAATAAATAATTTGAAATTTTAATTTTAATAAGCTTACTAAACATAACTATCATATTCAAAACAATAAGCCATTATAATTATTTATTATTTGTTTAGTTTTTCCTAAAAATAAATTTAAAATACATTATTTTGAAATACATTTTAGAAATTAACTAATAAGATAAGAGTGGATGTAATTAGTTTTTTTTTGTTAAAAATATTAATATTATTTTTCAAAATTTGATATACTAAGATATAATTAATTGCATATATCATTTTTTTCTAAATATATAGTTTAAGGCAAATATATATAAACTATGAACTATAAGCGTGGATGTAAACTTACCCAAATATTTTTCTTTGAATCCTTGACTAAATTTACGGTGGTTGATGTTTAAGAGAAATTCTAATAGAGAAAAATACAAAACATTTCAAATCCATATAATTCACCCAGTTTTACATTATTTTTGGTAAAAAAAAGAATAAAATTAGATTAATTCATTAAATAAAAGAATGGAGTAGGGCCAGTATAACCAAATAACAAAAATTCCACCGAGATTCCTCACCAATTTTTCAAATATGAATGATGTAACATTTGAGGAATTCCATAGTAATTCCACAACAATTCCACAATTGTATTACCATTTACAGCCCTAGGCTTTCAAAGAAAACACTAGGGTTTTAAAAATTGGATTTTTTCTTTCTCGTTTTAGGCTTCTCAATTTTGATTTTGGGTTACAAACATACTGATCTAGATAAAACCCGGACCGGGTCATGGTTCAAGCGGTCCAGTCTTGTGTTTACAACATTGTTTAGCATAAAACATTGAAGTCTTAAAAATGATAACAAACACTCAAGAAATCAAACTTCCATTTTAACGAATGAAACATGTTTAAGAGTATTTCAATTAAGCGAATCCACAAGAGTATATGACAATGAACTGTATAGCTAGTATCTATACAAGTATGAAACAGTGTCTGTATGTCTTATCTACAGAAAACCTTTGTGATGAATATGCAGCATGATAGATCCTTCAACTAATGGTGATGATGATCAAAGAATGTGAATGTCTAACAACTGCAAAAAGTAGCAGTCACCATTCTACAAGAGCTTGTAGTAGCAGTCACGGCCTGAGAAGAGAGTTTGGTAGTTTCTTCCACATGGACAGTTGATCTCAACCACAAAGGCCTCACCGAGTCTGTTTACCTTCACGCCTTCTTTGCACTCTTTCGGTTGCTCCTCTTGTACTACCTCATCTTCTGCCTGCACCGCAACCAACAATCATTGTGCTTAAAAACAAGACTCGGATTCAGAAGATTATAAGAGACAAGTAAGTGAGCAACAATCATTGTGCTTAAAAACAGGACTTTAATTCAGAGATAATAAGAGACAAGTAACCGCAACAATAATTGTGCTCAAGAACAGGACTTTATTCACAGATTAGATAAGAGACAAGTAAGTGAGCAAATTAATGAAGGACATGTTTGATAGACCAATATGATTGTCCCAAATGCATTTCATCAGTAAGATTCCATACAATGAGATTGTGTGTTTAGAAGATTCGAACCTTAGGACTGTCGTCTTGTTTCACAGAGCCAGAGGAGACTGCTTCACCGTACTTAAGAAGCTTGTTACACCATTGATCCAATTCACGAACTCCATCCTTGATAATATACAGCATCTGCCATTATCACCATCTTGAGTTAGCTTATACACAACATTTCTCTACTCCGAGAGAAACAAATCAAATCTATCTCTGTATGAATCAATGAAAACAGCAAGCCCTTCTTTTCATGAACTTCGTTCTCAAGTCTACCAGAATCCTCAAATCAAAGAAATTCTCAAACGAATCTTTAAGGCTATAGAATCTTTCTAACCTTATTGGCATCAGAGCTTTCTGGAGTCACAAGATCACCTTCAGCAATTGCATTGGAGCGAGAAGATCCAAGAAGAGACTTGGAGGACGGTGCCGGCGAAAGATCGGAGACGGACCTCCGGAACATCGGTGGACGTGGCGGGAGAGAAGGGACATTACCCGAAGGCGGTGATGTTTCTTGAGCGACGCTGTTTCGTGTATAACCCGACCCGAATGTAGATCCAACGGTCGAAGCAAATGTATCGGATAAAGATCGCTTGTAAACAGGAGAACGGATTTGCGTCGGATTGAAATCAACCACAGGAAGTGGAATCTTAGAATATCCCATGAGATTCGGGTCTTCTTCTTCCTCAGGCCGTGGAATAAACAGTTTCTTGCGTCTCGGCTCGTCACCTTCCTTTGATTCCGGCGATGGACGTTTCACAGGGCTTGTTGTTGCGGTGGTTGAAGAGGAGCCGAAAGATCCGTACGATTTGAATTGCGGAGGAGACGAGTTCGCACGGCGGCGATCAGAGGAGTTTCCGAAGCTGTTGAGACGAAGGAGGGAGAGATCAATGTCATCTTCTTCGGGATCGTAGGAGTAATCAACTTCTTGGGAGTTAGCGATTAGGGTTTCTGCCATGTTTAGCGTCGCCATCTTGATCTCAGTACTGTTTAAGTTCAATGTTGAAGCGAGAAATGAGAAGTCTTGAGGAAAGAGACGTTCCCTGGAGTTTGGGTTTATATAGGTGAATGCGGGTCGATTGAACCGGGTTTATTGCAAACTAACCGGTTTAGTTGGATAATTATCAAATTAACTTCCCCTTTCATTTAATTTAAATACAATATCTGGACAATTGCTTGACCTACAAGCAAGGGCTGGTACAACAAAATCCCCAAACCCAGTAAAAAACAAAAATCAACCACAAGCAAATATAAGCAGAGATATTCACGCAAAGCTTCATAAGTTCTGCTATCAAAATTCAAAAACCCCCAAAAAACAAATGAAGAAGGAGAGATCTTCACTTCACATATGAACATCAAGCCACACTTGAGAAGACGAGATCACCAGACTAATACTTTTTCCCAAGAATTATACCGATGATAATAGAAACCAGAGCCACTCCAGTGACGATCTGCACTGTCATGAGATGTGACGTTGAGGCTGTTTGAGTAGTGGCAGTAGTAACATTTCCTGAAGACGAAGAAGAAGAAGGAGATGCTTCTGACTTCTTCTTGCTCTTACGTTTCGTTGGAGAAGAAAAGGATAAGTCAATGTCTCGAGATTTAACACCTACATCCGATGCCTCCGTTTCCTGCAAGTTTGGTTTTTGATTATAAGCAAGTATGCTATTGAGATTTTGAAAAACGGGTATGTTTAACCATAATGCAAGGTTTCTGTCCCTAATTTTATGGATCTAATGTCATTTTGTCCCGCTAGATGTTATAATATATGCATTGCATGTATGTATGTTATCAATCAATCAAAGTTCTGACTCAGAGATATTATGACTAACCTTAGCTTTAGCATTTGCAAGCTGCACTTTCTGTTCTAGATCTTTGACCATTGATTCAAATTCAGTGACCGCCTTTTTCTTAGCTTCAATCTCTTCTTGTGATTGCTTTAATGCAGACTCCAGCTCTGAATGCTTCTGGGATTGTGATTGTTTCTATTTCCATGGAAACGTTTTCAGAGCTTAGTAACATAATGAGGGAAGATAGATTGTCTTTTTTTTTTTTATAATCATCAAACTAAAGAGTTCGTAAGAAACCCGAAAAATGTTATATCTGAGATAAATAAAGGTCCAACAAAAGAAAGATCATTAACCTGTTCATCAATGGAACTCTTAGCCGCGTGAAGCTCTTTCTGAAGCTGAAGCACTTGCTCATTGAGCACATCTCGTTCACCAGCAATATGTTCGTGTTCCTGCAGTTTTGACGTCAGTTCCGCCACTTTTACAGACGCAGTAGCTGCATTTTCCACCTGTAAAAACATCATCAATTAGTAAACCAATATTTTTACCTATGGATCCTTAAATATGATATTGATAATTTTTCTCTGTCAGAGAAGAATGCCTACATTTTCTTTCAACCGAGCTTTGACCTCTGACAAAGTTTTTTCAAGTTCTTCAAAATGTGATTCCAGAACGGACTTTTCAGCAGCCACTGTCCTGAGCTTCTCAATCTCGGACACCAGAGTATCAGCTTTAGAGCTCTCTACGGTTAGTTGTTCTTCAAGCTTGGCAATAACTGATTGGAGCTCATCCTTGGTACTCTGAAACATCGCATTGACTTGGTTGTTCTCCTCAGCGTGGGAAGAAATCTGCAGTACAAAGTGGTGTCATATTTTCAAGATTATATTATAGACAACAAAACTGTGGCACTGTAGATAGTATTAACACATGTTTAGATTCAGGTGTTACCTGTGACTGTAATTTTTCCCCTTCAGCGATAAGCTGCTTTGTTAGATCTTCTATGGTTGTCTTTGAAACCTGAAGCTCATTGGCTGTTTGCTCCTTCTCGGCCTCCAAGGCAGAGAGCTTTGTCTGCAAATCGTTGGCCTCTGATCCATGATTGGCTAGTTCCTGATTCAACTTCAAATTCACCTCGGCAAGATCCCCACTTTCTTTCTCAAGCCCCTGGCATTTGGCCCCGAGCTCTTCAATAGTAGATTCAAGATTCTTCAATTTTGATAGAGCGTCTTCAAGCTCAACTTTTCTAGTTTCCGCAACTCCTGATGCTTCATGAGCCAGCTTTTTGTACTCCTCGATTTGGTTTTCATGTGTTTTTAACTTTTCAACCAAGTCATTAGATTCTATTTCTTTCTGATTAAACCTTTCAATTGCCTCTTCCAAATTTTTCAGTGCAGTTTCCTTCTCGACAGAACCAGAACCTATTAACGCCTCAAGCTCTTGAATTTTGATCTTGAGCTGGTTGTTTGTCTCTGCTAGTAGTTCATTCTCTGATAATGACTGCAAGGATTTTTCTTGTGCCTGATCAAACTCTTGTTTGAGTTTCTCATTGACGGATTCTGCAGCTGCGAGTCTTCCCGAAGTCTGTTCAAGTTCTTCTTGTAAAGAAGAAGATTTGCCAGATGCTTCAGCCAACTGCTCTTCATATGATTTTATTCTGCTTTCCAAGTCCTTTAATTTCTCAGTCAAAGAACTGGCCTCTGAATCTCTGCTAGTGAACTCCTCCATTGCCTTTTGAAGTCTATGCTCTGAGTCTATACTTAAAGACTGATGCAAAGTTTCAAGCTCCATGTGTTTCGTAGTAGCTTCATCTATTTCTCTTCCTTTCTGCTCAAGACTCTCTTCGGCAGACTTCAGTTTCTCCATTACTTCACTTTCCCGTAAGCCAGCAGCTTTCAGATCATTTTCAATACTCACCAACTTTCCTTGTGTGACATTCAATTCATTCCTGATACTTTCTAACAGATTCTCAGACTCACTGATCTTCACGCTGTACTCATCCACTGTTTCTTCTAATTTCTTTTTTTCACCCATCACAGCGTTCAGATTTTCTGTCAGCTCTTTCTCATTCTCAGTTGCAATGTTTAAAGCAGCTTCGAGGCTCGAACTTTTCACTTGAAATGCCTCTAGTGTGGACTGAAGCTCAGCCACCTGACCCAAGTAACCTTTGGAATCTGCTTCAGTTTCCCCATGCTTCTTTTCTAGCGAGCTAACCTGCTCCTCAAGTTCCTGAATTCTGTATTTTTCTGTCTGGAGTAGAAGCTCTAAGTCTTTTAATCTTCCTTCTGCGTCTTCATGTTTTGACTGTGATGTTTGACAAAGACCTTCTAGTTCAATACTGCGCTGGTGAGTCTTATTAGCACGGTCTTCATGCTCTGCACCCTTCTGCAAAGCAATTCTCAAATCTTCTTCAAGCTCTGAATTTCTGGCCGATGATTGGGTCAGAGACAATTCAAATTCTGATGCTTTTTGTTTGTATTCCTGCATCTGAGTGGTCGCCTGTTTTTTCTCTTCTTCGGCAACTTCAATAGCAGTTTTTAGTTCAGATGTTTTCTCGGAGAGTTCCTTCAACTCCCGTTCTGCATCACTGCTTTTCAGCTGCAATAAACTCAGTTGCTGCTCAAGCTCCGCGTTCTTTTGTTCAGCTGCAGTGAACTTTGCTTCCAGCTCTTTTATCTGTGATTTGGCTTCTTCTGCTGCTTGACTAGAGGACCGAACAACATCCTCTAGCTCAAGATTTTTCTGGGTAGTAGCTGCTGCTACAGATCCAGCTTCAGTATGAAGCTCCTCCAGCGATTTCAGTTTCTGTTCAAGTTCGGAGTTGTTTGACAAAGCTTGAGACAGAAGAGCATCTGTTTTGGAAAAATTCTCATCCGAGCGCTTCAGTTTCTCTTCTAGTTCATTGCAGACCTCTTTTACTTTTGCTGCACTACTTGTAATCTCTGCTACATTTGCTTCAAGCTCTTCTTTTTCTTTCAAAACTTCAGCCAACTTCTCATTTGCAGTTCTCAGCTTCTCTTCTTGGTCTTTCGATAAGGATTCCAGCAGTTCCTTCTCCTTGAGTTCTTCTGCAAGCTTTGCACTAATACCTTCCTGTTCAGAAAGTTTAGCCTGAAGATCTTTGGTCTGAGCATCCAAATCTTGGAGAACGGATAACTCTTCCTTGAACCGAGATTCGGAAGCTTTCTTCTGCTCAAGTTCCTGAGTCAGTTCATCAATGAGGGCTTCTGTGGAAGACACTTTTTGTTCCGTCTCCAACAAACGAGATTTTGAAAGTGCCAATTCCTCTTGCACTGCAGCTAATTCCCCCACACTACTCTTTAAGGCCGCTTCAACCTTTTCGTTTTCAGAAATCTTCTCATTCAGCTCCTTGATTTCTTGTTGCAGGGACGCCATTTTTTCCTCCATTTTCTTGGCACTATCTTTTGTCGATTCAAGCAGCTCCGCAAATTCCAAAGCCTTCTGCGTCTCAGAGTCAGCATGAGAAGCGCTTTGCTTATGCAGCTCTTCAAATTTCTGAGCCTCTTCAGCTGAACGCTTTATCCCCTCCTCCAACTCTATCAACTTCTTTCGTGAGCTCTCGAGTTCTATGCCCAACGCATCAAAAGCTTCCTTAACTTCAGTTAGTTCCTTATCTTCCGCATCATGGGACTGCAGAGCATCTTCCAAGGACTTTAACTGTGAGCTGTGTCTCTCTTCGCCTTCAACAATTTTCTCTTGCTGCTTCTTTTGGGCAACTTCAAGCTCTCCATGCTTCTTTTCCGTTTCTTCTAATTTCTCTTTCGCAGACAAAAGCTCATCCTTCAAGTGGGTATTCTCAGATTCATACCGTTTTAGTTCCCCTGCTACTCTTTCCAACTCGAGCTCTAGTTCTTTTGCCTTTTCTTGTGATTCATGTAGTTCTCTTTGTGAACCACTCGAACTTCTTTCAATAACTTCCTTTTGCTCTTCAACAGGAACATGGTCTGCTTTCTCCGCATCATCCTTGGCATCAAAAGCTTCCTTCTCAACTTTTATAAATTCCCCATCTTCCTCTTCTTTCTCCTCCTTTGGCACTTCTCCATTCACGGCCTGCAATAGATCAAGACAATAATTACATCTTTGACGCTACTATTGAGAAGCTTGATAAACAGAAGGGAGATTCAATACGATAAAACAAGTAAAATCGTTGCAAGACTCGCATCAATTTACAGAAAGAATTTCTTATAGCCATGAGCAAACAGATAATTCTGCGAAACTGAACACCAAATGAGCATTACCTTGACGGAAACATCAACTGTCTTAAGGTCATCAGTATCACCTTTCACTACAGGGACTTCGGAACTCGTTACTTGAGTTGCTTCTTCCATCCTATGATCAAGCAGTTATGGTTACTTTAAATTCTGCAGAAGAGAAAAGGAAAATAAGATATCGCTTGAGAAGAAATTCGAAGATGATATACTTCTACTTATATATCAGATTTAAAGTTCCTTCTTTACATCAAAAAAGAAAACAGTAGCTTGCAAGTAAGAGATACAAAACAAACAAGATAAGATATTTAATGTGACAGTCAACAGGTATACATCATCTCTCATTACAACTATTTGATATACCAATTCAATAAAGATTTCTAATTTCGTTTAGGTTTTTTTTTCTTTTATTTAAGAAAATGACATATGTTTAGATCAGAAAAGCTAAAGAATCCAAAACAATCAAGAGAAGACAAAGATCAATAGGTATTATGGGTGCTAGCATGTGATGTTATCAGAGTTTGAATCTGTTTCAATAGCCAACAATCTCTACCATGATACAAATGAATTAAAGCACACTTATTATATAAATAAATTCCTACCAAACAAACTAAAGATAAGTAAGGTGTAAAGTGCCCACCAAAACCATCATCATCAAAGTTTCTTTGTTTTTGTATAAGAAAAATAAAGAAAAGAGGTTTTCAATTTCATTGTGCAAAAACCAAAGTATCCAAAATAATTATTAGAAAGCAAATTTTATTAAACTAATAACAATAATTTTTATAATACATATATAATTATATGACTATATTATAGAGATGAAAAGAATCATAAGGTACGCCGACCAGATGCAGCGATGACTCATGGGCCAGTGGTTTTGTAACAAGAAAACAAAGACCATATATTATTTTATTTATAAAACATTTGGTTAAAAAACCAAAAGAACGAAAGAAAACGCATTAAATTTAAATCTTAAGGTAAAGAGTAACCATATAAGAAATGGTTGCTGATGATGGATCACAAACATCATTTTCGCTTGATCCAATATCCAACCAAATTTCATTTTCTACCTTATTGTATAAAACCCAAGAATATTCGATCAAAGAGGTATTTTTCTAAACTTGGATAAGTTTTACTTGATTTGTCAACTTATTTGGTCTAAGTCTAATCGTTGCCTATATAGAGAAAGACATATATATTGGTAAGGTTGTGCAACTTGCAAGTAACCCCTTTTTTTGTTTGTTCAAAAGTTGCAAGCTTAACACCCATATCATGTTCCTAATTACCATGTATTAAATATTACTCCCTCCGTATTTTAATAATTGTCGTTTTAGAATTTTTATTTTTTTGAATTGGATGTCGTTTTCAAATTTCTATGCAAAATTTATTACTTTTTAATGTTTTATGACATCATAAAACATTAAAAAGTAAAAAATTTTGCATTGAAATTTGAAAACGACATCTAATTTTTAAAAAAATAAAATCCTAAAACGACAATTATTAAAATACGGAGGGAGTATATAGTATGATCTGGCAATTGGAAAAAGACGATGATTAGTATAATACTTTTTTTTCCAAAACCTACCACTAAATGTTCTAAGAAGTTTAGATTAGTAAACACACAATTCAAAGATTTCTTCACCTTAATCAAATAGTTCAAACTATAATTTTCAGCGTTTAGTGTTGTTCTACACAACCACCAAAAAAGCTAGAAAACCTTCTAAATCGGTTCACAAGACAAGAGATCCTGAGGTTAAACACTACAGTACTAGAAAATGATTTGATTCATCTGACGAATCTGCAGATATCGCAAACGATTTCGATTTTCAGAGATCTAAAGTCTAAAACATGGATCGATCAACTTCAAAATCAAACAGATTATAGGGTTCGGTAACTAAGAAGAAGACGAAGCGGTACCCAACAAAACTTTCTACAAACCCAATTTTTTTGAAAATGAAATTAGAAGATCTGAATCGATTTGTGGTCGATTAGGAATCCCGAAAAAACGTTAAGAAGATCAAATAATAGAAACAGACCATGAATTTGAAAGTGCTTACCAAGTTGGAGCTGATGAATCTGAAAAGCTACTCTGTTTTTTTTTTGCTTCCTTGTTTGGAATTTTCTCGCAGCTGGGTAAAATGCAGAAAGAGAGGAAAAGAGTAGATGATGATGACGAAAGAAGAAATGCAAATTGGGTGTGTGTGAGAGAGAAAGAGCGAATCTTTTAGGGTTTATAAAGTGGAGACTGAGAGTGGGGTCGTTTCGTATTTTTTGAAAGCCAAATCTGGCGGACGAGAAGACCGTCGCATTTTATTTTTATTTCCCATTTTGCCCTTTGTTTTCTCTCATTATTATTTTTTACCCCTAAATGTGGCATAAACTGATCATTAGCCCTTCCATTAATTACCAAAATGTTGCAAATGTTGTTAATGTTTTATTTTTGGAAAAAGAAAAAGATTAGTGGTGCATTAAGATAAGTGGTGTATATGTTGACACTAAACAATGATAACAATAATGCTGTAAAGAAGACAATGATAAGTATTACCTTTATGTATAGTAAAAGAGAAGTGAGAAGATCCAATGTTTGTTAAGTTTGATTCAATTGTTGTACACATCATATTTTTTAAGTTTTAAGTTTTCTTCTTTATTATTTCTTACATACAATTAATCTAATGAGTTTTAAAAAAGAAATTAAATATTTTTATTTTTATTTAGAAAATTAGCAAAATTAGTGAAAAAAATAAAGTGTGTTTCCATGTGTGATAACTGATAAAACTTAATATATCAAATGTATAATTTTAAAACATAAAAATTGAACCATAAAACATACTTAGTTTTCATATATATGCATGTTATAATGTATAACTAAACAGTGATCATAACACATCTAAACAGTGATTTATGCCTAAGATTAACTGAAATCATGGATTAACAAAATAAATATTCGTGGATTAACATGATTTCTTACTATAAAAAAATATGCTTTAACTCAGTAAAAATATAATATATTACTCGATTCAAAACGTGGAAACATCTATATTTTATGAAATTATGATTCATAATCTTTTGAAAGGAGTTGACCAGAAAAGTATTCAGATTGAATAAAAGGGCAGATTAGTCATTTTGGGAAGAACAGAAGAAGAACAAAAAGAGAGGCGGTAGCTGAACGGCTGGCTGGTCGAAAAAAGCGAGTAAGAAGGCCCACGACACCAATGGAGCCACCGACCGACCAAACCGTCCTCACCATGAAATCTAATATTATTTCTTTCTTTTAGATTTGACCCCTCAGCTTTTATTTCCTATTTATTTTCCCCTAATACTAATAGAGACGCTTTCACTTTCTTTCTTTTTTCATTTGTTATGGATTCAAAATCCACATCACGTTGATTATTTTCTATTTAAAGATCTTTTCATTTCCAAGTTGTGCAATTGAAAATGAATCGTCACCGTCCTGAGATCGTCACTACAACTTTTCAGCAAGACTACAAAATGACAAGTTTAATTTTCCACACAATTAGTATTAACAATCCTAAAAATTTTGGTTGGTTCGACCAATTGACACCATCATTTTCGGTGGCTATAAATGGGTTTTACAAAGTTCCATGAACATAAATTATTATGGTTTCGTACTTACAATTTTACAGTATGAAATGAAACATGTTAACTGTATAACTTTGTTTATGTACTAGATCATGACCCGTGCTATACAGCACGGGATTTAATATTTTGTATAAATCAAATTGTATATTTTGTTTGAAGAATTAAATAATAAAATAATATAATAGTATAGTATAAAAGGAAATATATCATAATGTTTTATTTTTATTACTATTTGGATATCATGTTGTATATTTCATTTGACGATGGTTGTATATTTTGTTTGTAGAAACAAATAATAATATAGATAATAAATTTTAAATTTATATTCCATATCATATTGGACTATTTTATTATAGGAATTAAATGTTGCTTTAATCTAATTTGGTTGAAAAACATGACTTGGTAATAAAGAAAGAGAGAATATTATATTGTATATAAAATATATTTAGCTGCATTAGAATTCTATTTTTGTTTATATGAGATTAACAATTTATTTGGTTCAATTAGGTATTCATAATTGAATTGTGTCATTGAGAACGAAAAAAAAATATTTGTATTGTGTTGAAGTTTTTACGTGGGCTCTATTGGGATTTGTTTGCTCAGTTCTAACTGTATTTGGCTCGGTATCACCAGATTTTACCTTGCGGTATCCCGCGGGTTGATTTATTTAACTTAAAAATTAAATATTTATTTGTATTTTTTAATATTAATTATTTTGTTAAGTATTTAAGATTATTTTGATTATTAATTTTAGGATTTCACCCGACATATATATACCGTCCCGTATTAATATTGACACAAACCCGTCCCACCATATAACCCCGTTCCGTGAAATTAAACATCATTTTGTTATTTTTCTTTTTAAAAATACTTTTATTTAAAATACATATAATTTGAGTCAATTTAAAAGTTTGATTTCAAATGGTTTCCATAATATATATATATATATATATATATATATATATATATATATATAAGTTTTATATAGTTCAAATATTATTAATATAATACTTTTTATAGAATTTAAATATCATAAATACTTTAACCGTTTGACCCATTGACCCGTTTTTTAATGAATTGGTTATTATTAGTGACTTGGAATTAAAATGATTATGATTAGAGATCTATAATGACAAATATTATAATTTCTTACAAAATTAACTTTACGATTTATAGGATGTATTTCCCAAATAATAGTATAGGATGTAAATAATTAGATTATATAATGAGATTAAATATTGAATAAGAATTTGCTAGTTATAAACTCGATCTCTCAAAAAAAAAAAAAAAATCTCATTATTTGTTTAAAAGTATGATAATAAAAAAAACTCACTGTTCATCTTCTCAGATCATTTGCATGCTCTCCTAATTTAGGAGTATATGACTTCTAGAATGAATAAGTCTTGAATCGGATGCACCAGCCGGTTTTGAAAATCTTCACATCTATAAGGTAAGTGAAATCAAATTGTCAACAATTTTGTCAACAATTTTAATGAGATGTTTTTCTGAATTTTAAAAAAGTAATATGATTTATTAACATAATTAGAGTATGATTTTCTGAATTTAAAAAAGTAAACTGATTTATTACAAAAAAAGTATACTACAAAATATTCACGTTTAAGGATAAAGTATATACAACAAAAATATTCAACTCTTGCCTAAGCAACTGATGCCCACTACAGATTTTATCCTTTTCAAGAAAAAGAAATGATTGAAAAATTCTTCCCAACAAAGTTTTTGATAGCAGATGTCGATGCCTCTTCAATCTGTAATAAAAAACACTTGTAAATCAGAAACATAATTTTTCTTGATTTTCAAATTTGCTTTTATCACAAACCTCTGTTAGTGTTCGACATATTCTTTCTTCACTCCATTCTGAATTTTGAAATCCTACAATCACAAGGTAGACTATTGTCAAAAACAATTTCTAAGATAAAGAACATTAGAAAAAAAAAACCGTGAAAGATTTCAAAAATGGCTGCTAGAATAAATTTTGTGATTTGTGAATGATTTAGCCGGATCATATATTATCTATTTATAAGCTAAGAAGAGAGTCGGCTAATCATTATCACAATTTAGGTTTGATATGATCATATCTTTTTTAAATTTAAGATTTAATGCAAATTGAATATATATGAGATCCGTTTTGAAGATTGTATTAACTGTTTTGAAAATTATGTTCAAAAATAATTTTTTGTTTCCTTAACTACAAAATCTCTACGTGGTTAACAATTTTTGAAAGATTTTAGATTATAACTATATTTTAGGAAAATTCGAATATTTTGTTGACTTTTTTATTGGTGTTTGTTGTAGTTGCTTAATACAGGGGATTTGAATTTTCGTTTTGAATCTATTCGAATAAATATACAATTGTTATGGCAAGTACTAAGATTTAGGATGCTATATTTATTTCTGATTTAGTAAATTAAAAATATCATTTGTATATGTATTTATCTTTGCCAATCTGCGAAATACACATAGACAAAATTTTTGAGACAATCCCGATTTAAGGATTTTGGAAATATCTATTAATATATTATCAAATTTAATTATTTCACATATATATAATTTCGTTTTTTCTTCCATATATATTAATCATAATTAATTAGTATAGTTTAGTCAAGGAAATATTTTAAAATCTAAACTAAATTTCGTTGTGTGATTAAAAATTATTTGTATCTAAACAAAATTCATGTTTGTTATATTCGTGATTGACCTCCTATATATTAGGTAATCTCAATAATATCTTTAAATCCGTTTGACCCATTGACCCGTTTTTAATGAATTGGTAAATATTAGTGACATAGAATTAAAATGATTATGATTAGAGATATCTAATGACATATATTGTAATTTCTTACAAAATCAACGTTACGACTTATAAGATGTACTTCCCAAATAATAGTATAGGATAATTGATTAGTATATAACATTTTCAATAATATTTTCGAACTATATGAGTATTATAATTCAAGATAGCATTTTTTATAAAGTCAATTGATATAAAATGTTTGCAATGATATATCATTTTCATTAACATTTTCAATAATATTTTTGTGTCACATTTTCGAATTATATATTAGTATACAACATTTTTACTAATTGTGTTACATTTTCGAATTGATTAGTATATAACAATTTCGAATTATATTAACTGTGTAATATAGTTATTATCGAAAAATATATGAATTACATGAATTATATTTATATGAATTATATAAACAAAATCTTTTAATATCTTTAAACCCTTTGACCCGTTAATATATATTAGTGACATGGAATAAAATTTTATGATTAGAATTCTCTAATGGCATATATTGTAATTTCTTACAAAATTAAGTTATGATCCTTAGGATGTACTTCCCAAATATTAGTATAGGATGAGCTTAATTAAGGAAGTATTTAAAATTCAAAAGTGGTCAATTAGCCAAATTGGCGGCTATCGAAACGTCCACATTGGGTCAAAGTTCAAAGAAACGTAGCCAATGCTCTTCCCGACTTTTCATCGTACACTTTTGTTATTACGAACCAAACTAAGAAAGTCACAAAAGAGAAATTCAAACAAAAACTTTTATATTAGAAGTCCCAATAACATAATTCAAAATTAACTACACAACATACTATAGAAAATTCTTATTAATATTTTTGAATATACTTCTGTTGAATATATGGGGAAAAAACCCGAAAAAAACCGCCATCTATTTTTTATTTGGCCGTTTAATACGTGTAGTTTTAAAATTGTAATAAAAATACCTACTTTAATTGTTGTTGTCTTTTAAATTCTTTGTTTTTTAAATTTTGGTAGATTCGTACCTCCGCGTTAACGGCCGTTAACGATGGTAACGGAATAGCTAACTATAGTTAAAACTTAACCCATTGTGGAAAAGTATATAAATACAATCTCTTTTCAAAGCTATACGGTTATTTTGTCGTAGTCAGGTGGTTAAACGGGTATTGATTAAACCACCACGGGCTGAGTTCGGTTCCAACCTTGGTCCCTTTTAGACATTTTAATTTTTTTTCTTTTTTTTTCTTTTTGACTTCATCAATTCTCCCCCATCTCCGGCGTTCCGAGAGCTAGAAGAATGACACATCGTAACGGTGACGGAGGCAGAGAAGGGCTCAATCTTTGTCAAAAAAAGAAGAAGACTAAGGGGGTGTTATTCACTCATGGAGTTAAAGTCAATTCTTAAAGGTTTAGATTTGATTTCTGCTATTGTTTTTAACAATCTGTTTGTGTGGAGTTCAAAATCTCTGCAGTATATCCCGGATTATGATTCTAATGATTTACTCATGAAACTCCAAAGATGTTTCATTTCAAATGATTTGATATACAAATATTTTACAAGTCTTTTAGTTTTGAATAACACTGGATTTTAATGAAGCATTTTAAATCTTAGTTGAATAACACCAAACTTTAAAATCTATTAGAGTTAGATTTAAAATCATTAGGTTAATAACACTGGATTAGTGTTGGATTTCAATTCTATTAAAATCCATCATTGAATAACACCACCTAAGATTAATCCAAACCAACCTCAATTATATTCGAAAGTGGGCGTCTTTCGAATATTCTCAAACGTTGATCTTTTCCCAAATGAATACAAAAATAAAAGGGTCGATTTGCTATTATAAAACAATTCCTAAATTCTCTCCGGTGCTCATTTTGAAACCTCCCTCTTTCACTGCAAGGAAAGAAAAATTCAGCGGTTCAGTTTCCAACTTCTGAATCTGATTTTCTCAGATTCCTTTAGTCCTCGCGAAGCCTGATGCTACTCTCTTTTTCACCTCTGTACCAGGAGACCTAATTAGGGAACTTAGAAGACAAATACGACGGAGGAATTTTGAACTCGAGAGGTTTGATTTCGAACCTTTTCAATTTTGGGTTTCTATTTTCTTCGAGATTGAACTAGGTACTGGAATTAAATTCTGTGTTGTGCTTTCTCGGATTATCCATGATCATGTGATGCTACTAATTCGTAGTATTCAATTGCTGGAATTCTGATATTAGCAAACCTTTAAAAATGTTAGAATTTGTGGAAATTGGTCTAATCAGTTAATACAGTTGGAGCTAGTATGTTAAAGTTGTAATATGTGTTATGGTGTGAACTTCCTTCACATGTAGGTGTTGATGGTGCTAAAAGTTTGGATGCCATGGATGATGAAGATGTGGAAATAGATCTTTTAACAAGAAATGGTAATGTGGATGTGTTTTGTGAGGCAAGTACAAGTGGGAACGTTGCTCAGTTTGCAACGGTTAGTGAGCTCAGAAATGGGATGGAGTTTGAGTCAAAGGAAGCTGCCTACTATTTCTACAGAGAATATGCTCGATCAGTCGGATTTGGCATCACAATTAAAGCTAGCCGTCGTTCTAAAAGATCGGGGAAGTTTATTGATGTCAAAATAGCGTGTTCAAGATTTGGAACCAAGCGCGAGAAAAGCGCAGCTATTAATCCACGTTCATGTCCAAAGACGGGTTGCAAAGCTGGTTTGCATATGAAGAGAAAGGAAGACGAGAAGTGGGTTATATATAATTTCGTAAAAGAACATAACCATGAGATATGTCCAGATGATTTTTATGTTAGCATAAGGGGAAAGAACAAGCCTGTTGGTGTGCTAGCAAATCAAAAGAAAGGTCTTCAATTGGCTTTAGAAGAGGAAGACTTAAAGTTATTGCTCGACCATTTTATGGACATGCAGGATAAGCAGCCTGGTTTTTTCTATGCAGTTGATTTCGACAGTGACAAACATGTTAGAAATGTGTTTTGGCTTGATGCGAAGGCTAAGCATGACTATTGCAGCTTTTCTGATGTTGTTCTGTTCGACACATTTTATGTTAGGAACGGATACAGAATCCCATTTGCTCCTTTTATTGGGGTCAGTCATCACCGACAATACGTGCTCCTTGGATGTGCTTTGATTGGAGAAGAGAGTGAGTCAACATATTCTTGGCTATTTCGGACGTGGCTTAAAGCAGTTGGTGGTCAAGCTCCTGGAGTGATGATAACAGATCAGGATAAGCTTCTAGGTGACATTGTTGTTAAAGTCTTTCCAGATGCTCGACATATTTTTTGTCTGTGGAGTATGCTGAGTAAAATTCCTGAGATGCTGAATCCATTTGTGAGTCAAGATGATGGTTTTATGGAAAGTTTCAGAAATTGCGTACACAGCTCTTGGACAGATGAACAATTTGAAAGGAGGTGGTCAAATATGATTGGTAAATTTGAACTTAACGAGAATGAGTGGGTTCAGTTGTTGTTTAGAGATCGTAAAAAATGGGTGCCACATTATTTTCATGGACTTTGTTTAGCTGGACTGTCTGGACCTGAAAGATCTGGCAGTATCGCCTCTCAATTCGACAAGTATATGAACTCAAAGGCTACGTTCAAGGACTTCTTTGAACTCTACATGAAGTTCCTGCAGTCTCGATGTGATGTGGAAGCGAAGGATGATCTTGAATCTCAGAGAAAACAGCCTACACTGAGGTCTTCTTTGGCTTTCGAGAAACAACTGTCCTTGATCTACACGGACGCTGCTTTTAAGAAGTTCCATGCTGAGGTACCGGGAGTTGTTTCTTGTCAACTTCATAAAGAAAGAGAAGATGGGACAACAGCAATATTCCGCATTGAAGATTTCGAGGAACGGCAAAATTTCTTCGTTGCTTTGAACATAGAGTTGTTGGATGCCTGTTGCTCTTGTCATTTATTTGAGTACCAGGGATTCCTATGCAAACATGTGATACTCGTACTTCAAAGCGCTGATGTTTCCTGCATTCCATCTCAGTATATATTGAAGCGCTGGTCAAAGAAAGGTAACAACAAAGAAGACAAAAACGATAAATGTGCCACTATACATAATCGACTGGCACGTTTTGATGATCTATGTAGGCGCTTTGTCAAGCTGGGAGTAGTTGCATCTTTATCAGATGAAGCCTACAAGACTGCTTTAAATTTGTTGAAGGAAACCATGAAGCATTGTGCTAGTATGGATAATTCTCCCAAGTTTCCTTCAGAGCCAGACAAGTTAATGACAGGTGGATCTATTGGCTTAGGAAATGAAGGTATGTTGGACTGTGCATCAAAATTGTCCAAGAAAAAGAAAACTCAGAAGAAAAGAAAGGTGATTTTTAGATTCTTCAATCTTATGAGATTATTTGTAGTTTTGTAGCCTGGCGGAAAGATCTGATGGATTATCTTGTGTTTAAAGGTAGACTGTGGGCCAGAAGATGCAACAAACAGGTCAGAAGAACTTCGCCAAGAAACCGTTAGTAATCTGATTTTGCCATCCTATTACATCTGAAATCTTCCATTTTCTTAGCAATGTTATACATGGCAAACTATTTTCATCCAAATACATGAAGTTAGTCCATGCACCCTGATGCAATTAGGCTTATTTTTCATGTGCAGGAACAAGTAAGCTCCAGAGCTCCTCCGTTTGAGAATTGTTACATTCCTCAAGCAAATATGGAAGATCCCGAACTAGGCTCCCGTGCAACAACTCTTGGGGCCTATTATTCAACACAACAAACTATTCAAGGAGTGAGTGCTTTTTTGTAACTCTGTCATTTTGTTGTTTAACAAGTTTTATTGAAACTTATAGACTGTTCTTATTATTCTGGCAGTTATCATCGGTCTCTTCCATCCAGGATGGTTACTACGGACATCCGCCAACCATACACATTATGGTGAAAATGCTTTATCTATCTCTCTTTAGTTTCAAAGCTTTTGTTATAACCTTACTTGCAAATCCATATCCCTAACTAATATTCAATCGCTTGACATAGTCTGATGAGGTTTGTTGGTAGCTAAGATAAAGCGCGAGACTGATATTTCATATGCTGGGTGATTTAGGGAAACTTGCATTCAATTCATGGACGAATGAGTCAATATGAGACACAACCAAGCATCCAAGGAGCTGTGAGTTATTGTTTTATGTTAGTTAAGTATTTTGCCAGATATATATATCTAATCGTTCTCCTCCTCCCGAGTCAAATTGTTCTAAGAAAGAAGGATCTATTTCGTTTTGTGGATTGTCTAGTTTCAGGGACAAACGGGGTTCAGGGGAAGCGTGATCCGTGGCTGCTATGACATCGAAGAAACTCTGCATGACATGGTATGTACCCATACTCTTGTGACGTTAGTAAAAACACTTTAATGCCACAAAAGAAAGAAAGAAGAAAAACGAACCCAATTCCTCAAAATATTTTCTTTTGACAATCTCAACTTCTTACTTCTCGGGTCAGTTCGATTCAAGATTGAACCGAGACTGCGAAATTCCTCTGTTTACTGTAGAAAATGTGATCAGCCCTCTGTATAATCGCTGCATGTTTTCTGGTGTTTGTTTGGGCAGACAATGGAGTCCTCACAGTTTCAGGGATCTGGTCCGAGCCATCCGAGTGATCACCGCTAATCCAATTAACAGAACAAGCTCAAGAGTTGCTAATTTTTTCATTTCTTTAAAATAATGGAATGTTTTATGTACAGAAATAGGAAAGGTCTAAAGTGTGGAATTGGCTTTGAGGTAAACTCTGATTGGATTTGATTATATTTATACCTGAATCATAATATATGATTTAAGTATTCACATTTTCTTAGTAGTATTATTCTTCTTGTAGACTTCTAGTTATAGTCTTATAGACAACCTTCGTTAACCTTGAGGGTCATTGAGAGACAACCTTGGACTTGGTCACTGTGCCACGCCGAAGAGCGTAATAATATACACAATCGACTGATTGGTTAATCTGGAAACAAAAATTAAGAGAGAAAAAAATCACTCTGTTTGTACTGCTGACCATTTCTAAGTATGTAACAAGTGAAGACAAATTTTTAAAGAAATCTAAAAGGGTTTGTGCAAAAAAACTCTCAAAGTCGTCCATTTTTGCAATTTTACCCTCCACCTCTGAAAAATGGAGAATAATCTTACGAAGTAAAAAATAATACGCAATATAGCCATTTTTTGCTATTGTCAAAATTTTTAAAATTTGATAAGTAATATAGATACGTTTACAATATATGTGTAAGGGCTATATTGCGTATTATTTTTGACTTCATAAGATTATTCTGCATTTTTCGGATGTGGAGGGTAAAGTTGCAAAAATGGACGACTTTGAGAGTTTTTTTGCACAAAACCCAAATCGTAATGTTTTTTTTTCAACTTTATAACAAAAACACGAATAATAATCCTAACACAAAAAGAACACGAATAGTAAATAAGTCCGGACTAGTCCAACTTTAATCCGATCCGCCACATATCTATCAAACATCAAAGATCTAATTAGCTGTTACATAAAACTCTCATAATTCTTTTTCTCCAGACTAACAAAAATATTAGATTAATATAATTTAAATTTCATTACTTTTTTTTTTCATTTTAAATTACCGACGTATCATTTTTCTTTCCTTCCGTTTTATTTAGTGATAAAATAAAATTAAAATGCCTGAAAACAAAAATAAATTAAAATAGTATAATCAGTTTTTCCCTAGAGGATATTCTTCGTCACAAAAAAATAAAATAGTAGGAGAAGAGGGAAGCGACTAGCACCTTTTGTAGTTTTCCGTTTATTTTCTCTATAAGGCGGGTGATTTCGGCTCCTTCATCGGAGAATATGAGCAACGTTACCGGCGATCGCACTGACGAAGGCCTTTCCACCGCCGTGGCTGTCTCCGGCTCTGCGACGGTCCAGAGTTCCCCTCCCACTGATCGTCCTGTCCGCGTCTACGCCGATGGGATCTACGATCTCTTCCACTTTGGTCACGCTCGATCTCTCGAACAAGCCAAGAAATCGTTAGTATTTCTTATCCTTGAGAAATCATTTTCCTGATATTCACCTCTAATTTCGACTTATTTTCCCGTCGCGTGCTCAATTTTCGCCGTCGCAGTGTCATTTGTCTGTGATCTGTTGAGTCTGGTTCATCATAAGTTCTACAGTTTTTATTTAGGTCGAGAGAATTATCTTCCTTATTAACTAGTCTCGGTGATTGATTGGTTTGTGTTGATTGAAATTACTCCCTGAATCTGTGATGTTCAAGGCCTTATGATTTTAGTGAATCCCTTTCTAAATGCTTCATTTGTTTGAATTGAAATTACTCCCTGTTTCTTGACGAATGTTTTTATTTTTTATTTTGAGGAGGTAAATTGAATATTGAGAGAAATTGACTTCTGGTTTCGTGTTCTTATGGTGTTGCTATGTTTTTGCCGTTTCTTAATCGCCGAGCAGGTTTCCAAACACTTACCTTCTTGTTGGATGTTGCAATGATGAAACTACCCATAAGTACAAGGGAAGGACTGTAATGACTGCAGAAGAGCGATATGAATCACTTCGACATTGCAAGTAATTGTTTTCTCCTATGTTCTGTTGTATGTGTTAGTAGAAAAAGCCATGGAAGTCGCAGTGAATGGAATTTTAGAACACATTTGTTTTATCATACAGGTGGGTGGATGAAGTCATTCCTGATGCACCATGGGTGGTCAACCAAGAGTTTCTTGACAAGCACCATATTGACTATGTAGCCCACGATTCTCTTCCGTAAGAACATGTGTCTCCTGTGCTAGTCTTGATTTAGTTTATTTAAATGGTGGAAACTTAAGTTTTGTTGTTCTTACCTTTTACTACCTGCTTGTTTTTAGTTATGCTCTTTCCATACAAATGATGTTAGTACTACAGTAACCTTCTTTGTATAAATCTCATGCACAGCTATGCTGATTCGAGCGGAGCTGGAAAGGATGTCTATGAATTTGTGAGTCGAGAGAATTTTCATACTCCCGCTTTTGACACTTTCATATTTCTGTTTTAACTGAGCATCCATTGCAGGTTAAGAAAGTTGGGAGGTTTAAGGAGACAATGCGAACTGAAGGAATATCGACCTCGGATATAATAATGAGAATAGTGAAAGATTACAACCAGTATGTCATGCGTAACTTGGATAGAGGATACTCGAGGGAAGATCTCGGAGTTAGCTTTGTCAAGGCATGACATCATTTTCTTATCTCTCCATTTTTGTCGTTTTTTTTAAATGTCACTTGGGAGAATCAACTTTGGGTTTGTCGATTTGCAACAGGAAAAGAGACTTAGAGTTAATATGAGGCTAAAGAAACTCCAGGAGAGGGTCAAAGAACAACAAGAAAGAGTGGGAGAAAAGGCACGTCTTCTCTCAACTTCCTTTTGTTTAATTGATCATTAGTTCATTACAAGTCCATCGTTTGGATGGTATTGCATTCACTCAAATAAGCTGTTCATCATAAGTTTCATGGAGAATAAACTAAACTTTAGGTCTTGTCTCTGCCTATTCTCATCTCCCCTTGAACTTGTACCCTATGACTATTTAGCGACTGTTTGGAAACTACTCTTAATGGGTCACGTTTCGGAGTCCAACTTGTCCTTACTTTGAACCTCGTTCACTTCTGTTAGGACTTTAATACTCTGTTAGTCTGTTTGGTTAGTAGCCCCTAGGCAGAAAGCATTTGTATCTCTTGCTTTTATTTTGTGTCTTCTTGTTGTGATTATTCGGTTATAGAATTGCATAAAGAAGTGATGCTTGTTAATCCGCTGTGTAGTGCCGGGAGATATTATGTTGTTATTTAATTTGATCCCTATAGTAGTAGCCTGATTTCGTGTATCCGCCGTGCTTGAAACCTCCATGCAGTCTCATGCTTTAGCAGTTTAGCTAGTAATGTGATCTCTGATGACTATGTTCATGTGCGATATCCATCGTAACTGAACAAGCTGATCTTGTAGAAGTTTCTTATATTGCTCCTTCCTCTGTTGATTGCTAAACCCGGTTTTTCCAGATCCAAACTGTAAAAATGCTGCGCAACGAGTGGGTAGAGAATGCAGATCGGTGGGTAGCTGGATTTCTTGAAATATTTGAAGAAGGTTGCCATAAGATGGTAAGTTAAATCTTGAAGACACATACTTTAATAATTTGATATTTATGGCTATGTTCTGTATAACCTTGATTAAACTTGACAAATGCGTAAAATGTTAACAGGGAACTGCAATCGTAGACAGTATCCAAGAAAGGTTAATGAGGCAAAAGTCCGGAGAAAGGCTGGAGAACGGGCAGGATGATGACACAGACGACCAGTTCTATGAAGAATACTTCGACCATGACATGGGTAGTGACGAGGATGAAGATGAAAAATTCTACGACGAGGAAGAAATAAAGGAAGAAGAGAAAGAGCAAATCGCTATGATGGATGCTAAAGACAACAAGTGAGAACAAATTTGGCTTGCAGAAACCGCAGGTTAGCTTTACTTATGGCCACTTCTACTAAACTCCCATAGCCTCTCACTCTCTCTCGACCAGTAAAATGCACTTAACATATAATGTCAATGTTTAGAAAGAGAGAGAGTGTGATGTGTGTGTGTGTGTGTTGAACAAACGAACGTGCGTGGTTGTCTTTGGTGAGCTGGTCTCATCTTTGTTGATTTTGATTACGCATGTATTTTTTTTTCTTTTTATGGCGGGCAAGTGTTATGAAGTAACAATGCAATTGTCTCAAACAGGATAAGTCAATGATTCGTGTGTGCCATAAAGTAAACATCGTTGTATTCATCTTCCATGTTCCAACTCGACTCGTTTTCTTCAAATATTGAAATACAAATTGGTCGAAAGTTGGTTCTTCTTTGTTTTTTTTAGATTCATATTTTTAGTTCGCAGTCTAACTACATTTGAGAACTTTGATTTTCCAATAGCTTTTACGGTTTAATTTCTGATGTTTTATATAGTAGATAAAAACGATGTTGGAAATTAGAAATTAAGTTTCTCATCATCAATCGTTAGCCATTTTAAAAATGGTTAGAAAGTTGAATCTATTATGAACTTGTGAATAAAGAAAAAGGAAAAATATCTCCTTTTTTCTTGTAACCATTAATGCGATTGACACCAAGAATGCGGGTAAAAGGCAGACAAAGCAAAAGATAGCGGATTGCTTCAATTATACTCTTTGGTAACTACTCCGAAAATTACACTCGAAGACTCCATAAACCCTCCACTCAAATTTCAGCTAACCAAGTGCTACACAACTTTACTTAAAGGCAATTAGTAGGAAATAGAGATTCGAGGTTTAGCTTCTCCCATACATAACTAACTTTATGAATCATTAAACTCAGGGTTAATAAATAATTAAAAACAATTGCTGATCTGTGTGAAGAAAAGTTTTATTAATTACTACGTGCTTCTTTTACATATTAGGACCGGGCTTGTCATGCCAATGGTTTTCACTTGAAAAATATGCTTCCCGATTCAAACTATGTCTATATTATGGGTGGACATAAAGTCATAACTTAAACGCATAATTTTATTGTTGTACCTTTAAAATGTTTCATTGCATATTGTTCCATGATGATAATGTAAAACTCCAAAAACAATAGATCACACATTTATATAGCAAAAATGGAATACATTTGAGAATTAGATGTCAAGAGAAAAGTAAAACATGTCACGATTATACCATCTTTATCATTATCTAGAGTGATTCTCACCAGTTGATTCTCACTAAATGTTAGCCGGTTCGTTGACAACCGCAATATTTTTCAAAATCTCATTCTATCTGGATTAAATCTGTTTATGGTGACTAGTACACTCTAATTAATAGCTAACCTAAAGGCTAAAGTCATGAACCATACTGATTTTATTCAATACTCCCTCCGTTCCATAATATAACTAATGTTTAGAAAAAAATGTTTTGTTTTATTATGTTTGATCTTTTGGAGTTGTAGTGTAAAATTATTTTTTTTTATTTTTTTTTACTCTTTATATTCTTCTAAATATTATATTGATCGAAATTATGAACAAAAGAACATCATCATGAAACTAAATTACAAACCAAAGTAGAACCCATGTTTAGTTTTTTTTCTTTAATTTGACTTTACCAGCGCCGAGTTGCAGAGAAACTTAAAGAAGCAAATGCAGAAGCAAAAACTTAAACGGAAAAACTGAAAAACCCTAAATTACTTATTAGAAAAAGAATATGTATATGTTACCTTCACCAGTGCAACTCATATCACTAGACGACTAAAACCCCGAAGAAAGAAAAAGCTTTTTTAATAAAAAGATTCATTTTCTTACAATAATGTCAAGAGTTTGTCTTTTAGACTACAACTTGAATACTTTGAATACTGATATCTATCATGCATCTCTGAGTGAAGAAAACTACAATAGAAAGATAGAGAAAAATTATGTTTTTCTAATAAATAAAAAAAGGGAGATATATATATATATATTGAGATTAATTTGGAAATATATTATGTTGAATCAAAATGAAACTCAAAAAGTGTACTACTCAAAATGTTGTCTCCTCAAATAATTTGAAACTCAAAACGAACTAAAAAGTAAACCATTAAATGTATGTATCCTCAAATAATTTTTTGAAACAATTTGAAATTTATCTACACTACTATAAGGATAGAAGAGTACATACACTTACTTTAAAGTGTTATATTTAACATTTATAAATGTGCTAAAAGGATAAAGTATATTAGTGCAACATTTATGGACTATCTTTTAGGAAAACTTAGGCTCATCACACTCTTTTTATACAAAGATGTATCATTTAACAAGTTAGATGTATTCATGTAGATTGTGATATTAATTTGTACACCAATATCTTAATTAAACTTGTTAAGTCATACATATATGCTAATATTAGGGTAAGTATTGTGCATTTTAAATTACTAGTGGCAATACAAATTTTAGTTAGTTAAGTCAAAATAATTAATTAATCCTTTCTATAACATATATGAAGAAAATTTGATAAATAAAGAAAACTACAAGTACTATAAATAAAATAACAAAGTTGATCTGTGTCCAGAGTTATATGTTTTAATTAACAGATAAAAGAATAATATGAAAAACTATATCATATAATTTAATAATTTATACATCAATTTTATTTGTATAAAGACTAATAAGCTGATTAAATACTTATAACGTTCGTTGACAAAAAATTTAACTACATTAAACGAAAATGACAGGATAATCTGTGTCCAGAAAGATGATGTGTATACATAACTGCGTCAAGACAGTTACGCGAATAAATATATGTATTAGAACATTAAGAATCAAATAAAAAGATGTAAGCATATGGAGATGGAAAAAAATGAGTCATAATATCGACATATTTAGAGGTTGACTTGATATGTTTAAGCTTCATTACCATTATTTTTCTAGAGCTAAGAGAGGAGTCAACTTGTGTGCTACATAGGTCCGTACATTTTATGTCGACATTCTTTCGCCATTCTTTTTGAGAAAAGGAAAAAAGAAATATTCTTTGTCTTATATCTTTATTCATCTTTTATATTTTTCAATTATTTAAATAGTATCGGAAACCAGCCAACTCGTGACGACGTGTCTGAACTAGTCTAATGTAATACTCCAATCAGTAAAAGAAACGATATTAATGTTTATTCCATAATAGTCGCTCTCGACTACGTTTACGAAGCCCACATTTTCCTTTAAGAACATATAATAAGCTATAGTGACTATGAAAATCAATACGAATATAATAAAACATATAGATTTCAACTCTAACTTAAGTTCCACAAGAGCAAATAAATAGATATAATATAATTTAGTTTTTTTTGTTAACAATAACATTTGAAATTTTGTGGTAGTAATAAAAAAAAAAAAAATTGAGTTCAAATATCGACAAAGAAAACGTTACTTTACCATTTTAATTTCGATCGGATAAAATTACTAACCATATAATTTGTATTTTCTTAGATAACAGAAGAAACAGATGACAGAAATGTCAAACCAATTCACTTCAGTTACGACCCGCGAAAAATTAATATTTCCCCCTTTTACATTATTGTTCTACGAGACTATTAATATTTAGTTCAAATTTTTCAACATAACTTTTGGAGTATATAACCTAAATAGATAATTTTTGTAATCATATATTTAATTACATTGAACTGAATAAACATATATAGAGTAGACTTATTACATTTTTATGACGTCATAATTTTTTCATATATCAGGCAGCCAGTAAATCGTAATCGGAGGCTTTCGTCCCATGTTGTCGGTAAGTCTGAAAACCCAAGCTGTGTCAATCATTTCTTACAAACAAAAATTCTTTCAATTTCTGTTATAGAATGGATACGAAATAAGAAAACAATAAAAAAAAAAAAATTAAGAAAATTTGTTCTCAATACTCACCAAACTTTTGAGCCATATCTCTGAACTATTTTATTCATGTCGTAAGAACAACTAATTAAGAGTACGTTGAGACATTGTATGAGAATATCAGTGTCCCCAAATCTCTGCCAACTCAGAGATTAAAACTATTACTGGTCGTACTCAAATTCAACCTAGCGCATGATCAAACCCGCCGGTGAAAAAAGCCATGACCCTAGTTTGAATTATCCTCGCGCGGACTAATCCCAAGTCGAGGTCCTCGAGGACGCAACTAATTAAAGCTCCGAGACTCATGATGAGTTTGGCCTGATCACATGGAAACAACCCCAACCGACCGATGAAGGACAAAACCTATTTCCTACCCAAACACTAGTAATATAACAAATTATTGCTTTAGTAATTAAATAAAATGATTCGATCAATTTTGACTTTCATTAGATATGATCAGATTTGTCTCTCATGAATCGTAACTAATAATGCGCAAGTATTATATAAAAACAAGTTTAAATACATTGCATACTTCCTAAAAAACTACGAATTGAGTTTGAATTGTTTTTTTTTCTCTATCAAAAGATTCGTGAAGATAAAAGGGCAAAACGAGATACAAAATCATTAGTTGAATTTTTTTATTTTATTTTGGTTTAAGAAGTTCAATATCTTATTAATGAATGACCAAACGAAAACAAATAATATTAGTACACATTTTTATATGATATTAGTATACGTATATATACATACATTCAGTACTTCCATTTACATACCAAGCTTTTTTCTTCTTTGCATCATCAAGAATCCATATTTCCTTTTCCCTATCCGTTTCATAAAAACCCTAATTATCAAAAGAGAGAATATGAAGACTAAGAACGTGAAACTCTTACTCTTCTTCTTCTCCATCTCCCTCCTTCTCATCGCCGTCGCCAACGCCGCCGAAGGCCATTCACATGGTGGACCGAAATGTGAATGCTCACACGAAGATGACCATGAAAACAAAGCAGGAGCTCGAAAATACAAGATCGCCGCCATTCCTACCGTTCTAATCGCCGGCATAATCGGAGTTCTTTTCCCTTTGTTAGGCAAAGTCTTCCCTTCTTTGCGTCCAGAAACATCTTTCTTCTTCGTCACGAAAGCTTTCGCCGCCGGAGTTATCCTTGCTACCGGATTTATGCATGTATTGCCTGAGGCTTACGAGATGCTTAACTCGCCGTGTCTAAAATCTGAAGCATGGGAATTTCCGTTCACCGGATTTATTGCAATGATTGCTGCGATCTTGACGTTATCTGTTGATACATTTGCCACTTCGAGTTTCTATAAATCGCATTGCAAAGCGTCGAAGAGGGTCAGTGATGGAGAATCCGGCGAGACCTCCGTGGACTCCGAGAAGGTCCAAATTCTCCGGACTAGAATTATTGCACAGGTTTGTTGAGCTCCACGTTTTAACAATCATAGCTTTTGAGTTTGTTGAGCTCCACCTTTAACAATCTACAGTTTTTCTAGTTTAAATATATATTTTCTATAGAAAAAAAAACGTTTTTGATTTATTTGGGGCAAAAAAATGAATTGTTATGAGGAAGATGATGGTGCAATTCCATTTCAATTTCAATGGTTATACTGATACTAAGAATCGAACATAAGTGTAAATGGAAACACGAAATGTTAACAATTTGGAAATTTAAAAGGATGTTTGATTAGAAAAAGGGCAAAATATTGTGTTGTTTATTGTGCAAAAAAAACATAATAAGCTAACAGATAAACGCGAACAAAGCTAAAAGAAAACTACATATGCATCCATACCAAATTTCTTTGATTTGTGTGTATGGATCAGATTGTTTACTTTTCGCATTTTTTTGACGTAAAAAAAACGAAAAAAGAATAATCAGATCCATTATCCATACACAAATTAATTTTAGTATGCATGCATATGTAGTTTTCGACTTTAATTATATTATCTTTGTTCTGAAATTAAAAAATCCTACTACAATTCATGCATTTGCCAGATTTTCTTTTGTTGTCGACGCGGTGAATTAGATTCGGGCCATGTGAGATTTGATTCTCTAGAAACTGTCACATGTTATTGAGTAACGAAATTCCAAATAAGAACTTTTCATATGGTTAGCTTTTAACAAATCATAATTTAATCTTTAGCGAAAAAAATATCATATTTTAAAATATAAGACTAGAAAGTTTTTGGAATGCAATCGAACACATGGCGTAATTTCCTTTTGCCCAAAATCTGAAAAAAAAAAATGTGTAATGTTAAGTTTGAAATTACCTCAGAATGGATAATTCTTGTGTTCATATTATATTTAAACTCTAAAATAGGTATTGGAGTTGGGAATAATAGTACACTCAGTGGTAATAGGAATATCACTTGGAGCTTCACAGAGCCCAGATGCTGCCAAAGCTCTCTTTACTGCCTTAATGTTTCATCAATGCTTTGAAGGGCTTGGCCTTGGTGGTTGTATTGCTCAGGTACCTTGACTCTTCTCTATATTCATTTGTTTACTCCATTTAATGAAGCTCTATTTCCTATATTATTTAATTCAGTATTGCATAGTTTTCAACTTTTACCGGTTCCTTAATTGTCTCTATTTGAAAAAAAAATCGTTGATGATACAGCCTAGGTATTCAAAGCACAAAAGCTAACAAAAAAGTACATTAAAAAAAAAAAAAAAACTTTTTCCCAAATAAAAAAACATGACATCTACAAAAAATAATTAGAAATGTTGGTCTACAAAAATAATTTGGAAAAAGTATTCACTGTCCAATTTCCATAATTTTTGTTGCAGGGAAAATTCAAGTGTTTGTCGGTAACAATAATGTCGACGTTCTTCGCAATAACGACACCAATAGGAATCGTTGTGGGAATGGGAATAGCAAATTCTTACGATGAGTCTTCACCAACGGCTCTGATCGTGCAAGGAGTTTTGAACGCTGCATCCGCAGGCATTCTCATCTACATGTCTTTGGTGGACCTTCTCGCAGCAGATTTCATGCACCCTAAAATGCAATCCAATACTGGGCTTCAAATCATGGCCCATATTGCTCTCCTTCTTGGTGCTGGCCTCATGTCTCTGTTGGCTAAATGGGCTTGATAATTCCTAATTCAACTCTTTTAGTTTTGTTCATGGCCTTTTATGGCTATCTTGAGATCGAATTATTTGTTCTTTTTTCCCCTTTTCAATGATATTTTTGAGATCTCTATTTTCTGGAACACTTCGTGTATTCATGTTTAATAGTATTTCAATTGTGTATATTGATCTGTTTCCAAGGAAAGTTACGAGCCTTGATTTGTTGATTGTTTGTGTGATTTGTAATAATCTGTTATATACATTTTTGTGTATATCTTATATCTATCTTTTTTTTTTTTTTTTTGTCGTCTAGATTTATTATTAATTGCAAATTATGAGAACTGTTACATAGACGATTCTACAACTGACAATTCTTTCCGACCCTTACTAGATCCACGACAGACTACACTTCCTTCTTCATGATCTTGATGAATACCTTCAATGATCCACGACCTGGCGACACTTCCTTCTCTGCGTAGAATCCTGGCGAACGGCTATAATTGTACATCGCTGGAGATCTCCTGCACACTTGCCTCCATTAATCTGCAAATTTGTTAATAAATCGTAATATCTGGGACTCGAACCCCAGACCTCTTAGTGTAGAAGCATTAATCAACTCTTAGTCAACCAATGGGCCAAGGAGCCTTCCACTTCTTATATATATCTTAGTCAAAGATTATAGTACATAAAAATTTATTTATTGTTTAAGGCAAATAAATTCAGTTTTCTATATTAAGAAGTCACTAGCCGTGCAGACTTTGTTAAGCAGACAATATTATACTAATAGGAGAACTTGGATTAGACTTATATATATTAGACAATTATTTTCTATTTTTTTTTATTTGGAGCATTGGTTTGTTTTCCAACAAGAAGACATTAAACTCATACAACAAATATGATCTAAAAGACTCACACTGCACAAGAAAGAAACCTGTAAGGAGTTTGAATTTACTATATGTAATATTGTGTTTGCTATCAATTAAAGTTTCGAACAAGACGGTTTAAGAATTTGCTGATCTCTTAACAAACCACTAAACCAAATATGCTTCTACAGTTGGTTTTCATTATTTTTTAAGTATTTAGTGTGTGTATATTGGATCTTTACTGGCTTAAAATCTTATAGTCCTCTGAGCATTCATATGTTTAGTTGTATATTGACGTTAATTTATAAATTAAAGGGCTCTTATTCATAAACATATGGCAATATGGCATCAGTTTTCGTTAATGTTATGTTTTTTTGAAACACGACTTTAATTTTCGGTCGTTATGTTTCAATAATTTTTTCTAACTTTAAAAGTACTAACTAAAAATATACAGGAGTTAAACTGATCATAATAGGACAACTGTATCAGTGGATAGAAAATAAATTTTCGTTTCAAAAAGATATCCAACAGATTCATTAACACAAACCGCGGTTTTAAAAGACTCATTAACATAACTTAATAAAAAGCATTAAATAAACTTAAAATTAAAACTGTACCAGAAAAATATATATATAACCTAAATGAACAGAAACTGTTTATTATATCATCATCGCTTTTTTTTGTTTCAGTTATAAAAAGTTCAGTATATAATAAACCCTAAATCCAATTGTTGCCGAACCCAAGAATCACATCTACTTTTTTTTTTTTTTCGAATCTGTCTTTTCAAGTTTGAAATGATTTTCTCTTTATTCAGTCATTGTTACCGTTCCAATGTCGTGGATCGAGAGGAATCACCGACCATTGATCAACGATTGCTGGCTCGAAGACGCACAAGTGTGGATTCCACACGTTGGCAACCGTCTTTATATCCCATCTTGGAGGACGATGGCGAGAGTGATCGGTCAAAGGCCAAGGTTTCAGTCGTACGTGGGAAATCAAAGGCCAAAAAGATGGTTTCATTCAGCTACATAGTTAAGAGAGCTTGGTTAGTCCTCACGTATATTATCTGTTTATTATTTTTATAAATACCATATTAGCTGATTAGAAAAAAAAATACATATTAGATTTCTTTATGCACATATTATGAATTGAGGACATAATTTTTAATTTGTATTTTTTTCTATCATCGACTATATAATACATAAGATTTTTCAGATGATATTTAATTTTTAGGTTAATTGTCATATCGAGGAATCATCTATTAGGTGGTTGGTTGCCTTCATTGATTTAACTTTAGGAAAATGGATCTAGCATGATAATGAAACTAGGCTTGATAAAAAATTTCAAGGAAAGAACAATTACTCATTAGGTTCAATAATTAAAAAGAAGAGTGTAAACGAATGATCCGTGAGAGGGCAGTTTCCATGCAAGGAAGTTTTCTGAAATTATAGACATACATTCTTGAATTAACCTTTAAATTTGATCATAAGATTCAAATAAAAATGAAAACGAATGCTCAACCAAAGAAGTTCGCTAAAATCATAGACATACATATATTTGAGCAATACCGTTTGGACTCTAAGTAGAAAATATATGTTTGATGATAATACATATTATGTTAAAAGACTAATCAATTAATCTTGAAAGATTTGTCATTTCTATTTTGTTGTTGAAAATATTATTAAATATGTTTCGTTTGTCTAATAGGAACATTGCAATGTCGACGAATATAAGAGCCTCGCCGGGGTTGTCTCCTTTTCCGGTTATGCGTCGAATTGTATAATTTTCTTCCCCTTATGCATTGCCACAGAAAAAATTGCATATAATGTAAATTATTTTATCTTTTATTTTCTTAAAATCAGAAAAAATAATTGGAGATGCGATTGTCCATTTTCATGTTGTTGAGCCTGTTTGAAGTTAAAAAATAATAAAATTATTATTTGATTTTAATGACAGCAAATAGATATAGGTGGGAGACATCTTGCTATATCTTTTTTATTTGGTTATAGTGTTAGTCTCTTATATTTATAATTTTTGTTTAGAAGAAAATTTTGGTTAACATACTCTTAAGTTTCATCCACCACATACATAACTGATGTTGTTTATAATTTTATTATCAAGATTTAACTCTTAAGGGTCAAGTACAACCTGTAAAGTTCTACATTCCAAAATGTAGAATTTAGAAAGAAAATTCTACATTCCAAAACTTCCAATTTAAAATTCTGATATCAACAATTTCCCATTCATGAATCTTGACTCATGTTCTCTATTATTTTCCTATATGTTATTCGCATTAGCTGTTATATAATTATAGCTCTTATCAATTATAAATTTATAATTTTTGACATTTTGTGTGAATTATTATATGTATTAATGTGGCATTAAATTGGTAAATTATTTATAGATTTACTACTATAAAAGATATTATTTCTTACAAGTAACACCCCGATATATGACCCCACAAAAAAAAAAGTAATTACCTTTTACATATACTAACAGTGTGTATATATACACATAAAAACAAACAAACCTCTACATTATCGAACCAATAATAATATTTTAAGTAATCGAGTTTCAAATGATTTTTTCTCTATTTCGTCGATGTTGCCGTTCCACCTCCGCCGTCCAGCCAACGGTGGTGCTTGTCTCAGGTGACTCAGTTGACTCAGGTGTCTCAAGTGACTCAGTTGACTCAGGTGTCTCAAGTAACTCAGGTGTCTCAGCAGAGCCTAAACGGTGGAGGCCGTCTTTACCTCCGATATTGGAAGGTGACGAAACCGAGAGTGACCACCAAAATGACCACCAAATTACGAAAGTCTCACATGCTTGGTCGTTAAACCAATTACTGAAGAGATTCAGATAATTTCGTGGTAGCAAAATGCTTTTCTCTAACTTTGAACTATTATTAAAATCTATTCCATTATTTTGTCATGTATACTCTGTTCATCATAATAGTATTTAATGATTTGTGTTTTGGTTGTTAGGTCGGAATCTTAAGTGACAGATAGAGCATCGCCAGGATTGACTCTTTATCCTTTTACATATTGAAGTCTCTAGTTTTCTTCTCTTTTAAAAAGCGATTTAGAATGGTGTTGTAATCGTATCGAACGCAGTGTTACAGCGGGAAAACCATTTGTAATAAATAAATTTAGATGTCTTTTATAAGATGTCTTTCTTTCTTCCAAAACCAACGTATGACTTTAGTCTTTGTTTTTGACCTAGTTCATGCTATTTACCTCGAAGAATCATCATCCCTTTTACCTGACCTTCCCTCATGTTTAATCCATCAACTTGAATCTTATGAGACCTACTAGTCTCACACAACTCTCCTCTCCTTAAGCAAGCTGCAACAAAGACATCATCTAAACTGATATCGCCCTTACCGTGTGTACTTAAGTGTTTCATTAAGTTGATCAAACTTGTGAGGCAATGGGATATTGAGAAGGGTAGCTTAAACTTCTTCGGATATAATTACACCAAGATTGCTAAGATCTTCTACCAATTTCAGAAAATCATCAATGTTCACATCAATTAACTTTGATTTTTCCATCTCAAACGCATATATACAACTTGAGTTGCATATAGATACGATCTTTACATATACAATCTTGTTAAAGTAGACCACACCGAGGTTTCAGCTTCACAATTAATGATCTTCCGTAGTCACAAACAATCAAGATTATCAAGGTTTTAGTCTTCCTATATCACAAACTAACCTTTGAGGAGTCTTAAGTCAATTTATGTGTTTCACCAGATTCTAGCTTGTTTAGTCTTCGATATGGATTGTGTCTTTAGCATCCATTCATCCATAGTTACAAATCGCTTTTCCATCAAAAGGATCCACTTCCATCCACATGGGGAATTGGGGATATGAATATGATGATACCATTTACCTCGATTCTTGCATCAACCTGGAACCTAAAACGAATATTGAATTTCACCAAACATAATCGTAACCAACCAGAACAAAGATCTAACAAGTCATGCTCAAGAACATAGATTAATGTTAGAGAAGATATATAAGAGAAGTAGATGAACACACGAAGTAATTACGAGTTAAGATCCATCGGTGACTCGGTGTGATTGATCCTACGTCTCGGCCAGAAGGGAATTCAACAATACATAAACTTAATTTGACAAGATCGATCATCGAGAGCTCCACAAATCCGGAGGTTCACGAATCATGGCTAAGAAATCTATCGTTCAAGATAACAACATGAACACGCCTCATAAAAACCTTATCTCTATTAGTCGGTAAAACCCTAATTTTCAGCCAATTCCGGTTCAATTAGTTTTCGGTTTAACATTCAAACCAAAAAAATATAGTTCGGTTTAATGTCACACAACCATTATATTACTAAACCGTGATTCGAAGCACAAGATATCAATTAGAATATTCAATTTAATTTTAAGAAAAAAATAATTTAAATTGGTTTAAAAATAAAAAAAATAATTTAAATTATTGCATTAAAATTTGAATAAAACCACGATGATGTTCACATGACAAGATGATGTTTAGTGAACGAGACGCTAACCGCTTTTATAAATCATGAACTGTTTGATAGTATGGAGATTTTGTGAGTTCCGACTATGGTTTAGTACTAAAGTTTTCCCATTTTGTCAAATGATGTTGTTATACATCGGTAATATATTCTCTACATAACTACTATGGAATTAAGTAACATAAATTTTGATTCTTTAACAGAGAAATTAAGACATTGGCCATGCTTGGTTGGGTTGTATTATGCCCTACTTTTCTTCCTCCCCAACACAAAGAATCCAACCATGTTTACCCAAACCAAATAAATAAATAAAAAGAAACTACAAAAACAAGTATCTTAACAACAAATCGATAAGTTTTATCTAAAGCAAATTCGCCATTTCATATGGACAAAAAGAAGCTTTATTGGCTTTGGTGCCAAGTACCACATGCATATCCCAGCTAATCCTATTCCCTGTTTCTTCTATCTTTATTTTATATATTGTTTATATTCCCATAATATTCAATTCAATTGTTTTACATAATCCAGTATTTTTCGAGTTTCTACTAGATTTTCTATCTACATCAGTATCAAATTGTAATAGCTTTGTGTCCTTTTTGTCAAAGAATAACTTTATGTCTTTGCTAAAGCATACTTATGTAGCAAACAATCGTATTAAATGTAAAGGAAAATATAGCTTTATGTCTTTTCACTAAAATCAGCAACGCTAAGCGAAATTAAAGATTTGCTTTCGGTAAACATCTGATCGACTTTTTTTTATCTAGAAGATTATAAAACAATAAATTTTGGATATACGTTAAGTAAAATGAATATTCATCAAAAACATAGATAAAGTATGAAATTAAATCCATTTTGAAAACTAGTAAATTGTTATTCAAAAACGAAAAATAGTAAATTTAGATAAACTAAAATAATATATCTACAAGATAGTTAGTTAAAATATTAATACAGTTAATTATCTTTTTCGATTCTTAATTTTAAGCTTAGCAAATAGTAATTGATATGTCATGAGAGACAATAACGTCTTTGATCCAATTGTATAGTTTGATCATTTTCACATCATATCTATTTACTTTTCGTCGTTTAAAAAAAAAAAAACTTTTAGGTCAACTTGGATATTTTAAAAATCAATTTAAAATAAAATGGTATAGTTGAAAATAATATTTATGCTATATTTTTATTTTCATCAAAATTATAGTTTTATTTTCTTAAAACGTTATAGGTCTTATTTGTAAAACGTTATAGGTCTTATTTACTACTTTTAACAAAAAGACATCGAGTCCAAAAAAACAAACAAACTAAAAGATACAAAAATATCCAACAAGAGAAATATCTTTTTCTCTCATTTCTACTTTTTTGTTCTTCTATCTCTTTCTCTCTCTTTTTCTTCCACACACTCATTACAATTACTATTCTTTATATATATTTTTTTTTTTTTTTTTTTGAGCAAAGTACTATTCTTTATATATGAACCCATTTTGTCATAAGATATCATTACTCATTAGACTTTTCACTACCCATTCTCATCCCCTCTTCAACTAACATTCTCTCCCTCAGAAAGAAGCTTCTCCTTTTCTATTTCACATTTTCAAAAAAATTTGTTCTATCATCCAACAAAACTTAATCCTAGTAAGTGAAGAGATTTTAAAATGACAAAGATAGGAGGTATTCTTGTTTGTTTAGTCATTGTGGGCTTAGATGTAGCTGCTGCAATCCTCGGAATCCAAGCTGAAGTCGCCCAAAACCAGGTATGATACATACATATTGTCTATCAAATCCATGATAATAAGCATATAGTACCATTTCAAACTTAGAAGTTTTCTGCAGATATTTTTTATATTATGTTTAAAAAGAGTTTTCTTTTTAAAAACATTAGTAAGTACCCCAAATAATAGAAATTTTCAACAAAAAAAACAAGAGCTAAATTTCAAATCGAGTTTCTATTATATTCCAATACATATTTGCTGAAAACGGTGTGGTTAATTACATATGTGAATGTAGGTGAAGCACATGAGGCTTTGGTTATTTGAGTGCAGAGAGCCGAGCCAGGACGCGTTCAGGCTCGGTCTAGGTGCAGCCGCGATATTGGTAATGGCTCATGTCCTACTAAACTTGGTCGGAGGCTGTCTTTGTATTTGCTCTCAAGACGAGTTTCAAAGATCTTCTTCCACTAGACAAATCTCCATGGCTTGTCTCGTCCTCATTTGGTACGTTTATACAAATCTTCTTGTGCTTTAATAATTGTTTGGTCCAAGTAAAATTATGACACGTGGTGATACTTGTTGATTGGATGGTGTAATCACAGGATCGTATTCGCCGTTGGATTTGGGAGTATAGTGATCGGGACGATGTCGAACAGTAAGTCAAGATCCTCTTGTGGATTCACACATCACCATTTTCTCTCCATTGGAGGGATTTTGTGTTTTCTTCATGCCCTCTTCTGTGTTGCTTATTACGTTTCTGCCACTGCGGCCAAAGATGAAGCTAAGTGACAAAGTGTCACGGTTAATGATGGAACAGGTAGGTCCTTGTCCTTGACAATATTTATGTATAATCATATAACCTAGTTTCAATTTATTTCTTTTTCTGAATCGTTTCACTTATTTCGAAGTCACTTTTGTAATTTGAAAAGCCGTGTCATTTTGAGAAAAAGAATGGAAAAGCTTTTATGTCACGCTCTGTTGTCGCATGTGGGGTTAAAATGCACTAGTGATAATGACGTTTGGTGGAATCTTGTCTTTGCTTCGGTTCTTGAAATTAATTCAATACTCTCGTTCTCTCTGTTTCACACACACACACACACACTCCTATGTGAATCCTTGTCACGGGAAATTATAAATTAGTCAAAACTGATTTCTAGAAAAATAGAATAATTTTGATAGAAAGAGTATCAAATGACACTATGCATTAGAGATTTTTTTTTTTGTTTGATAAAAGATCTTCTATTTAAAAATGCAAGAGAATGAAAATGATACAAAGCCTTAAAATTGCACAAGCCTTTTCTACACTATCAGAAGAAGCTATAGCCTTAAAATCCTGTTTTGGAAATTATAAATTAGTCAAAACTGATTTCTAGAAAAATAGAATAATTTTGATAGAAAGAGTATCAAATGACACTATGCATTAGAGATTTTTTTTTTTTGTTTGATAAAAGATCTTCTATTTTAAAATGCAAGAGAATGAAAATGATACAAAGCCTTAAAATTGCACAAGCCTTTTCTACACTATCAGAAGAAGCTATAGCCTTAAAATCCTGTTTTGGAAATTATAAATTAGTCAAAACTGATTTCTAGAAAAATAGAATAATTTTGATAGAAAGAGTATCAAATGACACTATGCATTAGAGATTTTTTTTTTTTGTTTGATAAAAGATCTTCTATTTTAAAATGCAAGAGAATGAAAATGATACAAAGCCTTAAAATTGCACAAGCCTTTTCTACACTATCAGAAGAAGCTATAGCCTTAAAATCCGACCAAAACAGGATTTTGTAGAAAACTGATTTTTGTTGTTCAAGATGTCTACAGTTGTTCAAGATGTCTACAGTTGTCATATCCTGTAATGCTCCAAATTTACATTATTAGGATGAATTATTTACTTTTATATATTTATCTCAAATTTACATATTTATTTCAGAAATATTATAAGTCTATAGATTTATCCTAAGCATTTGTCTAGGACTTCTTCCTCAAGAATGTGCTTTGCAATAGAGACAGTACACCCTCAAACGGTCTAATACTCATGTCTGTCTCTTCCAGCCATGGAATTGGATCAACAGGTTCTGTTTCTTCCATAAACTTCTCCAATGATTCATCGTTTCTCGATCTTTCCAAAGGAAACAGCTCGTGATTATACCTTTCAGGCTCTGAACAATATTCCTGAAACATAAAACAAACATAACTTTAAGAAAATGTGAAATGAGTCGTCTTGAAGCAAAGACAATTCTCAAAGAGGCCTTTAGATTGCTCACTTGGTTCGCATGCATTCGTTTCAAGAACATTTTAAACCTTGAGAAATTCGGTTCACGGAGAAGTTTATCAGATAGCCTGAGATATGTGAACCCAAACATCCTCGGTTTACCATCTTGGTTAATCCCATTAGGCCTTGCGTTTAGTATTATCTGGTTATATCCATTTCTATCGAATCTCGGAAGCGCATTTTCGCCCGCAACTTCAATCCCTTCTCTCCATCCAGAGCTCAAAACCTTCAAAATTTAACCATTACCAAAATCAATTCAAGTAACATATATACAAAAGTGTGTTATATACAGATTCAACTTGCTTACTTGTTGAACAAGTTCTTGAGGTCCACTCTTAGCTTTTGCTGGCTGCTCTGTGTTCCTCATCTCTAGGCAAGTGAAATTCAAGATGGCATGATGTCTACCCATCATTTTTGCAATCGCGCGATACCCATCTCTGGTTTTGAGATTGTAATAACCCGCCGTAAGTTCTGCAGCATGACTTTCAGTTTTGTACCACCAATGGATTCCAGAGACCTGAGAAAACACAATAAGAAAACCATAAATCTTAAGCATGTTTAGAACTCATTACAAAAGAAAATCCTACAATATTTGATTTACTTTTGCTGCTATCTTCAGTTTACACCCAAGAAATACTTTATTAGCTTCGTCAAGAATCTGATCACCATGGAGAAGTAACTTTTTGGAGTACCATGACAAGAAGAACTTTCCGTCTTCCTTAAGGTAAGTCCCATTCGAGTACTCGAAAAACTCGGTTTCCTCTGGAACATTATTGTATTCGCCTGCGTTTTCTGGAAGTTTCCACTCTGGATGCCCGATTCTTCTAACTTCTTCTTCATAGTCTGATCTTAGATACTTGTCATAACACTGTGAGATTGAAAAAATCATACAAAATAAACTTATAAGGCTCTGTTTTTTTTCAAACCCTAAAGAAATTAAGAGTCTTATTTTATTTTTCTTACTTGAAATTCCCCAATTCCTGGAAAAACCCATCCTTGAGTCTCACTGTAAGAAGGATACCTAAGCTCTCCAGCAGGACCAAGCCCTACTTCAATGTCTATTATAACTCCAGAGCTAATGAAATCTTCCATGTTCTCTTTAAAGCTCGTCATGTAGTCTCTGTATATCTAGAAACAGAGCAAAGATTATATAAATATACGAACACAGTTTTCCTAGGGTTTTAAACTCAAGAGTTATTCATACCTCAACAGCTGTTCTTCCTCTGAAAAGAGACAAGTTATCTACAGAGAGAGACAAACACTCTTTGTTTCTATTACCACTCTTGTTAGTATAGAAGATATCCGGATTCGAATCCCCGATTTCGAGCACCCATTTCGGTATCGGAATATTAACATCGTCTCCTATGTTGCCTCCACATCTATGAAACGACATTATAGCTTGTAATTTTAGTCCAAAGCTTTGTACGATCGCAAACAAGTTTCTATATGCACTCCATTGATATTGCTTTGGACCTTTTGATTCAACGATTCCCCACCAAACATCAACCATCACTCCATCTACTTGACTCTGTTTCAGTTTCTTGAGCTGTCTCTTGAGATTCTCTTCGTTTTCAAGAACGTTGTCGTTCGTGATGACTCCAAGCTGAAGCATGACGTAGACAGGAACATAGTTGGTCAACATTTTATCTTCATACGTTGTCGTACTGAACTCTGTCGCCTGTGTTTTCAAGATTAAGGATTCAAAAACAAAACCAGAGAGTTAACTAGAAAAAAGCTCAAAGATTGTTGTCACTAACCTTTGGTTCTGTTGTAGAAGAAGCAGTGGCTTGAGGCGTTCTTAGAGATTTCTCCTTGATTGAGAATCTCCATTGGCCTCGTTTTTTTATTTCTTCAACTTTAACAAAAATTGAAGATCCTTTGTGGAGATTTCTTCCGTTAATCAGATTAGGGTTCATCATTCCTAATACGCTTGTCATGGTACCTTGTGCTTGACGGAACTACAAAAATCCTTTACGGGAATCATTATGATCAAACACAATTTTCTTTGTTTTCTATATATTTTTTCAGTGAAACTAAATTTGCTAATTTTCTGGCGCGTTCGTATGTTATCAACAAAACGTGGCCATGATTTTCTTGCCCAATTGTTTTTTTTTTTTGTATTTTTGTTTAGTACGTTTCTATTCCTTGTTTTGTAATTTCCCGAATGAATTATCATATAACCAATAAAAATCCATGTGATACTAGATTTTTCTTTTGCCTTATAGGTTGACAATCTTATTATTCGCATAATTCCTATATTAGGATAACACCATTAATGCATATCTCACTATATCAAGGATAATGGGGTATGCAACATTCGATCAGTCTCCTGATATATATATATTGGTCCCCACTAACAAAATCCATCAATCATGCATAGTAGGATTGAAAATTAAAAATACTTCGATTTCATTTCATTTCATTTCTTAGCAATTTAGTTGAGAGATATTTTGCTTTACAATTCGCTTGACAAAAAAAAGAGTAACATACTCATGGAGATCCGATTTTAAAATTTTGCTATAGAGAAAAGAGTACAAAGCAAATAAAAATAGTTAGTGTAACTTTAGAATAATCATTGCTCACTATAAAGAGTAAACAAGGGATTGAATTATAAAATACACACAAAAAACAGAAGGTCATCCAAGATGATCGTGTGATGATGATTTTTTTTTTTTTTTATAAATCTAAATTTGAAAAACCCACAAAAAAAGCATGAACTAATTAAGTGAAAAATGGTTAGAACATTTTGAAATGTGAAGGCTTATGTAAATTTTTTATTTATAAAGTTGATTCATTTTCTAGTACTACTTCTTATGTAAAATATTTTGCTACAGGCTGTAGTCATATTCTTCAGTTTCTGGATAAAAAAAATCAAAGTAATATTTGTACTTTTATATAAACAAAATCTAATAGTAATAAATAAGGAGATTTTAGCTTGATAACGTAAAAGAGTTGCTAAAGTCAATAACTTGCATAAGCCGTTGACCAAAACTAAAACATTCTTTTTTTCTTGTTTAACAAAAATCTCGTTAGATTATTTGTATCTCTCTCTCCCTATCGCTCTCATTGATTATTGGTTTTTGCTATTAATCATCACAACGTTTCTTTTTTTCTTTCTCCAACCCCTAAATCGTATCTCTTGAGAGATATCCAATAAGAACGGTGGACTTTTATCGATTGTTCCTTTTCTGGGTTTGCCTTCAAAGTCTTCTTCCTTAATTCTTACAACGTAATTTTGATTTGATGTCTTGTGAATTGTGTTTATTTCTTAGGAACTCAATGCAAATGTACATTTTGACGTTTCGAAGAAAAATTAAAGAGCTTTTTTTCTTAATGCAAATTTTTATTATTAATTTTTCCGCTAAAATACAAAAGAGAGGGTTTTAATTTATCATCTCCGATTTAAGGTCTAAGTCTCTCTCAGCCGCTTTAAAGCCATCGACTTTTTTGTGATTCAGATTGAATCTTTTGATGGGTTTGCTAGATTTTATTTTCTTTGGTACCGATTGGGTTTAACATTATCTCGATGCGATTGTTCATGTTGCGCAGTGGGACGCCTCTTTCAGAGTAGGAAGGGATTGGTGAAAAAAGTTTCCTGTTTTGGAAAAGGGTTTGATTTGTCTTCATGTTAAGAGCAGCGTGACGTCTTCTTCCAGAATCCAGAGTAAGCAATCGACGAAAGTTTCCTGTTTTGGAAGGTACCCATTTGTCTTCTTCGTTGGAAAGTCTTTCACTTTCGTGGTTTTTATAGTTTAGTTGAATTTCGTAAGAGTTAGGTCTTAGCTGCTTGCGATTGGTTTCAGAACAAAAGGAGACAGAGAAAGGTTTTGTCTTTGGCATCTATGTTTGGGGGTGTCTTGTCTATGCCTGTGAATAATCCTCACTTGCGCAAATCTGGAAGTAGACACATCGTCACTAATCTTGGTTAGCTTTTTTTTTGTTTTAAATCTTGGCTACCAGATAAAATCAGTTTCTGCTTAGTGATTTTGATTACATTTTTTCTGGATGGTTTAGGAGATAATGACTTGAAGACCGCAAGTATGCTTCTGAGTACATATGCCAAATTGCAAACTCCTATATTCCTTCGAAGTCTCAAGGTTTTTGTTCTTTTATTCAAAATTCTTATATTTTGTAGCATGTCTAATGATGCACTAGCTGATATGAGATTCATAATCTTGATTCACCAGGTTGCTCTGTATATTGGTGGTCTTTATGTTTGTGGAAAGGTTGGATTTTGAACGCTTTAACCTGCAAACAATGATCTTAGCTTTTGAGTTTAAGCCATCGTTTGAGTTTTCAGTCTTAGCAATATACAATAATGTTTAAAACTTGCAGATTGGATTGGAATCTGTAATGAAAATGGGAGTAGACACAAGAGAACTGTTCTTCTATGAGACATTTCTGTATTATAACCCTCTCCTTCTCATTGTAAGTTACTTTTCCTCTCAGCTTAGTTAGTCAAATTCTTTAAGTGTGTTTCCTGATGTATGCTATTTTGTTCAGACACTGATGGTCTGGCTCTGGGGTGTTAATTTGTGGGTTTTTTCTCGGTCTGGAGTTGATTATGCAGCTATCTTTTATCTAGGACCAGATCATCTTAGTCACAAAGAGATATGGAAGGTAAACAACTCTTGGTTAGATCATTTGTATATTTTTTTCGTTTGATTACATCTATGTAACCGGTGTCACAGTGTGCCAGGTGGATGACAATAATTATATTGACTAGCATGACTGCCTATCTGTATCTATACTCGCACGGAGATGTAAAATTGGCTGCATCTCAACCAGTGTAATAGATGCATCTTCTCTTAAAGTTGTTTCAAAGAGATTTTGATTCATTTTTTCATAGAGTGACCTTTTCGGATGTTTCCAGGTGGTTTTGTATTTCTCAGCTGTTATTATTCTGATAATCCCTTTCAATATCTTCTACATGCCGTCTCGCTACTATTTGCTTTGGACTTTTTGGCGAATACTCTTCCCGTTGCAGGTAAAGGAATACGATTTTTTTTTCGGTTGAAGATGCACTTACATCATCTAACTATCCTTTGGTATAAACAGGCAGTGACTTTTTCGGACTTCTTTCTAGCTGATATCCTGACTTCAATGTCAAAGGTAACACAATTTTTTACCTTTTCTCTATATATGTGGAATGCAATTGTTGAACAACAACAAATATATTTTGCAGGTTTTATCGGATTTAGAACGTTCAGTATGTCGTATGGTCCATCGACAGGTCAGTAAGTTTTCTTCTTCTTTACGGCTGAGTTATCATTACACATGCTCAGTGAATCTGATGAATTCGTTGTAGGTGGCTACTGTTGCATGGTTTGAAGCTGATTCAGTTTGCGGGAGTCATTCTGCTGCAATTCCCTTGGTTCTTGTTCTACCTTATCTTTTCCGGCTGTTCCAATGCATTCGTCAGTATAAAGATAGCAAGGACATTGCAAACATCTACAATGGTAATAACCCCAAATCCGAGACATTTCCTTTTGTAATAAAAACCGGTTCTTTTGTGTTTGGCTTTCGCAAGATTTCTAATCTCTCTCCCCTGTCTTTTTTTTTTCAGCTGGGAAATATTTAACGGCGGTGCCTGTCATCTTTCTTTCAGCCCTCAAGTATTATATCGATCCAGATACATGGACGTACTCCATTCAGCCGGCATGGATCCTCGCTGGTCTAGCTAACACTTTCTTCTCCTTCTTTTGGGATATATTACGCGATTGGGATCTAAGGTACAGTGAATTTAAAACAGCTTGCTCCAATCTTATATACATTGTCAGAGTTAGATTTCTTACCTCTTTTTTGCTTGTAGTGTCTTCACTCGGATTTTCAAATTCAGCAGACCAAATCTTTTCTCCCATCTACTATATGGACGCCGTTGGGTAATATATAGTTTATTCTTTTCATTAAATCTTCCAACCACATTGCCTGATCGATAAGTAACTAGCTAAATGCGTCTGAATCATCTTGGATATGCGGTTTTGCAGGTATATGTTTGGGTAATCGGAAGCAATCTGGTACTAAGGTGGACATGGACGTATAAGTTATCTGCTCATCTCCGTAACAACTACATCACGGTCTTCATCATCACTGCCTTGGAGATTTACAGGCGATTCCAATGGGCGTTTTTCCGTATAGAGAACGTGTGGTACAAAATCAACAATCCCAAGCATACTTCTCATCAATCTAATCCTCTTTCACTCCAAAACGATATCAACAGCGAACAGGAGAAATTACTCGCGCATAGTCACAGCCCCGGTGTATAAAAATCTCAATGTTCTTGTTGTTTTGTGCTAAGTTCTGTAAAGTTTTGAATAACAACACATACAAAGTACTCTGTTACTTATACTGTAACTTGTAACTTCCATTACAGAGAGAGAGAGAGAGAGAGAGAGAGAGAGAGAGAGAGAGAGAGAGACTACACTGGCTCTATAATGTACAGGAAGATGTGTAATTGTGTAATTTCTCTTGGATTAATATTATCTTCACCTGTTCTTGTAAAAGATAAAACTTATAAAGCATTATAGAAACTTGCTTTAGGTGCAACTAAACTGGTTTTGAACAAGTGTGGTAACATGAACATTGTCTGGTTTCAAGTGGATTAGGTAAAACCAAAAAGAAAAGAAAGCTTACTTGATCCAACATAGATACTAACTCTCAACAGATACAAACACAAGTTTATTATTTACCAACTCTTATCACAAAAGATTCTTCTCAATAATTTATCCTCCTTTAACCACTATATATACAAACATTTGACACCAAATGTGAAGCACACAAACATCATCATCTCTTGATCTATCTTTCAATCTCTTGTTGATCTTCCCCCAAAAAGAAAAAGAAGAAGAAGATTAGAATGGCATCCAAAGAAATGCTGATCATAATCTCGGTCTTAACTACTACACTCGTCGGTTTAGCAGTAGCTACTGACCACACCATTGGTGGTCCTAGTGGTTGGACTGTAGGAGCTAGTCTTCGAACTTGGGCTGCAGGACAAACATTTGCTGTCGGAGACAATCTTGGTAAGTAATATCACATCTCTATCTTAAACTTTGATTCAACATAAACAAAAATGACTAAAAACCAAAACTCTGTTTTTTGCTTGAAACAGTTTTCTCCTACCCTGCTGCGTTCCACGACGTCGTTGAAGTCACAAAACCCGAATTCGATAGCTGTCAAGCGGTTAAACCGCTTATAACGTTTGCTAATGGAAACTCCTTGGTTCCTCTTACTACTCCTGGAAAAAGGTAAATACTTTCACGTACAAATCAAAGACCAAATGATGATTTATATACTTGGCAATATCTTGAAAAATATAAATTCTTGATCGATTTTGTTTAGGTACTTCATTTGTGGAATGCCGGGACATTGTAGCCAAGGGATGAAACTTGAAGTAAACGTTGTTCCAACCGCAACCGCAGTACCAACCGCACCGCTTCCAAACACCGTTCCGTCTCTAAACGCGCCTTCACCTTCTTCTGTTCTACCTATTCAACCTCTTTTACCTCTTAACCCTGTCCCCATTCTCTCTCCGCCTTCTTCTACTCCACTTCCTTCCTCCTCTCTGCCTCTCATTCCTCCACTTTCTCCGGCACTATCTCCGGCTACTCCAGCGGGGGCTTCTTTGCCGTTGTTCCCAGGCTCACCAGGTAGCTCTAGCAGCACATCCACCAAAACCGTCGGGACCTTCCCTTCTAGTACTACCGATACAACGGCCGATCTTGCTGGCACAGGCTCTCCTCCGGCTGACTCCTCAGATGCCGCGAAAACACTTGTTTTGGGATTTGGATTCATGGTTGCTATGATTCTTCATTTGTTCTAAGTGTTTCTTTTAAGTGGAGAGAGATTTGTTTGCGGAGGGAATCTTGTTTGTGTTTACTTTCTTTTGTTGTATATGAGAAAATGTGTTGCTTTTTGGGGTACTCTATTGTGTATTTATATTTGCCACTATGTTATCCGTTTATTAACAAATATTACATTGTTACGATTTATATAAATACAAATTACCGAATATAAAATTTGCTTAAGTAAAGGTAATATAAACCAAGTATTTGTTGCTGATTGGTTTGGCTCTATTGCAGAAGTTTGTTATGTTGGTCCAAACCAGAGAACGAATCCCCTCAGTGTGAATCAGCTTTGCCCCTTTTAATGCCTTGAATGGCAAGAAAACTTGGAATTTTATAAATTTTGGAAACTAGTCGTCTAGGATTCACTCTTATTACCAACAAAAAAATAAGAAGTTAATTTATAGTTTTGACTTAAATTTTTGTCAATTTCTAATATCTATTTTTGAATTTACAGTAGAACCTCTATAAATTAATACTCGATAAATTAATAAACACGATAAATTAATAAATTTGGCCGGTCCCGAGTCGGGCCAATGCAAAAATTAACCAAATTCGATAAGATAATAAGATAATAAGTTTTTTTGAAATCCCTATGTAAAAATATAGTCCCAATAATATCATAAATTAATAATCTTGTAAATTTGCATATATATATATATATATATTAATATATATAATAGTTTTAGTATTTTTCATAAAAATAGCCAAAAGTTTTTGTAAGTTTTCAAATTTTGAATATGCATAATTTTTTTAATAGTTGTATAGGTTTTGAAAATACAACAATAGATGTCACTATTTGTGAAATTTAATTTATGTATATCGTTTGTATATGTGAATTCTATAATCGTTGTTATTCATTGTCAAAATAAATTATTTTCTCTTCGAAATATTAAGTGTTTAAGGTTAAAACTATAAAATTTATAACATCCAAAACATTAATTTTATTTAGATCACATTGTTTTAGTTCGTATTTTTTTTTAAAAAAGTTTTCACAATTGACAAAAACTTTCTATAAATTAATAAATATTAATTTACGGTATAAATTAATAAGTATTAATTTATAGATAAATTAATATCACTATAAATTAATAAAATATCATGGTCCCAACATTATTAATTTATAGAGGTTTTACTTATATGTTGATAAGATATGAAATTTTACATTCTCAAGTTTGAATTTAAAATTTTTATTTTAGAGAATGTGATGATGTATGTATTGTTTTTTCATTGACGGATTAATTAAGTCTTTACCACCATTTTTTCCGGTTATTGGAAAAATAAAATAATTAACCATAATTAATGACTATTCTCTACCTCGCCGGGGTGGTTTATTTCGGTTTAGTCAATGGTTTATCCCCTATATAAGCACCACATCATCATTTAAAGTTGCAAAAGAGAAACAGAAACAGAGATTGTGTTGATCGTTTTTGAATTCTCGTCAAGATTTAGATCAAGATTCACGTTGTAGTCTTTCTCTCGCTCACAGGTTAGTTTCTGCAGACTAACATGGATGATGATTATGATGAGATAGACGAATTTCTGGAGATATTAGAACGAGAGGTAAAGTATCCTTCTTTTACATTCAGATTCATCGTATAACTAGATCCCACATTTTTCTAACGATTCACGATATTGGTTAGACACCATCGTTACTAGAAGATGCAGAAACGACACGTCCGTTGAACATCAATGCTCGTCTCGAGCCTTTACCATCTCAAGCTCAAGTATCTCTCTTTCCTTTGGTTTTTGTTTGTGTCCTCAACAAGTTTCCATCTTTCTAAGACGGTTTATGATCATTTACAGGATCTTGATCAGTCTAGGCTATTTGGATACAACGAGCCTAATGTTTCTTTATGTGAAACAAGGAACAGGACTACTCAGTTTCAACGTGGACACTCTCAATCTCAGGTACTATCTAATCTAAGCAATAGCCTTCGGAAACTGCTCAAAGTTTCTTTCTTTTATAAGAGGAAGACAATAAGTTGGTAATATGTATCATTATTTTCTTTAGGAACTAAACACACCATTTGAAGCAGAGAGCTTTAATTCTTTATTGGCCTCAACTGAAACGGACCAGAACTTATACACAGTGCCACCACATAATGTCAGATATGGTGAGCCCATTGGTTCTTTATGTGAGACTAGTAACATGACTTATCAGCTTCAACGTGGACACTCTCAATCCCAGGTATCATCAAATATGATCTTACCCGTTTCATCTGCTCAAAACTGTCCATCATATTCTATAGGAATTACACACACCATCAGTTGATCAAGCAGAGAGTGTATATTCTTTATTGGCCTCCATTGACATGGACCATGTATTGCAGACTTTATTCACACAGCCACCTCTTAATATCGATTTCAATGAGCCTAGTGGTGGTTCTTCAGTTGCTGCTGATTCTAGTCAACAACAATTCAGCGCAAATCTACCTATGTGGCATCAAAATCAGTTGAACATAGGCTCTTTTGACCCTGTAACTCCCCTTTTCACCGCACCGTCTTTTATCGACCCCGCCGTTAGAAAAATCCACGTCACCGTCAAGTTCCCGTCAAAACAGTTCACTCTTGAAGTAGACAGAACGGAAACGGTAATAGCAACATGTTTACCTCCCATTTTATTACAGTTTTTGAGTTTTCTTGATTAAAAAGGTACTAATGTTTTGCAGGTAAGTAGCTTGAAGGACAAAATTCACATTGTGGAGAACACGCCGATAAAGCGAATGCAGTTATACTATTCCGGGATTGAGCTAGCTGATGATTATCGAAACCTAAACGAATATGGAATCAGTGAATTCTCAGAGATTGTGGTGTTTCTCAAGCCAATCAACCGTGCCAAAGACGTTGCTCCGGTGAGGAAACTCTGTTTCTTGGTGCAGACGTCATCTAGCTTATTCAACGGTGCGAGGATTCCTGTGGAGATTAAGGACACTTGCACCATCTCGGAGATGAGAGAAGGGTTACAAGCTAACAAAACGTTGCCACGAGACGAGTATATATTCATACACAAGCAAAGGGTTATGCGAGAGAATTATAGTCTTCGGTGGCATGGTGTTGAAAATGGTGACACGCTTTTTGTGTTTAAAGGGTCTATTAGTCGTGAAGGTTACTGAGATTTATGGCTGACAAGCTTTTTGTCTCAGATGATACCTTCAATGTCACGGAACATATAACTTATTTACTTCTCTACTTTAAATAACTAAATTGGTGAAATAACCCCTCAATTTCTTCATTTATTTTCAATGTTACCCGGAACTTTTTTTCCTTATGTTTTCAACTTTTCCATTTAAAGTTTTCATTTCTCCCCAAATTAACAAGATGGACACAAAAACTCTCTAATTATCAACCCTTCCCCTCCGCCGCCGTCGCCGCCAACACATCCGCCGCGAATCCCCAAATGTAGTCTCCATAACCTCTACTCTATCGACACTGCTTTTTTTTTTTTGTGTTCCGATTGATTGTAGAATCAAAGAAAAAACGAAGGAAGCCAATTGTTCTGGAAATTATGGCGAATAGTAAGTACGAGTACGTGAAGTCATTCGAAGTGGAAGACGAAGTTATGTTTCCCAATTTGATAATTATCCGTATCGATGGCCGTGATTTTTCGAGGTAAATTTCTTCGCACCCAAAGTGATGGTGTGTCGATTGTGAACGAGAAGAGTATAGAGTCTGATAGGTTGTTTTGGGAACTTACTTGAATTTATTCTTAGTAGATTGTGTTTGAGATGGTTCTTGGAACTTGAACATTGGATAACGATTGATGTGTTCTCATGAATCTATCTATATGTGTGTGTGTGTGTTTGTAGATTGACAATGCTTTCCTTGTGTTTCTTACTCTCTTCTTCCTTATAATAACTGTAGATTTTCCCAAGTTCACAAGTTTGAGAAGCCTAATGATGAGACGGCTCTAAATTTGATGAATTCATGTGCATCTTCGGTTTTGGAAGAGTATCCTGATATAGTCTTTGCATATGGATATAGTGACGAGTACAGGTACCATAGTCACTTGGATTAGTTGTTTTAGTTTTGACTCGTACCTTTGACAAGACTTTATTGTTTTCATGTATCATGTAGCTTTGTATTCAAGAAAACATCAAGATTCTACCAGAGACGAGCCAGGTATTTTAGGATTTGGGAGATAGCTCGAGTTGTATTTAGTTTTCTTCTGTATGATTTGTATTTTGACATTTAAAACTTTTCTGCTGTTTCATATGCAGTAAGATTCTGTCTTTGGTAGCCTCATTTTTTGCTGCGGTCTATGTAACAAAATGGAAAGAGTTCTTTCCTCATAGAAATTTAGAATATCCTCCTTCATTCGCTTCAAAAGTTGTAAGTTGCGCATCAGTAGAGGTTCTTCAAGCTTATCTTGCGTGGAGACAACATGACTGTAAGACCTTTTAACATCTATATATGTTCTATGAAATTTTCCTTAACAAATTCATGATAATCTGCATTCTGGATACAATTAATACTTATTGGCATTTTCATTTAGATCTTCTTACAACTTCCATTGTTTTGGTTGCAGGCCACATTAGTAATCAGTATGACACATGTTTTTGGATGTTAGTAAAAAGTGGAAAGACCTTAAGTGAAACACAGGAAATTTTGAAGGTGTGTTGTCTATGCTTTTTTTTCGTGACAATGACAGGCTACGTTGATTTTTCCATGGGAAAATATTTAACACTATGACTAGACTTTATTTTACCTTCACCTGGTTTCATACCTTGTAATCATTTTTTCTTGTATAAGCACACTACTTCCTATTGATAACTGCAGGATACACAGAAACAACAGAGAAATGAGCTTCTTTTCCAGCAATTTGGTATTAATTATAAAATGCTTCCTGTATTGTTTCGTCAAGGATCATGCCTTTTTAAGACAAAGGTGATCTTTTTCATTATTTCATGCTTTTATTTATAGCCTTCATATGCTTGCTTTGAGATGTGTTGCATATGTATTTAAAAATTTAGAGCTTTCAGTTGATAAGTTGACTCTTTATGAAGATCAATAAGTTTTTTTTTGTTGAGTGATTTAATTGGTGTGCATGTATGTTCTGGCAGTGTAAATTTTTCAATTGCCTGAAATCTTGTAAATTTGTTTAGTCTTGTGTCGCTGCAGCTTACATGTTCAGGTTACAAAATCAATTTTATTAGTTGAAAATGTAAAAGTCAGATGTTCTCTTGTCTCTATATAGGTCAGGTTTAATGTATATTTCGGGTGTGTGATACTTTTGTTGAATTCATTCAGGTAGAAGAAACTGTAAAGCATGATGAGAATGGAAATCCTGTAAAACGATTGAGGAGAAGGGAAACGTTAGTGCATTCAGAAAATATTGCTGGAAGAAGCTTTTGGAATGAGCACTCCTCTCTTCATAAAGATCTTGGACATTTTGCAAAAGACATTGGCAAAATTGAACCAGATTATGTTAAGTCGTTTCAGTTTGAGAGTAGATTATTACCTTTAACTTGGGTTGTGGTCAGGATTGATGGCTGCCATTTTCACAGGTAATATGCTTTTTAGTCTTTGTCTATTATTATTGTTAGAAATGTGTCTTGCATGGAAGCCTTAGACTTGTTAAAAAATATATGTTTGCTAGGATTTATATCAGCTATAATGTTATATTACGAGTTTATACACTTCTGACTGCTATGGTCGGCTTGTTTCTTACATTGCGTTGCTTATGTGTAGTGCTTTAGATTGTGATTTATTAGGCAATGGCAACAGAGAAGTAGAATTTTTGGAACTTATAAAAATAGAAGAACAGTAGTTGACCGCTTTGGAAAACAAACGCCTGCCTATTGCCTTGAATGATTACTATTGTTCTGTTGTAAGTGAAACTCATTGAGTTTGCTTGGATTTTGATAGATTTTCTGAAGTTCATGAATTTGAGAAGCCAAATGATGAGCAAGCTCTGAAACTTATGAATTCATGTGCAGTGGCTGTTCTTGAAGAGTTTCAGGATATTGCCTTTGCCTACGGCGTTAGTGATGAGTACAGGTGTGTAACTCTCAGTCCGTTTATCAACTTTACATTTCTAGATATTAACCGAGTTCATCTTTGGTTTGCAGCTTTGTTCTTAAGAATAAATCTGAGCTTTACAAAAGACAGTCCAGGTCAAACTAATTTTCTATGCCCTTAAGTTTTCTTGTTGCAGGATAAATGTATTCGTCTTTCCTAGGTTTTTCTTATTCTTTTGCACTGTTTATAACTTAATTTCAAATATCTTGTTACAGTAAGATAATATCTGCAATTGTATCCTTCTTCACATCGACGTACGTGATGAGATGGGGAGATTTCTTCCCTCACAAAAAATTGAAGTACCCTCCATCATTCGATGGACGAGCTGTTTGCTATCCAACATCAGATATTCTCCTGGATTATCTAGCTTGGAGACAAGTCGACTGTGAGTATAGTTGTCTTAAGAAATGATTCACTTGTCTTGTGAGATAGTTACTGGATATCAAATAGACTCGTAGTTTGAGTTGGATGCTCCTGTTCAGCTATTTTGTTTTGTCTTGCAGGCCACATCAATAATCAGTATAATACATGTTTCTGGTTGCTTGTTAAGTCTGGAAAAAGCAAAACTCAAGCCCAAGATTACTTAAAGGTGCTTTGTTATGTCTTTCTCGAGTAGCCAATGCTGGCCCTTAGTTCATTGACTAAATGGTTTGTCACTTACATTTGGCTCTTGTTTCAGGGTACCCAAACACGAGAAAAAAACGAGTTACTTAGCCAGCAATTTGGAATTGAGTACAATTCATTACCTTTAATCTTCCGCATGGGTTCTTCCGTTTTTCGCCTAAAGGTGCTACTTCTGTTATCATACTCCAAAATTCTTCTAGTGTTTCATAGCAGATTCTTATTATAGTGAAGAAAAGAAGTGTCCTTCTCTCTTTTGTCAGTTTCGACAGAAACCTTTTAAGGTACTCTTGTCTGTGCAGAGATTTTAAACAAGTGGTGTGACTTAATTTTTACATTTAGACGCAGGAAGGTGTTACAGAGGAGAATGGAGAAGTTTCAGGAAAGCAAGTGGAAGCAGAAGTGGTCGTAGACTATTCTAACATTATCGACCAATGTTTCTGGCAACAACATCCTAACATTCTTAGCTGCTCCTAACACAGAGGTATTCATTGCTACCAAAAAAATCCAAAACGAAAACCGAATGAGATTCAGCTCTTATTTTGATAAACCAGAGCTGAATTAGTGAATTACAAAAAATTTGAACCGGATGGTTTTATTTTCTTACTTTCACTATTTTTTTTCTATTATTTAAAATTTTAACTTATTTTAATTTGGCAGTTAATTTTTTTTTTACTGGTAAGGAGAAGAAATATTTAGTGCTGTTTTTTTTTTTTTGGTAAAGTAAGATTCGTAAAATAGATTGACTAAAATGATAAAAGGGGTAAATAAAATCTCTTCAAAATTTTTTTTGACTGATAGCCATCCAATTAAGGTAAGTTCGTGAATTTGCATACCAAATATTTGGATATGATGATACTGCTTCATTTTGTGTAGACTTTGCCCATAAAATTCTCAAAATATTCTATAAATTATGGCACCTTAATAAAAACTTTGACCCAAAATGAGATATTGGGTTCTTGCCTAGTGAATGAATAGTAAAAAATCTCATTCCAAGTACAACAATATTTTAATTAATTTAAAGGGGAATCCTCTTTTTTTCAGTTAATTTGTATTTATAACACCTAGGTTGATTTTCTCTATTCATTTAAAGAAAGTTGGTAAATTACAGCCATAGTTAGTAACAGAATCAAAGAGATTTAATTATTAAGAAACTTTTGAAATATATTTTTAACACAATTAATATTTTATTTCTTTCGTTCCTTTTTCACCATTTTAAAAAAGTAGATTAATTAAATAAAAATAAGCGTTACCTCCGTCGACGATCAGACGATTCTGCCATTGTTATACTTATACCTTTGGCTTAGCTCGTAACGTTTCCTATCTCTCTCTCTCTCGTTCCACACTACATTCTCCGTCCGTCAGAATCTTCGAGTTTACCGATTCCGCCACTCACTCCTCGATCCCTGTCGCGAAATGGAGCTGGAGCCGGAGGTTCAATATGGAGAGGAATTTGTCCACATCGATGACCCAAAACCTTCCAGAGATTTTTTGTTAAACGAAAGCATAGTGAATGTGGAGAAGGAGGAGCTCCTCAGGGAGGAAGTAGATAGCGACGCCGGTTCAGTGATTACCGGCGATGATTCGATATGTGAAAGTGGTGATGATGGTATATGCGGTGTAGCGGATTATGTTGAGTGTGCGGTGGAGACGATGACGGAGAAGTTGGAGCTGCCTGAGGAATTTGCAAAAAGCGTTATGGTTCTAACGTGTGAGTCCACAGTTGAAGGTGGATCTTGTGATGTTTACTTGGTTGGCACTGCTCATGTATCGCAGGTAATCATCGTTTTCGATCTCTTTTGCTTCCATAATCAGGACTTTACAAGTTGCTTCTTATAATTTGGTGACTGTTTTTTTGTGATTTGTTGAAATGTTGGATAATAATGAAATGATTTTGACAATGAAGAAACTCATCAAAGATTAGATAGGCATTGTGCATTAGGGATATACTGTTTGCGGGTTTATGTCAATTGAGTTACAGAAAATGCCAATGCAGCAGATACATTGTGAAATTGAGGAGGATAGGGTTTTGAAATTTAGTAAGAAGTTGCAGAGTCTGTTGCAGCCTCCTTGTTTACAGTTCTTCCCTAGACTTTATTATAGGATGGAAACATGTCAATCCACTTTTTATCCCTTGATTGGACTATAATATTAGCATTCATAAGCTTGTGTTCATATTTTCATTTGCTTTGTAGGAATCATGTCGAGAAGTTGAAGCTGTAATCAGATCCTTGAAACCGCAGGTTCTTCTCCTAACAGTTCATTGAGGACTAAAGTGTTATATCCTCATGTGTTATTTCACTCAACTCTAAGTACTTGGCTGATGCTTGCAGGCTGTCTTTCTGGAGTTGTGTACAAGTCGATTGTCTATTCTCACACCTCAGACTGTGAAGGTTTGCTCTACATAATTCTTATAACATGTCCAATTCAGTTTATTTCTCAGCATTTATGGTCGTTTACACTGTAGAATTTACAGACATAACTTATAATGAATCTATCTCTTCTATCCATTTTTTTGTTTATTCTTGAAAGGTACCAACTTGGATGGAAATGATAGACATGTGGAAGAAGAACCACAACCTATTTGAAATAGTTTACGGATATATTCTTGCAAAGGCATGCTTCCGTGCTTCAGATCTTCTTTGATTGTAGCTTAAATTTGCAGACTAATAATTTACATCATTTTCTTATGTGTAGGCCGCCAAGAAGCTTGAGGTTTTTCCTGGTGCTGAATTTCGTGTGGCATTTGAAGAGGCAAACAAATATGGTGGCGCAGTGTTTCCTGGCGATCGTCCAGTACAGGTGACTTTGGTGTTCATAGTTCAAACCTTTATTATAGAGGAATGTTATGAATTGCATCTCTGTTTTTAAATTGTGTTCTAGTGAGTATTCAGTTTCTTTCATATTTGTCGAAGCAGATCACTCTACAGAGAACATGGGGTAAAATGCCTCTATGGCACAAAATAAAACTAGTGTACAGCATAGTGTCTCAAGCTGTCTTTCTGCCGAAGCCTAAGGAACTTGAGAAGATGGTAAAAATCTGTTCTTCCTTCTTTTTTTTTCCCATTTTTGTGATTCAGTCAGAGTAAATATTGAGTGATGATAAAATTGGATGGCTTTAGCTGAAAGACATGAGCGATGCTGATATGCTGACATTGGTGATTCAAGAAATGAGCAAGGAATTTCCATCTCTCATGGAGACACTTGTGCATGAGCGAGATAAGTTAGTACTTTAATCTTCTCTAATATAGAGTTTATAAGATTAATCGACCACTACCTCCTTGTTTAGTAAAGTAAACTTGTATTATCAGTAATAGTTGTATCAAATTTAGCTTTCAAGCTTTTTTTTCCTTTAAGCTCTTAATTAGCTAATCTTAAAACATAGAAAAGTCAACAGTTTGGTATCCAGATTTTTGTCTGATCTATTTGCATTATATCTCAGGTACATGGCATATTATTTGTTGAGACTTGCAAGTGAGCATAGTTCAGTCGTGGCAGTTGTCGGTAGAGGGCATCTTCAAGGGATCAAGAAGAATTGGAACCAACCTATAAACGTTAGTAACCTCATTATACACATTTGGTTAAAAACAACACAATAAACAGAACTAATTTTGTCACCATTATTGTGGTAATGGTATTGCAGATAAAGGAACTGTTGGAGTTACCGACAAATGAATCGATTTTTACTGTAAAGAAGATTCTGAAATATCTGGTGGTTGTCGTCGCCGGGACAGCCATAGTTTCCGGCATGTATCTTGCTAAGTAAATTAATATCCAGGTGGAGTGAGTTTCTCATGAGGAGAATAAAACGTAGGCGATATAACAGATGATGACATAAACTTCAATAACCGTTATAAACTTATGCTGTCATGATATTATTTATTAAAGGTTTTAGGATGAATAATTTCATAAAGAATTTACAGATACTGTATATCTATTAAAAACAATTCATTTTCCAATTGTTTTGGCCATGAATGCTAAACTACACAATCGAATATCATGCCAAATTCAGTTACTATCACAACGAGAACCATAGTGCTATAAGTTATAACAGACACATACACAGAAACAAGACCCAACTAAACATCAGAATATTATCATGCATATCTTATGCATTTCAACAACTTGCATTCTCGACTGTATATATATGTGTGTGTATTATATATTTATACATTACGCATTGTGGAACCATAGTCCCTTTTCTCCACAACATAAGCATATCAGAACACATTTTTTTACTCTCTGAAAATATGATAGTGACAATTGTTTCATACACACAAGAATTCACCATGGAAATCAGCGAACAAGAATCTGTGTTGGAGATCAAGAAACGTTTAGGACAGTTTCTTCAGATCCCAGCATCTTCTTTAACTCTCTTTGTCTCTTGTTGGGAACTCATCGACGGTCTTGACATCGAAGATTACCCAATCATCTCTCACGGCACCAGAATCGACCTCACCGTAACTCCCCTTTTCACCGCACCGTCTTTTATCAATCCCGCCGTTAGAAAGATCCACGTCACCGTCAAGTTCCCGTCAAAACAGTTCACCGTTGAAGTAGACAGAACGGAAACGGTAATAGCAACATGTTTACCTCCCATTTTATTACAGTTTTTGAGTTTTCTTGATTAAAAAGGTACTAATGTTTTGCAGGTAAGTAGCTTGAAGGACAAAATTCACATTGTAGAGAACACACCGATAAAGCGAATGCAGTTATACTATTCCGGGATTGAGCTAGCTGATGATTATCGAAACCTAAACGAATATGGAATCAGTGAATTCTCAGAGATTGTGGTGTTTCTCAAGTCAATAAACCGAGCCAAAGAGGTTGCTCCGGTGAGGAAACTCTGTTTCTTGGTGCAGACGTCATCGAGTTTATTCAATGGTGCGAGGATTCCTGTGGAGATTACGGACACTTGCACTATCTCGGAAATGAGAGAGGGATTACAAGCTAACAAGACGTTGCCACGAGACGAGTATATATTTGTACACAAGCAACGGATTATGCGAGAGAATTGTAGTCTTCGGTGGCATGGTGTTGAAAATGGTGACACTCTTTTTGTGTTTAAAGGGTCTATTAGTCGTGAAGGTTACTGAGATTTTAAAAAATTTAAGCTTCTTATTCGAATAAGTCCCTCTTAATAACGCATATAGTGCTTAATTGGATTATGCATTCTTAAACATTGATGGAATATATATTATTTTAATGTGGTAAAGAAAATGATGCAGTGTTGTAGTTGATGTTAGTAGTTTTTGTTAGTGTTTTCGATATTTTATTGTTACAAAATTTAGTTTTGATATCTCGGAATTCGATTTAAAAATTTTGAGTTTTATTTTAAAATCGTTATATATCATAAAATTTACCCGTGTCATACCTACTTATAATCCTATACTAATATTTGGGAAGTACATCCTAAGGATCATAACTTAGATTTTGTAAGAAATTACAATATATGCCATTAGAGAATTCTAATCATAAAATTTTATTCCATGTCACTAATATATATAAACGGGTCAACGGGTCAATGGGTTTAAAGATATGAAAAGATTTTGTTTATATAATACATATAATTCGGAAAAAAAATTCTTCAAACGATTACACAATTAATATAATTCGAAAATGTTATATACTAATCAATTCGAAAATGTAACACAATTAGTAAAAATGTTATATACTAATATATTATTCGAAAATGTGATCGTAAATGTTATTGAAAATGTTATTGAAAATGTTATATAGTATTCCATTATTCGAACATGTTATCAAAAATGTTTTTGAAAATGTTAATGAAAATGATATATAATTGTAAGAAATTACAATATATGCTATTAGAGATCTCTAATTATAATTATTTTAATTCCATATCACTAATATGAACCAGTTTATTAAAAAACGGATCAATGGATCAAACGGGTATAAAGATATTTAAAATATTACCTAATATTTTGGAGGCCAATCACGAATCTAACAAACACGGGTCATTGGGTCCTAAGACGGGGTTAAGATTATATTACCTAAACAATATAGAAGAGTTCCTAGAGTACACTTAGCAAATAAATCCTAGAGTTCCAACTTATTTACGAGACTATGCCATTGACATTTATTATTTAGTTTTATAATATTTAAATAAAAAATATTAACCAAAGGATATCTTGCCTAATCTGTTTCTAAAAATCTCTACACAATCTTTCCATATATCTTCAAAAAATATTTCCGTGAATTTTACTCCACAAAATATGCATAAAACCGATTTATAGCAAATATTTATATTAACATTTTGCATAGCAATAAAAATACTAATTTATAATAATCAAAATATTCACATAGAAAAATCATATACAGATACAAAAAAAGAACTATATCTATCATCATTAAATCCATTGCTTTATTTAAATAAATAAAAAACACAAAATCTTGAAATCATATACTTTATATGGTAAATATAAAATATATATTAGTAGTATAAATTTAAAATAATTCTAGGAACCGTATACCACGGGTGAGTTCCTAAAATTATTGGATTTTATAACAATAATAATTTATTTTCTTGGATTTTATAACAATAATAATTTAGCTAACGGGATAATATAGACGGGTTTACATGGGATGACGGGTTTGGGTTGATATTAATAAAGAACGGTATATCACGGATGAAATCCTAAAATTAACAATCAAAATACAATTATACAATCTTAAACACAAAACAAAACATACAATATTAACAAAACAAATACAACTTAAAATTTAAAAATTTTAGTTATAAAAAATCGACCCACGGTATACCGCGGAGTAAAATATTCAAAATTTTAAAATCAACCATACATCGTTACTTAAAAATGTATGTTTTCGTATCTATACTTCAAAAATGGAAACTTAACCAATAATAATCATACACTAAATAATACATAGATAGATAGATATCTACTTTGAAAAATATAAATTAATATGATATATCTTCAGTTAATCTTTAGAAAAATAACATTACAACTTTTTTAAAAATGTTAGCCCCGCGGTGTAACGCGGGTTAAATTCTAGTTCACTGATATTACGACTAGCGGAGTGGGTGGTCCCTACAACTTACATTTGATTTGTTCAATTAAACATTTACTTATCTAATGTCTTGTTGAATGAGCATTTTTGAAATTCCTCCAATATAGATAAGAGTCTCGTTAATGATTATAGATAATATTTTCAATTAGTTAACAAATAAATGATAGTGCGGCTAGCAGAGTAGGTGAACCTTACACTTTTAAGATGTTACCATCGATTTTTTGGATCTACGAGCAAATCATCGAATATTTAAAACTCGATTAAAATTTTACTAACGTTAATGTATGGTAATGTACTATCTTGAATATAAATCTCTTCATCAACAATGTAGATAATCATGTTTTTAATTTATTAACAAAAATGAGTTTTAAATAGTGCGACTAGCGGAGTAAGTGGACCGTACAACTTTTAAGAAGTCACAATCAATATTTTAGGTCTTCAAGAAAGTTATCTGATATTTAAAACTCGATTAATGTTTCGTAATGTATTATCTTGAATGTAAATAATTTTTTCATTAATGAATATAGATAATAACTTTTTTAATTTATTAACAAATAAATGAGTTTTAAATAGTGCGACTAGCAGAGTAGGTGGACTCTACAACTTCAAGATGTTACCATCGATGTTTTAGGTTTGCAAGAAAGTCGCCGGATATATAAACTCTATTAAGAGCTTTACTAATGTAATGTTTGGTAATGTACTATCTTCAACTTTTGACCAGTCAAATTTTCCGGTTAACTGGATTCTCTAGCCTGAAATTGGCCAACTAGATTTGAGAACCAACCAGTCCCATAGAGAAACTTTTGATCTGTTTTTTCCTACAGAGAAGACGAAGAATAAACAAAAAGAAACTAAACAGAACAAAATCAATTTTTTATTATGCTGGTAAGACACCTAAAACAATGTTTGATTGTTTACTTGTATACCAAGAAACAATATAACAAGATAATCACAAATGCAAAACAATAAAAATGGAATTGTTAAAACAAATCTCATATCAAATCAAGAAACCCTAGATTTCCTCTTTAATATCTCCTTCTTCAACCTCTCTTGCTTCCTCTTTAACATCATCATCACCATTATCCTTTGCTTCACCATCCTTCTCACTCTGCTTCGCTTCTTCATCTTCTTCTACTTTCTCATCGCTATCTTCTTCCTCATCCTTCATCGCTTGATCCTTCTCTTCACCGTCTATTTTTGGCTTTTCGTCTTCTTCTTCGTTTCCTCTTGGACTCTCTGCTTCCGACGAAACCTCCTCCATAGGATCATCATCATCATCTTCTCCTTTAGATCTCTCTTCCTCAGAAACCAAATCAGGATGCTTAAAGAACAAATACATATGAGAATCTTCTCCCACTCCTAAATCTCTCAGCATCATGTCATCTTCATCGTCCATCACCATCCTTCTCGTCTCTTCATCTCCGATGACAAGTATCAAACGAGTCACCGGTAATTTCACCTTCGCCGCGATCTTCTCTTTCAGTTCTTTGACCGTCGTATCTTCACTCACGTCCGTATCAATAAACGTCCCCGTTATTATCTCCACATTCACTTTCATTGTTTAATATCTCTCTCCACCAAATCTTATTATGATTTTGATTGTTGAGACAAATATTCATATCTCTTTTTTTTTCTATTGTTTCTTTCTTTTATTTTGTTTTTGGTTTTTGGTTATTTTCTTTTTTTTGGCAATGGTTTTTTGGTTTTAAGATCTTGCTATGTATAAAAACATGAACTAACCAAATACAACGCATGCCCTTTTCATTTCCATTCAATATCAAATATCAGATATCGTGTTTGATTTTATGGAAATTATTATCTTGTTTTATCTCAATTTTGTTGCGGATATCTTGCAACAAGATTGTTTTACATGTTTTTTTTTTCTTTTTTCAATACATGTTTTGAGTTTGACTAAGTAGGATTGATTCACAAAATCCCCCCTCCCCTCAAGTTTAGGGAACTAATTAACACAAAGAAGACAAAAAATTAAGGGACTAAATATATGATGATTAAATCATACGGATTTTTTCGATGCATTTCCGATTAATTTGTGGTCGTTGGAAAATGACCGTATTTTTCCGACGAATTTCCAATCTCAGGATTTTTCGGAATGTGGTCGGAAATTCGTCAGAAAAATTTTCGATTACGTTTTTCTTGTCGGAAATGATCCCCGGAATATGCTATGTTTTCTTGTAGTTATATAAGGTTCTTCTACTATAATCACCGTATATCTAAAGTTTTTAGGAAAAAGAAACATAATTAGGGTAACCACTCTGGTTTTTGTATGTAATCCTCATAAGAAATTTATCCAAACAAACAGAAAAATGTACTTATAAAATTTTGTCTAACAACCATTGATCGTTTCTAAATACTCTCCAGCACACTGTTTCGCCTTCCACATTAACAAAGTCGGGATGAGTTTATGACTTGGGCTTATTAATGGACTCTTCTCCATATTTATTAGAGGCTTTTATTCACCTTTGATGCCGTGGGCTTATTAAGACCTACCCTCACGATGTTAATTAAGAAATAATCATTTTCAATATCTATTACTGGGTTACCCCTGTTGTTTTAATTTAAGATCAAATATTCGATATGTAGCAAGGAAGCTGTGTAAATGTACATATCGAATTAAATGTACATAGACACTCGAACATACTTAATTAAATGTACATAGGGGATATGATATACCTCTATCTAGTGGGTTTACCTATCTAGTGGGTTTAAGGTTCGATCACTAATATGTATACCGTTGAATTAATTCATTTTAACAAAGTGAATTATTATTAATGTTCGGTCTTAAACATGATAACTTGAACATATTCTCTAATCAAAGTTTTACAGTAATTCTAGCTAGTGCAGCTTGGATATATAAATTTGTACTTTTTTAGACAATATTTTCTAACAAAAAATATAGTTAGAACGATAAGAGTGATGCTTTCTAAAGGAATAAGAGTGCAAATTTAGATTAGAGGCCATATGGTTTTATGTTGTAGTGGGTGTGAGTTTTGGATCAAAATCCTCAAAACTTAATTGGTTAAACTATATTGTAGCATACAACTTTGTATGTTTATACAGTTTTAGATTCTAAGCAAATGTATAATTTATTGTGGTCTAATTCGTAATGTAACGTAAGTTAGAATCTGAAACATTTGGAACAGTTGAAATTGTAAATATATCCAAAATTTCTACAAATCATAGTTAGCCATTTTGAACAGTTGAAAAAGTAACGGCAAAATCTACTACATGTTTTGTCTGTTTGCCTACGTCATGTTTACTTTAAATAAACAATTATATAAGGGAAAAAATATAATTAATAAAAGCTACTTTTGGATTTATATCTTAAAAAGGATAAGGACATTAACAATTGAAAGGTGTAAATCTAGAAATTTGGAATTGCAATGAGTACATGAAACCGTAAAAACATATAAACGTCAAAAACAACCAAAAAAACGTCTATATATGACACGTGCACAGGCAAGCATGCTTATTCCGTGAAGGTGCATGATAAAAACCACAAACGACACTGTCGCTTAGTGTAATAGAGGGAAATTAGTGTAAAAAACAAAACTAAATTTGACTGTAACCAAAATGGTTAAATGTTACCACTGGACCCATTTCCTAACTTGGTTTGCATAATGAACATTTCACGAGTTGGGTTTAGTGACACTATCGATAAAAACAAAAAAAGAGATTTTGTATATTCAACCAGCTGCTCACACTTTTCACAATAGTCTATAAGATTTTTATCTCCTAATTTTAGGATTTAAATTTGATTTTAAATTAAATAATAAACTTATATTGTATTCTGAAGTATGAGAAATATCGTGAACTAGAAGTTTTGAATGATATGATATTATGTTAAATTAGTTTAGATTACCAGATAATAGAACCAATTATGTTAAATTATTTTTAAAAGTATGAATAATTTTGAATGATATGATATTTCACATATAAACTAAATTTTTATTTTTGATTATAAATTTAAATATTTGTTTTAAGTTTGACTATTATGATTAATTTTTTGGTCAAACTTATTTTAGATGGTAAAATAGTAAAAATAATTGTATGACCAACGACTAGAAATTGTACCTTGGTTCTTATGTTTTATCTAGCGTCACTCGTTACGTCACTATCCAGATTTAAACATGTATATTACACATTATTGATAGATAAATAGTTGACCAATGACTAACTATGTTCAAGGATATTGGATAATGCATTGACTAGCTATTAAAGTTACTTAAATAAATTTTACCAATTTATTATATATTGAGATTTGAATATACTTAATAAATATTAACGATCGATCGAGTCAATAATAATACTATGGATTTTTTGTTTATTTTACTGTTCCGCCGACTTTATGTTCTTTTTTGTCCGCCGACTTTTTTTTTGTTATGCACGATCGATCTATTCAATAATACTATCATAGATATTTTATTTCCTTTCTTATTTTGTTCACTTTGTATCTTTATAAACAATCGATAGAGTCAATAAAAGCGCTTTGTCGTTTCTGTAATTCATTCCGTACATCTTATATCTATAAATACTGTTATTGAATCGATCGATTAATATTATGAATCTTCTAACATTCAAAAATTAATTGATTGTCATCATTATCAAAACAACTAATTATACTTGAATTTTTTTCTATGATAATAAGTTGCAAAGTTTTATTTTATTTTAGTCTTTCCTAAACTATTCATGGTCCATTTCACTATGAATTCAAATCTTAAAATTTAAATAATTTTACATTATTTTTCCTAGGCTCATACCATATAAGCTTAATTTTTATAGAAATCTTTGTTTCTCTAATTAGAATTTCAAAAATGACTAAAGCTAAATATACCAAAAATGGTTAAAAATATTTCAATGGCATTAAGTCTAAATTTTATTATATTTCTCTTTTAATGGAGAAAACTTAATTTAGTTTTTTAATTTATTTATTTAGTTAAAATTATGTAATAATACCATAAGAGTATTTGGAAAACCAATTGTATTATGACACATAGATGAAAGGATAGAAGGATCTTCTCAACCTTTTTTATTATTTATCTTTTTAACGTGTAGCTTTCTCTCTCTCTCCTTCGAGCGTGTAGGGTTAAGTAAGTGTCTCCCTCTCTACCTATAAATATGTGTCTATAAACCTCTAGATTCACTCGCACTCTCAGCACTTTTCACTTACCTCAAAACCGCTTCCTAAAACCATAAGCTGTTTCCCGACAAAATCTATTTCCTTTCGATACTATCCAAGAGTTACTCCCATATTTCATCGACAATGTAATATGCCTACCATTCATTATTTTTCACTGCTCATTAATCTCAAATATATCATGGATCTCAACCCTTTTCATTTGATTAATTAAATTTCGTTGCACAATTCCCTTTTTATATGGTAAAAGTATCGAGTTATCAGTACCATCTTTGTTGTATCTATCATATACATCAAATGATGAACTGATTCTTGTATATCTTGCTATTGGGACCGAATTTTGTTTAACTTTTTTTTTGTTTTCGTTTGTAGAGAAAGAGTGAGCCAAAGATGGAGTACTGATAGATCAAGCTAGCAACGGAACAATAAACATAAAAAGATTTGATTTTTCTGATTTTATCACAGCCAAAACTTCAAAAGGTACTGTTGGATTATCTTCGTTATCCTTTGTATTTTATGTTTATGTTCTTAATTATGCATCCCCGAATATATAATTTATATCCAACTAAATACAAAATTTAATACATCGCACACAATTATTCTTTGCTGCTTGGTCGGTACTTAAACATATGATACTCTGACTCAGACCATGTTTTTTTTTTGTCTCTTCCTCTACACAAAAATTGATAATATTTCTGAAGGGAAAAAATAAATGTTGAGTGGTAGATCTTTTTTACAAAACCAATTTTAAATCTATCAATTATTTTTTTACAATATTTTTTTGGTTAAAATAAAAAAATTTAATTATATCTTCGATCTACTTATATATGGTCATTTTATGTGTTTTGGGCAAATGAATCCAACAATTCTCTTTTTATATTCTCTTCCTCTCTATTCCCTCCTTGTTCTATATTTAGATCTCTATAAATTGTGAAACCCTCGAATCAAAAAACAATTAAATCAAACTTCTAAAAACTTTTTTTTTGCCTAGATCCCACACTCTGACTTTTGAATTAGAATCGGAGAGTTCATAAAGTTAGGGCTTTTTTATTAATCCATGTCCTTTGCAAAATATTTTGGGGTTAATTTAATAGTCTATATAAAATTTATTTTGTTTGGGTTTATTTGTTAATCGGTACTGGTGGGTCTTTTGATTTCCTCTATCATCCTCAATTACTTTGTCTAGTTTTTTTGTTTTCTTTAGTCTTTTTTCTCTTTTAATCATAAGATCTTGTAGATAAAAGATAAAATAGTGGGTTGACTTCGAAAAGCAAACTTTTTGTTGTCTGGAATTTAGTGAAAGAGAGTGTACTGTTGTGTCTGACTGTGCAAAAAACCAAATCTTGGATAAAAAAAATCCTTTTTGATTCTTGTCCTCAAGAACAAAGGAAAACAAAAAGAAACCTTTTTCACAAACCCTAATTTCTAGATCTTATGAGTTGTTATAATTTTATATCTCTCTAATTTGTGAAGTAACTCATGATTGTTTTCTTTTTCAACTCTCAGATCTTTCAGAATCCCAAAGACAAAAACCAACAGCAAAAATGTCTCAGTCAAACATGGTACCAGTGGTTAACAACGGAGATGGTGACAACAACGAAAACAACAACAACGTTAACAACAACAATGGTGGAGCTGACAACACTAATGCTGGAAATGATTCTGGAGTTCAAGAACTCGGAAGTGGGAATACCTCAAGTGGCAATCATGGAGAAGGGTTGGAAAACAATCAAGCTCCTCCTCCTAAGAAAAAGAGATACAATCGTCACAGCCAACTTCAGATTCAGGAGTTGGAATCGTAATTTTTCTTCATTTCTTTAAATAACTTAACTTCAGATAATTAAATTTCTCTATAATATTCACATTTCTTTTTTTTTTGTTGAATATATAGTTTCTTCAGAGAGTGTCCTCACCCAGATGACAATCAAAGGAACGCACTTGGCGTTCAATTGGGATTGGACCCTGTTCAGATCAAGTTCTGGTTCCAAAACAAACGCACTCAGAGCAAGGTATGTATATGTAATAAATTTACACAATCTCATACATATTTAATGTATATAGGCATGATGAGTTGGTTTTGATTCTTGGTATATAAGTGTAGAGTATGATGATTCCACATACATATGTTATATGTTGAACTGTAGTATAGGATTAATGTGATATGAATGAATCAAGTTTTTTAGATTTTAGGGTTTTTTTTCGTAAGAGAATATTATAATAACGTTTTGAAACATGTGAAACAACACAACGTGTACACAAGTGTATATGTAGACGAAGTGTGTGTGTTGTGTGAACGCAATTAATACAACATTTGTTTATTTATTCTATTCTTTATTCACTTGAAAACCAAAAAGTTCATTCTCTTTGTTGCTTCCATTATTAAAGTTAACGACATAATTAATTAGTTGGTTTGTCATTTAAGTTGAAATATAAACTAATTAATTTTGTTTTGATTTGCAGAATCAACAAGAACGCCATGACAACTCAGAACTTCGGACTGCCAACAACCAGCTTAAGTTTGAGAATCAGCGGTTAAAAGAAGCTATTCGTCAAGCCTCATGCCCTAAGTGTGGAGGCAAAACTGCAATTGGCGAGATGTGCTTCGAAGAGCACCATCTTCGCATCCTCAACGCTCGTATGACTGAAGAGGTACTAGATTTGAACTAGATAGTTTCTATAATATAAATGTAAATGTTCATTAACAATCGAACACTGACTATTTCAATGAATGAAGCATACAAATAACACTTCATAAATGATTAAACAAGTTGTTTTTCTTGTTTTGTGGGTTATAGATCAAGCAGCTTTCCGCCACAGCGGAAACGATAGAAAAGTTAAGGGGCAAGCCGGTAATGAGCCATCCCGGTATGTCTCCTCCAACTTTCGAGTTCGGGATGGGATCTAATGGAAGAGATGTGTATGGAAATGTCGGAAACCACTCGAGGGAAACCACTGGAGCGGCAGATAATAAGCCGATCATCATGGAGTTGGCAGTTGGAGCCATGGAGGAGCTCTTGGTGATGGCTCAAGTGGCTGAACCACTGTGGATGGGAGGAGTTGATGGTACTAGCTTAGCTTTGAACTTGGCTGAATACACAAGGACGTTTCGCAAGGGTCTCGGTCCTAGACTTAACGGGTTTCGAACCGAGGCATCCAGGGAAACCGGAATCGTGGCGATGTGTCCTATTGGCATTGTTGAGATGCTCATGGACGAGGTAAGTTAATCAATCAAATTATGATCATAACTAATCCCTTTTAAATATACTATAGCATATAATAGGTCAGGTGTGTAATTAATGATCTATATTTGCATGCAGAATCTGTGGTCAACAATGTTTCTCGGAATTGTTGGTAGAGCCAAGAATCATGAACAGATATGCGCTGATGCTGCTGGAAACTTCAATGGAAATCTCCAAATAGTAATTCTTCTCCTTTACTTAACTTTCTTTTTTTAGTTATACAAAAAAAACAACTAAAACCATGTTTGATATAATTAACCAATATTGTTCTTATTCATAGATGAGTGCTGAGTACCAAGTGGTTTCGCCGCTGGTCTCGACCCGCGACAGCTACTTCGTCCGCTACTCTAAGCAGCAAGGAGAGGGTTTGTGGACGGTGGTCGATGTTTCCATCGACCATCTCCTCCCAAACCTTCACCCTAAATGTCGCCGCCGCCCCTCTGGATGTCTGATTCAAGAAATTCATAGTGGTTACTCCAAGGTATGTAACTTATCGTCACATTATGGGTATTTTTGTATACGGATAATCATATAGTTTAAATTTTCTTTTTTGGTTTGAAAAAGGTTACATGGGTGGAACATGTGGAAGTAGATGACAGTGCAGGAAGTTACAGCATCTTTAAGCACTTAATCTGTACTGGTCAAGCTTTTGCTGCTAACCGCTGGGTTGCAGCATTGGCACGCCAGTGTGAGCGAATATCTAGCATGTTGGCTACAAATTTTCAATCCGTCGATTCCGGTGAACACATAAGTATATTCATTACCAAATTTGCTTCAAATAGAAAATGTATTCTCTTTTTTTCTTTTCTTAACCGTTTTGTGACATTGTGCAGCGCTAACGAACCATGGAAAGATGAGCATGCTGAAAATAGCTGAGCGGGTTGGGAGAAGCTTCTTTAATGGATTGACCAGTTCGATGGGGTCTACATTTTCTGGTGCTGGTGGTGAGGATATCAGAGTGATGACAATGAAGAGCGTGGATGATCTAGGAAAGCCTCCCGGTATCATTCTTTGTGCAGCCACTTCCTTTTGGGTTCCTGTTCCTCCTAACACTGTCTTTGACTACCTCAGAGATGAGACTAATCGAGCCCAGGTAAACTTAGTTAGGACAAGACTTCCTTTTTTTTTTATGTTCTTTATATAACATGTTCTGAGATATGTATCTGCAGTGGGATGTTCTCTGCGAGGGAGAGATGATGCAGAAGATAGCAGAGGTTATAAATGGGAGAGACAATAGGAACTGTGCAAGTTTACTCCGGGTAATATACCTAACTTGTGTTTTTGAAAATGCAATATAATTTTATCTTTTGGTGTGTGACCGATGTTTTTATTGGTTACAGAAAGTAAACACTTGCCAGACCAAGATGATGATAATTCAAGAGACCTCTACTGATCCAACAGCTTCATTTGTGCTCTATGCGCCTGTTGATATGAAATCAATGGAGATTGCTCTCCATGGAGGTGGTGATCCTGACTTTGTGGCTCTGCTTCCTGTTGGTTTTGCTATTCTTCCGGATGGTACGGGTCAGCCTGGAGGAAACGAAGGAGGATCACTCCTGACCGTTTCCTTCCAAAGGCTGGTTGAGTTAGGTCCTTCCGGTCAGCTGAGTACTACCTCTGTTGCAACCACTGAGAATTTTATTCGTAGAACCGTGCTGAGGATCAAGGCTTTGTTTCCTTGTCAGACTGCTTGAACCACCCCCATTTCGGTAATGTATCAAGTCCATTTCATAAACAAAGTTGAAACTATCGAGTACTTGCTACGCATTTAAGGTGCTGAAGACGTTTTTGTGTGGTCTTTTTACAGGAAAGTGAGCTTAATGGAAGAAGGAGAGTGAGTTTGTGTTGAAGATCAGGTTTTAGAGTTTATTGGAGAGCTTCAAAAGGGGAGGAGTCAAGAACGAACCTCAAGGAGATTGGTTTTACGAGGTTCGGGATTTGACTTGCCCTGGAATATACCCATTCCAGATGGAAAATTATCCTTTCGTTTGAGTCTTTTATTTCCTTGTCATTGTTGGAACCTTTTGCTATTTCAGTTGAGTCTTCTGTTTCCTTGTCATTGTTGGACTTGGAACCTTTTGCTTTTTTCAGTTGAGTCTGTTGTTCCATTGTCATTGTTGGACTTGGAACCTCTTGTTATTTCAGTTGAGTCTTCTGTTTCCTTGTCATTGTTGGACTTGGAACTTATTGTTATTTCAATTGAGTCTGTTGTTTCCTTGTCACTGTTGGACTTGGAACCTTTATGAAGTTATTGAGTCTCTTTTTCTCTATTTGATGAGTTTCAAATTTTTTTTTTTTTTCTTCTTTCTGTTGGCTTTAGATCTTCTTCTAGAGTATGGATATTTCTTTTGTAGTCTATTTCTGGAGTTTGATTTATCAAAACTTCACAACAAGACAAAAAAATCTGAGCTGATAAAAACCTGTCTTGGGTTGTGATTTGTCAAGACCCAATGTAAACTCTTTGGTGAAGTGAACTTGTTGATATTGCTAAAACAAAAGTCTCATTGAAAAGTTGAAAGCCAAATCCAATCAAGCAGAAATTCTCTGAGACAAAATAGAAAAGTCACATGCTTGATCAGTACTACCTCAAGCGCGCTTTCTCCTGGCCAAAATAGCAGGTCTCTTGCCATCAGCTCCACCGCTTTTGCTGGATTGAGAAAGAAGACCACGAAGAAGAGCTAGAATACCAACACCCATGAATGGCACATGCATCATCAACAATTTCTCAGATGCCTTCCCCGAACCTATCATCTCTCCCAGTATAGCAGCCTAATGAATACTCAAAATCAGATTCTTCATCAATTTATTCAAAAAGATTCACATTGCAGAACAGTAAGAGAAAGTTCATAACTTTACTAATTCTAATAACCATGAAACTGGTCATTCAACATACAATGTTGTGAATCTGGGGAACCAAATGAAATCTTGAATCAAGCATATACAAATCTCACTAGTCTGCTCCTAGATCATACTTTGTTATGGTCCAGTTTCATAGATTTAACATTGATCACCAATAAACACTTCTCTTTTAATCTTCATTAATCATCAATACCAAAAATACACAACATTTGACCCTAAATCCCTAAATCAAACACATTATATCCAAATTTATCAGAAGAAAATGGAGAGCGAGATTAAGATCTAATGTACCATAGAAGTCACGACGGAAGCTCCGTACACCATTGAGGTGGTACCGAACCAAGATTTCCCGGCGAGAATTGCGTAGACGTTGACGATCGAGAGCGGCCAAAGAAGCAGAAGCTCGTGCCAGATGAGTCCGACGAGGAAATGCGGCTTCTCCTTGGCTAGATAATCTCCAAATTCATCGATGTACCAACGATTCAGATCGACGAGAAACGCCGGGAAGATATCGCCGGGAAGACTTATTTGACTGTCGATGAGCGGCGCAATGATCGCCATTAGAGCAAAGTATAAGAAGAGAAATGCATCGATCAACTTGCAAAATGCTCCCATTTTTTTTTTCTTCAATGGATTTTTGTTTTTTTTTCTCCGTTTTTTACTCTGTCGTTGACCGCGAGAAAGAACGAAGAAGGAGAAGAGCCCGCCGGTAGGCCTGGGTATTCGGTTAACCGTTCTGTTTCAGTTCGGTTGCGTTCGGTTTCGGTTAGATAATAACCATTCGGATATTTTAAGAATTTCGGTTGGGCTCGATTTGGTTATCTTTTGGTTCGGTTCAGTTCGGATATTTAAAAAGATAGCCGTAACTAACCGAAATTTATCATGTTTGGTTCGGTTTTTACCCAAAATAATTGAAACTAACCAAAAAATACAAAGAGAAAATACAAAAAAGGAAAATATTAAAAAAAAATTAAAATCTGGTTCAATTTTGTAAAAAAGTTTTTAACTTTGATAAATATAACTAATAACATTTGAATATTTTGATTATTTAAAATATTTGATTGTTTGATTCTAAAAATAATCTATATTTAAAGTTTACAATTATAGTTTTGGATATTGAATTTTGGGTATCTTCTAGATTTTTGGAAATTTCGTTAATCGTTTGGACATCGTTCGGTTTCGGTTAGTTTGGATAAGAGATTTTACTAACCCTTTGGTTATTTAAAAACTTTGGTTCGGATACGGTTCGTTTTTTTCGGTTCGGTTCAGTCAGTTATTCGATTAGCAGTTTTTTGCCCAGGCCTTCCGACCCATACTATTCGTAAAGTGCATTTTCCTAGAGTATGGATATTTCTTTTGTAGACTATTTCTGGAGTTTGATTTATCAAAAGTTCACACCTTTTCTTCCCAAGACTCTCTGTTTTGCAAGAGAGCGTAACGAGTTTTTGGCTGTTGGCTATGGTTTTCTATTGACCAAACCTAAAAAAATCTAAGCTGATAAAACCTGTCTTGGGTTGTGTAATTTGTGAGGTGAACTGTTGATATTGCTAAAAAACAGTAACTTCAACAAGAATTCAGCAGAAAGGTTCAAAATTTTCTCATTGAAAAGTTGAAAGCCAAATCCAATCAAGCAGAAATTCTCTGAGACAAAATAGAAAAGTCACATGCTTGATCAGAACTACCTCAAGCACGCTTTCTCCTGGCCAAAATAGCAGGTCTCTTGCCAACAGCTCCACCGCTTTTGTTGGATTGAGAGAGAAGACCGCGAAGAAGAGCTAGAATACCAATTCCCATGAATGGCACATAAATCATCAACAATTTCTCAGATGCCTTCCCTGAACCTATCATCTCTCCCAGTATAGCAGCCTAAATAAGAAATGAATAGTCATAATCAGTTTCTTCATCACAAGGCATATATACATACCATAACAGCCCCATAGCAGTTTAGTCAGAAAGATTCACATTGCAGAACAGTAAGAGAAAGTTCATAACTTTACTAATTCTAATAACCATGAAACTGGTCTACATAGAAGAAACTCAAAATCTCTTTCTCTCATCAGAGAATCTGAGGAGCATAATTGCAATCAACGATATGCATTGATAACATATGAAACTGGTCAACATAGTAGAAACTCAAAATGTCTGTCTCTCATCAACAGACAATGTTGTGTATCTGGGGAACCATAACTGCAATTAACAACATGCACTGAAACCAAATGAAATCTTGAATCAAGCATATACAGATCCCACTAGTCTGCTTTGTAATGGTCAAGTTTCATAGACTTATACAGTATCAATCCAACAAAGAGTTCTCTCATCAAGCTCAGATTTCAGATCAATACCAAAACATACACAACATTTCCTCAAAATTTCAGCAGATCAACAAAATTTTCACCCTAAATCAAACACATTATCTAATTTCTCTGAAAAATCGAGAGTGAGATTAAGATCTAAATGTACCATAGAAGTCACGACGGAAGCTCCGTACACCATGGAAGTGGTACTGAACCATGATTTTCCGGCGAGAATTGCGTAGACGTTGACGATCGATAGCGGCCAAAGAAGTAAAAGCTCGTTCCAGATGAGTCCGACGAGGAAATGCGGCTTCTCTTTGGCTAGGTAATCTCCAAATTCATCGATGTACCAGCGATTCAGATCGACGAGAAACGCCGGGTAGATATCGCCGGGAAGACTCATTTGACCGTCGATGAGCGGCGCAACGATCGCCATTAGAGCAAAGTATAAGAAGAGAACTGCATCGATCAACTTGCAAACTGCTCCCATTTTTTTTTCTTCTTCTTCAATGGATTTTTTTTGTTCTTTTTTTTTCTTTCTCTGCTTTAATGTGTCGTTGACCGCGAGAACGAAGAAGACGAAGAGCCGGCTACTTAATAATTGGCCAAATCTAAATTAAACCGAACCGGTTTAACGGGCTGCCATTGTTCCGGTTCGATTCAGTGGTTTATTAGAACGCATTTATTACATTGATACCATTTTTTTTTGTTATCATCTTTGTCTGTGTGGTCCCTTACATGTGGATGACTAAAATAGAGAACTCATGAACAGGTAGCCTTAATTTGAATCCTCGTTATAACAATACCGGTGTGGATCATCTTGCGAAATGTGCAAGAACAGAGGATTTCGGTTTTCCCATGTATGTTCGACTCGACAGTTCCCTGATTGACTCTCTTTAAAGGAAAGTCTTGGAGATTTGGAATTTTGGATGTAGAAAAAAACAAAAACAAACAAAATTGGCTTACTTTAGAACAATCATTCCTCCTAATTGTATTGTATGAACCAGACCACCAGTGCAAACAAAGAGGAGTATATATATAGTATCCAAAAAACAGAAAAGAAAAAAAGTAGTCATCCAATAACATAAGGACTGCATGCACTAAGAGAGCCCATGATCTGTTACAAAACCTCATGTTCTAAACATTTGAATAGGTTTCACGTCCTCTACATAGTCTAGAGAGATGAAAACTCTACGCTTCTCATACTCATCCATTTCAACTCTTCTGATAGTTTCCTTCTCGAAATTGTAATAGAAAATATAGAAAGGGCTAGATATACATGACGATGACAAAACAAGTTCATTGGTACCAGTCACTCCAATAGAGTATAAGTGGCCCTTTGCAACTTCAGTCTTCCACAAAGTGGGCATAACGAAAATAAGCTTCAACCATTCTTGTTTCCCTGCGTCTACTAACACCCACAATTCAAGCCATTTATCTGACACTACTGTAAGTGCACCTAATTTACCCTTGTAGTTAACCAGGGTGTAAAAATCAGGCCGCCACAATTCCATGCCCTTATCTTTTTTAATAAGATTAATCTTTTCAGACCTAACATCAAAACATATTATCTTAGAAAACCCACCGACGAAAGCTTGATAATACAAACCACCATTGATGCATATTCCAGTTTGATCTTCTCTAGGATTATGTGGTATGCAACATTCGATCATTCTCCATGACATTTTTCCAGTGCTTAAAGTCAGAACTTGGTGCTCCTCACATACCTGCTGCTTTTGCTGATCTTGTAATTCATATCTTTGCTCTTGTATTTCATATCTTGGCCTGCTCATGGACAAGATCTTGTATTGTTTCTCAGTCGGATCATACCCAAAAAAGCTTATAACGTTGCATCTCCTCGTCTTCATTGTGGATAAAGTTAAGGATTCTCCAGTGCTAGGGTTACATATCACAGGCACCGTTCTCGTCCTTCCCTTTAAGAACCGTCTGTCTATAAGACAGACCAAGCCTTGGACAAGACCAAGAATTTTACAGGGACCATAAAAGGGGAGGCGCTTAAGATGATTGATACTTACCGGAGACGAGTTCACATCCAGACTTTGAGGCTGAGGAGAGGAGGAGAAGAAGAATTCTCCGTTTGTTTGGTAGGCGAAAAATAGCTGCGGTCGAGCCAAAGATCTTGTCAAAAACAACTCTGTGAAATCTGGACGGCGAAGTACGGAGGTCCAGAGCTTCGATACGCAACGACATCTTGCTATAGACTTCGCCGACAACCTAGATAATATCTCGACAATGAGATCAACTGGGATCGACAACGAGTTTTCTAAATTATTAGGTAAGGTCTTCGGTCGCGTATTGCGTCGGGAAATAGTTGAAACATCCTCAGAGACGTGCTGCTGCGGTGTTTTCATGGCGAAGACACTACTTTGAAACCCTAGAGTCCCTTGGAGAGAAACTATATATGAGGTCAAATGGTGACAACGGTTAAACCGGCTACCACTACTCCGGTTAGTAAGACACTTTCAAATTTGCATTGCCTTAAGCATATTCTTTAGCAAGGTACATTTCTAATAGTGTTACTCGAGATGGACGTTTTAGATCTTATTGCTCTGTGTTGAGAGACTTGTTCGTGTTGGCACCTTTGTTTCAGTTTTACCATTTATATAAGTATGCCGACAAAAAAAGAAAAGAGTTCCATTTTCAATGTTATTTATTCATGACTCAGTTCACTTGCTCGTCTTGCAACATTGGAGTGTAATGTTATATAAATCTATGTACCTTTCTAAGTGTATAATGTTATATCTGTAGTCATTTTAAAACAAATGGTATAACTCTTTTTTATCTATCTAACCGTGGAGTTTCGTGATCTTTTGCCTGCGAATTTTCACCTGAACTTTGGCCTGCTTTGAGTTTCATACTGCTCTTCTCCTTAAGCATCTCCTTGACCTCTGCTTCTCTCTTATCAACAACTTTGATCAAATCCTTGAAACTCACCGCTCTCAAATTTTTCCCTCTAGAAGAACCAGCCTCCTCGCTTCTCGCTTGTACCTCGTCACTTTCTTCTGGTCTTAACCGTTGGTATTGCCAGAAAACTTTCCAGCAGAAGAGTGTTAGTGCAATGAACCAAACGATGCCACAGATTAGGAAGAGTCCCCAGAAACTCTGTACCGAGATTTGATAGTTTTCTGTGTCTGAAATCTGCATTGTGCACTCGTGGTCATAGGTAAGCCATTTATTGCGGATTTTCTCGAGTTTTCCTTCTTCAGCCAGTTGCAGGATCGCAGTCGACATGTCCACAGCTAGAGGAGAGTCTCTCTGGAACGCCTGCAAGAATCGAGATCCATCTAAGAAAAGTTTTAACAGAGACTGATCTTAAAGAATTGAAGTTGGTTTTACATACAAATCCCCAGCCTGTCCGGGTGAATTCCTGTCCAACTGTACGGAATTTGCAGTTGCTGTTTGATAAAAGAGCTTTTATGTAAGGAAGCTCGTCAACAATGGCTGCCACGCCACCGCCTCTGGGACCACGTTGAAGAGCAGAGAGATATTCTTCTTCATCTCTCAGCGGAATGATTCTTGATGGAGCTATGTTAAGTTCATTGACCAGATATTTCCATGCAAAGGTACCATCTTGGACTCCAATGGGTTCGTTGCTTGCTATTAGAGTGTCCATTCCTTCTATCCGTGATGTTAGCTGTTGAACGGTGAGGATTGAAGTGAGACTGGCTGTGTAGCTTGAGTTGATGATTAGAACCACAAATAACCATACGAGTAGCACAAACCTCCCCAACGTGCTCACCGTGTTCTCCCCTGAAGATCAAGAAAGGAAGAAGAATAAAACAACTTGAGAGCTTGGTAACAAAAGATAAAAACCGAGAGTTTCTTCTCTTTGATGTTTCGTAGGATCCAATTTGTAATCGAGTACATACTGTGAGAGAAGAACATTGTCGAGAAGCTAAACCTGAAACGTTCAAGACCAGAAACAAAGGGGTAAAGCAAAGCTATATAGCGCATATGCTGAAACTTAAAAATATGAGTTTTTGTGTCAATTCCACTAATTGTATGGAACTAACCAGAAGACGGTAATTATTTGACGCCTAGGAGGTCCGCGGAATTCTTCGTTAAAGCGGTGTTCAAGAATCCAAATGACGGCTCCAACAAAGAGAAAAAGGGCACCGGTCACAGCCCACATCTCTATAGTGAATGGCTTCAAGAAGGACCAGGGACTAGACTTGGCCCCCTTCACTGGAGCTACCACCACAAGCCCTGATTCTATAAATGGCTGCGTAAAATCTACAAACTTGGTTCTGTTTGTAATGATGGTAACATCCCCAACAGCTGCATCGAAACTCTAGAGACATAAAACAGAACAAAATATAAGTATACTGTCTCGTGTGCTTGATTGAGTAAATGAAAGAAGTAAGACTCACATTTGCAGCAACTTCACTTATGAGATTATCATATGAAGGATTTTTCTTCCCGTCCCCGTATAGTATATAAGTATGTGGAACGGGATATGGAAGCAGTTGAACCGCAGCTTCAAAGATGTCGATGCAATAGCCTTTAACACCAAGTGGGTTCTTGTCCTTAGAAGCATAGTTTTTGTAGCTCACACGGTTAGGCACCCCGATTTTCAGCGGCTGTCCATTGTCAGGGAAAACCCAACCCCGAGGTGGCTTTATTACTTCCCCTGGCCATATGATCTCATTAAGACGTTGGTTTTTTGCAGATGTGTTTGAAGGCTTAGAGTATAATGTCTCCGGAGGCACGACTGAGAAACCTGTATGATTCGACCAGTACCCAACTCTCTGTGGACCTGTACTTTTTATGTTTAGAATGTCGTAAGCTGGATTAATCCGGTTTTTCTCTGAATTAAACTCGATCTGTCCAGTCAGACCTGTATAATTCATCTCAAGAATGACCTGCAAGAACCTCTCCCCTTCATTGAAAATGTTAAGTTTTGATAGCTTAATGTTGCTATCGTTGGTATTCCTCAAACTTGGATCATTAGAGAAAGTCACTGTATTGCCTTGGCTGAAGAAAACATCGAGAGCATGAGCTACCAACCAAACAGAATCGTAAGCATACAGCGCGTAAGAATTGAAGCCATCATCACTTTTTAAACTCTCCTTGGATCTAAGGTTTTTCCATCTTGCTTTAAACCGTTTTTTGTTGACACTCTCAGGTGTGTAATGACGAAATGCAACCACTCCTTGCAAGAGATCCATAGCTTTGGGATCCAACGGTTCCATGGAATCCAAAGCTGTAAGAAGCCAATCAGTGGCGATCCAGACATAGCCACTTCCCATCATTCCAAGAGATTTGGCGACAGAGAATATGTTCAAACCCGAATCTGGATTCACATGAACAACAAAGATGCGAGATTCCATCAGATTAACAGAAGCCAATAAATCACTGATTGAGCTATTATCTGCACCAGGTGAAAATGCAGCCTTGTATGAGATCTTGGCACGTTTCTTGGCTAAAACATCGCCTAATACAGATATCCCGTTCCTACCATACTCATCATCCACAAAAATCGCAACAATTTCTCTCCATCGGAAATAGGATACAAAATCCGCGATTGCATTCATCTGGAAGTAATCATTCTGTGTGGTACGAAGGAAATAAGGGTACTGAAGCGAAGAAAGAGTCGGGTCCGTTGCTGCAAATGACAAGAAAGGTACATGAAGCTCATTAGCTACATGGGAGATTATGTGACCAATTCCTGAAGATTGTGGGCCAATGGCTGCAACCACCTTGTTCTCCATTAGCTGCAAAGCTACACCATAAGAAAACATATCACCAATCTACTTCCTCATTTCGAAAAAGCAATCCATGTGCAAAACAAAGATTTTAACAAGAGGTTCGTTGGGGCATTTTCACAAGCAACTTTCAGGCATAACTAAACAAGCTGTTCCTTTTAGCTACAGTTTACGAAAAGTACCTCCCATGGTGCCTACAAATCCACTGCAATTTGCGTCCTGGAAGACGATATTAAGCTTGGTGCCCCTGAGAATACTCTGATCAACATTAACGTCTTCAATGGCCACCATAAACGCAAGTTTGGCAGCTCTTCCAATGAAAGAATCATAAGTAAACAGAGCTCCAACGTTAACCGAGCTTGGCAGAGAAGAAGAAGAGTTTCTTGAGAAACTTTCTCTACCAGCTCCTTGTATTGGCAAAACCCACAAAGCAAAAACACATAGGAACATAAGTCCCATGGAAACACCTCTCTTCTTCATGAAAAATCCCATCTTTTAATCGGAAAGGAGTGATTTTTACGGGCTCATGATATACCCCACTTGATGATTCAGAGTTAGAAACAAAAAGAAAAAAATCTCATCGAACAAGCATTAATGACCATTGATTGTAACATCAACATCAAGTAGAAAAATATGGGTCAGACAAAAAATCAAAGACTTAGATTTTTTATATATACGTATGTGTTTGTATATAAATTATCTTGGATTCTGTACCGATCAAGAAACAGAACTGGAACTACCTCAGAGTTCGTTCAGAAAAAAAGGTAGAAAAAAAAAAACCATAGTAATAAATAATTCAATTCAATGAGCATCTGCCATAGATGATGCCAATAAATTAACAGAAACAATAAAATAGCAAATGGTGGGTCAGACAAAACAATTTAGCATACGATAAAAGCTCCAAGTTGGATTAAAAAAAAGTTCATGAGTTCATACTTCATAGAACGTGGCAATGATTAAAAACAAAATTATGGGTACAAAATAGACGTACATATACATACAAAGATCCAACCTTTTTTTTTAAAAAAATGAGAAGTTTATATAATCCAAATTTGGTTGGCTTTTGAAGTTTTGCATTTTCTATTAGTACCAAACCCTTTGCATATTCTATTACTACCAAACCCTATCAGCTAGATCCCCAATGTCAATGCCATATAAGGTATAAATAATCATGGTAATGATCACTGGTTCTTACCAGCTTTTTATGTTGCTTAGTTACAATTCGAATATTGACTTACATGTTAGCTATATCTATTTCATATACATAACAATTTTCTTCCTATAGAGTGGAATCTACTCGTGGTACCTCAGTATCAGCTTGGACTTCCCCAACATGAGATGGGTTGTTATTAGAGTCATCACTCCTTCTGAACATTCTCTTGATAGCTTCTTCTTTCTCATCCACAAACTCCACGAAATCAAACACCAATTCTCTAAGCCGCATCGAAGGAGAAGACGACCAAGAAGCGCGTGGTAACGAGCATGTTCTCTCCATCCGTCGGTATCGCACGAACTGACGTATCATCCTGAGGATAAACACTATAAACGCAGAGACTGTGATTGCAATGCAGACAAGGTACAACCCTTTGAAGCTCTTGAGATGAAGCTGGTTTGGCTCTGGGTTCCAATTTGATTTCTCTGCGCAATTCTTCTTGCATAACCATTTCTTTCGAATCTCTTGCAATTTCCTAGTCTCAGAGAGTTTCAAGATAGCTGTTGACATGTCTATAGCCAGTGGAGAATCTCTCTTAAACGCCTGTTAAACAAAAAACCAAGTTCAAACATTTTCATGATTAATATCTGATTAAGAGAAACGTGAAAAAGATACTTACAAATCCCCAACCACGGTGCATAAAGGGCTCTCCGACAATCTTGAAGCCTGTTCGTTCTGCTAGAAACAGTTCGATGTAAGGGAGCTCGTCGACAATGGCACCCACACCTCCCCAATTGGTTGGCCCCAGCTTTAGAGCCTTTTCATACTCCTCGGTCGAGTCAAGTGGGACCAGTCTAGACCGAGCCATGCCAAGACTGTAGGTTAAATACTCTAAAGTGAAAGTCCCAGCCTGGTACCCGATAGGTACCCTCGCTTGCCCGCAAGCTATCGATGCCGGTAATGGCAGAGGGAAGCTGTTGAACTGTGAGGATTGAGGTGAGGTTCGCTGTGTAGCTCGCGGTTAGAACCATCAATAGGAAGAGCCATACAATCATCACTAGTCTTGCTAGATTGCTTATCGTATCTTCCTCTGTTGACATAACAGGATAAAACAGAAAGATCGCTGATATGAGTTGATAGAAAAATCAAGACAGAGTCGAATATGTATCAGACCGATTCTTAAAATGTAACTCTAAACTTGTGTTTTTTTTCTTGCTTGATGGTTCTTAAAGAAAGATGGATGAGATTAAGGCTACTCACGGTTTCTCTTGAAAAGAGTTGAGAAGCTGAACCTGCAAGGACAAACCAGACTGGATGTTGTCAGATAAAACTCCAAGAATGAACTATCAAGTTCGGACTATTATGAGCTGAACTTACAAGATCATTGTGATGAGTTGTCTTCGGGGTGGCCCTCTGAAATCTTCATTGATACGATGTTCGAGGATCCAGATGACTACGGCAATAACAAGGAATGAAACTAGAACAACACACCATAACCGGATGGTGAAAGGTCTCAGAAAGATCCAAGTTGCGTTATCGTCGTTAGCTGGAATCACCACCACAAGGCCTGTGGAAGCATATGGCTGCGAGAAATCCACTAATTTGGACCGGCTTGGGACTATTGCAATATCTCCAACAGCTGCATCATATACCTGAAAAAAAGGGAAAAACAAGGAATTGCTCAACCATTATCTCAGTAAAAGTTACTCTGGGAATGTTCAGTGATCTCTGAGGCTTTCTGAATCGGTTTTGAACGTTTTAGAAGTGGATACTTACGCCATCCGTGACCATTTGAATAAGCTGGTTGTAATTAGGACTGGAATGACCATTCCCGAATGGCTCAAATATGTAAGGGACATTGTAAGGGACGAACTTCAATGCTTCAGTGAAGACGTCGATGCAAAATCCTTGGATCCGATGGCTACTGTTCTTTTCTTCAGTCACAAACTCAACAAAACTCACTCTTCTCGGGACAACAATCTTCAATGGATCTGCAGAATCTGCAATGACCCAACCACGTGGCTTTTCACGGCCACCACCAGGCCAGGTTATGTCTCCAAGTTTTTCATCAGAAACAAAGCTAGTCTTCTTCTGTGAATGTCGGGTTTTTGGGGCTCCAACCGAAAAGCCTCCATTTTTCGACCAGAAACCCACAGTATGAACACCGCTTTTGTCCACATTGATAATTTCGTAATCACAGCCGATGACGTTCCGGCCAGAACCAAATTGAACTTGACCGGCTATACCAGTGAAGTTCACCTTCAGAAGTTTCTCAAGTAGTAGCTCCCCGCTGTTAAAAAATTTGATTTTCTCCAGGTGCAGTTTAGTTCCGCGTGCATGAAGTAACTTTTCGGAGTAAGAAAATGTTATGTTGATTCCTTCATTCAGCAACTTCTCGATGCCATATGCAATCATCCACACTGTATCATAGGCATGTAATGCATAGGCGTTCACTGATCTGTTGCTCTGTAGTTTATGTGTGAATTGTTGCATCTTTACTGATTCTGGGATGTGTTGACGAAGCCCCACTACTCCTTCAAGACGTTTTAGAGTACCTTTGTCACTCAAAGAAGAATCTAAAGTAACTGAGAGCCAGTCTGTAGCGAGCCACACATATTCATGGGTCATCATCTGCAGTTTTTGGGCTATATCAAAAATTCTGAGCAATGGGTCCGGACCAAAATGAAGAATATAAACTCGAGGACCGATGGACTTGGATTTGTTCAAAGCATCAGTAAGGAATTTTTCATCAGAATGCACTGAGAGCGGCACTTTATAGGAAATTCTGGATCTTTTCTTGTACAGTTCATCATCTAGAGCAGAAACTCCATTTCTTCCGAGCTCATCATCTGAGTAAACTGATATCACCTCTTTCCAACCATAAAAATTGATAAGATCCACAAGGGCAGACATTTGGTGGGCATCATTAGGTGTAGTCCGAAGAAAGAAGGGAAATTGGAGGGCAGAGAGAGTTGGATCAGTTGCTGCAAATGAGACAAGAGGAAAGTGGAGCCCTTTAGCAATATCGGAAATTGTATGAGCAACTGAAGATGAAATTGGACCGATCATAGCCACCACTTCTTTCTCAAGCAATTCAAAAGCTGCAAAACAACAACCACTGAAGCTTAAACCAGGCCCTTAGTGGTAAAACCAAAGTCTTGTTTCCAATTATGCACAGGAAACATATGTTCTAGTAAGTAACAGCTTGTTTGGAGTATGTGGTCTATATTGTTCTATGCATTATTAGCATTTGGAACCCGAAATATGTACCAATAAAAACTGATTTAAACGTAAATTGATGTGCCAATCAGTTCCAATTATCACAAAATGTAAAGTTCTAATGGGGCCATAGATGGGTGTCACAAGTGTTTGAACACAAAAGAAATAGAAGAACAGTCATGGTACCTCCAAAGGACCCACGAAAGACATTGCAGCCAGAGTCCTCCATGAGCAGCAGTAGTTTCGTTCCTTTGAGTACGGTTGGGTCAGCGTTGACATCGGAGACAGCTGCCTCGAGAGCTACTTTTGCAGCTCGTCCGATAACTGAATCAAAAGCGAAAACAGCACCGATGTTCACCACTTGAGGCCTTTGGCAATCCATTGGAACCACCAGAATGACCAGAATCAGTGCCGTAATAGCCACAAATGGGTCAACGCCCAGGCCCATGGAGACAATGCAATCAAAGTAAGGATCAGTTCAAATAGTTTGTGTTAGAACTAGAACCCTCTCTTTTAAATCTAGCGACTCTTCATTCAGCATTGAGGATGATAAGAATAGAGAACTAAGCAAGGTAAAGTTTCCAACTTTGACCTGTAGAATCAATGTGATTACTGATTAGAAGAAAATAGAATAAAGATCTAAGCGAGGAGCAATCACAAGTCGAACCAAATTGATAAATTAAGCTAAAAATTGGCAACATGTGGATATGAAGACTTTTATAAACACAAATTCATCCAGACATGAGAAAAATCTGAAAGGAGAGTTTTTACAAATTCATCGAAATTAACAAGGCAAAACAATACAGAGTAAGAGAACCCGAGAACAGAATCAAAAGACAAGCTTAAGAAAAAAGAAATCAGTACAATAGTGAGAGATTCTCTTTACCTCTTTGAGCAACCTTCAGGTTCTCTCTGCGGAACTTTGCAGGCATAAGTTTAAAAAGGGAAATTTTACGACAAAGCAACGAATTATTAACAAGAGAAGTCAAGAACTAAAAAAAAACCATGATTTGACTGGAGATTCCTTCCTAAAGGAAGAAAAACAAAAACTTGAGAGATCAAATCATTCCCAGAAATTCATCATCTTCTTGTCGGAACAAAATCGAATAGAGAAAATGAAAAACGTGTGACTGAAGTGCTTCTTTTGATTCGAGCTCACAAAGTCCTATCTAGTCTCTATAGTCACAGCAGCTGTTTGTTTGTATTTTTGTTTTCAGTGGGGCCCATTATTATTAGGGCCCTACGTCTAACGGCCCATTTTGTTAAGTAGATTACAATATAAGTATTTAATTGCCATGTGTTAATCATTTCTTGTTTGATAAATATATCATTTTGTTTCTTCTCAAAAAATTATTCTCTTAAGTTAATTTGCCAATGAATGTTAATATACTTCATTTTATTTTTGCTAATTTTCCTAATTAGAAACAAAGATATAAGAGATTTTTTGGTGGCAAAAATACTATTACATAAATGAGATTTTCCACTATTAATTTAATAATCTATGCCATTTATTTTTACTCTTTTTTTTTTACAATTGATAGAAATGTTTTGATGTGTTTCATGTAAATCGGGGATTTTTTAATAAATGAAAACACAATCCAGACAATATAAATTTTTGATTTTATAAAATGGATTATAATTTACTTTGAAAAAAAAAGAAATGGATTATAATTCATATTTTTTTATAAATAATTGTCTACATTAAGGTAATTTTGCAGTAATAAAGTCTTAATTTGCGAAATTTACAATTGTGCCCCTAAATTTTGTGAATGTTTCCAAATTAGGAAGGAAATAAAGAAATAAGGCAACTTTACTCGGCAAGGTTCTCTTATTAAACGCCATTCTCTTTCTTTCTCACAAGTCACACCTATCTCTGCGTCTTTCTCTTTCTCTCTCTGTAGTTGAGAACGCGAACCACTGAAAAACCCGCGAAAAGACTCGAGCAAGAACCAACAATGGCGGAACCCAAGACCAAGTACGATCGTCAACTCAGGTATACTACTCTTTCTCCTCCCAACTCTCTTTCTCTTCTTCTTCTCTGTTTCTTTCATCATTCTTCTTAATTTCGCTCAAATTGTGATGATTCGGGATAAATTCGTAGGATTTGGGGAGAATTAGGCCAATCGGCTCTTGAAAACGCGAGCATCTGTTTGCTCAATTGTAGCCCAACTGGCTCTGAGGCTCTAAAGAATCTTGTTCTAGGTGGAATCGGAAGTATCACCATTGTTGACGGATCTAAAGTAGAAATTGGCGACCTTGGAAACAATTTCATGGGTATCTTTCTCTCTTTTTCATCTTTGTGAAGAAGCAATGCGTTTCTTCTATTTGCTGTGTATTGACATTTCTTGATGATGTTCAGTGGATGCGAAGAGCGTTGGTCAGTCAAAAGCCAAAACTGTCTGTGGCTTTCTTCAGGAGATTAACGATGCTGTTAAAGCAAACTTTGTTGAGGAGAATCCAGACACATTGATTTCGACTGACCCATCTTTCTTCTCTCAGTTCACTCTAGTTATCGCCACTCAGGTACTTTAAACTGCTCGATACATTTGCACCTATGATCAGTTCTTTAGGATTAGTAAGCCAGAGCGTTGCCTTATTAGTTTGCCATGTGTTGATTGTAGCTAGTGGAAGATTCAATGGTGAAATTAGATAAAATCTGCCGGGAAGCAAATGTCCTGTTGGTTTTGGCTCGCTCCTATGGCCTTACTGGGTTTGTTCGTATCTGTGTAAAGGTAATATTATTGTAGTTGAGTGCTTTGTCACTTGTCATGGTATGTCTGCTAACTGATAAGTCATGTCCGCTCTTTCCTATCAGGAACATACCGTTATCGAGTCAAAGCCCGATCATTCTCTTGATGATCTCCGCTTGAATAATCCATGGCCTGAACTGAAGAGGTACTCTGCTTCAATCCTCTCATTCATTATGTGTTCTTGGCATCCTTTAAACTTGTGTTACAAATTACTTTTAATCTACACAAACTTACCAACTTGCAACCAGTTGAAAGAAAATCTTATTTATTCAATGATCTGCAGGTATGTGGAGTCCATTGATCTAAATGTAGAAGAACCCGCTGCCCATAAGCACATTCCTTACGTCGTCATTTTAGTCAAGGTGGCTGAAGAATGGGCTCAAACCCATAGCAGCAACCTTCCATCAACCAGGGAAGAGAAAAATGAGTTTAAGGTATCCTTACTTCTTGTTAATCAGCAAACAGTTATTAAACTTTATTTGTCTTGTGATTCCTTGTATTTATCTCTATTTCTCCTTGAAATTTTAGGATTTAGTTAAGTCCAAGATGGCATCAACGGATGAAGATAATTACAAAGAAGCCATTGTAGCCGCTTTCAAAGTTTTTGCTCCTAGAGGAATCAGTAAGTATACACCTCGTCTGGCGTCGGTGGAAACTGGACTTTTAAATATATCCTTTATGTACTATAGATGCTGGAAATAATGAAATTGGTTGGACAATGGGAAAAACTGCAACAAGAAACTAATGTACAACTAACAGATCAGTTAATATTGGAGTTCAAAATATGAAGTCAGTTTTCACATTGATCTAAACATGTTTTCTTTTTCTCCAGGCCAAGAGATTCAAGACATTATTCATGATAGTTGTGCTGAAGTTGGCTCAAATTCCTCAGATTTTTGGGTAATGGTAGCAGCACTCAAGGTTCGTAACTTTCATATTGTTATTTCAAACATGGAAGGAGTTGCTTTTTTTGGGGTTTGTTGGGGTTTTTAGTATATTTGATTGTTTCTTTGACCCATGTTAGCTTTTTTTCTGCTTCCCATCAACATTCATGTTAACCCTACTGATCAACATTCATCTACAGGAGTTTATTTCAAATGAAGGTGATGGGGAGCCACCACTTGAAGGTTCCATGCCTGATATGATATCTTCCACAGAGTTAGTTCTCCTGTTCTTTCTTTCGTTTCAGGGGAGGGATAAAATTCGTCCATAACCTTTATCAGATTACTATATAGCTTTCTTGTTTCTTTTGCAGGCACTACATCAATTTGCAAAAACTCTACCATTCCAAAGCTGAAGCTGATTTTCTTTCCATGGAGCAGAGAGTAAAAAGCATTCTAGTTAAAGTTGGTCAGGATCCAAGTAGCATCCCAAAACCTACTATCAAGAGCTTCTGCAAGAATGCAAGAAAACTTAAAGTGAGAATGCTGGAATTTCTTACAATTTCATGTGTACTGCATCATTAAAACCGATTGTGCGTTTTTGAATAATGTATAATCACTGGGATATGTGCCTTGTAGGTCTGCAGATATCGAACGATAGAGGACGAGTTCAAAAACCCTTCTGCAACAGAACTACATAAGTACTTGGCTGATGAGGATTACAGGTGCGAATGTCTTCGTCGAGATTGATTCTTTTATAGAGACTCTGATGAAAAAAAATATTGCGGGAGTATATTTGTGTGGAGGCATGTTGCTGTTAGCTCTTAAGGCTCTTACCCACTTTTCTGTTTACTCCTCTTGCAGTAGCGCAATTGGATTTTATATTCTTCTTAGAGCTGTTGATAGATTTGCTGCGACCTATAAGAAGTTTCCTGGACAGTTTGATGGGTATGAGAACACATTCTGGCAAACGTTGATTGTATCCTGAACAAATTTGGCATTGTTAGGCCATTAACATGTCTCTTTTCTCATAGATCAACTGATGACGACGAATCCCAGTTAAAGACTATTGCCCTGAGTCTTCTTAGCGAGATGGGTTGTGACGGCTATGTACTTAAGGAAGAACTTTATAGTGAGATGTGTAGATTTGGTGCTGCAGAGATTCATGTGGTTACTGCTTTCATAGGAGGAGTCGCATCTCAAGAAGTGATCAAGGTTCGTTTCATATCCCTGTGTCTCTCAAAATGGTCACTGCACACTATCAAATGTATTGGGATTGTGAAACTAAACATTAACCTCTTTTATGGTTTGCCAATGTTTGTAGCTTATCACGAAGCAGTTTGTTCCCATGCTAGGAACTTTCATCTTCAACGGCATTGATCACAAGTCTCAGTCTTTGAAATTATAGAAGATTCTTAGACACTGGCGGCTGCAGAAGAACTCCAACATATCTTTTATCCTCACTTCAAGTTGAAAACTTAACCTTTTTTGGAGTTTTTATTCTGCCATACACCAGACTAACTAGATATAATTCTTCGTAGAAACAGTTTCGAATTCATCATTGTATATTTATTGATTTTTGAGCCGCGGTTCAAAACCGAAGAGCTCTTGTTAAGTGATGGGCATAGAGCCATTTTTGTATGACTTTGGTAAAACTAAATTCTTTTGTCTTTTCAAAATAAAGGCACAGACTGCAAATTATAAAAGATTCAGACTTTTGACTAAACCAAAGTACAGAGGTCTACAGAACAATACAACAACAAACCACTGATGCGGTTGGGGGACTACAAATTAACCAATCCAAACTCGTTTCTTAGATGATGACAATCCAAAATTGGTGAAACAATAGAGGTGAAACAGAAACAGACAAAGCTACTCGGTGGAGAGTCTCTTTGTGGGATTGTAAACGCTGAATTCTCCAAAGTCTCTTCGGCCACTAGCAACAAAAAAATCAAACCCTAGTAAAGAACAAGGTCCAGACATTCACTTCAGTTAATTCAAAGACTTTTGGTTCTCTAACACCAAAGTATAACGTTTACCTGTGACTAACATTCCAACCACCAGGTAAATGGCGGGGATGAACAGCATCAACAAACACTTTTCTCCACCTTTGACAGAAATCACGTACACCATCCTCTCCATGTTCCCTTAAAAGATATTCTACAATCTGTTTCCCGTGCGGTCCATGTCCTAACAAAGAGAGTTTGGAGTTTTGTTGGTGCAACATATTCCCATTACATTGAGTATCATTTAGCTCTGTAGCTCCATCTCCTTCACTTGTACCATCACCACTATCATCAGCAACTGTGCTCCTTTCCACATTCATAATTTTCTCAGAATCTGTAGGAGCCTCCCCATCATTTTTTTCATCTAAAGATTCAAAATTGTTTGCATCTATATTTGAAGATATACCACGGATCATTATATATTACACTTTATCAACAAATTCAACTTTCAATGTACCTTAACCAATGCTTATTATATAGTTACCTTCTTGTTTGTCCATACCAGCAACCTCTGCAGAATGTTTGACGGAGACTCCTTTCTTTCTTTCGAGTTTTCTTCTTTCGTGAGGGCTCAATCCGATGAGTAGAGCTTTTTCCAAATCTTCTTCAGATATGTCTCGTCCACCGTAATACATCTTGACAGTCTATATTCACAATCCAAAAGAAAGTATCAATAACAGAATAATTGGCTCAAATCAATTTCTTGAAAGTTGAAATAGTTAGATGATCACATCACCTGCAACAATTCCTCACGGCGACTTGATGGCATTCTATTCCCATGTCGCAAGAGCGCCATTGCAGCTGATCTAAGATGTAATGGAGAGACACCTGCATCCTCAGAGTTACCCGTTGATTCATCCTCCACTAAAGAAGACGTCCCTTGTGCTTCTTTTGAATCGAGTACTCTACGAACAAAAAGAGGAATTCCAAATTCCGTAGCGATTTTTTTCTTGTACCTCTCTGCAGCAGCATGTGCAACTTCATGACAATCCACACAAAGAAGAACAATGTCATGAGATCTATGACTTTTTAGGTGCTCGGGAAAATGAACTCTATAGCACGACGGTATTATCCGGTAACGGAGATAATGCTTCCCTTCCCCACACCCAACACATATATTCCTCTTGGTCTGGATATAAAAATCATTTCCCTCATCTTCTGGACGTCCTTTGGGCTCAAACAAAAGCATTATCGCAGGTGGATTCTCTTCAACTAGCTTCGCAAGTCCACGATTCAGATACCTGTAAGATATTACATTGATATAAAAATTAGAGAGGAGATTCTTAAATCAAAATAACTGAGGAAGGACAGATACTACAGTAGATCATCATCTACCATTCAAGTTTTCTTTTATCGCAATAACATAGCAACCGTCCATCATTTGCGTATATTCTACAGTTATGATAAACGGGAGCCTTGCAGGAAAATTTCTTGACAAAAAGCTCTCGCGATGCCTTCCGAGTGAATTGCTGCTTGAAGTTCCTATGTCCATTTTGCTTGGGAGCAGAGTGGCCACTTAGCTTTGTCTTGAAGTTTACCAAAAGGGAATAGTTGAAGACAGAGATTGGACATGTTCCATTTGTGCCCAAGCATTTCGTAAGAACCACCGGTAAGATATCATCCAGCTTAGCCAACTTTTCCAGAATCATTTCATATATGTCATCCAAATGACTACAAATAACAGGATATGGAGACTGAACTGAGGAACTCGAGCTCGGAGAAGACTCTGTAGCCAAATCAGTATGAGCTATTGTGTCATATATCTCTTCGGTTGTAGTTGGTTGCTTACAAGCAAGGGCAACTATAGCTTGGTCAGATAACACATATCGAGTACTTTCATCATGAATTCGTGCCTGCAAAAAAAAAAAATCATGTTGAATGAAATTACGACAAGGAAAATGTCTTGCAGCGTCAACATTTTGAACTTGGAATAATTAAAAAAGAAAAAAACAGGAGAATCAACTTACCATTAAATCTCTCCATGCACAAAGTTTCCTAACAAGCTCCTGAAACGAAAATATGAACATCAACAAAAAGTTTTGATATATAATTGAGTAAAGATAATGAGGTGATGGGTAGGCATACTTCTGCGTTCAAGTAGACGGTAGAATTATCTCCGTGTCCGTTTAAATGCCGATAAATTATCGAGGAAGCAGCAGCACTCCCAGGAAAATCTTCGGTTTCTTTCATGTACAATTGCAAACAGGTCATGTTTGACCGCCTACTAGCCTCGAGAAGAAAGTGGAATCTGTCATTGGGGCTGGATGAATCTTCTGATACATTTCATATTTTAGAACTTCATTGCAAGGATAAAAAAATATCGCAAACATTGATGCCGGGTTAGCCCTAAAATGTTTCTCCATAGCTAAGATGCCTACCAGTGGCTAGTTGTTTGAGTTCAGCAGTCAAACTATCTGCAATATAGAGCAGATAGTGTGCATCTGTTCTAGCATATTGCACCATCTCTTTGGACAGAGGACGTTGTCTCCAATCTTCACGCTTCAGTGAAAATATCAAAGCAAGAGAGTTCAAGTCACCGAGTCAAGCAAGCTTAGCACAGAAAAGAATAAGGCATGGCTAAGAGACTAATTTAATGTTAAAGGACTCACCTGCAGCAATTTGTTAGTAGCCACTCCACATACTGTCTCAAGTAAGTATGCCAGTGACCGTTGAGGCTTTGACAACACCTCACATGCCTGATTTATTGCAATTTAGTAAACCCATTTTAGAATACTACAACACCAACCATATTCACACTTCATTCACAATAATAAAGAACACATTTTTCTAAATGGCGAGTTAACAGAACACACAAATTCTTGTATGCTCACTCAATCCAAACGGCTTTCACAAAAAGCTTAAAATTTAGAGTAGGATATAGACATGTATACCTTGGCAGTATCAAACATATTAACAACATATATATGGAAGTCTCTCTGAAGCCAGAGAACATCGTTGTCAGCCCCGTGAAACACCTAGAAGCACAATCACAAATTAATGTCCGAAAAAATCCACATAGAAACTTGGGGGATTAAATCATTTTATCAGAAACATAAAAATTATTCCAAAATATTAAAAATTTGAAACAATCAAGTTACAAGATTCAAACATTAAACATCTTCATCAAATAATTTACCTTGCAAATATTAGGATCAGAGAAAACAGGACGCAGAATACTCATTACATCATGCAACGCAATTGTGTCTACCAAAAAGTCTTTCTCATGTGTAGAAATCTGCAAGTATCACAGAAAAATCAAAATCCTAACTTCAAAGGTAAAACAAAGTACAACAATTCTTACCTGAATTAGAGCAGTGAAACCAAGAAACGACCGCAAACTATGTTGCTCAGTATCAACCGCAAAAACTCTTTCTTTTGCCAATATTTCTGCAAGTTCTTGTAACTGCAACTCCGTCTCAACCCACACATATGAATCACTCAATTCCAATGAATACTCTCCTCTCAAAAATCCAAATTCAATCTTAGGATTCTCTAACAAAACAGTGATCTCATTTTCATATGGATGACCATTTGAAGATTTCTCTGCATTAGTTTCAAATATAAAACATTACAAATCAAAATGCACAATCATAAACATTATAAAGAATTCAAAACTTGAGATATTGAATCCCACCTAAGGAAGAAGAAGAATCATCGAGCTTCAAGTGTTTGAATCCAGAATAAGAGTTATCAGCAAAAACACGTTTGAAACCAAACTGCGACTTCAGCTCAGAATGCAGATAACACGAGCTTAGAGAAGAAGATGTCTGCTTCTTCCTGTGGCGGCGGCGATACTCCGCCACGAACAGAACTGTCACCGCCACCAGAGAAGCTACGGTAATTACGATTTTGGCCTTTTCTCTGACCTCCATGTTTTTTTTCTTCAAAAAACTGTTCGTTAGTGTTCCCTGAGAAAATCTGCGGCACCTCCGTCTCTCGTTGACGACGGCGGCGAAGGCGCCATGAAGATCTTAACACGTGTCTTATTTATAAACCCGTCAAGATCCTGACACGTGTTTTAACTATGGACTTAAACAGGCCCATTTAAAAGTTTAGACATAAATTTGGCTTCCTTGGCCCAAAAAACCTCAAATGTCTTTGAAGCATATTAAAATTTCAACGACACATTGTTACTTTGTTAGTCGTTGTAGTATTTTTTTTTTTTCACTTGTTGTATTATTTATAGCAGAGAATTGAATATTTTGTATGGTGTGTGATATGATTGATTGACCTAATGTTTACATGACGTATATTCCAAGAAGTCCACCTACAGTTTCAACCATAAACGTAATTTAAAAAGGCAATTAAAATTTAAAACTATGCTAAATATCCAAATCCAAAAAGAGCTTTCCACTAAGAAATATATGATTTAAAATATCAACATGTTAAGTCAGATATTGAAAGATGTATATACGACAAAAAAATTGTACTAATTGACAAAGAATGCATAATATTAAAGACTGTTTAAGGGATTTGGGGCCATTGAGAGTGAGAGATGAGTGTGAGGGTTTATGGCAAGTTTTGGGCCTCACCATGCTATTCTTTATTGATTACACTATGGAGTATGGTCTAATATTTAATCGAGACAAAAATATTGAAGTTGTGAATAATTTATAAATAAATAATATTAAATCGTTGTCGCAGATAATAAGTAATGATCTAGTCTCATGCTGCATTTATCAATGCCCACTACCGTCACTAGAAATTTCAGTATTTACGTCCAAATCTTGGACTCCAAACCTATGTGGTCAGCGATACGAAGGAAGTAAAATTTTCTAGGTAAGAGATTTTTTTTTTGTCTGGTATCTCTCGGTAAGAGTTTTAAAACAAGTAAGATTAACGTTTAAGTCATCACATCATTGTTGAGAAAACTTGGCAAAAAGGTAGTTCAAAATAAAGTAAAGTTTATAATTTGTCAAATGAGTAGTTGTTTTAATTTATATATTAATTTGTAAAATGGCCTCTTAATAATAATTTAGTGGTCTCTTAATAATTTATGAAATTACAACAACAACAAAAGCTGAAAATCGAAGAGCCGAGCCCTACCAAATTTTGTTTGGTTTCCATCAATATAATACAGGTATTAACTAACTATTTGACAGAAAAAAAAAATTTATTTAAACAACATGGTACGTAATTTTATACTGTATAATGTAGTATGAAAATGGGGGCTCGATAGAAACAGCGAATTTATTTCATGATCGTTTTTGGTTCTCTAAAAGCGTGGCACATCTAATAAGAATCAAATCTTTAACAACTTTGTTTCATCTTTACGTTTCAAATGACTCCCCGAGACAAAATTGATCCGATTTCCTATTTCACACTTATGACTTTGATTATTCTCGTACGTACAACTTTAATAAAAATGACTGAATGATAAAAGACTAGTCGACTATCGTTAATAATATTTCCACCATGCAGATTTTTAATTATTTCCACACCATCGATCCCCCCACCAGGATTCAAGTTTGACTAAGACCTTCTCGGGAGAATTATACCTACAAAAAAGCTTCTCGATACAAAGATAAAATTAATGCATAATGAATGAGATATCTTAATTAGGCCTACGAATGTTCGTGCTAAATTAAAACTGAAAACCTAATCTTGTTAATTACGGTACAATATGATTTTAGTTCTACTTTCTGCTCGTCTTTTTTTAGAAAATCGAATTCTCAAATTGATAATTTTAAGTTTCCTCGAGTATTATTAAACAATATGCGCCTGTACCTATTTTAAAAAATATAAACTCACCATCAAATGTAGAAATATGTTAGCTATCGTAACACACACAAAAGAAAATTGCGGTTAGAAAATAATTAGAAGCTCATATACTCAAATCAAAAATACCTTTTGACAAAGGCGTATTAACAAGAACCCGGCATATATACATATGGAGATGGCAGCTTTAGGTTCGTTCGAAGACCGGAGAGACCAAACCAAACATATAAATTAGGTTGTTCCTAATTTTAAAAAAGTACAAAGTCTCCTCTCTTACAAGCAAAGCACCTACACCTAACCCTTTTAGGCTCTTACTTACTGAAGTTAACCTATATTGACCGGCTTAATCGAAATCAAGCTAATATTTGGTTCTTGTAAATTTGGGATAAATTTTCTACCATTATAATATAATTTGTAAGGTGAAACGAAGTATTTTGACTTAGTTGGGTTTTGTTTAGTGTTCACTCGCGTGGTAACTTGCACAATCAACCCGGTTATAACTTGATAGTCGAAACCGGGTTATATATATCATTGCAAAACGTGCGCCGGTTAAAGCTCTTAACCTCTCTTTCAAAAAAAAAAAAAAAAAAAAAAAATATCATTGCAAAAAAAAAAAAACGTACAATGCAGTATGATTTAACCAAATTGACAGCCTGTGCAGTTGGTGCGCATGTACGTTGTATTTACTTCAATGACACTCTTTTTTTTTTCTGAATTATTGGTGCATGTGTATTTGTAGATAAATACATGTATAATTTGCATGCACATGTTAATCCATATGTAACGTAACTCACATAGTTACTGCATCACTTTTTGGTATGCCATTCTAAAATATTTGATTAAAAGTTATTCATTCGTAAATAATATAATATATATTTAGATACACACACACATTACCAATTGATTGGGTTGTGGATGGTGACCCAACTTTGTTTTGTAGTATATATTAAATGTAAAATTTCATGCTACATTATATACAAATAAATATAAGTGCAGAAAAAAAAAAAAAAAAGCCTGAAAGATATTTGGGGATTCCATAGGCTCCGGAAAACACTTATCAAGGAGAGATCTGAAGCCCTTTTTGTTATTACAAAATAAATTTGGATAACATTGATCCAATCAAATTCATTTTTCCGTCGGCTTGTTTATATAAGTAAAATTTGAACTGACTCCTTGAAACAGATGCCATGACTCATGAGCACAAGCATCAATGGACTATATCCCATTTTATTTTAAAAAATTTCAACTACATTTCTTTAAAACTACTTCAGAAATGTCCAAAAAAATACTACTGCCTAAAAGAATAACTTATATATTGATCAAAATTTTCAGAAATTAATGAATGTGGCATGTAATGTCATGTCATGTAACCTCTCGTTGTACAACGTATGTGTGTTCCCTGGCTAGGACATATATCCCATAAAATATATAAATGATACAAAAGATTACAAAATTAAAGTGCCATCATGCATTCTTGGAGATGTCACCTTGTTTTTTTTTTTTTTTTATATGCTTGATCGGCTGATCCGGTCAGTCCTGAGGAAATGCATAAAAAATGCTATCATGTGGACTCGTCGCCAATACCTAGTTGTTGGACTACCACACTGCCTAACTCCGAGTTTGGAATGCTTTCCGATTAATGCCCGGAGGTATCCAGTTAGGCTAATCCCGGATACCATGTGAATTGTTTGGGCCAAAGTCTAAGCCCAAACTTTCTACACAAATGTGATTTTTGTTTTCAGGGTAAATCGAACATGAGTTAGTTCCTTCCAACATTTCCCTAATTCTTCCTTACCACTAGATCACAGTCGTGTGGGCCTCGTTGTTTTATTGTTTGTGTTAGTTTTTCATAGGTTCCATCTATTTATTTTCTAATGTCGAAAACGAATCTCAGATCTATATAGATAAGTTTATACATTCTACATTTTATTTACCGCGATGAATAAAAGTAACGCTTGAATGGTTATCTATCAATCAAACAAAAGAACAAAATGGAAAGACGAAGCAATTCAACTAAAACAACATAGTAATAAATAGATAATCGTTATGTATTTTTACTTCTATCTCTTATTGAAAACGGTACCACTATATATTCTTACACTGTCATTTTTTTTACGATTTTTTACAATTCAAATAAATGACCATAAAATTTCCTAGAATTGAAAAATTATAGCAACTTTAGTATGCAATAAAAAATGTAAAACTTAAACAACCTCAGAAAAAATGATCGATGATGGATGTATATAATAACGACTTCCAAAACAGACCGAACTATTTGATAATGAGCTCAAGACTCAAGTCATGTGGTATTGTTTTTGGACACAATTTACACAAAGTGAGCAAAAATCATAGTTCTAAACATCATGATGACACGTGGATGAAGCTCGTGACGTTGGATCCACATGCTCTAACTTTAACGCAGTACCACGTGACGGAAAACGGAAAAGCGTCACATGATTGAGCAGGATCTAATGAACTGACTATCCAATCAGATAGCAACACCTGTCAAATGGCAGAACCTTATCACGTGTACTTTATTCCGACCGTCCCTCCTCGCAAGTGCCCCTCCCGTCACTCCGTCAGTACCGCTTTTCTCTTCTCTAACTTTTTTTGTTCAATGTTTCGACTCCTAGAGATTACTATACATTTATGCTTCTTCTTGTTTTGGTTTTTAAGCGATATTGTTCATATCTGGCTAAACTGAGTGAGGATTAGATCAATTTAAAATCTAAGTTTGATCTATCATCGTGATTCGTGATGATGATTTGGTGATGTTACAAAAATGAAAACTGTCTATAAACTACCCAACTAAAAGCTATGCAAACGACTTGGGAATGCATGTGGGAGTAGTTTGCTTATAACTAAATTTCATTGGCTTAGACGCTTTATGTCATGTGTCACATGTTTATACTATTATTTCTCCACTAAGAAATTATTTGTTTTCGTCAAATAGATGGGAACAATCATTTTAATGCCACCTCAATGATTGTTTCTACGTACGGCTAAAATGTGATCATTTGCACTGTATATATACATGTGTTTGAACTGATACATATTACATAGACCACTTATAAACTTTCTTTCCATAGGCAAATTTATTTTGAGTTTATTAGCCATCACAGTCTCCCAACTTCATATGGATATATATCTTATCTCGAATTAATAATATGGAAGGTATCAATCTTATATATAGTTTTTAATAAGTTGTTAGAAAATAATTCATAAATTCTTTATCCAATCAACATAACAAAAGAAAACAATTAGGTTACCAACAAAGAAGATACCAGAAAAATATAAATAGAAAATAAGCGAACGAGATTCTTATACATGTTCGTTTCTTTTTTTTTGGTCAACTTCCTCTTAGTTTTTCTTTTCTTATATTCAGTTCATTTTCATATATCTTCTCTTTATTTGCTCATGTGAATTTCAAATAGTTTTTTTTTATAGTTAATTAAAAGGGTCTTTTGCAAAAGTAGCCATTTTGGAAGAAGTAATTAAATTTATAGCACCATAATCTGAGAAATGAAGTAAGTAACACAATTGGTAGCTGAAAAGTCTAGTTTGTCCTTCTCATTTGTTGTAGTCGGACGCGCCTGAAACCAATGTAGAAGAGAGTGACGTGGATGCATTTTTGTAGCCTAACAATTTTACTAGCACCTCAACTCAAAAATATTAATAAAGGAAAAGCTGAAGGAGGAATAAAATTGGCATATATGCATCGTTTGTATCGTAAATTGGGACGTTGGTTTTACGTATGTAAAAAAAAAAAAATTTGGGACGTTGTGTACTTGTGGGGCTTCGCTTGCGTCAACAAAAGGCATCCGACAGTGGTGGTAAAGGAGAAGATTAGGGTTATGGTGGGTTAGGTTTTGGTGATTGAATTAATGGTTAAAAGAGCTCCTTTGATCGTTTTGAGTAAAACGTTTTGTCTACATAGAACACAAAATGAAATAGTATAGAACAAAAACATTATATTTTGTATTTCTATATCAAACTATTAAAAATCATTCAATCATACTAAAACACACATATTATTTTGCTATTTCATATGGTTTCTACCAACAAAAATAAAATAGACTAATTTGTGTTCTATAATCTATATAATACAACAAAATCTAAGATAATAAGCCAAACAAACTTCACAAAATACAGAAGTAATGTTTGTGTGGACTATACTATATACGTTGTACTATTTGTTTTGATTAAGTACCACTTACATTATTAATATGTTTCTAGTTGGCGACAACACAAATTTCTGGCGAGCTTAGAGGATGTAAAGGCATTAATTCGTACATAGAAGTGACAGGATCTGTCCCAAGCCAAGTCCAATGAAGTCTTCTTCGTCTTATTTATCTCATTGAAATTGAAACCCATTACCATTGCAGAAGATGCTGAGATTCTCCTTGACGTGGAAAGGCAATTTTCTCGGTGAATGTTCTATGTGATTTTGGAGAGCTTAACATGAAATTAGAGAGCTTGGCAATTTCAATAACTTAAGCTGAAGCACCGAACCCAAGAATACGAAGCTAACTTCTTATAATCTAACCGATTTACCAGGAACCCTCAAAGGAAATCGAAAAAATGAGAAAGAGCAGGAGCTGGGAACCTGGGACTTGGGGAGAATAATGGAGGCGATGAGAGAGATGAGCTGTGACGATGAAGAGCAGGAGAGACAGAGCTAGAGAAGCTAAGAAGAGACGAGGACGAGAAGCCATAAGCCGTAAATAGTGATGAACTCATTTCAGACCACAGATGCATCTTGATGTCAAAATTGGGGCCTCGATTTCGATTTCCCAGAGAAACACAAAAAAGCAAAACCTAGAACCTAAAATGAATCTCACCGAAAAGCAATTAAGGGACTGAAATCGGAAAACAAAAACAAGCAAAGAGGTCGGCGCCAAACCTAAAAAGTCACGTCGGGACTTCACTCGGCATAGAGAGAAGAGAGAAGAGAGAAGAGAGAACAGAGAAGAGCGTGCAACTCACACACAGGGCAAAATTGGGATTAATACACAAAATATAGAGAATATTAACCTTCTTTTTTTTGGTGTTACTTTCTTAATTATAGTTTTTTTTTGCGTTAGTTTTGCAAATTTCCCCAATTAAAAAGTAGTTGGAACCAATATAATTACAATCAAATGCTGCCGACGTGTTTGTCCTAAGAAAAAGACAAAGTCAGTCGTTTCACGTCACTTATTTTGTCAACAATAAATCAATTACTGTTAACTCAATATTGTTATAGTCACGTAGAAACCTGCAATAGTCAAATAATAATCACTTTTTCGGATAACAAACTGGATCGAATAACTAAGGTCCTCTTTTCGTCTCCTATACTTTTTTTTTTTTTTTTTTTTTTTTTTTTTTTTTTTTGGACAAATACTTTTTCTTTAATATTGAAATTATGTATGTCTCCCTAATTAACCCCCGAACCCAGAGCCTTCAGGCTATAAATGAAATGATATTTTCATGGTGTAATTGTGTAAGTAATATATTTCTTGTGAATAAAAAAGTTTAGTTGAATAACGAATCCTATCAATGTGTGTGCCTAAGAAGATCATGTGTTATCTGCTGAGAAAAGCTCAGGACCACCATGGCACCATGCCCTTTTCATCAACCGCCTTACTTGTCCTTTATTCTGTCAACCTCTACGTTACACCACAAAGGAAAATTCTCGAAATGTAGATTTATAGATATTTTGTTTTTTCATGTCGCAAAAATATATGTATATTTAATTCTCTCTTTGAGACTTATGATAATGGGATGATAATCATATTGGTATACTATATAATATTGACAACAGTATGAAAACCACCAGAAAGGCAAAAGGCAGAAATTTGGAAATGTTATAGATTTCTAGCACGAATTAGTACACATCATTATCTTAGTGGTGTCAGATTTGGTGTCCTAACATCGCATTTGTTACTTCTATGTATTGTTATTAAATAATTTCCAATCAATGAATATTAATCTTTATATATAACTATATCAATCTCATACGCATGTTTTTACAATATATAGTTTTAAATTTATAGAATATATTTTTAATTATCTTGAAAATTTTTAGTTTGGAAATAGAGTAAAACATGTATAATTTATTTAAAAAATAAATACAAATGTGTTTTTCATTATGCACCTTCAAAAAATAACAGAGCACCAATTATAAATTGAATTTACCTTTTAAAAACACATTAAACATTTGATTAGAAAGAAAACTCTTTGTTAGAAAAGTTAAATCTGAAAACTTGAAAAATTTAGGTAGATAGATGTCTTTGAAAATATGAGTCATAAAGACAAGAAATAAGAAAGACATCTAATGTGATTAAATTAAAGAAAAAGACATACACAATTGTTTTCAAAATTACACATCATAATAAAAACGGTATTGACAGGGATAGTTGGGTAAATTCCAAGAAATGTCAGCCTAGAGTTGGTATAAGTAAACCGGAACGGTTAAGAGTTCGTTCTTATTTCTTCTTCTTCCTTCTCTTCAACGACCCCTTGTCTTCCACTCTTACGTACCCTGCGTCGAAAATACAGAGCCAGAGAAAGAGAGAGAGACCAAGAATCTCTTTAACACCATCTTTAATTAAACTACGAAAACGCCAGAGCACAACTTATCTTTCAATTTCTCGTGAAAAATCTCAGCTTTTTGGTTTCGGAAGTTCTGAAGATTGATGAGCTACTTATTTTTGCTGTATCTGATTATTACCTAATTTAGAGTTTTGATTCGTCTTATGGAGTTTATTCGATTGAATTAGATACTTTGATTCCTGGGGAATCTTTATTCTTCCTCTGGTTGTTGAAGAGAAAAATAATGTCGACGAAGATCAAAGGAGAGCTTTTTTCCTCCAGAAGCTTAATATCTAAGAAATGGACATTTTTACTCTGCTTTGGGAGCTTCTGCTTTGGGATACTCTTCACCGATAGGTTAAAAATCTTGACTTTTGAATTTTTCCAGCTGGTTTTGATTTTGTTCTTCTTTGTTTTACATGTTCTTCTTTATGGTTTGTTTCTTCAGAGATTCATCGAGCCGTTAAACTAAATTTCGTATTTTTATTTTATTTAACAATTTGCTTTCTGGGATTTCACTTTTTTCAATCAATGAGATTCGATTAAAGTTAGTTCTACTCTGTTTCTTGAGCCTACGTTACGTAATTTCTACTTTGGTCTGTCGATTTGTAATGAAGATCATTGCTGGTGACTATTGGTATAACCATATTAATGCAATTAAATGAAACTTCATCACTCACATCACATGATAATTTTAACTTCTGGATTAAGCTATGAGACATGATTTTGGTGTCAACGACTCTTTGTCTTAAAACTTATGAAACTCTCTGTTACAGGATGTGGATTATTCCAGAGTCTAAAGACATGGCTCGACCATCTGTAAGTACAGAAGCTGAAAGGCTGAAACTGATCTCTGAGGGCTGTGATCCGAAAAATGTGAGTGTAATGTGTTTCTTGTTCGATTCATTTTAGTCAATTTTGGTTGAGTTTGTATTAATGATCTGATTGGATTTCTTTTTTAGCTCTACCAGAAAGAAGTAAATCGTGATCCTCAAGCTTTGTTTGGAGAAGTTTCCAAGACTCATAATGCTATACAGTAAGATTAATCTTTCATCTGTAGTGATCCAAATTCAGAATCTTTTAAAACTTTTCGGGTTTCAAAACGTTTTTGTTTAACTTCAGGACATTGGATAAGACCATTTCAAGTTTAGAGATGGAGTTAGCTGCAGCAAGATCAGCACAGGAGTCTTTGATAAACGGTGCTCCTATATCGAATGATTTGGAGAAGAAGCAAATACCAGGCAAAAGGCGATATTTGATGGTTGTGGGGATTAATACTGCTTTTAGTAGCCGAAAGAGAAGAGATTCTGTCCGAACAACTTGGATGCCTTCAGGTTCCAACACCACTTTCTAGCTTCATTATCTTCAAGATTGATATGATATCACTATCTTCCTTGATGCTTGTAGGTGAGAAAAGAAAGAAGTTGGAAGAAGAGAAGGGAATTATTATACGGTTTGTGATTGGTCATAGGTGAGAGTTTGAATCTCTTAGTATAATGTCAGATATAGAATCAAGCCAATATGTTCTTACATAGTTTCTGAGAAGAGTCACACTCAGTGTTCTCTGCATATCTGATCTTATTTGTCACTGGTTCTTTAGTGCCACGGCTGGCGGAATTCTAGACCGATCCATTGAAGCAGAGGACAAGAAGCATGGAGATTTCTTGAGATTGGTATTTTTTCCTCAAGTTAACTTGCGCTTTTGGTGTCCAAAGCCTTCAATGTTAGTTTCTCATCTTTATTTATGACTCTCTGCTGCTTTCACAGGACCATGTTGAAGGATACCTTGAGTTATCAGGCAAAACGAAAACATATTTTTCTACCGCGGTTTCAAAGTGGGATGCAGAATTCTATGTCAAAGTAGATGATGATGTTCATGTAAATATCGGTAAGCTCCACATTCTTCCATCCGATTATGTAAAAGTTTAATTCAGTTTGTATCTCCTAGTTTGTGTGTTGCTAATATCAATAATGGGATCAATTGTTTTGTGAAAATATCTGCAGCAACTCTTGGGGAAACTCTTGTTAGACACAGGAAGAAACATCGAGTCTATATCGGCTGCATGAAATCTGGTCCAGTCCTATCTCAAAAGTAAAATCCCATTTCTCTCACTTTCCTTCTTTTTGAATCAGTTTCTCAGTCTAACTTACATTTTGTCTATGGAGCAGAGGAGTTAGATACCATGAGCCTGAATATTGGAAATTTGGTGAGAATGGAAACAAGTACTTCCGTCACGCTACTGGACAGTTATACGCCATTTCAAGAGACTTGGCTTCGTACATTGCCCTTAATCAGTAAGATTTGAACTCCTTTGTACCGTATGTATGCCTCATTCTCCATCTAATTTCTCCTCTTACAAAATGTTCCAGGCATGTTCTGCACAAATATGCAAATGAGGATGTTACATTAGGTGCTTGGTTTATCGGGCTTGATGTTACACATATCGACGATAGAAGGCTATGTTGCGGCACACCTCCTGGTACCTTCTCGGTTTCTCTTCCCTTCCTTCAAATATCTATAGACTCAGTTCAATACATCTTCGATGATTGTGGAGTGGTAAAAAGTTTAAAATAGTTAGTTCTATGTGCCTAACTATAATGTTTTCTTTGAAACAACCTTAACCAGAATCTGATTCTTGGTGAACTACAGATTGTGAATGGAAGGCACAAGCAGGCAACATATGTGTAGCTTCATTCGACTGGACCTGTAGCGGTATCTGCAGATCAGCTGATCGAATCAAAGAGGTTCACAAGCGATGTGGTGAACCGGAGAACGCTATTTGGAAAGCCAGATTTTAAGGCCTTCCACAACATATACATAGATCATATAAAGAATTAGTTGTTTTTCAAACCCAAACGGTCATCAAAGGATGATCACCCGGAAAACAATTCTCCTTCTTCTTGTTCATATTCTTTATGAACCAAGAAGATAGCTACATTTGTTTGTATATCATAGTTAAATACATAGTAGAGGACTATAGAGAGATAAGTATGAAATGAAACTCTTGCAAAGATAGCGTTTGCGTTTGCTAACAGTTTGCGACAAAGCGTTTCCGTTTTAGTTGAAGCCTTGAAGGAAACTACAAACCAGCCGCTGCAGCAAACGCGCTTGCTTCTTTCTGATTTTGGTTGTTCTTTTTTTTGGGAGTGAAGTAGCTTGTGGGTTTTATTTAGATCAATGCAAACTATTTTTGATTTTGATTAGGGATCAATAATGAATAAGTAACGAATGTTTTAATATCTTGTTACAAAGAAAATAAATATGAGGAGGTAAAAATAGAACAGTGTTTATCAAAGTAATGCTCTTTTTATTAAACTCTGCGCCACACAATGGTGGTACGGAGATGGCGGAGATGGCGGAGAAGGCAAATACGGCAAGTTCTGACACCGGATTAACCGGAGGAACCGAAATGTTGCATCTTTTTTTGTTCCGTTGCTATGGGGGAGACGAAGCAGGGTCTCATTTCTTGCTCGCTCAAAAAGGTTCGGACTTTCTCTCAAATGTGTTGTGGGTTTTGTTCAGAGGAAGACAAAATTGACGGATTCTATTAGGTGCACAAAAAAAAATGTAACGCTTGAAGAGCAAAATTGAACCAAACAGGAATAAAGTCTTTGTGTCTTTTAATGATTCACGAGAAATTTGATAGGAGTTCCTATGTCTTTGTTCCAATTTGGATTCTTCTGTTAAATTGTTTTCTTGTGATTCTGTATTGGGAATGTGTGCTCTTTTGGTTTCTTCACCTCCATTTACGGTCTTTGTATTCTTCTGAAACGTTAAGAATCTCACTTCTCCTACTTTGAGTTTTCCTCTTAATCACCTTATTGTCTCCTCTTTTTACACTAGTCTTGTTTGCAAAAGTTAGGTTTTGCTTTGGATCCAACGGTACTGCAATTTTCGTGGTATGTTGTTCAATTTAGAAGTTTCTTATGTGATTGTTGTGATCAATACATGTTATAAAGAGTATGGTTTTGTTAAAGAACCTGTTTTCTCTTTAACAAAAAAAAAAACCTGTTTTTTCAAAGAAGTAAAGGCTTAGGGAAGAGCTATAGAGAGCTAAAATGGAAAAGAAAGTATGGTCACTTAGCACTACATGTGAACAGCTATCCAACAAATAGATAGAAAACAAGCGGTCGGGTTCTTTTAGTTTTAAGTCTAGATAAGTATCATTCACTTGATATACTCAACCAACACTGTTCCACTATTCTAATTAAAGTCTTTGTCCGTTTACTCCTTTGTGTTTAAGAAAACTCCTTTTTATAGAGATATTTCTCACCATTTTTTTCTATCTGCAGGGTTTGATATAACATCTAGAGGATACAAGAGGTGGTCAGGTGAAAAAGATTGAATTTTTGATAGGGGAGTGTTTACGACTTAAGCTATGACGGAAACGGGTTTGATTCTCATGTGGTTCCCTTTGATAGTTTTGGGGTTGTTTGTTTTGAAATGGGTGTTGAAGAGTGTGAATGTTTGGATTTATGAGTCCAAACTTGGTGAGAAAAAACACTATCTACCACCAGGTGATTTGGGATGGCCAATCATAGGCAACATGTGGTCCTTTCTTAGAGCTTTCAAGACATCTGATCCTGAATCCTTCATCCGATCATACATCACAAGGTATGTGTACATCACTCTCTCTTCTCAAACTATTTCACAAAGTGCTCAGTTTCCAATACTTTTTGCTTTACTTGAGAAAAAATTTGATTGTTAGGTTACTGATGAAAGAGTTGAGATTTGTTGTTTTTAGCTCTCTTGCTTCTCCATATCATGAATTGACAACTTAGAAACACTCTCCGTTTCCTCAATGATGCAGGTATGGGCGTACTGGTATTTATAAAGCACACATGTTTGGGTACCCATGTGTACTAGTAACAACACCAGAGACTTGTCGACGAGTTCTAACAGATGATGATGCCTTTCACATAGGTTGGCCAAAATCTACCATGAAACTCATTGGCAGGAAGTCCTTTGTCGGTATCTCCTTTGAAGAACACAAGCGGCTCAGGCGTTTGACTTCTGCTCCTGTCAATGGCCCTGAAGCTCTCTCTGTCTACATACAATTCATTGAAGAAACTGTTATTACTGATCTAGAAAAATGGTCCAAAATGGGAGAAATCGAGTTCTTATCTCATCTGCGTAAGCTTACATTTAAGGTCATTATGTACATATTTCTCAGCAGTGAGAGTGAGCATGTTATGGATGCACTGGAACGGGAATATACCAACCTTAACTATGGAGTTCGAGCAATGGGTATTAATCTTCCTGGGTTTGCTTATCATAGAGCTTTGAAGGTAAAACATTCAACAACCTTTGTTTCCACTTTGATTCGACTTGTGCGTATCTCTTGGGATTTGAAGAGTAGTATTTTCCACTTATACAGGCAAGGAAAAAACTTGTAGCTGCCTTTCAGTCCATAGTGACTAACCGAAGAAATCAAAGGAAGCAGAATATTTCATCCAATAGAAAAGATATGCTGGATAATCTAATCGATGTTAAAGATGAAAACGGAAGAGTTTTAGATGACGAGGAAATTATTGACCTTTTGTTGATGTATCTTAATGCGGGTCATGAATCTTCTGGACACCTCACTATGTGGGCTACCATTTTGATGCAAGAACACCCTGAGATTCTACAAAAGGCAAAGGTACCTAGTAACTAGTTCTATATTTTTGTTATTTCAGTGTACAGTCTTTGTGATATTTGTTGTACCATAGGAAGAACAAGAGAGGATCGTAAAAAACAGAGCGCCGGGACAGAAGTTGACGCTTAAAGAGACGCGTGAAATGGAGTATCTTTCTCAGGTCAAGTTTCTGCCTTATTACTACGTAATGTTTTGCGTTTATAACATTGTTTGAGTTGTTACACAATCTTTAACTGATGGAAAGAGTTTTTTACCAGGTTATTGATGAGACACTTCGAGTAATAACATTCTCTCTTACTGCTTTCCGGGAAGCAAAGAGTGACGTCCAAATAGATGGTCAGTATACTCATTACCTACATGGAACACGGTAAACCATCTTTAAACTTTTACTATACTCATTTCTCATGTTTTATTTTCAGGCTATATCATTCCAAAAGGCTGGAAGGTTCTGACTTGGTTTAGGAACGTCCATTTGGACCCAGAGATCTACCCGGATCCAAAGAAATTTGATCCTTCAAGATGGGAGGTATATAGAGATAACAGAGTTCTGGCATTCTACAATGAAACTGTCTTTGTAACTGTATTTACTGCTGCAGTCTCTTTATATGTCAAAAGTACCTGAACATTGCCTGGTTCATTCTACAGGGATACACACCAAAAGCAGGCACATTCCTTCCTTTTGGTTTAGGAAGCCATCTTTGCCCGGGAAACGATCTTGCCAAGCTCGAGATTTCCATTTTTCTTCATCATTTCCTCCTCAAATACCGGTAACTTCCCCTCTTTCTTCTAGTTCTCACTCTGCAAATAGCTTGCAGACTTATAATGTTTTGTTTCCAATGGCGAAATCACAGGGTGGAAAGGAGCAATCCAGGGTGTCCGGTGATGTTCTTGCCTCACAATCGACCCAAAGATAATTGCTTAGCAAGAATCACCAAAACGACGCCGTAATCATCATCTTCAAACTAGTAGACCCTTTACCAAATATATAAGCTTCTTCTCAGGTTTCCATTGTCTCCCTCTTCTCTCAGAACTCGATCCAAACCGGCCCGGTTTGTGAATTTGGTTTACTAAGAAATATATGTAACCATAGTTTGAAGGATTTTTCAAAGTAATGTTCAAACTTTCTTCTGGTTTAGTTTCAAATTTGGTTATTACATATAAGCACACAAAAAAAGTAAAATCGAATTGCCTGAAATAAAATCTAGTTTGATTACCACATAAAGGTTAGTGTAGATTGATTAAACTAACATCAAGGTTTGTTCTTTATTTCGCATTTATTAGCCAATAATACATCATTTTATCTAATTCTCTAGTATCACATTTGTTATACAAGTGGAGAATTGACTTCTTCAATAAATATTCAATTTATTGGTATTGACTATTGAACTAGTACTATTAATATAGTTGTACTTACTTTTCTCGAATTAAAAAAAAATTAGAAGACAAATATTTTGTAAGAATAATTAAAGATAGAGTAAAGCCCACAACAGCAGAGTACAACAACAACACCGTTATCTCCTGTCCACTATCTGAGTTTTTTTAAGACACAGAGAGACAACAAATAGACAGCTCGGACTCTTGTACCATTTGATTTTTTCTTCATTTCTTAAATTTAGCAACTTTTCACAACACATATCAGAGAATTTAGTAGATTCTCACAACAAGCTTCAATATTGATCCGTAATTAGTGTTCAATTTCGTGTTTTTTCTACATTGGATTCTCACTTTTTTGCTTTTATCCATTATAAGCCCTGATTTTGTGTGGAGGGAAAGAAAAAAGTTTGGATTTTTATTTTCCCGGTGAGGAAAATATGACGACCAGAGGAAGCAGATCGGAGAAAGTCAAGAGAATTTTCCATCAATTCGATGGAAACCGTGACGGTGGATTAAGCCGTGAAGAGATGTCAGCTCTCGTCGTAGCTGTGAACCCTAGGGTTAAATTCAGCGATGAACAAATCAGCGCAATTCTCGACGAAGTGTTTCGTACCTACGCTGAATTCATCGATGGAGATAAAGGTTTGACCTTTGACGGTCTTCTCCGAACTTACGACGACGGTGCTGGAGATGTTGATCGTGATTTCGACGCTTTAGGGATTGAGTTTAACGGCGATGAAGCTTCAAAGGGTGGCTCTGAAGCTTCGTCTTCTTCGATTACTGATGAGAGAGCTGTTGAGGCGCAGAAGCAGCAGAGAACGGCGGCTTGGGCGGTTTCGCCGAATCATGGTATTGTTTTTGATGAGACGTGGAAGCTTGTTGATGATTTGGAGATTTTGGTTAAGAGATTGAAGTCTAAGCAGGAGAAAGATGGGAAATTGAAAGTGGATAATAATAATAATGTGGATGCGTTTTCTGATGCTGGATGGTCTAGAGAGTTGGGACCGTCTTCGGATATTTCGGATAAGAGAATTTACTGGGAAGAATCGAGTCACGATTACGCGGTGTTTGTGAAGGAATTAGGTGTGTTGAGAAGTAAAGCTGATGGTGCTAGATCAAGAGAAGAAGCTTTTGATGGACATATGGCGATTGGTAGGGTTTTGTATGAGCACCAATTGTTTAAAGAAGCTCTTGTTAGTTTTAAGAGAGCTTGCGAGTTGCAACCGACGGATGTGAGACCTCATTTCAAAGCTGGGAATTGTCTTTATGTATTGGGGAAGTATAAAGAGTCGAAAGACGAGTTTTTGTTGGCGTTGGAAGCTGCGGAGTCCGGTGGGAATCAATGGGCTTACTTGCTTCCTCAGATTTATGTCAATCTCGGTATCTCTCTTGAAGGCGAAGGTATGGTTTTGAGTGCTTGTGAGTATTATAGAGAGGCTGCGATTCTTTGTCCAACGCATTATAGAGCCTTGAAGCTTCTAGGTAGTGCTCTGTTCGGTGTAGGAGAGTATAGAGCTGCTGTGAAGGCTTTAGAGGAAGCTATATATTTGAAACCGGATTATGCTGATGCGCATTGTGATTTGGCTTCGTCACTTCATGCAATGGGTGAGGATGAGAGGGCTATTGAAGTTTTCCAGAGAGCTATAGATTTGAAACCTGGTCATGTTGATGCTCTTTATAACCTTGGTGGGCTTTACATGGATTTGGGTAGGTTTCAGAGAGCTTCGGAGATGTACACTAGAGTTTTAGCTGTGTGGCCTAACCATTGGCGTGCTCAACTCAACAAGGCTGTGTCCTTGTTGGGCGCTGGAGAGACCGAAGAAGCTAAAAGGGCTTTAAAGGAGGCCCTGAAAATGACAAACCGAGTTGAGTTGCACGATGCAGTATCTCATCTGAAACAGTTGCAGAAGAAAAAGGTCAAAAAAGGAAATAGTGCGAATGAAGAAGGTCCGTTTATTGTTGTGGAACCTTCCAAATTCAAGACCGTCGGCGAGAAGACTACTTTAAGGCCAGATTTAGCCATAGCTCTTCAAATTAGAGCCTTCCAGAGAGTTACAAGGCTGTGGAAATGCGATGTTGAAGCATTAAGAAGAGAGATGAGAGATAACAATGTTCCTGTATCCTATTCCGGCAATGGAGTGCCCACAAAATCTATAAGGAGACCAAACTTAGAAGAGATTCTCCGGCGTCTGCTTAATGTCCTGAAACCTGAAACTTTCCAAGGAGCGATTAAGGCCATAAACGAGAAAATCCTCTCGGTGCTCGATGATTCAGGGTCGGGAAGAGTTGATTTGGGAATGTTTTATGCGGTGATTGCTCCTTTATGCGGTGGCCATCCAGACAAAAGGAAAAGAGTTGCATTTGATGCGCTTCTTTGGAAACCGGAAAACGAAGGAAGCTCTCAGATTACAAAAATGGAAGCTGTCAAATACATCAAACTCTTGAGAGCTATCTACATACCATCACAAGGAATGAGCGAAATGTTAGAAGTTCATGGAGAAACTGATGATACTTCGACGGTAACATTCAACCAGTTTCTAGAGATGTACGATGATTCAGAGTGGGGATTTGGTATCATGTCGACTGTTTTTAAACTCGAAACAAGAGATAGGAATCGACACGGGAACCAGGTTTGTTCGGTTTGTCGATATCCGATTATCGGGTCTCGGTTTAAGGAAGTGAAAACAGGGTTTAGCCTCTGTAACCAATGTTACAGCGAAGGGAAAATTCCTCCAACGTTTAAACAGCAGGAGGAATATAAATTCAGAGAGTATGGAAGTGAAGTGGAAGCCATGAAAGCTAAGTGTGTTTGTTTTTCAATGCAGTCTCATAAAAAACCAATAGCCACTTGAAAAATATCCATAAGCTTCTTCTTTTTTTGTGTGGTATTTTTTTTTCCACAGTTCTTGTTTCTTAAATCTTAATCTGTAGTCTTTTTTCTTAAGTTGTGTGTATAGTTTTGATGAAGTGTGTGTTGGTGAGCAAGTATGAATGTATGATTTCTTGTTGTACTCTTAAATTGTTTTTTTTTCCAAAATATTTACTATTTTTTCCACACAATTTTCAGATTGATATGATTTTGTCAATGATCGTGAATGGAATACTGCAGGCATTTTCTAGAATGTAATTACTGACATTTTCAGACTTGGCCAGTTTCTGACATTCTAGAAATTGTCAGATTCAGACAAGTCCAAAATCTAGAATGCTCGTAGCATCTCTGGTCGTTGCATATTGATGCTAATTTTGGAATGAGTGCTTTTTTTAGCTTTTTATCTTTTAGTACTACTTTTTTACTCGCATAGCGCTATTTGACTCAGTAATATATGAGGAACTTAAAGAAAGGAAAACTATATTTTAAGGATCGGATCACTTTTTATTTCCTTAGCTTTTGGGGTCTCTGCAGGAGTGAGTGACCTCAATATATAGGAGATAAAGTAAAGTGAAAATGTAGAAATAAAGAGACTTCTGATCCAAGAACTGCAGTATGATGTCAGAACTCAGATAAGGTGCAAGTACAAAGATTAAGGAACCTCAGAAGAAGAAAAATATGTATGGACCTACTTGCATAATTATTATCTTCATTTTTTCTTTCGGGGTGCCGAAATTTAAGGAAATCATTTATTGGAATAGTGTGAAATAATATGCAAATGACATAAGCCAATGGCAGTGGATGCAACTAGTCGTCTCACTGCCCAATCACATTCTCCTCCCCTATTTTCTACTTCTAGCTAGCTCTTCCTTGCTTCATACGTTTGTTATAATAATTCTCCTAAATAAAAATCAAATTACACGTCTAAGAGCTTGTGGTCTAGTGGCGAATCTAGATTCCATCTACAACTACAAGATCGTATGATTTAGGTCTTTTAGTTCAACCGCTAGGGGAAGGGACTAATTTATCTGTTTTGGTCCCTGATCTGGAGATCCACAGGGCTTCGGCCCCAAACGTGGTAGATCACTAAAAGAGAAAAAGAAAAATTACATATATAAGCTAGTCAAATGCTGTTAAATGTTCCGGTTAACTCTAGACTATAGTTTGAGATCTCAAATTGTAGTTTTTTGGTGGTACACTAGTACTTGAACTTCAAAATTCTGTATAGGAGGATTTGATATGATAAATCTAAACAACAATCAAATGCAAAATTAGAACTTGTCCGAAAATGAATAAATAAAAGAAACTATCAGTCGAATAAATATGTTGTAAACTTTCACATTTATGTTCCACTTGCGAAAGTAATGATCAATTTTCATGCTATGCATGTATTTTCGAGGTAATTATATAAATGCAATTCTTTTTTCTTGTGAACACTCTTGGTCAGCCATAAGTTCGATTTGTACCATGATTGAACCCAAAAGAAAAGTATATGCTCATTCCTCATCTCTTTTAATTTCTCTTTTTGTTCCTTGAAAACATGTTAACATACAAGTTCATAGCACATCCCAAGTTGAAGAAGATTTTACACAACAAAGACAAATTGAGCTCACAATTAGCTTTCTCTTTTTTGCAAATCAAAGAAATGATTTTACTCATGAGGAGGTTCCAAACTAACAGATGCTAGGCATGTTGCTCCAATAGCATGACCCTAACGAGGCCATAGGATCTACACTGGACGAAGGTGGCACCGTGGGTGGTTCCACCCTGCCGTTACCTTGATGGTTTCCCATTATAATTGATCCGCTCGGTGGAGCAAGATATGAGGCTTCGTTTTGGATTTCCGTCATCCGGTACCAATCAGGCAACGGTGTTGTGGCTGAAGGGAAGTTGTTGAGAAGGCTCATCAATAAGTCGTCATCATCATCCACCGTTGTTTTCACCATTAATGTTGGCTCATTGTACTTGTTGTGAATATTAGGGTTTGTTCCTGTTCATTGAACTCAAGTTATGTAAATATTAAACACTAAATAAAATGAAAGAGTTAATTAGGCCTAAGATCCAGTAGATATCTTCGATATTACCAAAGATCCATACTTTGATCACTGATTTTGTAAAACTCAAAACTATGCAATATAAATAAACGGTTATACCAAAAAATAAAAATATAAATTAAAATGATGGATCTTATGTGCTTACCCAATGATGAATGATGAGAAGAGTTTAGATGATCTATTAACCGATTCTCAAAGTCCATCTTCACCCTCTTATCTTGAACCTCACATAGATCACTCGAGGAAACCCTAACGTCCTTGAAGAGTCCGCCTCGAGACAAGGCTTGAGACTCCTCCAAGAGAGCATCAAGTAGTCCACTGTTTCCAGCTAGTGGCTCAAGATGGACACCATTGTCGAGATTAGAACTGAACGAATGGGTCGGTGTTTGGTTTGAAGGAAGCTCTAGGACGGAATTTTCTAGTCCTAAAGGGAAAGAACTCGGTCTTATCTCAAGATCTCCCATAAGCAATGAACTATAACTCATAGCATCAATGTCTTTCTTATTTGTATTGTTTGTGTCCGAATTCTCGGAGATGAACTCAAGGATGTGGTTGGGATCATTGGACGAGGATGATGAGGACAAAGGAACAGAGAAACCAAACTGGTTATTGTCATTCTCAAGGCTATTGTTGTAAAGAGAGAACATGTGAAAATCCATCGAAGAATCGGGGATCAGGTTTAGGCCGGGATTAGTAGTGACTAAAGGATCAGGACGCAGCCTTTTTGAAGGTTGAGAAGATGAAGAAGAGAATGAAGACGAAGATGATGAAGTATTAGAAGAATTAGTGTATTGAATCATATTTTGGTGGTTATGATCAAGATCTTGGTTTTGGAACTGAAAGGAAGTTAAATCAAACTCAAACTCATCATCATTATCAATTCCTTGATGTTGAATCTCATGAGGGTATAAAGGCAAACCAGCTCTTTGTCTTCTCTTCATCCTCGTGTTCCAATAGTTCTTGATCTCGTTGTCTGTTCTTCCAGGTAACTATATACACCAAAAACAAAAAACAAACAAAACGTTTATAAGCATCAAACAAAAAAAATAGAGAAGCAAGATTAATCATGCTAAGAGAAAGAAAGATTTAAAGTTCAAACACATCAAATCATGCAAATTGTGTGTTTAATTAGGAAAACAAAATTGCATATAAAAAATTTATAGCTCTTTAGTTTCTTGAATTGAAGAAACAAATAAGGATATTAATAATTAAAAAAAAAGTGAATAAATGAAAGAAAGAAAGAAAAAGATTTATGAGAAATTTCTAACCTGAGAAGCCATACGAGCCCATTTGTTTCCAAGCTTAGCGTGAAGCTCGATGATGATCTTTTCTTCATCAGGAGTAAAAGATCCTTTCTTTAGATTTGGCCGGAGATGATTCGCCCACCGTAACCGGCAACTTTTCCCACACCGGAGCAAACCTGAGTTCTTTTGCACGGCGTTCCAATTACCTTCACCGTGTTTTCTCACATACTCCGTCAAGATCGCATCCTCCGTCGTTGTCCACGGCCCTTTCTTCAACCCTCTCCCCTCCATCGTCGCCGTCGCCGTCGTCTCTCCACCACCATCCATCATTTTCAACACGGCGACCCTCCGATCAAGGAGAGGAAGAAAAAGATTTTTCTCTCTGTTACTTGATATATACGATGTTTGTATATGTATATGTATTTGTATATATGAGTATTTTAGTGTGTTATGAATTTAGATATATAGAGAAAAAGAAGAAAAGGGTGAATTTTTTTTTAGAGGTGTTTGGTGTATATTTGGAAGAAATATAAATTTTGTATTTAATTATTACGTAATAATTTGTTGTTATTACGTGCTTTATTTAAACTTTTAATGCCTTGTTTTGTCTTCTTCTCGTCTCTTGGTCTTTCCTTAGAGAAAAGACAGAGAGGTTTCAAGATTTTACAGAAAGAGTTGATGAGAGAGATAAGATTATTGTCTGTCTTTAGACCTATATTGGAGTTGATAAAAATTGTGATGAGATAATTATGAGAAATTATACTTTATCATCTCTTTGTGTCTCAATCTTATATTTTGCTATCTATTTGAATCTTCTTCTTTTTTTTTCTTACAAAGATAGTTTTGTGTTTATAAGTCATCCTTAATAATCTAATTGAAAATGACTTGTTCCACCTAGCTACTATAATAAACTTTTATGAAACATAGACAAACACTCGAATATGACTAAGCTAAAAATATCAAAAACTAAGCCATGCAAGTAACATCTCAAATTGAAGTTTATATATATATATATATATGATTAAATTTGTTTTTTTCAATTGTGAAATAAAGAAGAAGAAAAAGGAGAGGAGTGAGCTTCTTTCACGGCCGCGCATAGCATGCCTTATGGAATGGGGAGGTTCTCTTCAAAGACGCGTTTTTCTCTTATTTACTTGTCTTACTCCTTTTCTTTTTCCCACACGCCTTTTATGTCTTTCTTCTTTCTCTTTTTTTTTTTTATAAATATTTTAAATAAATCGAGAAATAAATAATGTAATGATTTTCTTTTTTCTATATTAAGGGTAGAGGGAAAGAAAGATAAATGAAAAGTCATTTTATGCGATATTTCATGCAAAATTACGTTGGCATGATCACTTTTCATATGGGCAACATTTTTATCATAAGAGTTTGAGTCTTATAAGCAATTACTTCTTTTTAAGAGCAAAATTGCTCCAAAGTGTCAAATTGTATTACAACACTCCTCTTCAAAGATTCTTTAACTTTTTTCATTACAGAGTTCTACTCATTTTAAAATATTAATTAAGAGTTGAAAAAAATAAAGTACATTTATGAAAATATATGTTTCTTTTGTCGTATATACATAATGTGTATTCACGAGTTCAACGCATTTGACATTTTTTTTTTACTTTTCAAAAAAAATAATTAAATGACGTTGAATATGCTTAAATTTTTCTCTATTTGAAAAAATTGAATGATAAACACATGTATTTGGTGAAAATCTTTTTAGTTTTTTTTTTTAACTACAATAATTGCCTAGTTACAAAGAAAATTCCGCCTATAAAATTTCATTAGTCTTGCTTAGAAGTATGTATTTCAAAGAAGTTTTCAAATATATTAATTTTCATTTTAGGATGTGTAAAACTATACCACATGATTAGAACATATAAAACTTAAATTGAATTTACTCGATGTTTTGTTATTTCCTATATCACTTGAACTACCACTAATTGAAGTTTATACTTTTCTTAGACTTGATTATAACTCATGGATTGATCTACAGTCCACCAAGTTAAACTCATAGACATATGATAATTATAATTTAAACTAAAAATCTGGTTAATTATATGTAATTTAATTATTATGCGCGTCAGACAGACCAGAGACTTGAAAAAACTATCGGACAATATAATTTTTTATAGAACCATATAATAATTAATTTCCAACTTTGACCTATTAGTGATTTTCATTTTATTTTATAATAATATGGTTTATTGTTTATTCATTATTTTTGAACATTTTTAATGGATTGTTGTACCTTGTCATATATAATTCCCTCGATTTTGCCCATCCATTGGATTCTTTCACTTTAATTTAAGAAGCCTTACCTTGAATTACTTTCCATATATATCCAGGTTCATTTGACCATTATACAAAAAGTACGATATATCATTTCTTCATTACATTTCCATTATCTAAACATCTAAAAAGAGGCTATAGTTTTTGTAATTTTGTAGAAGACGTTGCTTGCTGATTTCAGAAGTATATGTGATTATTTAAATCCTTTTGTAAGAAAACGTCGTTGTCCCATTATTCTTACCGAATCTAGCTAAGATTATGTGCGTGAGTCGGAGCTAGAAGTCAAGTACATCAGATCTCCCCCTGCCAACGGATTCGTTTGCTGCACAAGTGGTTCATCGATGAGACAAATAGTAAAACTGCCCGATGTTGTTACCAACGAAAAGACATGCACGTACGTCTCGGATACGATCCAGTGGAAGATCAATACAAAGTGTTGGTTGTGATGATGTTCGACGGCAATAGAATAGAGAAAAGAGTGGAGAAAGATTGAAAACACCACTGGGGAAACTTATCACACGGTCTATGGAGGGAGTTTTCATAGTTTCATTAGCTTTTTCCCTTCAATTTGTTCATGCCTTGTGTTGCTGATAAAACTACCACAACAGGTTCGACGATTTTCTTCACAAACACATCTTTTATAAATGGATAACAAGAGTAGAACTATTACATGAATATGTACCATAAATTCATCACCATGTGTTTGTGTTGGATAACCAAATTTGATCTAAACTCTCAACCTCTTCACACTAAAGTTTCTCTCTTCCTCCTCAAAGAGATAACTACAACATTTCTTTGATGAAATCAAGGCTAAGTGTGTCCTTAACGATGAGAAACAATCCAAGGAATATCACAAGCATGATCCCTGAAGACATTATCCCTTGTTCTACCTCTACAGGAAGCTTCTTCCCTCCTCTAACCGCTTCCAACAATATCAATGCCAAAGTTCCACCATCAAGAGCCGGCAATGGCAAGAGATTGATCACCGCAAGGTTGATATTCAGCAACGCTGCAAATTGGTAAAGCCCGTCGATATTTGATCTTGCCACTTCTGCTCCCACTGCAATAATCGCCACAGGGCCTGCTACTTTACTTGCTGTTTGAGAGAAGTTGAAGAACGTTTGTTTTAGACCATCCAAAACATTAGACGATAGCCCCATAAACTCCCTTCCCACGAATCTAAACGTTTCCGGAATGTTCCTCGGTCTCACCTTAGTGATTCTAACATTTGGAGACAACTGAACACCAATCTTCCCCGTCCCATCAAAGTTCTTATCCGGTGTAACCCGAATATCGAAATATTTATTCCCTCTCTCGATTCTAAACACCACATCACTCTTCGGGTTTCTTTTAACAATGTCAACAATCTTCGAAACAGCATCAGGCCCGGTTCTAGACAGTTCAGTACCGTCCACAGCGAGTATTACATCGCCCGAAAGCAACCCATCACGAGAAGCAGCAGAAAAGGTCTTAACTTCAGGAACAAGAACACCAGGAAACGCTTCTTGTACAGGCAAACCAACAGATAACACTTGAACAAAAATTATAGCATAAGCAAAGATCACATTAGCGATAATTCCAGCTGAAACAACAATCGATCTATCTAGAGTTGGTCTGTTCTTAAGCAGATTCTCATCATCAATAGGAATCCCACTGTCTGGATCATTATCAGGGAAACCAACAAACCCACCTAAAGGAAAAGCCCTAAGCGAATACTCAACATTGTTGTAATCGAACTTAGCTAGAATCGGACCAAACCCAATTGCGAATTTACTCACATGGATCCCTTGAAGAGAAGCCGCTAGGAAATGACCTGATTCATGAACAACGATGATCGTAGTGAGAACAGCAATAGCTTCAAGAACAGATTCAAAGCTTCCCAAATCAATCCCAGAGATTGCTCTTGCTCTAAAATCAAACCTTTCTCCATCTGGGCACCTCTTGTTTCCGAACAAGACTCTGTTTTTGAGAGTCTGGTTCGATAAAGGAGTGAACTTGGGAAAAAGATGAGATTTTGAGAGATGGGTTTTGGATCGCCGAGGGAAATAAGAGATGGGGTTGTTGAAATTGGAGAGGAAGTGAGGGTTTCGATGAGAGATTGGAGAAGAAGAAATGTTTAATAGCATTGTTTCGTGAGAAGTGGAGTACTACGGTGAAGTGGTACGATTGGAGCCATTGATGATAGAGCACAAGAGATAATAATGAGAAAACAGAGTCGTGATTTGGCTTCTTTTGGGTGTATGTGGATGTGATTCAATTCAACACAAGACTAATCTCTCTCCGAGTTTCTTCAAATAATTGTATATGGGCCTTGTTACATACAAAATTATCAGCATCGATTTAAGGCCCAAATATATTTGGGTAGAATTTTTTATGTTTTGTTTTACCAGTGCTGGAAGATTTAAAAGTAAAAACAAAAGTAAGAGATTGACAAAAAGAAAAAGAGAGAATTCGAAGAAGCCAATTGAGTTGCAAATTGTAAGGTTTGGTGGGCACGTGATCAACTGGGTTTGAACATCTACTTTTTTACACGAAGCTTTGTCGGCTCAAGTGTTAACATTTTACTGTTATATTTGATTTCATTTGATTTTTTTTTTTGTCGTCGTCGTAGACGCTAATGCTAACATATTTTCTTCTCGAATTTAAAACTTTTAATCGAAAAATCCAACTATATATTTAAATTTTATTTAAGTATAATTTTAACACATAAAAATTTTTATACTAAACTTGAAACTTCTTTTTTTTTTTTGATCAAAACTTTAAACTTCAATTATGGCAATGTCTAACTAAAATAAAAAGAGAAGGTATGATGTAACATTTATGTGTTGTGTGATAGATATTAGAAACACTTATAGATTTATTTTCTCTAAATCTTAGTTTTTTTTTCTTTTTTCTTTAACATAAAACTTCAATGAATATGCCCGATAGTCCGATACCAAAGGTCGATATCTCGATTTAAAAAGTACTTTGGAAAAATGTTAAGAGATTACAGAAGCTTAGCCCGGATTTAAAAAGATATATGGAATTTGACCCAAAATTTTTTACTTTTTAAATATATATGTATGCATGATAAAATATATGGAAAACGAATGTAAAGTAAACACTTGCTCATTTAATTTAAAATAGAAGTAACACTCAACTGACTCAAGGCTCATATATTTTATATGTCTTGAACTTACTAAAACTTGCTCATTTTAATTTAAAATTAGTGACATTTCGGCGAAATCTAAAAAAAAATTAAACAAAAGAAAATCATTGAAGTCTTATCTGTGTTAATAAAATTTTAGGTGTTTAACACTGTTGTCCTATCGCATTAATAAAATCCAATGGATCGAATTAATATATAAAAAAAAATTATGCACAATTTAGATAACTAACTAGTAACATCAAATCTAAAACAACTAGAAACATCAATCTTTGGAAAAGGATAGAAAAGAGAAGCACTAACTAAAAGACCTAACACAAGTTGGGTGTAATGAATTAAACAACGTGTCCATTTCGTATATTTCTATTTGATTGAACTTGATTGTATTGTAGGTAGGTCATCTTTCCAGAATTCTTACTATTTAAAGTGATTCTTTTTCTTTTTGTACTATTACTTTCAATATTTAATAATACGTACGGTTCTAAAAAGTATATATACTAATGAATAGACCTGGAATTATAAGCCATTCTAAAATTTAAGTGGCACAAGAAAATTCTTAACCATAATATTTTAGATTCTCCAATGAGTTTAGACCATTACATAAGTATTTTCATACACATAAAAAATTAAAAAAAGTATTTTCATACAGGTGCTTTCTATAGTTCTCTTGTATATTAATTATATTTAAAAACACACACACAATTTTAAGATCCAATATACAACAAATAAAACTATATTCAGTATGGAACTTCGTATTGAGTTAGTGTTACGCATGAAAAAGTATTTACGTTTTTTTTTTCCATGTGTATTATCAACGGTAATTTTGATGCTAACAAAGAAAAACAATCAACAAATACGAGAGAAAAAAAAATATAGTAAACGTATTTGCATGAATTTTGTTTATAAAAAGAAATGAAGGAGAAATATTGTCGCGAGTATAAATAAATCTCGACCCACTCTCTTGTTTTATCCCTCCTATCGCGCCTTTGTGGGTGCACAAAAAGGCAACCAGGTTCAATGAACCTGGTTGTTCTTGTTCTATGTTCTTGTTTTTATTATCTCCATTATCATTCTTCATCACTCGTAAGCATGCTCATCACTATAATATATCATATATCTTTATAATTATTTATTTACATACACTGACACACCTAACCAAACGAATAAAAACAATATTCTTTTTGCTTTCTTGAATTTGTTATTTAAACCAAAATTGTAAGTTGTTATTTACAAGAGATTTATATGTTAATGAAGCTTTGAAACTGTAGACAAAATGGGCTGAGAAAGAGAGATATCAAATATATATGCTACAATGGCTTCACGGGCGACTCATCACTTCATCATCATTAAAATCATGGTATGTTCTTGATCAAATAGTTGTCATAATTTTGAATGTTTAATTTTCATATCTTAAAACTGTGATCGCTAAGAGGTAAAAACGTTTGGCTGCAATTTATTGCCATTATAATCATAAGAAAATTAAAACAGATGCAAGTTCTTGGGTAAAATACACACATATATGGTACTAAATTTGTAAACTAGCTAACACACATTCTTTGTTGTGTGAGTAACAAAATTCGTTATGTTCTTGCTAATTAATAATTTCGAATATTGATGTTATTAATTCAGTATTGGCATTTAACTAACCTCTCTTGGCCGGTTAAGGATCGAAGATGTTTTTTCTAAAGTTGTATGGTCAGCATCACTAGCTATAGAGTTACCAGCTAGACCGGTTAGGGTTAAGTCAGCATTCATCTCATCTGATCTAGTTAATTATGTGTTTCTTTGGCCGACTAGTCATCTCTCTCTAAATATAAACGTACAAATTTACAATTCTATATGCTTGATTCGGCCGCTCGATTCGTCTATATAAAAGAAAATATCTAAATTTAATTATAGGAAAGTAAGTTGGTAATATAATTTTGTTAACTCCATGCAGGATTAAGCTCAAAGAATGGCGTAAAACCGGAGTCAGACATCATCTCATCAGCACAAATAAGCTCGAGATGATTGATAGAAATGAATATACAAGAAAATTAATGAGCATGTGTTCATGGCTTTGAAGCATGAAAAAAAAAAAGAGTTCCCCTTTCAAAAACTTCAATCTCTATTGTAAGAGAGAAAAAACAATATTTATATGTAATTGTTGTCTTGTACTTTATTTTCATTCTCTATTTTGCATGGACAAGTTAATATTATAATTGGTTGTAATCTTATTCGTAAGCTGGCCTTGTTGACGCATATATGGGTCTGACTAGATGTCCTTTTTAGCAAAAGAAAAAAAAGTGAAAATAATATTATTATGAGTTCAGCTTGAAATTAACCAATCTAAAAGACGACAGAAAAACAAAACTGTTCCATTTTTTTTTTTTTGGGCAAATTCCCCTTCTGATTTATGAATTTGTCTAATGAAGCTGAGAAAAACGACAGTGTTTAGACAAATGGGTCTAATGAAAGAAAGAAACCAATGGGCTAGTTTATATATAAGCCCATTAACAAAGTGACGTCGTCTCAAGCACAACGGTCACCTACACTGTCCAAAAGGCGACAAAAAAAAACAGAGAACAGAGATGAGTGACGATAGCTCGTACGGAGAAGACTGAAGACACCGAGCCGATTCTCAGCCCTTTGATACTCTCGACACAACAGGATGATGACAACTGTACTCTCTCTTGGTTTCTCTAGATGCTTCCTTCCTTCCTCTGTGTATAAAATCTCAAATGCTCTGCCTTTGTAAAACCCTAAGGAGAAGAAGAAATCAAAATCTAAATGAAAGTTTAAAGCTTTCTTCTTTTCAAGTCTCATGTCAAAATGGCTAGGATCAGAAGAAGAACCCGAAAGCACCATTTCAACGAAGAGCACTTGGTCGATTTCTTTGGAGAACGTTTGATAGTCACGGTCACTCATACTCCCTCAGTGATACGTCGATGGATCCACAGCATCCGCTTCTTCAGCCGTCGCTCGTCACACCCTCTTGTTGTCGGACTCGGCGTCCAATGAACACCCGGTGGTTCACATCCTCCACCGGACACTCTCCAGTTAGGCGTTGGTATCCGCTGTCTCATCATCCAGTTGTCTCACTGTAAGCGCATGCCCAACGTCCTTCGAAGTTTCTTGGAAGATGAGACAATCACTTTCGTTGGAGTCTGGAACAGTCAAGACAAGGATAAGCTCGAGAGATTCTGCCATCAGTTGGATATCTGGAGACTTGTTGACATAAGAAACTATCTGCCTAGGTGGCTCTGGAAATGTACGTTTGAGAGGATTGTGGAGGAGTGTTTGGGGCACCAAGGAGTGAAGAAAGATAAGGAGATATGTAGGAGTAATTGGGGAGCTCGCAGCCTTTCTGATGATCAGATTGTTCAGGCGTCACATGATGTCTTTGTTTGCTGCAAGCTCGGTGTTAAGGAACGTGTCTGGAAAATGAGAGCTTGAATCTTTCTTTTGTTGGCTTGTCTTGTTAGGAAAGAGCTATTACCTTAAAATAATTTTTGTCTTTTTGTCTTTAAAACTAAATGATTAACGTTTTCGGATTCATAGAGAGAACTTTAATTTGTTCATAATGCACTGCAACCAAATCTTTACAAGTAGAGTTGAAATGTTTAGTGATAAATGTCTCACATGACGTCGGTACCAACAGGATCCACTGAGAAATGAAGAGCTACTGCTTTTTCTATAAACGGCTCAAATTGCGACCGCCACATCTGAAAGATAAAAGAGTCTCTCTATTCAATCTCACTTATATCATATATGACAAAAATTGACTACTAGAAGTAGTATTAAGTGTTAAGTTACAAGGTTCCAGTTGATGAGAGATCTTACATCTTTATACTCTCTGCCCTCAACGAAAATCTCCATGGCATCAACTGCAGGAAGTGACATAAGCAAGTGTGAGAAGAGGAGAACAGAGGAATGGAACAATGTTAAGAATTTGGAGAAAGTGATTACATGAACGGAATCGAACTACTGCTGCATGAGTGAATTCCTTACTGCTGTCGTTAAAGTTTGAACCTGGACATCGAAAATTTTAAGCAGACGATTAGATCAATTTGAGGTTGGTGATACATGGATCTTATGAATGTCTGAAATATAGTTTCTTCATAGGCTTAGGCACCTTGTGTGGATTGGACAATTAGTGATGGAAGAGATGAAGTTAGCTGTGCAAAAGAATCCATTGCATCTTTAGTGTTTTTGTCGGAAGCGTTCTTAGCAAAAGTGATCAGAAGAACAAACTCTTCGCCGTAGTTATACTCCTGCCATGGGAATTAACTCAGTCTGTTTACATTATTTGACACTAGATAGTAGTATCCCATTGGCCTAAGGCTATGGACGATTTATGAAAGAAAAACTCAGAATATGAAATGAGTTGATCATACCTCGCCCTTTCGAAATATTGCAAGGATGTCATCTTCAACCTCTGATTCATAGTCCACATTAGTTAGCCCCTGATACATCAAAACCCGACAAACAAAAACGAAACATTTAAACAGAGAAGAAGAAGATGATGATGATAAGACAAGGCTAATGAGAGAAATGGCGTTTACATGTAAAGGCATACATGGCAGAATGGTGTAACATATTCATTGAGAACTTTCAAGAAGAAAGGGTTCTCATAGAACTGGTCAAGATCTTCCTTCCTCTGGAATCGCATGTAGAGAGCGTGCGTGTAATCTTCATTGTTTCTATCACCGATACAACCTGTGAGAGTAAAAATGAACAGATAGAGACTGGTTTTTTAAACACACACAGAGATTTTCTATCTAGATTGGGAGAAAGAATATGAGAGCACTCACCTACAGATATAGCAACAATGCCTCTCATTTGATATTGAGTTGTGTAAAGATAATCAAGCATATCTTTTTCTACCTCCTCAGATAAACCCTCTTTTGCTATGAGTAAACACACATGCTCCACTACTTTCCTAAGGAGCATCATTGATACATAGATTATAAAACTTTCATAAGAAAACATAATGTGGAATGAATCATAAACCTGTATGCAAAGTTGGAAACTTTCTCAAGAACCTCAGATTTAAACAAACACATTAACATAAGCTATCACAAAAGGAGCTAAATTTTAAAAAACTGAACCTTGTCTTGTTCGATTTGGAACTGGACATTTGATCATCAGAAGCGCAAAATGCAACTCTAGGGTTCTTCGTTCGACATTGATCCACAAACAAACCTCCACCATTAGACCCAAATCCTGTCAATTTCAAAAAGAATAATATTTAGGTCACAAGCTATGTTACGGCATTACTGAAACAGAGGCCATTTTTCAAATTGATGTGTCACAGATTTGAATTCGCTTGAGGCAAATTGGATAGAACGAGACCGAGCAAAATGTAGCCGAAATCAACAAGCTCGCGAATCGATTTAGTAGAGTAAGATAGAGAATCGAAAACCCAGAATGAAAAACGCAAACTTTACCTCTGGTGAGAATTGGACGAGGGAGAGCTAAAGCTTGATGGATCATTATCGAGTGAGCCGGACCAAGCTCGCATTGTTGCCTCAATATAGAGATTTAAGAAGGGAATAAGATTTTTGGGGTTTGTGGTAGTTAATAGTTTTGTAATAAATCCTTTTTGCGCCACAAAATTCGTTACTCTATTTATTATCTATTTGATATTTGCTTTTTTAAAAAAAGAAGTTCTGTAACTAATTTCTAGGTTTTACAAAATAGTTTTAAAATCTACATCTGATTATATAAACTCTTAAAATAAATGTGTTATATCAAATAATTTAATGTATATTATATAATTACAAACTAAATTACTAAAGATATAAAATTATGTTTGACCATTCTTTTTTTGGGCAAAAGAGTAAATTATGTTTGACTAAGAATTACAAACTAACGGATTCCTCTGGACGGTCTAATGGAATTTCTCGGTGAGCCATTTAAGAGGACTCTATACGAGACCGAGGAAATGCAGAAAAGTATCAATTCCACTCATTTCTGAACGAATCTCATCTTTAGCATCAGAGCTCTTAGAAAGAACCATTCCACACGGTAGTAAGCTTTACTCATATCTGTCTTTATAGCCATAAACTTTTTCTTGCAAGTCGGGTTTGTCCGAAGAGCATAAAAATTTTCTTGCGCTATAAGAATGTTATCTATAATGAGTCGCCCGACCACAAAGGCGGATTGTGTCTCGGATATTAGCTCTGGAAGATGTTTTTTAGACGGAGGCTTAAAACTTTTGAAATAACTTTGTAACCAACATTACACAAGCTAATTGGTCGAAACTCCGCTATTTTCCTCAGTCTATCTACTTTTGAAATCAAACAGATAATTGTCTCATTTAGACGTTCATAAAAAATTTCGGAAGAATGGAAGTTTTGGACTAATTTTATTCGGTCCGGCCCAGACAAATCCCAAAACCGCTGGTAAAAAAGAGCTGTCATCCCGGGCCCGAAGTTTTATCCGGATTGAGAGAAAAAAGAGCTCGTTTAACTTCTTTCGGGGAGATCTCCTTAGTGAATTTTTTATTCATCTCTTCCGAGATCATAACCGGCACATCCCGAAGAACGGAATGGAAGTCATGTGGGTCGGAAGTGGTAAGCAGGTCTTTAAAATAATCCACCTCTAGATTCTCAATGCCCACCTCCTTGTTTACCCACATACCATCCTAGTTCAATAATCCAATAATCTTGTTCCTCGCTCTTCTTTGCTTGGTAATAGCATGAATAGTGTCTAGAGTCTAAGTGTAGTTGTTATGATGTGTTGTAGGCTAAGTATGAGTAGTGTTGCTTGTGTAAGAAAGTTTAGTTCTAAGTGTGAGTAATTAAACATGGGCCTTATTGGATGAAAATTGATTACCCTTCTTATTTTAATTAAACTTGAGCCTTATTAGATCAAAATTGATAAGCCTTCTCATTTTAATTAAACTTGGGTATTATTTGATCAAAATTGATAACCCTTTGAACTCTTTCTCTTTTATGTTTTAAGTCTCTCTCTCTTTGAGTTTACTGTCCATATTTCATTGTGTCTTATTTATTAGTAAAACTTAGATTTACTTCAGAAGAGGAGACACATATAATATAGAATAGTGGGAGTTTTAAGTATTTTTTCGGTTTAATGCATTTTGATTTGATTAAAAAAACTAATAACTGGTTAATCCTTTATGGTAATATCGTAATTAATTAAAAAACCGACGCTGAGGAAAGGGAAGCATCTTATAAATCCATCGACCATGGAATGCCATTAGTACAAATATATTTAAAAAACAACGTAAATTTTCTAAACTGAGATATTAACATTTATCAATAATTTTATGGATCTTTCTATAATCATTCTTCATCATTTTCGTAATATCAGTTAGTCATCTTGACCGTTCGATCTCTTCAATCTCCCAACAATAATCTAAAATAATTTAATTTATGAAACGAAACAAAATTTCTACACATAATTGATCCAAATATTTTTTCTTTCTTTCTTTTGTGATTGTGAAATCTATTATACGAACCAAGTGGCGTACTAAAATGTTATATGAGCAGAAAAACAATTTGAAACTAATTAACATTGTGATATGAATCTAAATTAAAATCGTACCAAACCGATTATATAGATTTATCATATTTATTTATTGTTTTCAACCCTCAAAAACTTAATCTACAAGATCCATCCCAAAGGCAAAGTCAGATTAGGCACGTACGTATGTTGATTTTACTCTTCAATTTCCAAAGAGATAATACACATGACATATTATCGTCTTTAAAGTTAAGCATTCGCGTAGTAAGTGCCCATACTATTTATGGTTACAACTTTATCCAAAACACGAGTCAAAACCATAAAACAAAAGATTCGTTATTCACCTTCTAAGTAAAAAAGATAACTCTCCAAACATGACCTTACCTTGCAAGCAAAGTATTCTTATCTTCATCTATTATTTCCCATTACTTAACCTTATCTTCACTAAGATTTGTTGTTGTAATTATAATGTTTTTAACGATCGGAAGATTCTAAAATGAAACTTACGACAACTTTAAATAGCTTTACAACAATTATTTGAAATCTATTGTTGTGTTAGAAAAATATGGGTCTAATAATAAATCAATTATATGACTGATCAATATCTGGAACTATAATGAAGTTGAGAAACAATTCTAATGCATATTTGACAACAAAAGATATAGATGAAAATGGATCATCCTGAAGAGAAGATTAACTAATTATGTGAGGTGTCAACTTTTTACACAATAAACTAGTGGAAGCAAAGACTTTGATGAATCGTCACATTGGCCTAACGAAGCTACCAAATTACACAAATGAATATATTACACGGATCATCTTTTATGATTCGAAAGGAATCTTTAGGTTTTGTCAAAAAACACAAAGTGACCAACCAAAACCAACGAACCAATTCGGCCGATTTGGCACTTTTCTACTTTCTTTACTTCACTTCTCATTTTCCCCACAAGTTTTAAATATTTAGATTTGGTACCATGCCCTATTTAATATTTTGATATCATATCACCCATAACTCTCAATAATATGCCAACTTTATTTAACAAGTTCATTTACTTGTTATATAATTGAGAAAATTTGACATTTGGGACACTAGAAAAGTTATGATCTATCTATATTATTTCCTAGACAAACGTTAGTCAAAATAGAAACAGTGAAAATCTTGGAATGTAATAGTTCAACAAATTTTTCTATAACAGGCCAACAAACCTTGAAACTCCATATAATTCAACTCTTGTCCAAACTTAAAAAATCGGGTTTGGTTTTAAAACAATCGTGATTATAATAATATACATGTGATCAATCGAAGATTCGGAGACTAATAAGCTACATTGATCTCCCCTAAATTGGAGATCTTCCCTAATTTCAACCCCTAAGCTTTCTACAATTCACCCAAATGACCCCAAATCAAATTTACAATTCCCCCACCAATTCATTTTCACTAATAATCAATTCCTCTTGTGACCCACTAATCATTGTTCCTTCACATCTCACTCTCACCGTAATCCAATCCCCACCCTCCATATCCCATCTGGGTCCATCCAAACCACCAACACATCTCAGCCGTCCGATCCTCTCCGAGTAACAACCCCACAAGTTTAAACGGTCAAGATCTCTCGAATCCTTCTGTAGTTCCTCTGTTTCTTCTTCTTCCTCTTCTTCTACTGATCTCCAAAACGTTTGATCTGTCACACTTGTCGGTGAGCTTGAAACAAAACCGGAAACCAAAGCCGGTTCAATGTCCGGTTTAGTTAACAAAAACGGATGGTTTAGGAGTTGTGTCGCTGTCCATCTCTCCTTAGCTTCCCTCTTGAAACACTTTTCCAAAAAGTCCTTTGCTTCTTCCGCAAGCAAACAAGGAAGCTCCGGAGTTTCACCCGAATACCCAACCCGATAAAGAACCGAAACCGGATCCTCCCTCGAATTCACCTCTGCCCACGGTGGAGAACCCGTAACCATTTCAATCACCGTACACCCAACCGCCCATATATCACTCTCCTTCCCCTGTTTCTCCCCACGCGCCACCTCCGGGGCCATAAAAGCCGGCGTTCCCATAATCATCGACTCGAATCCCGGGTCAACCCGTTTCGCACACCCGAAATCCGCAATCTTGGCTTCACCTTTCTCCGAAACAACCACGTTACTTCCCTTTACATCGCAATGCACGATACCTTTCGAGTGTACATACTCCAATCCTCTTAATATCTCGCGCGTGTACTTCACGACCCGAGTCTCGTCGACTCTGCCTCCGTTTTTCGCCGCCGCGTCAGTCAACGTTCCGTACGGTGCGTACTCCATCAAAATATTATAAGTAACGACGCCGTTTGACTCTCTCTTGGTTTCTGATCCTCTGTATCCGATCACGTAAGGAGACTTCAACGAAGAGAGAATCTTGGCTTCTCTTTGCAAGAACTCTGACCGGTGAAGCTCGGAGGTTTTAACGGCGAGGATTTCATCTGAATTGTGAAACGTGGCGGCGTAGACGGTGGCTGTCGAGCCTCGGCCTAGGATTCTTCCTCTAGTCCATTCCATTTGGAGAAGACTAGAGAAGAGTTATAAAAATAAAATGGGTTTTTTTTTCTTGTATGGTTGTTTGATTTTGCTTTTTTCTACTCTGCTTATTCAACAGAAGCTTTATATAAGGGTGAACGAATTTTTTTTTTGGTTGTGAATTAGATAGTGTATACTTTTAGTAACATCGAGTTTATCTACCAACGCTAAAATTAAAATTATGAATATAATGACGTAATTATGTTCTTGTGTGCACACGTGGATTTCTTTTTGAGGTGGATAACCAAATGTAACCCGTTTCGATTTGATTTGATTACTAAAAAGAAACCAATAAGAGAGAAATGTGTAGAATATGTGAAGTTTCAAGAGTACAAAATTTGAGAAACGTGAGTGAAATATCAACTGGTGTGTGACGTGGCATAGAACGTATCTAACGTAAGTTCGTTGAGTATGGTGACGTGGTATTTTTTTCGTTTTGACGAGCCTGTAGTACTCTTTATATTACAGTCTCTAGAAAGGATGATGTGTCAATATATGGTTGGTCAAAAGAACTTTTAGTTTCTGATACGACCAGAGTTACGTATATCTCTCGAGCGACGTGTCCACAAGGTTTAGATGCTACGTTGTGGTTTACAAGTGGCCTAATGTTTTATTTTGTGTAAAGGAAGAAATAATAATTAGAATTATTGTTTTGATTTGTGGTTTCTTATGAGTTTGGTATTGCAAAAATGAAATAAGTGGAGAGGAGAAGTTGGGCACTTTGGTAGATTTTGATCGATTATCTGCACACTTGGACCTTTCTCGTTAAATTTCGTGATCTTTTATATCTTTTTTTGCATATAAACTTTCTTCAGACTTCTTGCACGATTTTGTTTTTAAAAAATTATTTTATAAAATATATATAATCCTTGTCTGAAAATGTTTTTATTTGTTGTCTATTCTATTTTATCTTTCGTTTTTGTCTATTATCTTGAAACTTTGTTTTGTTTATGACAGTTATTATTTTGTTTTTTTGTCTTTTTTTTTCTCATTGCAAAATATCATTGAGATTTCAATGTTTTAAATATGTCTTCATGCCTACAAACAAATGCAACAAATATTATCATTTTTTCAACTGAGTAACATAAACAAACCCGGGTTATTCACAACTAGCTAGGGAATTGGTCGTTTAATAAAAATTTAAATGTTTTTTTTTAATTCTAGCAGAACGAGCCAAGAATCTGTTTAAAATTTTTAAAACATGGAACAAAAGTTAATACAAATTCAAAAGAATTCATACAGAAACAAAATAAAGGATCTAAAAAATTAGAGAAGCCTATATCATCTTAGAAAATGAAAACAGTCTGTTTCAAACAAACATTATTATTTAAGACGTCGATTAAAAACAGTATTCTGTCCTTTGAAAATTATTTTTTGCTAGTTGTATTATATATAAAATTTATTTTCCTGAAAAATATCACTGCAAGATTTGGGTTATCATTCTTCTACCGGAGACCAAGTCTATATAATATTCAACTCTATATTTGTTTACTCTAATCTAGTCAACTTGTTTGAGATAGATAAGATAATAGACGTTCGTTAAACAAATATTGTGACAAGCATACCAAATTTAACAATAAAATAGATTAAGAAGCTTCTTTTAATGAATCGTTTACCTCTTGGAAAGAAAATAAGCGAAAGTGAGCGGTGGTTTTAACCACCATTATCGGTTGAGGCTTAAGAAATAAATAATCATTTTCAAATATGATTAGGTCTGTTTTATGGTTCTAACTTACAACTTACATTCTAATTAAAGTCAAGTTCACATATATAACCACGACTAATTAAGCTAATGATGATTTTTCTTTAATTTCCTCACTTTTCTTTCGTTATTTACACTCCAAATAGCTATTTCATTATCAGTTTACGAACCAATTTTCAGAAGAAACATTTAATATGACTTAAAGTGCAATATAGCGTTATAGCGTATCATATAAATTCTATCTGAATCTCCGAATATCAAAATGGTGCAATAAGCTTCAATTGGGTGTCAAAACTTCATCGTATATAGCATTTTTTCTCTAATATTAAACGCTTTTTGGAGTAAGTCAAAAACCAAATGTCAAATGTTCCACAAAATGCCTCTCAGTAACTTTTTTTTTTTTCTGGCTATTAATGAAATTACAAGCTTTACACAATTTTTTACTGGAATGGTACCTCAGATTCATGACTGTTTAATAGGTTAATTATTCTAATGTTTTATTTTTTTGATAAATAAACTAAAGTTGAATCGTGATTCATCACATTTATATTTTAATTTGTCGGACAACAAGTATAATTTCCGTGTTGTTTGGTAGGCTTTTCCAGTACGTTCTCGTAAGATATGATATACTACTTTACAATCAATCTGTTTTTTACCAAAAAAAAAAAAAGATATGATATACTAACAAGTAACAACTATACATAAAACATTCAAATACGGAAATGTGTAAAAAATTAATGCGTGTTTGTAACACATGGCACTAAAACAAGGAGGAATGTAAAAAGGGCAAGAACGCCCTACTTCAAGCAACAACCTACTCAATTTCAATTTTAATTATATGTATCTCACTATAAAAGTAAACCAATAAAAAGGTGGAAAAGGAAATAAAATGATTACCGAAAAAATATTTCAGAAAATAAAAGGATGCAATTATGCAACTTATATACTAACGGAATAATACAGATTACGAATTTATGACTTAAGAGACGGCTGTTATTAAAAAGCATGCAAATCTTCAAAGTTTATTTAAAGTTTGATTGGATCTATTATTATGATTCAAGAAGCAAGATCTTATTTTCAAATTTGTCGCAACCACAAAAATAAATTTATTAGTTAAAATTAAAGACAAATCTATTATGCGTGAGAAAAGCAAAATAGACCTCTTTCGTTGCTTCAAAATATAAACTCTAGATATCAAGAGTAAAACATAAGGAACTTTATATTCTCTTCTTTCTAGAAAAACAAATCTATTTGCTTTTTGCATTATAAATTTATGATTGTAAATCAATCTCATATGGTCCATATTTATATAATTTTTGGTTCACTTTATTTCAATCGGTATCGTTTAAAATGATTTATGTAGCTGCTTAGTAAAGTTTATTATAGGGTGAAAATTAATTTTTTATTATTTGCAAACGATTTGCTTACATTACACACTAGTCATCGATGGTACTCAAAACTCGTGGCAATACTTTAGTCATACAATATTTTAACTTTATTTATTTATCCGCAGAATAAGACACCCAGCCAATAATCCCAAACAATCATCTCCAATGATTAGAAAAATCAATGTAATTCTATTGATAAAATAGAAAAGGAATAGTAACAAGATAGTATTTTCTAGGTGTCAATATGAACATCATCGTATATTTTTTAACATAAATCAAATAAACAAAGTAAATAGAATTTTTATCTATACATCGTACAACCACAATTCCATATGAGAGGTTAATGAGGGTAATTTATGTGGATATCTACGGTGATCAAAGCTCCATCTTTGTTCTAGATTTCACTGCTACAAACGTTGGGGTATCAAATTTACCTTTTTATGGGTTTAAAATGTTCTTCATGGTGGATTTTTTGGTCAAATCTTTTAAGGTTTTCTAGTTGCAACAGGTGTTTGATCAGTGAATATAATAGTCCAAAATATATCATTTCAACAAATTTGATTCTCACTTTTTTGATATTAATTATATGAACAAATTTGTTTTTATCTCACTTGCCATTGGCCATGAATCGCGTGGTTCCTTTAGCCCATGCACGTTTTATGGGTTACTAATTTAGTAATTATACAGAATCACAATTTGTCGGTTGATTTGATATTAGTTTGGTATCATTTGTCGGTATGCGATATACAAAAGAAAGATATTAGAGCAAAACTGAATGACGTATTTCTTATGTTGGTGAGAAAATGTGAACAAAGCTTGGGAAGTGTTTAGCCGCTTCTAGTTGTTAACGACACTACACTTCAAATAACAAGATCAGCACAATATCTTCTAAATTGTTTATCAAACAAAACGTGTTTACTATTTAAATCTGTTTCTCATGTACTGTACTTTTATTTTTATTTAATATTTTAGGTTATACTAGTAAAACTATGAAATCGTGGAGTGAAATATTATTGAAAACATGTGTGATTGGAAAATTTTGCGGATTGGCAAGATTTGTTATAAAATTTTTAAGATGAAAATATATATGCCCAATAGTAACCAATATTTTACTTAACATGAATTATGTTAATCATTCAACATATAAGATAATAACTATATTGAGTAGAAAGATGTGATATTTTCATCACACATAATAACTTATTTTCTCTTTTTGCTCCAAAATAAAATTAATATAATCCAAAGATTTTGTGAATCCTAATCATACGTGTAATCTCATTTCTTATAAGTTCGCATGTATTAATCCGTATGTCTATCCTCGAGTTGTGTCCAGTGCCGGTCCGAGCATTTGTGAGGCCCTACACGAAAAATAAAATGAGGCCCAATATATTTATAAGTTTTAGGGCTAAAAAATTTTTTTGACCTATATTTAGTAAATTATACAAAAATAATGATATTTTGAATATTATTACATTCAAATTTAATTGTTTGGGCCCTATTTTATTTATTTTTTTTCGAAAAGGCTTTAGTTTCTACCAAATATTTTCATTTTATGGGCTTAATTCTTTTTTTTTTTTTATAAAATTGGGCCCTTTTTCCAAAAAAAAAAAAAAAAACCTTTTAAAAAAAAAAAAATGTGGTGCCCCAAGCGGTGGACTTCAAGTGTGTCCTTCCTATACTTGCATGTATTTTTGATGAATGTTTGTTGTTAATAGTTTTCTACCAACCAGATCAGTATTAATCAAATAGAAGAAAACTAAAAAAATTTACAACGTCTTAAGCCATAAACAGGTTTTGTAGAGCTTTGAATACTAAAGTGTAATTAAAGTCTTAAACATGCAGCTGAACTTAGCTGTTGAACATTTATGCTATTGATCAAACGGTTAATCAGGTATCGGAGTCAGATCTGAGTCACTTTAGACTTTAGAGGCCCTCTAATACTACATACATTAATACATACTTTTTAGTTTTTACAAATACTTTTTGCCGACAACAGAAAAAAAATACATAGACAATGCTGAAACACGTGCTATTTTGATTTATAATCATATATACAATCAAATTAAGACAGCAAGACAATCTGTTATCCTATCATTTTCGCATTTTCGTTGATATGATAAGAGAAGCTACCATAGGCTTAAATTGAGTTCACATTGTCCTGTATATTAAATGAATTTTTCCCCTGATTGATGATTAAGATTTAGTCATAATTGAGTACTTATAAGCTGATACAACAGACTTACCAGTAATTCAATTTACCGTAAGTACATGTATACTATCATTTCCTAGTTTCAAGAACTGAGATCATTACAAACACAAAGACGAGACACATCGATACTGGTTCAAATTTATAAAAAAGGTTCGAACATTTCCAAATGATACTGATTCACAAGCAAACAAACCCCTTTATTTGATTCAGATAAAAGTCCTAGAGCAATGTCATTATCATTGGGCATCACACAAAAGTTTCCGGACTTGCATGAAGCATTGACCGGGGAAGAAGCTTTACGCAAGGTACTGTCTCATCCAGGAGTTGAAGCGAGACCAAGCAAGCTCCACTGCGGCTTCGTCTTCATCAGAAAGTCCCATGCTTTTCCTTCTGCTCACTCCTTCTGGACTCCTGTTCAAGAAGGCGTGCCCGTTTCCTGGATAGATGTGAACTTCATGTGCTACTCCCGACGCTTTCAGCTTCTCTTCTAGATTCTTTGCTGCCTGCAAATATTGTAATAATCATTGGATTCATGATGGAATCTCAGGTAATATTCAGACAATTTGAGGTGTAAAGTATCAGTATGTGTATATACACATACCGTGACATCAGAGAAACCGACAAAATTGTCAAGCTCTCCAAAATGAGCCTGAATAGGTGCCTTGGCTTGTGCCGGATCTGCGAGCTCTGAGGAAGGGGTTCCATAGAATCCAACAACAGCATCCACCTCAGGAACCAAAACAGAGCTAGCTATAGCTAGTGCACCTCCCATGCACATTCCAGTCACACCAACCTGTTACCGCAGTTACAATTGATCTGTTTGATTACCATGGAATTTTATGAGACCTAAAAGAACATTGTTTAAGTTTGGCACCTTTTTAGAGCCATTGGATTTTAGCCAATTAACAGAAGCGCGGATATCTTTGATGGCACCAGGCCAGTCAAGGCCATCCATAAGATGCTGTGCCTCTGCAGTATCCAAACCAACCTTTCCTCGATACAAGCTACACAACAAAATGTCGTGAGAAGATACTCAATGAGCCATACTATTACAAAACTGAATCTCAGCATTAAAAGAGGCACTCACTCAGGTATAAGGGCTTTGAAACCAGGCTCAAGTTGTGAGATTTTAATAGCATGGTTCTTGATCTCAAAATCAACACCCCACCATTCTTGAATCACCACAATCCCAGGTGCATCATCTTTACCAACCAAATAGGCATCGAATGTCTAACCAAACAGATCACAGTGTATAAGTTTTCTTTGAGTAAAATCAAGACTATAGAAGAATCAATACAAACTATTCACTCAACGGAAAGCAAATCCAAACTGAAATTTACTTCAAAATCAGGCACTACGAATACGAGAAGCTTCTGATACACCAAACACAACCATAAAAATGGCACTAAGTAGAGAAAAACTCAGGGATAGAAAAAAGAGAAGCTCTTACAGTGTCATCTCTTTGGATCTGGATTTTCTTGAAAGCAGAATCGGCCATTGATCGGACTGATAAGCGAGAAAACGAAGGAATCGAGGATCTATAGAGCGAACAAGTTTTTCCGATTGAAGAAGAGAAGATTCTGGAAGATGAAGATGACACTACTGCACTTAACATTGTTTTGCGTCTTGCGAGGAAACAAAACTATTCAGAGTCAACAACCCCAAACGAGACTTAAACGACGTCGTAGCTGTGAGCATGGATCTGGGCCTTGTATAATCTTATAAAGTATGGGCCACTAGGCCCAAATGATCAGAAGTACGTAATTTGTTTTTTTTTTTGGTATTTATTACTTATTGATACAAAATCAATCTACGACGATAATACGTAAATAGTAGCCGTACATTCTTGGTATATCCAAAAAGCCTGCATCGCCTCTGCTACGGTTTTGTCTCTTTTCTCCCAATTATTAGCTTGTATCGATATAAGACATTATTATCTTTGTTGGTTTTGTAACCGTGACAGGACCAGCTTGATTTTGTTTTTGTGAGATTCGTCGATTCTCGATTTGATGAAAATGACTCAATGATTTCGTCCTATCTTTCTATTTGGGGTTATTAAGTCAACTATGTATATGGACGTTAATTTTTTGAAATGTTAAGAGATAAATAATTGGCTTACGAAGCCAATATCTAGATAAGTGATATAGGAACAAAAATCAATCACAAAATATATACCAAGAGATGTCAATTACAAAGGTATAGACGTATAGTGCATGTATCAAAGGGCATAGCCACATCCCAATCGGGATAAATGAGAGAGTTCATCACGTTTCTTTTATATTCCTAAAATGGCGATGCGAGGAAATAATGGCAATTTATTAATTTCGCTTTCTATAATAATTTTCAATTTTTGTGGTATAACAATGATAAACAAACGTTCTTTAACAGAAAAAAAAATGTTACGGTGACATTAATTTTGTGTGACGACTACTCATCATCACCACAAGAGCAAACGGCGTAAAAAGACAAACTTTATCGTTATCCTAATTTGAACCAGACCACAAAATAAACCACCACAAATAGACAAAGATATACATATAAGTATATAACGAGACTCATATCATGTAAAAAATTTATATATGTAGTAAACGTATTATTAGTGAATCATTAATAATGTCTAATGAAACGGATTTAATGTGACTATTTTCGTTGGAATTTTTTTTATATGATATATAAAAGGGTAAAACTTAATAGTATCAGTCTAGTGGTAAACATCTATAAGTTTAAATTCCAATTTACGTGAAGTTCATGAATTTTAACGGTGTCAATGTGTATATTTTGGCCTCCGTACTATAAATCTATATTTATTTAGCAAAATTTGTACAATCTAGTCATCTAGCCATACAATACGTTTTATAAATAAATAATATTTAGTATATATACCATTTGTGAAGTCATGTATCTATATGACAAACTAGTCCAATTTCATTTGACTATCACTAATTTATCTGTCCTTTTTCTTGTAAATAGTTCTAACAAAAACAAATCTACTCACCACTCCTTTTATTATAAGTATATATATGAATATTAGTGTGTACCTTTTTTTTTGGTTGAAAACTAGTACATATTATGGGTTTGATTGGTAATTCAATATCACTATATAATAACTCATCAAAAAAATGTTACCCAAAACGTTATTCTAAGTTTTTCTAGTACCATTTTTATGTATCGCTATTTTCAATCATTTTAAATTATTTTTGTATCATTTACCGTTTCTTCTATCCGCTAAAAAATTGTACCATTTTATGCGATCAATTAGACCCTAATACCCTATATATATTCTATTACAAAGCATTCATAGACGTGACGCATTATTTTACTTAACCCTATATAAACATATCCAAAAACCGCAAGAAAGCTCATAAGAAATCTCCTCCCATGGCGGATTCAAGTTCTTCTCTCCCTCCTCTTTGCGAGAAGATCTCATACAAAAACTATTTTCTAAGAGCTGTGGATCTCACGATTCTAGGCCTTCTCTTTTCTCTTCTCTTGTACCGAATCCTACTTATGAACCAAAACAACACCGTTTGGGTTGTGGCTTTCCTCTGTGAATCTTGTTTCTCCTTCGTATGGTTGCTTATTACCTGCATAAAATGGAGTCCTGCTGCATATAAATCATATCCTGAAAGACTTGATGAAAGGTACCAAATTATTTTACACTTACTATTATAGAGACAATCATATACATTTAAAGCATATATTTTGTTAAATTTGTATAAAAACTAAGTCCTAGCTAGTTGAAACCCAACCCTTAGTTTTTTTTTTTGTCACGAAATATCATTCATTTTTTTCTGTTATCTTTCTATTTTAGTGGACTAGTATAAACATTTGAAAATATAAGATTTTTATTAACTGGTCTTAGTAATTGATTAATTTCAGGGTTCATGACCTTCCATCGGTAGATATGTTTGTGACCACGGCGGATCCGGTTCGGGAGCCGCCAATTCTTGTTGCAAACACGTTGCTTTCGTTGTTAGCTGTAAATTATCCCGCAAATAAACTAGCTTGCTATGTGTCGGACGATGGATGCTCACCTCTCACTTACTTCTCTCTCAAGGAAGCTTCTAAGTTCGCCAAGATTTGGGTTCCGTTCTGCAAAAAATACAACGTTAAAGTTAGAGCTCCTTTTCGATATTTCTTGAACCCTCTTGCCGCAACAGAAAGTTCTGATCAATTCAGTAGAGATTGGGAAATGACGAAGGTAAGTTAAAGGGTTTGATTGTCTTTTTGGTGTATCATGTATGAGTTTAATTTTCCATTTGTTCACAAATTAAATGATTTCGTTTACTTTCAAAAAGAACACATTAACTTATTTTTTAATCAAACATTATTTGTGAAATGCGGAAGGTAAACTAGCTAGAGGAAATCGTCGACGTTTCGAATTTGTGTTTGCAAATTATTTAAAACATTTTGATAAATGTTGTGAGTTATAGAAATATAAACAACAAAAAATAAAATAATAACACAATCACACTTTTTAGTTTAAAACAATTGGGACAAAAATCAAGATTTGTTCTTAGCTTTTCATATTAATTATTGGGAATTTTCTTGAAAGTATGTTTTTGTATCAACATAAAGAGGGAGTACGAGAAATTAAGCAGGAAGGTGGAAGATGCCACTGGAGATTCCCATTGGTTGGATGAAGAAGATGACTTTGAAGCTTTCTCAAATACTAAACCAAATGATCATTCAACTATAGTTAAGGTATTCTTACAATTTTCGAAAGTGATAACAAATAGTCTCTATCTATAGATAAGTTATGAACATAACAAAAGAGGGTAGCTAGTTAATTATAATTAACAATTATATGAACTCTTTTATGTGTGTATGTGAAGGTGGTATGGGAGAACAAGGGAGGTGTGGGAGACGAGAACGAGGTTCCTCATTTTGTATATATTTCAAGAGAGAAAAGACCAAATTATCTTCATCATTACAAAGCTGGAGCCATGAACTTTCTGGTTAGTGAATTTTCTCACAAAGCTCTTTGATATATTTCTATTTTATATTTGAAGTTTCAAGAAAGTAGATCAGAAATTATGAGCGAAATTATGAGCTTGGAAATATAGATATATCTAAACGTCTTCTAAACGAAGGTAAAATAGTATAGAAGAAAATGACATCTACTTCTCCTATTGCCAACAATCACTCGATTGATTGCTAGGCCCAAGCAAATGTAGGACATTTATGTACAAATATGTCCCATGTGATATGTGGCTGCAATGATTTTTTACATTTTGTTGCATGTGACCATTGGACATTAATTGTTACAATGAAAGGTAACCAAAGAGTTGGCTATATAATTTTCTCTGACTCTGGCCAAGTATCGGAGGATGGAGAATAGTAAATAGTTTAATTCTTTCAACCAAAAAAAAAGTAAATAGTTTAATTCATGTCGTTGATAGATCCCGTGACCTTGAAAATTATCCCCTTTTGGATGGGTAACTAATACACCGGTTGAGTACTAACACCAAGTGTAACCATGCTTATGTGTAGCTATATTTATGCGTTAATATTTTAGCATGCATGTAAAACTAAACAAACATGGTGTTATATTGCCTTTGAAAAGACATCATATATGATGAATTTGAACAGGTAAGAGTGTCAGGGTTGATGACAAATGCACCATACATGTTGAACGTAGACTGCGACATGTATGCCAATGAAGCAGATGTGGTGCGACAAGCAATGTGTATATTTCTGCAAAAATCAATAAATTCAAACCAATGCGCTTTTGTTCAATACCCTCAAGATTTCTATGATTCTAACGCCGACGAACTCACCGTCTTACAATCAGTAAGATTTCTCTTTTTATTTATAATTTTTGGATCAATTCAATGTTATTTTTCGTTATGTACTTAAATCTTTGGTTATTTTATTTTATGTTAAATTTAGTATTTGGGACAAGGAATTGCGGGAATCCAAGGACCTATATATGCGGGTTCAGGATGCTTCCACACTAGAAGAGTTATGTACGGTCTATCAATAGATGATTTAGAAGAAGATGGAACTCTTTCTTCAGTTGCAGCAAGTAAGTACTATAGGCGAAATCAAAATTATATGCATATATATTAAAAATTTAAAACTAATATTTTAGTATGCAAAATTCTAATGTCTCTCTCTTTTTTGTGATTCATCGGTCTATAATATATTCAGTTATTTTATTATTCATATGTCAAAAGCATTCACGGTTTTGTTGTTATTTCATTAAGGGAAATATTTGGCTGAAAAGAATTTAGAGAGAAAATTTGGGAACTCTAAAGAAATGGTGAAATCGGTGGTCGAGGCATTACAAAGAAAACCAAATCCTCAAAATACTCTTGCAAACTTCCTCGAAGCGGCTCAAGAAGTGGGGCATTGTCATTATGAATACCAAACTAGCTGGGGCAAAACGGTAATTCTCTCTAAATTATATCACTGTAGATTAATAATCTAATCTAGCACAATAATAATAATGCGTTTTCTAATTATCAAGAAGTTTGACTCACAGTAATATGTTGTGTTATGTATAAAAATCCTGCAGATCGGTTGGTTATACGAATCAACAGCGGAAGATGCAAACACGAGTATCGGAATCCATTCGAGAGGGTGGACTAGCTCATATATATCTCCGGAACCACCAGCGTTTCTTGGGGCTATGCCGCCGGGAGGACCCGATGCGATGCTCCAGCAGCGGCGATGGGCGA